GGGGGGGCACGTGACGTTGGGGCGTAGAAGTTCGATGATGCCTGTGGAATGAAACCGGGATTTGCCACGTGATTGTTGAGCAAAACTAGTTGGTTATTTTTAGCAGCAGAGCTAGCACAATGCTTCCCGTTCGGTGTCATAAAATAACCATAGTCATTCCCCGTTGCGTCTTCATAATGGGCCAGGTACGCGTCGTGCTATCGGATTGATTGATGCACACATCTCACTTCGGAATTTTGGGGCAACACGGTATGGACTGAACAGTGAAAATTGCGAAACTAGATCTTTAATTGAGTTGTTCTGGAACATCTGATAATACGGCCGAGAGGTTGGCCGTTTTTTCTATCGTCCAATTGACGAAATTATGTGCCCGTACAAATGATTACCACACTTCCATTGGTCACATGAATGATGACTTGATAAGCTGTATTATGATTTACATAATGGTTCTTCAGTTATGTTCAGTTTATTCATTTTATATTATACGTGTCTGTATGTGCTCTTCAGCTCCGTCTCAACAACAGTCTTCCACTTAACATGTCGTTCACGACATTCAAGTTTTCCCAATGGATAGTCTTGCCCTTTCTGAGGTCGTGATCAGCTTCTGTCTTCCAGAGATCGGTAACCTTGGTGAACATGACTGCAGAACCGTAAATTCCCGCCACCACTGCACTGGCCTCAATATCATCAACGAGGTAATGCTTGGTTCCGCGGTTGTAGACGAAACGCAGCTCTGACTCGCAATCAAGCCCCTCGGCCTCTGCTTGGGAAGTCGAATAGGCAAAGCGCGAGTTCCAATCCTCAATGAAATCGCACGCTTTGATAGCAAACCGCGTTGCATTCACTCTATCCATCGATGAAGGGGTTTTGCCTTGTTGAACATGGCCGGGGATGGCAGTACGTGATTCAAACTTGCCTTTACCAGCCTCCTTGATGATGTCTGCAATGAGCTCCGTGGAAAAGATACTTGATGCTTTTTCATTGCGAATGAACATTTTTCCCGACCTGTTATCACCCTTATCATGCTCAAAATTGTCATGAAGGAGCTTCAGATCTTCCTGGACTGATCTCAGTGTAACCTCCTTCTCTGGAGTGTAAACCGCCAAAGCACCTGAAACTAGCCCAGAATAGGCAGCAACATAGCCAGAATTTCCACCCTGCACTTCCACCACAAACACACGTCTCCGTGAGGCAGATGCAGACTGCTTGACAGCGTCACAGTAGTTCACCAAAGTGTTGAGACAGGTGTCTGTTCCAAGCGAGTATTGGGTTCCGGGAACGTTGTTGGATACCGTGGCTGGCAGACACACCATCGGGATGTTGAAGATAGGATACGTTCCACGAGCAGCCTGGAGTTGGTGAAGAGCACGGAAAGCCTCGAAACCACCTGCCACGATCAGGCCATCCAAACGGTACTTCTGGAAGTAGTAGGCCACGGTGCCCATGTCTTGCTCTGGAAGCGATCTGTTGGTTCCAATCTCGGAACCACCTAGATTGTGCCATTCCTCCACATCTAGCCAACTGAGCTTCTTAAAGGAACCGTGTCTGATGAGTCCGGAGAAACCGTTTTGAATCGCATATAAGTTATGTCCCTTGGAAATACAATTGAGTGCAGCGGCTCTTGTCGCAGCATTCAAAGCCGAAGAAGGAGCCCCAACATGGATAATGGCCATATTGAGACGCTTTTCCTCAGGCAACATCACAGAGCCATCATCGTGCTTCGAAACAGCTAAAAAGTTGTCGTATGACTCCACGAAAACGGTATCTCTGAGCGACATAGCCTTTTCAAAGTCTCTAGCCTCAATGGCAGTCGCTACCGATTTCGTGAGTCTCACAGCATCTACCAGATTGCGCCTGACTATATTGTTCTCCACTATCCCGATCATGGGCGAAGGGGTATCAGGGGTCATTTCCAAGACAGCCTTCACGGCATCAACACCTTGAAGGGTTGCAAGCATACGGTCAAAAGCAACAGCAGTACCTCCACGTTGAACATGGCCCAACGTGGTGATTCTGGTATCTAGACCGATCTCGACGAGAACATCCTTGACCTCTTCAGAGGTGATTGGGGTCAGCAAATCGTCAAGCGCACCCTCGGCGACAATCACAGTGGTCTTTCGCCTGCCCTTGTCACGATGGCGCATACACACCTTCTTGAGTTCAGCCTGCCATTCGCCCGCCTTGGGTGGTTGTTCGGGGATGAAAATGTAGTCTGCACCTGTAGCAATTCCTGCCATCAGTGCGAGCCAACCACAATGACGACCCATAACTTCCACCACGAAAGCTCTGGAATGAGAGTTCGCAGTTGAGTCAATGTAGTCCACCATTTCGCAAATACGCTCAAGAGAAGAATAAGCACCAATGGTTGAATCCGTGCTGGACATGTCGTTGTCGATGGAGCCCACAAGACCAACAATGTTGAGGTGACGATGCTCTGCTACTTCGGACTCGGTAAGTTTTCCAGTTGCCACGAGCTCATCAACAAGCGATGGCCATTCGGAACGGAACAGGTCTGCACCGGTCAAAGAACCATCACCACCACAAACAACCAGAGCATCAATGCCAGCAACAATCATGTTATAGGCCCCCTGGAGACGGCCCCAACGCTCTTTGAACTCCATGCAACGAGCGGTACCAATGAGAGTTCCGCCGAGACTGAGCCAACCACGAACGTCTTCCCATTCCATCTTTTTCAACATGTCACCACCTTGGACCAAGCCTGAGTAGCCCTCATAACAGCCGTAAACATCACAACCATAGAAGATACCCGCACGAACCACGGCCCGTACAACCGCGCACATACCGGGAGAGTCACCTCCCGATGTCATAACAGCGATTTTCTTGCGGCTTTTCGCGGCTGGGGAGGTCGCTGGTCTCTCTGCAGCAGTGACACTAGGGCCCCGCTTTGGATGAAGGTAGTAATCAGCACTAGTCACTTTGAGGTCGGAGCCCATGCCTGGGTGCGAGGTAAATCCCAGGACAGTTCCAAGTGGATCACGTGTATAGAAAGAGACCCTGGAATCATGAGAAACTATCATTGGATAGCCATTCTTTTCAACAACCGCACGGACCTTGGCCACCTCAGCAGTGAAAAAAATGATTTCTCCGGCCACTTTGGGGAGAGTATGGACATCGTGAGATGCCAATCTGATTTTGATCACAACCCCGGGCGATTGATATGGTGACGAGGTAGCAGTGTTATCCTGGGTGAAGTAGCCAACTGACTCTTGTAGTGGTACACGGCCACCTTTGGAATCAACCTGACTCAACGGAAAGGCCTCCAGCCACACTTCACGGCGTGAGTTGGTAGAAATTCCGTGAAGATAATCAGACGTCGAGATTGTGTTGTCTTTAGTGAAAGTTCGGGTGACCTCGAAGCCGAACGAGATGTAAAACCGGAGGGCCTCTTCGAAGCTCTCGGTAGTGTTTGCCAGTAGCGACGTGAACGCGAACGAAGTAGCGTGTGCGGTCATACTGAATGAGATACCAGTGGCTCCAGCTGTAGCTATTGATTAGGAAACTCACAAGTGATTTTTAGGTAGAACGAAATGAGTAATCGGAGAAGGTAGAGAGATGTCTTGTTCGCTTTTTGTACAGCTCGGGTTATCAGCTGCTGCCATCGGGCCTGAGTGCCCCCGTGAAGTGACGTGGTTTATAAGATATTAGGTAAGCAGTCATGTGTCCGGGGATGTTTGAAGGACAAACCCTGTTGGTTGAGGAGTAAGACACTTGTGTGCTTAGTTGAAAGGGAATGATTACAAGAAAAATATCTCCAGGGGTAGAACACTTCTGAGAGAGAAAATTATATCCTAAAGTCTGGGTCGTTTTCCGCCTTTGCCCTGCCTCAAGTGATTAAGTTTCTGGAAGTGTACCATCCAAACTGTTTTCCATGGACGTGTCTCGCTCAAGTAATTACATAATCTACGTTTCTCACCACAACTTAGTCTGTCGCGTCTAGCAGACTTCCTACATCAGCAGATACCCCCATTCATCTCATTTTTGCTGGCTAAATTTCAAGTTGCGCGCAGCAATGGGTTCCGGCAAGAGTTCACGGTTTAAAAAGGCAGACTTCGCAAAGCGTGAAGGCACGCCTGACTCAGACGATGTAGCTGCCCATAGGCGCAAGAAGCCCAAGATCAACTACAACGAGGACTCAATGTTTGGCGAACTGGATGATGAAGTTGATGAGGATGATGACGAGGCTGGCTTGGATGGTGTGGTGAAGCTGGATTCTGGTGTAGAGTCTCCGGATGATGATGGTTCGCCCAGACGTTCTAGAAGGAGCCGAAATGGGTCTGCAAAGGCAGAGGAGGATGAATACGTTGAGGGTGACGACGATGACCCGGAACCCGATCAGGAAGGATCAGAGTACTCGTTTGAAAGTGACGATTCAGAGGCGCGAGCCGAGCGCCGCCGTAACAGGATCCCCAGTTTCGTGGTGAAAGACGACGAAGACAACGACGATGAGGATGACGAATATCGATTCGATCGCCAAAGATCCCACAAACGGTCGCAAAAGCGCGGGAGATCTGGACGGAGAGGAAGGCCTCGCACCAAAGTGCGGGACGATGAAGAAGACTCCGAAGAAGAGGAGGAGGAAGAAGAGCCCTTAACTCTTGCGGACGAGTTGAACGATCTTCAGGACTCAGAACCTGATTCACCCATCGAAACTCGCAAGATCCAACTTCGTCAGCGCAAAGAGGTCAACTACACGCTGCCCCCACCAATAACCAGCGAGGCTCAACTCGAACTGGCTGCTGCTCCAGTCCCTTCGCCTTCTAGACGTCGCGCGAACGGCAACTCAGGAGCTCTCAGAAGGCTGTTCCCCACGTCAGGACCTTTTGGAGGCGGTGATGTGGCTTCTGTGTTTGGCCAGAATATTCCAGGACTAGGAGCTGCTGCTACTGTTGGAAACGTGGACTCCTCAGATTCAGACGATGAAGAGTTGTTCAAGGCAGTGACTCCTGGAAATGCTCGGGGTTTCGCACCTATTGGTGTTCAAAAGAAGAAGAAAAATACATTGGCAGACACAGATCCGTTGGGAATTGATACCAACATCGATTTCTCGGCTGTTGGAGGCCTTGAGAACTACGTGGACCAGCTCAAGGAGATGGTCATGATTCCACTGTTGTACCCAGAACTGTATCAGAGATTTGACAAGACGCCTCCACGTGGAGTTCTCTTCCATGGTCCTCCAGGAACAGGTAAGACTCTCATGGCCCGTGCTCTTGCTGCCTCCTGTTCTACCGGAAACCAGAAGATCACCTTTTTCATGAGAAAAGGAGCGGACTGTCTTTCCAAATGGGTTGGTGAAGCGGAACGGAATCTGAGATTACTTTTTGAAGAGGCCAAGAACCAACAACCCAGTATCATTTTTTTCGATGAAATAGATGGACTTGCACCTGTGAGATCTTCTAAACAAGAGCAGATCCACGCTTCCATAGTTTCAACTTTACTTGCTTTAATGGACGGTATCGACAACAGAGGCCAAATCATTGTTATCGGAGCAACGAATAGACCTGACAGTGTGGATCCTGCCCTGCGGAGGCCGGGTCGGTTTGATCGCGAGTTCTACTTCCCTCTACCTGATATGGATGCTCGTAAGAAGATTCTGACCATCCAGACCCGCAAATGGGAGTCTCCACCAAAGCCCGAGTTCATCGAAAAGCTATCAATGCTTACGAAGGGCTATGGAGGTGCTGATTTGCGTGCTTTGACTGTGGAGGCGTCTTTGAACGCAATTCAGCGCACTTATCCGCAAATCTACGAGTCACAGGAGAAGCTCAAGCTTGATATAAACAAGATCAACGTGACTGCACGCGACTTCATGCGTGCTCTTGACAAGATCATTCCTTCTTCAGCAAGATCGAGCTCCTCTTCCTCTTCACCGCTACCCAAACCATTAGAACCACTTCTTTCCAGATCCTTGGGCCATATCCTGAGCAAGCTAGATCGACTTATTCCTAGAGACAAACAGCCTACTCAGCTGGAAGAAGCCAGATATGTTGATTTGTTTGAAAGAGATGCTGATAGCGGCTTCCATAGACAAGAGGTACTGGAAAACATCAGTCGTGCTCGTTGCTTCAGGCCCCGGTTGCTCATTCGCGGAGGGATTGGAATGGGACAAACTTATATTGGAAACGCAATTTTGCACCATATGGAGGGCTTTCACGTCCAATCACTAGATCTTTCAAGGGTGTTTGGAGATCCAGCTGTGAGCCCGGAGGGAGTAATCATTCAGACCTTTATAGAGGCTAGACGACACAAACGGAGTGTGATATTTCTACCTAGTCTGGAGATCTGGCTCAGTACAGTTCCTGCAACAGCCAAGTTAACCCTGGCTAGTTTGCTGAGGTCACTGACTGCGACAGAGCAGATTTTGGTCTTAGGAATCTGTGAAATGAGTGACTTCGAAAGCAAAGAGCTGGTCTATGAGGCCGATGAAGTCCTTGGGTTTGGAAGCAGTATCGTGGACATTTTGGAGCCTTCAAAAGAGGAAAGGGAGGAGTATTTCGAGACTCTCTGGTCGGCCCTGAAGATGGACCCAGCTCAATTTAACGATCTTGATTCACGACCCGTGAGAGATATTCCAAAGTTGGAGGTCATTGAGCCGGTAGCAGCTTCTTCGGAAGATGCAAATACAAAGCGGGAGAAGAAACGCCTTGAACGTCACGATATGCGCTTGAAGAATACACTCAAGATCAGACTAAGTGGCTTGATGGATCTGTTCAAGAACAGGTACAAACGCTTCAAGAAGCCTACTATCGACGATATGTATTTGATTCACCTATTCGATGAGTCTGTTCCACCTCCAATTGATCCCCTCACCGGTGAGCCCCTCGTTCAACAGCCATATGTAAAAGATGGGGAGATGATTTTGGAAGTGAGCACTGGAAAACACTATTACAATATTGATTTGGATATAATCGAAGAGAGATTATGGAATGGCTTCTACTGTGAGCCCAGACAGTTTCTAAAGGATATTGAGATGATTTATAAGGATGCCCAGGTTTTTGGAGACCGCGAGCGTCTGCTCAAGGCCAGCGAAATGTATGCCAATGCCCAGGTTGGCGTTGACGAGATTTCAGTGCCGGAGTTCGTTGCTGAGTGCCGCGAGATGCACGTACGGGAAACGGAGAGACAAAAGGAATGGCTCTTAAAGCAGCAACGGCCGATTGTTATCGATGAAGAAAGTGGCGTTGAAAACGGAGATATTGAGAACGGGAATAGTGAAGTCATTGAGGTGGATGATGGAGATGTGACTGTTCCAGATGCTGTTCCAGATACTGTGACGGCCCCTGTTACTGTTAATGAAGTTGTTATCAAGGACGAAAGTTTACCTATCACGGAATCCATTGTGAAACCAAAGACGTACCAACTAGTTGTCTCAGAACCAAAACTTCATGAAGTCAAAACTGCTCTGCTCACCATCTCAAAGACGCTGAGTATTGAAAAGCTGGAGGAGGTCAATGCTTCATTATTGGACATTGTCTGGCAGGCCAGGAAGGACGTTGATAAAACGAACGCTCTCGATGCTATGCTGCGTGAAGTGGAGAGACATGAGAGGTAAAGATTGGCCCAGAATTTTCAAGGCATCTGATGAATCTTAAAGGCTTGATCCAAAGCTGAAACTGTTTCACAATGTATGTGCACTACACTTTATATATTACGACCGAAAAGTTCTTCTATTCACTAATATTTACAAGTTGATTCTTCTTTACTCTTCTCTAGCCATGAAAGTCTCGGCAACGTCCAACACCAGATTATCGTCACCAAACTGACCCGTGAGCTGGATTCCACACACTCCATTATCGGTATTCCAGGGAACTACGATAGAAGGCAATCCGGCCAAAGAAGCGGGTACTGTCATGACATCGTCAACGTACTCAGTGACACCGTTATCATTCTGGGATAAACGGAACTTCTCGAGAGTAGGTGCTTTTGAAGTTGATGTTGGAGTCACAATAAGGTCAATTCCCAAATCGTTAAAAGATGTTTTACCATCCAGAGGATTTGATAATTTGAATACCTCATTAAACTCATCACATATCAATCGTCTTACTCGTTGAGCCTTGAGGAAATGGTTGGAATATGCCTCGGAAGAAAGGTTGAAGTTTCCCAACATGATTCTCTTTTGAACCTCGCTGCCAAAACCAGTTGATCTGGTGGTTCCGTAAGATTTATCATAGTTTCTGAATCCATACCGAACTCCATCATAACGAGAAAGATTTGAAGCCGCTTCTGCTGGTGCCAAAACGTAGTAAGCCGATAAAGCATGTTTGATAGATGGAATACTGACCGGAACAAGTTCATGACCATCCTTCGAAAATCGCTCTAAACTGCTGATCCAGGCGTTTCTCATTGGCTGGGACAATTCTTTAACGTTGAATTGCTCGCAAACTCCTATTCTGAGTCTTTGGCTGGTCACCGTCCGTTTCGGTATGGTTTCCCGTATATCTCCAGCTAAAGACGTTGGGTCATTTGGATCGTATTTGTCCAACTCTGTGAAAACTTGTCGTATAATAGAAACATCTCTGGAGAGCAGCCCCACAGTATCTAAACTTTGAGCATATGGAACTACTCCCCATCTTGATATACGAGAATAGGTTGGCTTAAAGCCCACCACACCGGTGTATGAGGCAGGCAAACGGATGGACCCTCCCGTGTCTGTTCCAAGCGCCACATCTACCAAACCTGCTGACACGGCCGCAGCCGACCCGCCAGATGATCCTCCTGATATTCTGGCTTCATCGGGGTATAAAGGGTTTAGTGTTGGTCCGAAGTGTGAATGAGTGGTTCCGCTTCCCATGCCAAATTCGTCTAGATTAGTCTTTCCCACAACAACCGCTCCTTGTTCCTTAAGTAATCTGACCACGGTGGCATCAAACGGGCTTTCATAGTCAGCTAAAATCTGCGACGAGCATGTTGTTTTGTCCTCCTTAGTGACGATATTATCCTTGATCGCAACGGTGACTTTCTTCAGCTTTCCGCTAAGGGCCTGTAGAAGCTCAGCATCCACATTTTCCCTGATACTCGTGAATATATTGTATTTCAACTGGGCAGCCTTGAGACCGGAAAGAAAGGACATGTTTTTCCTGATATCCCAGAAAAAATCCCCAAATACTCGCCTCCAAATAGCTGAAATATTAGACGCTCAAATGTTAAGCGCCCAAACGTAAAGCGCCCAAAGATAGACGCCCAAAGCGATGCCCTGGCCCGATGACCGATGCCCTTGAAGTCCACTGTTTCGCGCTCCGGTCAGATGTTTATTCGTTTTTACTGATCCAATTGCATTGCACAACATGGAAAATATCGACCTTAAAAGGACCAGCTCAGAGGCGAATCTGGATGAGCCAACTAATGAAATTGACCCGGTAGCCACGCTGGTAGCCGAACCGGTGACTGAGCATGCGTCTGAGCCCGCTCACCACTACTCAACACGGTCCACAGTTACAACCGCGTCGTCAAAGCAAAAGCCAATTATACCGAGACTTAAGCCACAGCCGTATTCACCTGCTGATTTGGAGAAACAAATCAAGAGGCCGCTGATGGTTGAGGCGATGAGTATTCCACTTGTGCCAATTGGAGAGGCAGAGCAAGACAGTGTGGATACCGCATTCTACTCCACGGATGACCATCCTTTCAACAGACGGGGCTTCAAGTACAAGGCTTGCAGACCAAATCCGATGTTCAAATCGCAGTTTTACTCGACTTCGGAAATTCCGCCTCACAATGCAAGATGGAGCTACCTCGACCGAGCACCAGGTCTGCTGATGGACAATACGGCTACAATTGCCACAGCTGAGCAAGGCTGGAGAAGTGCAAGAGCAAATGTTGGCATCAGAGAGGGTAGTTGGTATATAGAATACCGAATTCTAAGGGCGAATCAGGAAGGGACTGCAAATTCCACTAATGGGATGAGAGGTCTGACTGTTGCGGATCCAAATAAAGCAGAAAATCGGAGTGAAACGCCCGAAACAGAACTCCCTGGACATGTCAGAATTGGAATAGCAAGACGCGAGGCGTCTCTGGAGGCTCCTGTTGGTTTTGATGCGTATAGTTACGGACTAAGAGATAAGACCGGACAGAAGCTTCATCTAAGCAGACCCTCCGAGTTCATGAGGGGTGGTTTTGGAACAGGCGATGTGATTGGTTTATTGGTAGAACTTCCAAGTATTGATGTTCAGAGAAACATTGCTAAAGCGCAAATGGAACAAAGAGTGACCTCTGCTCCCGTGCTGAGTGAAGCCAAAGATGATGGTGTATCGCCGGAGTACGATATTGTTCGTGACCAGATTCCAATACGCTACAAAGGACAACTCTACTATGAGCAATTCGAATACACAGGTACTAAACCCATGGAACATCTGTTGAATCCTGTGACTGTATTTGGTGAAAAGGCGATACCAGATAAAGACAAGTTCAAGCCTGCCACTCTCCCAGATTCCAAGATCGTGGTGTTTAAAAATGGAAATCTCGTTGGAACCGCTTTCCAAGATCTTTATAGCTTTTTGCCACCATCCTCTGTTCAGAACCAGAGATTCCAGGCAAAAACTGCAAATTCTGAGGAGAACGACTTTAGTGGTAAAGACGACGGAAGCTTGGGCTACTATCCAATGGTGAGCTGCTTTCAAAGAGGATGTTGTCAGATCAACACATCATCGGAACTGACTTTCGTTCCGGAGGAGTTGAAAGAGAGGTTGGAAAAGGGCGAGGTGAAATTGTTGAGTGAGAGATACACCGAGACAGTTGTTGAGGAGTATGTATGGGACATAGTTGAAGAGGTGGAGAATGATTTCCTGGACCAGCTTGAAGCTGAGTGATGGAGGATATGTCAAATGAGCACTGTTTTCGTAATCGATTCATAGAAATGGTGCCCGAAAACGGGTTACATGAACTTAGAAAGCAGTTCTGTAGACTTATCACTTTGCAGCGAATTTGCCACGAAAAAACACCTGCGATTTCGCCCGATGTATAACCAATAGTGAGAATAATGTTTTCAGCAGACTCTGAGCGCATTTTTTTGTCTTTAATGTTCCCTTACGTGACTCTCTCCCACGGAATCACAATTCCAGGCGGCCCTATGGTAGCCAAATGAGTCAAGTTTTCGGGCGTGACGTCCCATACCTCGTCACAATTCCTATTGGGACACTTCCCATCAGAACGAACCGCAAAGAAATGCTTGAGACATTGCGGATGGAATCTGACATGACAGTCATTGTTGAAGCACTTCGGACCAAGAGTCAGGATCTCCTCACACCCAGCACATGTGCTTATGAGGCCTTCTGTGTTTTCGGGTGATCTGACTCCAAAACGCTGGATTAACATTGGCCCAAGCTCTGCCAGCATTCGCGTCGCTGGGATATATTCTTTCTGGTGGTCCAGCCATCCTTGGTAGTAGAGGCCTTTCAAGAACGAGTCTGCCTGGTCTGTTGATTTGGTAGTGTTCTTTCGTATAAGTGCAATAGCCTTTGAAGACGTAATCGAGTATCTTTCCTCCGAGCTGTTCCCTTCATCGAATATATAATCAACAATCTCGTTTATGGCCTTGACCTCGTTGGGAGTAAACTGCGTTGCCAGCTTGATGGACTCATCAGCGGTTTGGTTCACTAGAGTAAGTTGTTTCTCGCCAGTAAGCTGATCCCGCTTTTGCCGTATCGAAAGATCCATGTAGTGTAATCTCATGTTGATAGCCACGACACACTGTTCTAGCACCATTGCAGGAGTCTCGCTCACCTGTTCGTCCTCCGGTAGTCCACTCGCCATGAGCTCCACTGCCAAATTGCCCAATGTTTCCACCGGTATACTTCCCGCTTGCATTAAGACTTGAAGCAGGGCAGAATGGACCTGGCTGTAGGACATTTTACGAATTTTTCCAGTATGAAAAGAGTAAAGTGTAGCTTCCCTCAGATGAACAACGCGTTCAGCTTCAATTTGAGCCGCGACTCGCATTAAGAAAAACAGTGTGCACTGCTCAACTTCTTGGGTGATTTCTCGTGTCCAGCGCACGACCATCCTCTTCACTTGCGGGTCTCCAATTCCTCAGATTTCACGCTACTGTGGCCTCTTTGTTGATTGGCATATAATCATCCGTTTGCGGTGAAAAGAAAAATGGCATATTATCAGCAACAAGGAATCAACCAGAATCCTTCGAATTTGCAGTTTTATTCGCAACAGGGACAGACGCCGTTTGCCGTGTCTGGGTCTATGAATACAGGATCTGCTCCCGGTTACCAGTATGGGTCTGACATTAGTGGGTCCATGGGCGACAACGTGCTGTCGCCCGGAATTCTGGCTGCATTTTCCACCAGTGGCTATGCTGGGGAACCATCTCTGCTGGAAGAGCTAGGAATAAATTTCTCGCATATCAAGTCCAAGACGCTGGCCGTTCTCAATCCAATGTCACGCGTCAGTCCTGAGATCGCCACGGATTCGGATCTGGCTGGCCCCATACTATTCTGTCTGCTATTTGGAACATTGCTGCTTATCGGGGGAAAGACACATTTTGGTTATATTTATGGAGTGGCTCTTTTTGGAACGATTTCAATTCACAATCTGTTCAAGCTCATGAGCAACCAGGAAGTTTCGCTGGATATCGTTGGCACTGCATCGGTTCTGGGATATTGTTTACTTCCGTTGGTGATATTGAGCTTTTTTGCCGTGTTTTTTCATCTGGATAACACTTTAGGATACCTGACTTCGATATTGGTGGTGTTGTGGTGCACAGTCTCTTCCTCAGGCTTCTTCGTCACTGTGCTCATGCTGCAGAATGCCAGACCGTTGGTGGCGTATCCGCTAGCCATGTTCTACAGCGTGTTTGCCCTTATGGCAATTTTTGTTGAGAAAAGCTGACCCGGGTTGTTGCCTGTTGGTGTGTACCATAAGGCTTTTGTTCGAGCCCTGCCATATTGCATTCTGAAAAAAGTCTGGAGGTGAGATTCTGTAATGTTGAACATTCTAAAATTCCAGTGTCTTTTTTTTATCAAAATGCTGAAATCGTAAAGGAACATCGTTTGAATTTTGTATGGAGTAGCACCCTCAAAGAAGCGTGCACTTATGAAGCCCCCACTGCTCATCTCATATAAGTCTCTCTTAGTGTGGGCAGATGAGCTGAACATTTACGGTTTAACACCACCACTCTCAACTGCAGCTATCTCCATCACGCAAAATGAGCCGGTTCCTGCCCTTGTTCAAACGTTCGGGTGTCTTTAAGCGGCTCATCTCTTCAAAAAGAGACCTGGGAGAGGCGTTGTATGTGACAACACCCATCTTCTATGTCAATGCCAAACCCCACCTCGGCCACTTCTACTCGATGTTTCTGTGTGACATGAGGATCAGGTGGGAGAAGCTCCGAGGATATGACACATTTTTCACCACCGGAACTGATGAGCATGGTCTCAAAGTGCAAAACGCGGCGAACGCGGCCGGAGTGGAACCCAAACTTTTTTGTGACGATCTGTCGGCCAAGTTCAGGAGTCTTGCGAAGCTGGGAAATATCGAGTATGACAGGTTCATTCGGACAACTGATGAAGATCATAAACTCGCTGTGAAACATTTTTGGAATGAGGTACAGAAGAGAGGGTTTATATACAAAGGAACACACACTGGGTGGTATGCCGTGTCTGATGAGACGTTCTATCCGGAGTCACAGATAGAACAGAGGCTCGATCCAGTATCTGGGGAAATGAGGCATCACTCGGTCGAGACTGGCTCAGAAGTGGAATTCCAGACCGAAGAGAACTACTTTTTCAAGCTTTCCGAGTTCAGAGATGCTTTGATTGCGAACATGGAGAAAAATGAGAGATTCATCATACCCAGGAAATACTACCAGGAGGTGTTGAACGAACTGAAATCTCAGGAACTGACCGATCTCAGCATTTCTAGACCCTCCACAAGATTGTCATGGGGAATAGATGTACCTGGAGACAGTAGTCAGAAGGTGTATGTTTGGTTTGACGCTTTAATCAATTATGTAACCTCTGCTGGATACCCCTTCTCTGGAGACACCTACCAGCCATGGCCAGCAACCCATCTGATCGGAAAGGATATTGTTCGGTTCCACTGCATTTACTGGCCAAGTTTTCTGATGGCATGTGACCTTCCAATCCCTCGCCAAGCCATAGTTCATGGCCATTGGCTCATGGGAGGGAAGAAGATGAGCAAGAGCAGGGGGAACGTTGCGGATCCGGTCACCATAGCCGATTACTATGGAGAGGATTTTCTAAGATACTTTCTGGCGCGCTACTCCATTCTGGATAGCGATTGCGACTTCTCTGAAGAACGACTCAATGCTGCTAGAAATGACTTTATTGACAAGTTCTGCAATTTGATGACCAGGTCTCTTTCCAAGAACTTTTCCATTGAGAGGGCTCTGCAGAGATATGAAAAGGGTGAATTTGAAGAGATACTCAATGCCAATTCTCTGCTTTCGGCGGGCCATAAAAAGATTGTGGAGTCTACCAATAAACTTGTGGAAGATTTTGACAGAGATTTACAGCTGTTTTCCACTCACAAGATTCTAGATCAGTTGAGATCAGTGTGCTCGGAAGTCAATGCATATTTCTCAGATACCGAGCCTTGGAGGCTCAAATCTGAAGCTGAGAGCATTCAGCAAGATCTGGTGATATTCACCGCCCTGGATTCTTTAAGATGTTTTTTGATCCTGCTGCAACCTTTCATGCCAACAGTCTCGAACCAATTGCTGGATCTGATGAAGGTTGATTCCGAGAAACGCTCTATCGGACTAGCCATGATAGGTGCAGATACAACCTATGGTAAGGGCGCAGTTTTCAAGAAGGGTTCAAGTGTTCCTCTGTGGAAGCTGAAACTTAACGAAGAGTAGTTGGCAACTGGTTAGGCAATTTTGGGGGCTAGAACGTGTATATAATGAAGCCTTCCTATGAGTGAATGTTGACGCAATGCAATGATCTTCGGTTTTCTCCAGCGAAGACCAAAGTTGAATAATTGATTACTTGTAAATAAATAACTCGGTTAAATAATTCAAACTCATAGTTCTCGTCTTATCAATGAGTTACCCAACAATTTTCACCGTTTCACAGGCAAGACTGGCTGTATCGAGTAGCACAATCTCTCCAGTAGCACTGAAATTAGGAACTGCAATAACACGCACCTTCACCTCCTTTCCGGACTTCTGGTGCAACACAGTCTCTTGTGTCTCAAATCTGGGCATATTTCCAACGAAGTAAACGTGTGGGGTCTCGTACAAGGTAAATGGGTCTTCGTCCTGGTATGGGTAGCACCATAACGTATCTGGTGCTGTAGGAACAATGTTTTGCCAGTACATATTTGCCTCAATCAGACCAATGCGCGACTCAACGTGGTCATCATCTGTCGGAGTGGTACCCGTTGAAGCAGCCGCATTGGGCAGCACGTATCTGAAAATGTCGTTGATGTTCTGACCACTGGTGCCAAGTAGATGCAGCCCGTCTATCTCGAGTCTTGCCGGGTTAGTGAGTGGTCTGAAGTGCCTGGACTCGGTGTTTATGAATTGCCTCGATTTTGGAAAGAAAGCAACATGTAGAGGTTGTTGTGGCAAGCTGAGCTCTGCTGGATCGTTTTCACCAGGCATGATATCAACAGGCAAAGACTGCAGAACATCGCAGAGAAACGAATCAAGGATATTCACCGCTTCCGCATTATAATTTGTCCTATGATTCTTCTTGTATTTTGACTTGGAGTTGGCTGCGTAATCCTTTCCTATTAGCGATTGTGATACCTGAATCGAGTCACCGGCAATGATGAGCTTGGATATCTGAGCAGAAGCCGCACGAGTCTCGTCATTTCCAAGCTCACCAGTAAGATACTCCTTCAAAATCTCCAGCTTGACCAAATCAAGGTCACTGGAGTTGATAGACATCCCAGATACCAATGCAATCTTGGAGGGAACAACATGATCCAGGCTCCTTGGAACCTGTGGAGCAATCTCTGGATACACAACGTCAACCACCTCAAACACTCCAGATTCCAGCTCCAAGCCCAAAACCCCAAAAACACATCCAGTTACAAACACGGTGTTGTCGATGATGTCTCCACTCAACAACACTCTTCCAGATTCGTCTTCCAGAGCGATCTGGTCAGTGGCTGGATTCGAATACGATGTCTGTCTCAAATTGCGGTTGGTGGCATCCAAGGGATTTCCTTCAACAATAGGAGGAGCACCATACATATTTTCACTCACGTCTTTTAAGACATTTGGCTTGAATTGCATGTCGCAATATACAGTCCCCACCATGTAGCACGGTTGCTGATGGGCAATGTCTAGGATCTTGGAAAGACGAACAACCTTTTCACCATTGATAGTCTCATTGGTCCACTTTGCACTAGCCATTGCTAGTACCCGGGGTCTCAGTTTCATCAGTCTGTGAGTGTAAAGGGAGGCAAACTGTTTCTCGTACTCCCTATTCACCTTGGGGAGTTGATACATGTCCTCGCCTTCATAGGTTTTAGGAACAGAGGCACCAGCCCTCTGAACAACACCTGCACTGCCGTGAAATTGTTAGTTTTAAAAGCTGTCTTCAAATTTTGTTCAATGAACTAACATACCTGTCAGTCGTCATAACGTGTTTGAGAGTAGTAAAAGTCTTGTGGTATCTGCGTAACACGCGATCTTAAAATGGTACGCGACAGCGTGGGCGTGGAATAATCAAAGCGTGTATTGCGGAAACGATTCTTGAGATTCAAAATTTGGGAAGCACTCAATGCCTGAGATTGATCCCAAAAAGCTGAGGGTTTCAACGGTGAACACGGTTAGAATAGGTTTTGAAACAAAATTATAATGGGTATCTCGTGAGTATGACTGAAATTCTCCTGTTTGGAGCATAGGACTAACTCTTTTCAGAGAAAAGATCCAACAGATCCAGGAGGAGCTTTCCAGGACCCAGAAGAACAAGGCCACGGAGTACCACATCGGTTTACTGAAAGGTAAACTGGCGCGTTACAGGCAGCAATTGCTTGAGCCTCCTCCAGGTTCTTCTTCGTCTCCGGGAACGGGTTTTGAGGTCTCGAAATCTGGTGATGCTCGTGTGGTGCTTATCGGTTTTCCTTCGGTAGGTAAATCGTCCTTCCTATCCAAGATAACAAAGACGAAATCGGAAATCGCACAGTATTCGTTCACAACACTGACTTCTGTTCCTGGTGTTTTGGAGTATGAGGGTGCTGAGATTCAGATTGTGGATTTGCCCGGTATTATCAAAGGTGCTAGTGAAGGTAAAGGTAGAGGTAGACAAGTGGTTGCTACCGCTAAGACGGCAGATCTCATCATGATGGTTCTTGATGCCACCAAAGGAGCTGATCAGCGACAGATTTTGGAAAGAGAGCTTGAGTCTGTTGGTATCCGGTTGAACAAGCCAAAACCAAACATTCACTTCAAGATTAAAAAGGCTGGTGGTGTCAAGTACAACGCTACATCTCCCTCAAAACACTTGAACGACAAAATTTGCAGTGCTATTCTGAGGGACTACAAAATTCACAATGCCGACGTGTTGGTGAGAGACGAAAATGCCACAGTTGAGGATTTTATTGATGTCATCAACGAAAGCCATCGCTCGTATGTGAAATGTCTGTACGTCTACAATAAGGTGGATGCTGTTTCTCTAGAAGAGGTGGATCGTATCGCACGTGAGCCCAATACCGTTGTCATGTCTTGTGAGCTCGATCTCGGCGTCCAGGACGTTGTTGAAGAGATCTGGTATAAGCTCAATCTGATTCGCCTATACACCAAGCGGAGGGGTGTCCAACCTGACTTCAACGAGCCCATGGTTGTGAGGGTTGACTCCACGGTGTCTGAGGTCTGTGACTCTGTCCACAGGGACTTGAAGAATCAGTTCAAGTACGCTTTGATATGGGGAGCCAGTGCCAAACATTCACCTCAGAAGTGTGGCTTAAACCATGTGGTTAGCGATCAGGACGTAGTTTCCATTGTGGCTAAATAGGGTATATCCATCTGTACAATGCTTATAATTTTTTCTCCCAAGCAGGAAGCCTTTTTTCGTAACCAGTTTGCAGCTCAGCAATATCGCCAGCGCTGAAGTATCCACGCTTCTCCAATGTTGCAGAAGCCCATTCCAGCGGCGATAAAACCCATAATGTGTGCAAATGTCTTTCTCTCAGCACTGTCTCTATGTGCTCCAGCAATTTGTCCTCGATCGAGAGGCCTCTGTAAGCAGGTAACACTTCCAAAAACTCGATTACCAGTCCCATGGGAGCAGACTTGTCAGAGGCATTTGCGGCCATCAGAGGCTTTGCCTTGACACATCCCACGGGAATCTCGCCAAAGTAACCAAACTTGAATAAATCTTCTGAACTCTGGGCCTCTGTAAACCAGTCGGAGGAGAAGTCCAACGTGGATAGCTCTACCAGCTTCTTGAGCATTCCAACATTATTGGGAGTGATGTCGTCCAACGATACGCTCATTGTGGATACAGGAAAATTGACAAAAAAAACAATTAACCCCAATACTTCACACTGTAATTACGACAATCAACTGCATGAAGATATGCTTGGAGATATAGACAGGGCCATTTTTCAGTGTGAAAGAAGTGTACCACCCAATCGAATTTCTCGACCAGAAAAGTCGACTCTTAAGAGGTTAGAAGGTTGTAACTCATTTGCCAGGATACACAGTCTCAACTTTGAGGATCTATACTGATATGGGTGGATTTGTGAGGTCAGCCAGTTCCAGAAGAGGTGTTGATCTGGTCAGACTGCTGTGTCAGAGGCGGGCGCCATGTTTAGTCCGATCTATTCCAGCAGCTGGTCTGGTGTTACACAACAGCAAGTTGTACTCTGAGATACCGCGATCGAGGAGGCAGTTTTGCGAGTACCGAAGGTATTCTACAAAGCCTGCAAAAGTCTTGGTGGAAGAAAGTACTTCTGTGGACGAAATTGAAGACATTTTTATTGATATAAAGACTCTGTTGAGGAGTAATGATGCAGCTACTGCAAAGAGACGTTCGTTGAAGCTAAAATCGCTTGTTTTTGATCTGATACGACTAGTTCCAAACGAAGAGTTCGACCACTCCCAGCTGGTGAATGTTACTGAGGCTTTGAACTATTTGGCAGATTCTAAGCATGCGGCTCTTTTACCGGAGGAAATGTTACAGATCTTGACCTCCACTGTTGGGTCAATCACACTAGATGACATTCAGAGTTGTTATTTCTTCCCATCCATGTACAAAAGACTCAGAAACTCCAATTTTTACTCTAAGGATATTACCAACAGGCTGCAAATCTTTGAGATATTTGTCAATTACATCGCTCTATCGAGCAAGAGAGATCATCTGCAGAGGTTGGTCCAGGATTTTTGTCAGCAGAACCCCCAGGAAGAGGCGAAAGTTGCGCAGATAGTGTTGGAGGCGTTTAGTGGAAAGATAACTGCTGATTCCGATACTCTGATGATGCTTTTTGAACTCAAAAACCTGAAGGATTTGGAAGTGCTAGACGATGTCCTCGCCATGACGTTGTCTGCCCTTGAGAATGAGCGGTCTAATACCTCTACCGATAAGCTGGAAATCAAATTGGAGAAGCTGTGCACTTCAATCTTTTCAAAATCCAAGTTTCTAAGCAATTCTGGCGCATTAGAGCTCATCAGCGTTCTCCACTTTGCTTCATCTTACAACTGTGACGATGCAGCCATTTTGATCCTGCAAAAACTTAACTCTCTCATACCAACAATTACTGGAAAAGTTCGCGATGAGGACTTGAGCGCGTTGGTTGCAGCTGGCTTGAAATACCCAGGCTTTGAACAGATTGTGAAATCAGTTATAGATGCCTTGGACCGGTCATCAGCTACCCTCACTGAGCAGCTTGCAATTCTCCGTTTCGACGTTTTTACCGGCAGTTCTGTTATCGAAATAGAGTCCAGGCTAGAGCCTTTGGTTGATGAGTTTGGTCCTGAGACTGTCTTCAACAGCCTTTTGAGTGCATGTCTACATTCATCAAAACCTGAAGAGTACATCAAGGAGCTGACCGAAGTATTCGATCGTGAGTTCAATCTTGATATGAACGCAGAGACATTCTCCATTCGAATCAACAATGCTCTCAGCCATGGTGACCTTTCTGCTGCATTGCGAGCGTTTGCTGATTCTCAAGCCAATATGGTCCACTGGGCTCAAGACAGCAATGGTATATACATGGAGACCATCTTTAGGCTTCTTTCGAGATATTCAGAGCACGCTTTGCAAGATTCCAGCATATCTGTGAACGACGTTTTCCAATTGATGATCAAGGTCAAGTCTTACGGTAAAAACCTAGGTGAGGCTGAAATTGCGCCATTGCTGAAACTCATGCTCGATAACGAATATGCAGGTGATGCCTTAGAACTTTTGGATAGGGAACTCCCTCCTAGAGTGGGAAAGCAAAGATTGCAAGCATCGGACTATCCAGAAATTTTCAAGTGTTTGCATGAATTTGTGCTGTCTTTCAAGGGTAATCCAGAGGTCAACTGGGCTGTGTATGGACATATCCACAAGATTTTCTGGGTGCCCTTCGACTCGTATCTTCCAACAATGAAGGTGTTTTGTGAAAAGGGTAGGCCTAATGCAGCTCACATTATTTTCAACAAGGTGAGGCTTTTGCACAAGGAGGAAGGATTTCCTCCTCCTAACGAAGAGATGTATGAATATCTCTTCAAGGAGTTTGGAAGACAGCTTTACGAGGACGGTGTTTTCAGACTGCATTTGGCCCTCAAAATGGATCTTAGTGTGAATCTAGATATCAGTCTGCTCAATTCATTGTTGGAAGGATATACCCACCTGCAGGATTTCCTTAAGGCCAGGGACGTGTTTGAGCTTGCGAGATCGTTACCTAAGGATAGAGGCATTAACCAGGAGACGATGTCTCTCATGATCAAGGCAATGACATATGTGAACATCCGCACTGTTAAACAGTTGTGGAACAACATGTCTCAATACGAGGTGCTACCCGATAGTCGCAACTTCGAGCAATACCTGATTGCCCACTGTTACCATGAGGATTACGAACAGGCGCTCCAGTTGGTTGAAGAACAATCTAAAGAGAAGGACATTGAAATAACAGCTTCTGTTCTAAAGACGCTACACGATTGGACCATTGAACCCAACATGAGAGAAAAAGTCGTGAGTTGGAGTGAACAAAATTATCCTGCTCTATGGTCCGGTCTCAAAGAGAGTGGACAACTCTCGAACTCCACCGAATACCCTTCATTGATTGATGGAAGACTTGATTCCCAGATCGTCCAAACATGAAACCACTAAACTGTACATATAGCCATATATAGATCAAGCATTCCTCTTAGCATTTCCAATATGCGTATTATTGACCTTGGTAGCAAATCTTAGAGAGTTCAATGTCTCGTTGAAATGAACATGTGCTGGAGATATATTGACAAACATTAAAGTCTTGGAGTTTCCACCCAGCGAATATTGAAGGAGATAAGTCAGTTTGGAGTTTCGGTAAGGAATATGTTGCTTTGAGCTATTTGCACCCAAAGCACATATCACGTCACCAAGCGAGCTTAACGATTTGTTAATGGCCTGAGTCTCCTTGAATCTGTCGCCTGTTGTTTGCGAGTGGGTGAATCTTTCAGAACCTGCGAGATCAACGAGATTGAGAACTCCTCTGGTGCTCTCATTCAGGTTCACGTTGTGTCCTGTGATCTCGAAGATGTACAAACTGTGTGATCTGGATGATTTATCGTTAGCTTTGGTCGATGCTGTGAATCTGTTTTTCGAGGCTTTCGCAAGAAGCTCGTTCACAGTCTCTGGACTATCAAGAAAAACTTTTGTGACTCCAGTGACGGATGTGCGCATCAATGTCTCGTCGTGTTTAATCTCGTGCTTCTGTGAATCGGAGTAAGTGTTTCCTATGAGATCGTTAATTGTTTCGTTGTATATTTCCAAGAATTGACCTTGGATCTCAAACTCCCAGCCTTGCTGTTTGAGATGGCTCACCTCTTCAAAGATTTGTCTGATGGCCCTCGGTATCATGCCGTCCTCTTTTTTCGACATCGTGAACGTTTTGCCAGAGCCCGTTTGTCCATATGCAAAAATGCAAACATTGAAGCCATTCAGAGCACTCTGTACAAGTTCGGATATCTCCTCGTAAACCTTCGAGTTCGACAAAGACTCGTCAAACACTTTGTCAAATCCAAAGTCATATTTCTTGAGAGGTTTTGGTGCTGGGGTCCGGCCGGTCATGCTATCTCTCTGCTCCGTAACCAAAGTAATTTGTTCTTTGAAGGCATCATTCATTGGTGCGAATTCAATTCGAGCGGGATTCTCTTCGGCCTTCAAAGGTCTCACTCGGCAAAATACTCGTATATTACCTTTCAAATCCTGTAATAGTCCATGCAAATTTCTTCTGCTATTCTCCAGAGACAGAATTTGGTCGTCCATCTGAAGAGCATTGGCATCGTACATCTCTGCATTATTCATGACTTCAGCTATTTTATCTTCAAGAGATTTGAGCTCGTCCATTTGTGAATCTATTTCATGTTGAAGATCAATGCAACTGTTCTCCGTGAGCTTCCATTGTGCCAACAACTCCTCGTATTCTAATTCCATTGTGTTCGTCCTTCCAATGGAAATCTCCACTTCATCTTTGACCTTGGAGAGCTTATGGTTGGCTTCTAATATCAGATCCTTGGTGACCTCGATACTGTGATTCAATCCCATTATTTCGGACTGCTTTTCTTTCTTGACCAGCTCCAGATTTTTATCACCAGACACAACGATATCATTAATTGCCTGCTGGAAATCCAGCGGCAAATTGGAGATTTGGTTTTTCAGGCTTTCCACCTCACCCATTAGGTGAGATAACTCCGCTTTGCGGCTTTCCTGTTTCTGCAATTCTGTATCCTGAGCCAGTTTGAAGTACTCGTCCGCCTTTTTTTGAAGGTCGGCATTTTGTTTCGAAACCAGCGAAAGTTTTTTATCCTCAAAATCGGCTTCTAGCTCTTTCAGCCCCATCAACTTGTTCTCCTCCACATTAGCCATCTCCTCCTCTCGCAACGTCATTTGGTCGTTAAGTCTCTCCAATGCATCTTGCGCCTGTTCTCGCTGGAGATCGTGTTTATACTTCCTCGTTCTTAATGTAGTTATTTTCTTCTTTAGTTCAGTCAACTCCGTCGTTTTTCCCACCACCTGGTGCTTTAAAATCTGAAATCTAGACGTGCTCTGATGAGCAGACATGGTCTTGGTAATCTTCCCGGAATTCGGCCTGTGATTCTGGGAGGTATTGAAGGCAGAGTCGCTGATCTTGGAAAGCGATCTTCCATCTCTGTCGGCCATTTTGGATATATACTGCTATTGGTTTAAATTGGAGCCATCGTAAACTTATCAGATAATGTGAGCACCCGTGATTTGAGAAGTAAACATAGAAACCGCAAGTGCTCCTAACGCGATGGATTTGATGGAATTTTTTTTTCAAGCCTCAGATTCCGCATAAGACTTTCTTAGATAAAGGCATTGTCACAAAATATACAGACATGAAGAAAGGTTCAATAACGCTGAAAAACACAAAGGCTAATATAAAGGCGACTCGTCCTCAGAAATCGTCGAAAGCGAGTAACAATCCCTCGGAATCTGCTAGCGGTGAAGCAGAGAGCAGTGGGGAGGAGCTTGACTTGAGCGATGCAGAAGCTCAGAAATCCGACTCTGTTTCGGATCAGGAACAAGATAGCGATGACAGTAATGACAGCGAAAGAGAGCGTGACTCGGACAGTGAGGAGGAATTTTCCGATAGTGACGAAGACGAAGATGACGAGATACCCCAACTGAAGAAGAGAAAGGGAAACCCGGATGATGGATCAGAGCAGTTTTCCACGGCAGTCAACGCCCTTTTGGGAACTCATTTGAAGGCATACGACAGAAAAGACCCAATTTTGGCAAGATCCAAGAGCCAAATCAAGAAGTTTGAAACCGAAAAACTGGAGTTGAAAGCCCGTAAGGCGCTGTTAGCTGAGAAGAAGCAAAGGCTGACCAAAGATAGGGTAAGAGACCTTTTCCCAAAAGACGATGCTTCCGCTAGATTCGTCATTGAGCGCGAAAAGAGGTACAAGAAGACTGCTCAGAGAGGTGTGATCAAGCTGTTTAATGCCGTGTTGGCGACACAGACACAGACTGCCAACGTTATATCGAAAGAGAAGATAATTGGTGATATAAAGAAGGATGAGCTGATTACCGAGCTCTCGAAGGAAAAGTTCTTGGATCTTATTCAGGAAGCTGGAAAGAACTGAATAGCATTTTTTGGGGTTTGTAACATAGAAATTTTTGGGCCTACATACGAAATGTTTGGTAGAAAGCTTGAAAAAACTTATTGTAGTCTATCTAAAATACAGAGACCTTCATTAGTCTTCGACGAAATCGTACACGAGCCTTTTGAAATTTGGGCACCGAACGAAATAGAAAAAAAAAACCGGGACTGATAAAAATTGTAAAGGAACAAATGAGCCATACCTAGAAGGTAGAGTAGAAATGCAATGCAGAAGAAGATGAATTATTCGAGGAGATGGATAACACCAAAAGATTGTTCAATTCCATACTCGCCTGGAGACTTCCAGTAGTCATTGTAAGTACTCAGGATGGTAACCTCGGATCCAACTTCCTGTAATATGTTGGCAATTGCAATTTTCTGGTTAGCTTCGGAAGGAACGTTTTTACCGTTGGTGATTCCCTGGCTTGGGTAACCAGTTTCGGTCACGACGACATCCAGGTCACCGCAAATTCCTTGGACAAGCTCGATTTGACCCTTGACAAAGGAACCTGCTGTCGAAGCGCTTGAGTAGACATCGAAGTAAGCGTGGGAGTTGATACCAACGAAATCGATCTCTGAGTCCGTGCACAGACTTGGGTTGTCTTCAAAAGTCACAGGAGGCTCCGAAGTGGTGACCTTTCCTGTGTAACCAGCTTTTTTCAGCAAAGACTTGACGGAAGAGATTTTGGAAATCAATTCTGAGACTGAGCAAAATTCGTCAATGACAGCCTCGTTACCGATGGTGATATAGGTGAAGAGGTCCCAGTCAAAGGCGTTGTCGTTGGCAGCGTCAATGAAATCAGAAACGGCATCATCAATAGAGTCGACACCATCAGAACTGATCCAGAAACCTTGGTTGACCTTCAAGCCAATCTTGGATGCCAGTGGCAGCACGGTGGTCAAGTAGTTGCAATCGTTACCATATATTCTCACAGATGAGACTCCCTTGGACTTGATGAGAGTCAGGTCCGTTTGGACGGTGTCGTAGTCTTTGCAAGTTCCATCGTCTTCGTATGGACTGTACACCAATGCGGTAGGAATAATCGTAGATACGGCAGAATCAGTACTGGTTGAGGCTGATTGAGTTGATGTTGAGGTTTCCTCCTTAGTGGAAGACGAGGAGGATGAGCTGGTGGTGCTGGAAGAAGAAGAATGGGTGGTTACCGAGGTTGAACTTGAACTTGAGCTTGAACTTGAACTTGAACTTGAACTTGAACTTGAACTTGAACTTGAACTGCTAGCACTTGAACTCGAGCTTGAGCTTGAGCTTAATGTGGTCTCAACCTCAGTCGAGGAAGTTGACTCTGCAGTAGTAGTGGCCTCGGCGACTGATGAAGTCTCAACGGTTGGTGTGGTTGCAGAAGTTGACACCGAAATTGTGGCTTCACTTTCAGCGGATGAAGTCGTAACTTCTGGCTGCGAGGTTGATGAGGTATCAGTGATGACACTGGTAGTGGTGGGTTGGATCGAAGCAGCCATCTCAGCCCCGGTAGCAATTGTAATTAAGGTATTGGTCCAGGTGGATGTTCCAGAGATGAAAACTTGCACAATTGGAACCTGAATAGTCTGGGTGGCAGTAACATCAAAGACCGTTGTTGTGTGGCCAGCAGCAGTGTGGTATCTGGTGATCACGACCGGAACTGGCACAGCCAGAACGCTTTGGAAAACGGCCAACAGGGCAACAAGCGGGAGGACAGGATATTGCATCGTTTGCTAAAAGAGTGTGATGATCCGAGAAGAAGGTGTCGGAGTTTTTAAGTGAATGATGGAACCTGGTGTTGGCTGGTTTAAATGAGTGTAATGTTTCCGAGTTCAAGGAGTGACAAGGGTGAGTTTTGGAAGTTTTGAAAGGAAGGACAAAGGGTCTGGCTCAATAGTTCTCTTGGAATAACAAAGATGGATATACCGAAAAAGAAGAAAGGAGAGAGGCTACGTCAGTAAGACCATGAGGAACCGTCTCTGTATCTTATATTCACATTTTTGTAGTAATCGTGAAACTCCAAAAGCTATTGGATATGCATTATGACGCACTTTAGTCTTCGGTTAATCCGAATAAATTCTAAATTCATGCGGGTTCATGCACGATGTTGCGTAATGGGCATCTAATTACCAGCCATGTTTGAGTCGTGCACGTCTTTGGAGGTGGCTGGCTTCAACGGGAGTGAGGCTGATCGGGTATCTGACTCAATCCGGAAGAAGTATCGCCGATTGTGTGAATATCAAAGGATCATTGCTTAATATGGAGCATTTTATTCTCTTTTGGAGGCTATGGCATACCCACCACCTTTCCGTTTTAGGAGAATGCAGCTTTTAGTGTTCGTTAGCTCGCCTTGTAAGCCTTAAGTCAATGATCATGGGTTGGTTCCATAGCAACCAAGAGCCTAATCATGGAAAACAAAGCACCGGGATTTGGTTAATTTATCGGAAGCATGAAGCCAAGGATTTTCTGCTACGGGGTCTGGATACCATCGAAGGTTTCATGGTCGTTCTTTGCAGGCTTCGGTGGAGCTTCAACGCTCTGAACGTTTTGTAGTTTTTGAAAGTAACCCATGTGGAACTACATTTCATGACTCAAAAACCTGTGGTTTTTTTTTTCCTTCCTAATTTCAACATAGTACAGATTATAGATCTTTCGGTATTGGTCGATTCTCGGGTCAGAATCTCATAAACGAAAAGTAAATAGTGCGAAACATAATTTGACGCCGCACTAATGATAACCTGATAACAGGCGCTGGATCGACCTGGTTCTTACTTCCTGGTCTCCTCACCACGAGTTTTTGAACCAGAAAGCAATGTCGGCACGTATTTCACAACAAGAGAGTCAATACTCCAAGAATACTGTCCAAAAGACAGAGGCAGATGGACAAAGGCACGGTCCGGCCAGTGCAAGAGTTGTTCTCTTTGTCCAGAGATATGGAGATGCAATTATTGGCGCTTTCTACGTCGCATTCACAGGACTGGTGTTTGGGTATGACATTGGCACTGTTGGTGCCTTTTTCTCTTTGGACCAATTCCAGGCCAAATTCGGCGATTCGACAGACAGCTCCGGTATCACTAGACGGTTTCAAGAAACGACCCAAGGCCTGTTGGTTGGAGTATCCTGTTTTGGGGCAGTTTTTGGCGGTCTTTTTCTCAGTCGGCTGGCAGACATTATTGGACGACGTCCAACTTTGTCTGTCGCTATGGGAAGTTATGCACTTGGCGATCTCATCGCGTTGATCAGTGGGCATTGGGCTCAGTTGGTGGTTGGGAGATGCTTCAACGGACTGGCCATTGGATGTCTAAGTGTTGTTACGCCAATGCTTATTAGCGAATTTTCACCAGTGGAGATTCGGGGAGGTCTCGTTTCTGTTCAACAACTTATGACCACACTTGGAATAGTGATAGGTGCCTTCACGGTTCTCATGTGCAGTAGGTTCCAATCTTCTCTGCAATATCAGGCTATTCTTATAGTGGGTACAATTATTTCTATTGGCGTTTCGGGGGTTGTCTTCCTGGCTCCGGAAACCATGAATTCTAATAATGAAACGGAGGAAACCGAATTGCAGAACTTAGCGCAAGGTCAGGAAGACGATGCTGAGAAGGCCAAAAACGAGAACATCTTTAATGGACAACCAAAGTCTTTCCAAAGGTTGATGGTTGGGATTTCCATCGCCAGCTTGCAACAACTTACTGGTATAAACTATTTCTTCTTTTATGGCACATATTTGTTTCAAAGAGCTGGAGTTGAAAATCCTTTTCTCACGGCCATCATCCTCTCTCTGATGAATTTGGTCTTCTCAGTCTTAAGTGTTCTGATATGTGAGCGGCTACCCAGAAAACAATTGCTAATGCTGGGATCTGCAGGGATGATGATCTCAATGTTATTGTTCTCCACAATTGGAACTTTTCTGCTTGGTGTATCCCAGCAAAAAATCACAGGATATCTCATGATATTCTTCACATGTCTGTTCATTGCCATTTTTGCTCTGACTTGGGGTCCAATAAGTGGTGTCGTCCTGAGCGAAATGTTCTCCAAAAAATTCAAAACACAATCAATGTCTATAGCTGGAGCAACCAGTTGGTTTGCCAATTTTGGCGTCTCTTTTCTGACCCCGGTGATAACTCGGTATATTGGCTTTCTGTATGGTTTAGTTTTTGTGTTCTTCTTGCTGATTTCCATCCCAGTGGTTTATTTTTGGCTTCCTGAGACAAGAAATAAAAGCACCGAGGAAATTGACAGGATGTACCAAACTAGGTCGATCTTTTCGTGAAAAAAACATTATTGATTTCTTGGACTAATGGATCATAAGAAGTGGCTTTCGAAATATGTCTAAATCAAGAAAAATCCATATAATGCTGAAATATTGAAATGTTGGAAAACCAGAAACTTCAAACATCAAGCTAATATAATTTGATCATAATGCTTAAAGAGAATTACAAACAAAATCTCATTAACTGTTGATATCAGCTAATATGCTTAAGCATAAGTAGTGGATGTCTGGCTTTTCTCCACACAGACCGCCTAATCTAATCATCTCCTTGTTTGTTTCTAATCTCCAACCCCTCTTCTCATCACAAAGTACATTGCGAAACTGTTTGATGTTGTTGGAGTCATTTATTGACTAATAAAAATCATTCCGATACGTTAAGTTCACAAAAAAAAAACAATTCTTATCCAAACGCGTGATTCGTCCAACCCCGTGCGGCTCGAACAAGACATGCAGTTGGCGTTGGGTAAATCAACGTCACAAACTAATTCTCAGCAAGAATTGCCAGCAAATAATTTTGAGAACTTCACAGAGATGTACTATACGCAATTATTTAGAGGCCCCAGCTACAGAACTTACAGTGAATGGAGAGAGTACAATCAGAAGAAGATTGATGGTCCATTGGGAGAAGTCCTTTGGAGACGCGAAAGGTTCACGGGAACTCTGGAAGAGAAGTATTCTAAGAAAGACGGATTCGATTTTGATGCTCTCACAAATGACACCATTTGGGGGGAATTGTTCCCTAATGTGGAGAAACGGAGACTGGTGAGAGTCAGTCTTGCGAATATGTTTATTAGGGTGGGCAAGCTCCTCTCAAGACAAAAACCCAGTTGTCAACAACAAAACAGGAGAGCGTGGGGCTTAAATCCTTTTTCCAAACTGGCTGGTGTTGCGAAGGGCTATTCACAGGCTCTGGCATCTGCTGAGAACAGAATGACAATGATGTCTCATCTGCCTTCAGGATCCAGTGTTTACTCCAACAACGATAGCGTCGACCAGGAAAACAGCTACCATACTGCTCTTTCCGGTATTGCTGCTGATGAAGATAATAACCTCAATTTTGAAACAGCAGATTTTAATGGCTTATGGCAAGAGACAGGCGATGCTGCGCTACGTCAAGTATCACAGGAACGCCTTAATGTGCTTAAAACAACACCCCATGAGAAGCCAAGCCTTGCTAACAGGTGGGAACCCTCATTGGAAGAGCCCACGGAACCTTTGCTACTCATTTCTTTCGATAAGCCACGGTTCCAGCGGAACAACTTCAGGCACTCTTCGCTAGAAGACACGCCTGACGCTACCGATCGGCTCATAGCTGGGATTTACATGCTTCTCCAAGACTGACCAGTCAGGCGCATTAAGCCATCTGAAAATAACGTTAGTAATATCACGGTTCTACGGTTGCCTTGAAGAGGTGATATCAGAAACAAGTTTCGTTGTCGCGTCAACGCGCGGTTCTGCCGCAGCATGACTCCAACAACGGTTCACCTGCTTTGAATCAACTCCAACAGCTTTCATTTGATGTTTGTGTTTGCAAGACTTGTTTTTCCACTAGGAGATTAATAAAAGACAGCTATTAACGGGAAGTGGCGTGGACTTTCTGGAAAGCACCCTTGGCCTGTTGCTTAGAGATCTTAGAACCACCCTGGCTGGCAACCAACTTGGCCTTCTCAGCCTTCTTGGTGGCCTTCTCGGCTCTCTTCTTTTCTTTCTCGGCGGTAGAGGCAGCGTCTCTGGCGGCCTTTCTTGCCTCTGGCTTCTGGGAACGTCTCTCCTTGATCAACTCGATGGAAGCACCAACGATAGCTCTTTGGTGCTTGACGGTCTTTCTGGATCTCTTCTTGGAAACCTCTTCGGTGATACCCTTCTTGTGATGTCTTCTGTAAAGAACGGTCCAAGAGATTCTTCTTGGGTTCTTTCTCTGGTGGAAAAGGGAAGCAGACTTGGAGTTTTGGAATCTGAAGATCTTGGAGTCACCACGGACAAAGAGAGTTCCTCTGCCTGGGTAGATCTTGGCACCAGAAAATGAATCAATTTCAACCTTCATTGTTTGTTATTTCGTTGGCTATTTCGTGGTAAATCCTGTCTGGAGTTGAGCGCTGGGAGATATTTCAACGCACACTTTGGAGAGGGAGGGCCGAAAAAGAGTTTTCTGTCGTTGCACTCCCTGGCTGTGACTGTGACTGCGACTCCGTAGATGTGAGAATTCTAGCGTATATTTCGGTCTTTGACATAAATTGGGAAAAACACTACTTGATGAAGACGTCCCTGGGATAATTTTTCAGTCTCTGGTTCCATCTATTGACATACTACACGTTTTTCTCTTCAACACCAGTAAAGACCGGAGTTAAATAACAGAGATGGTCAGTATCATTTGAACGGAACCAGCAATAGGACAATAGATGGTGGACCTGACTGTGAATTCCGCGGTCCCGTTTTCCATCTGTTGCGCCTATGGCCACCTTCCAAAACCACTTTTCACTGTTGCAGTTGTACTAACCCATTATACAGGCACCTAAATCAAAGAAGAGTTCCGACAACGTCAACGCCAAGCTTGGTTTGGCTATCAAGTCCGGTAAATACACTTTGGGATACAAGTCCACTGTCAAGTCCATCAGACAAGGCAAGGCTAAGTTGATCATTGTTGCCGGTAACACCCCAGTCCTCAGAAAGGCTGAGTTGGAGTACTACGCCATGTTGTCCAAGACCCCAGTTTACTACTTCCAAGGTGGTAACAACGAGTTGGGAACTGCCTGTGGTAAGCTCTTCTCCGTTGGTGTCTTGGCTATCTTGGATGCCGGTGACTCCGACATCTTGACCTCCGTCGCCTAAGCGAGGAGCGATAGAAAAAAATCCGAGGGAGTGGTAGTGGATTTGGTATTTAATTCTTATATATAACCATCAATGAACCGATCTGTTCTCTTGGAATCATTAACCCGTATCAAAATAATAGTGCTTCCTAATTGGGATATCTGGGCATGACACTCCCCCGATCTTCAACCCCACAAGATGCCAGATGTCGACGGATCTCCTGTCGCCCCTCCTTCCCCCTCAGCAGTGACTTTTCTCTCTTTTTTCTTCTACTTCAACGTTTTTGTTGCTAATAGAATTGCTAATAGAATTGCTATTCGAATTGCAATACCAGTTGCTTACCACCAATCATGACTACCGAACTAATCGAGCTTGAAGGAAAGTTCATTGAGGTATACATCCGCTTCAACGACGATAATGAGAAGGACTATTGTTTCAACGTCAAGTCAACAGCGACTTTTGGCGAACTCGATGAAATTTTCAAGACTCTGCCGATGTCGTTGAATCCGAGCATTTTCTCAAAGCATATCCCTAAGGGTTATGCTATAAGTAGGTTTCCTGGTCATCTTACCCCGGAGGGAGGTCTACTTTTCTCTGCGGATGCTTCCAAGGCCAAGTTTTTGGAGCCAAAAGGTCGTTCGGAGCTTGTGATCGAGAATGTTTGGCCCGGTCAACTGATAGTGCCGATTTGGGAGTGGAACAACCCCGTCTACTACGGTGTGGTTGGATTGCTGTCCTTCTGGCTCTGGACCGATCTACCAGACTTCATCACCCCTACACCTTATCTGCGTCTTTCTAGAAACGCTATTTTGTTCGGAGGCTACGTGTTGGAACATGTTTTAGGGAATCCAGCTATTGGAGCTTCAATGAGAGAGGAGGCATTGTCCGAGTCCTCTTTTATTGCCCAGTGTATCTTCTTTTGCTTGCAGTTGCTCAAGTTTGCATTCATTATTTTGATCCTTTATGTCGGAGCATTCAACCCATACTCATACAATCCATTCAACCAGAAGAAGATAGAGGTCACCAGAGAGCAGCTGTTGTCAATTGGCTGGACCAGCTCTAGACGTGCCACCATCGAGGAGTTTTCGGCAACTTATAGAGAGAAGAAGATTGCTGCTGTTGGTGGAATCATCCAAGCATCCAAGACGGGTGTCCTTGAGAGCTTGAGAGATAATGGTGTGACTCTGGGTAAGGGTGAAGGATTTGACACTAAGATTCCTGAGAAGGGTGATAAACCAATTTCGCTGGAGCTGATGAGGAAGCTCAACAAGTTCACTCTCAACTACGAGTACACTGAGCTTGTGGGCCAATTTTTTGAGGATTCTTTGGAGGGAAAGACTCAAGAGGACCAGGCCAAGGCCATCAAGGACTTTAGGAAGTTTGGACCTTTGAGTAGTCCACCCCAAATCAAGGAGTTGTACATCGCAAGAAAGATGTTGGGACCTGGTGACGTTGCTGAAGAATAGGCCATTAGGGCATTGTCCCGCAACATTTCCATTGAGCATTAATTGATCTTGTTTTTTTTTCTAAAAGTTGAACTACTATTTCTTTACATATATTGCAATATGTTCCGTGTAGTGAATGCAAATGTGTTTCACCTTCAATTGAGGATGATTCCATCGTCGTCGATGTTCAGCTCTTTGAAGGCAGGCAGCTTCAAGGCCTCTCTGGCACTGATCCTCTCGTAATGGTCCAGCTTCATACAACCCTCCAACAGTTGCAGCATCTCTCCATATTGCCTCCCGAGCTCCGTGTCAAGAGGTTGACCAGTAGAGTCGAGAGCGCTAAAGGTTTCCCATGCAGGAGAGTCGTCTGCAAACATATCGCCTGCTTCGGCATCAATTTGCAGAGACATGTGTATGATTTCGCCAAGTTTGTGTGATTCGAGCCGAGGTATATTACTTTCGAGGCCAAGACCGTGCAATTGAGCAATCTTCTTCATCTTGGAATGTCCGAAGATGCTGGTTAGCTCTATCAATGAAGAGGTATCATCTGGGGAGTCAAAGAAAGGAAACCTTCTGGCCATCAAAGTGAGCAACATCACACCAGCCGCCCAGATATCGATCTTCGTTGTTTGATTTCCGCATCGCAGAAGAACTTCGGGGGCTCTGAATCCTCTGGTACCAGCTCTGTTGGCTCTTCTGGCACTTCTCTTATCATCTTTCAGATAGCCCTTGGTAACTCCAAGAGGAGTCACTTCTGCAAGCTTCACCCCACCAGTGGAGCAACTGCAGTTCTTTTCCTCGATGGGCTTTTCCCTTTCTGCTAGCCCAAAATCAACCAGAACGCCACGTCTGGTGCGTACATCATACAGGAAGTTGGTCGACTTGATATCCCTGTGTATGATCTTTCTCGAATGGATAAAATCCAAAGCTGTCAAAAGCTCGTGCATATAAATTTTGATGCCACTCAATGGCATATCTCTGTAGTACAGTCTGAAGTCGGTGTGCCTGCAATAAGGCAGTACTGCAATCACCTGGTCCTCGTACCGAAGAGCATCAAGGAGCGGAGCAACATTGGGCGAGCCCGAAAGACTATAGAGCAAGTTCAGTTCGTTGAAGATTCTCTGAGGCGACGCGGTAACGTATATACGTTTCAATGCCACGTATGGTATCTTCTTCTTTTTGTTGACTTCGATCTCTGGTTCTCTGATTCTCTTTATTGGGGGAGAATTCCATGATGAAGTCATCCCACCTTTGGATCCCCTCAAATCTATCGCCTTATAAACTGTTGAAAATGTTCCCTCACCAATTTTCCGACAAAGCCTATAGTGAGACGAGAGACCGGGGAACGACTTAATTAGTGTTGTCATCTCTTGTCTTTCCTCTTTGGATAGCTCAAACTCCACATCACTTTGCGCAGAAGAGGGTTCATGGTTGTCGGTGTTCGCAGCTTCAGTGACAGTATCGTCGCTCATCGGGTCCGAGGTTTTTGCTTCTTTTCCCAATCCTTCCTTGTCTTCCCTGTCGTCTGGTATGATATCTATGTCTTGCGAAACCCCGAGCTCCCATTCTCCTAATGCCTTGTTCACAACCGCAACAGAACCAGCCGAGCGCTTCGACTCCAAGAATGGGTTCTCATCATATCTTTTCTCCGCCATGGTTCGACCGGGCTTGTTGACTGTGAGTGACATGTTCTTGTAAACAGTCAACATGGAGCTAATTGGTAGACGCGTCGTGATCTGTTCCAAGTACACGACCTTCCTATTTGGAGAGGGAGCAAGTAGATCTGACGCTTTAAGAGGTCGAAATATGTGGCAGCTGGTGTCGCTTCTGGTTTTGGATGTAAAAATGACTATTATGTTGATGTGGGAGTTTTGGTGGAACAACCCTCGGATTGATCGCAGCTCTCTCAAAGAAGTGAGTGTGTGAGCGTCCGATACGGGTACCCTTGTCGCAAAACGGCAGTCCCGGCTCCTTGATTTACGATAACGTGACTCTGGATATCTCCGTAATTTCTCAGTGTCTTAAAGTACATCTTTATCCGGAAATGGTGAATTCACAGTTGAAACTTTCTTGGAAACTAGGTCGGTTTCAATCACGCTACAGTTACACCGAACTCGTGCTAGAGCCATGCTTGGGATACGAAAGTCAAAATAGTTAACGTGGACACTTTCAAATAGCAATATCCTTCTCTACGTTCATTAATAACACCACTTGACTGTCTCGCGGTCGATATCTTCATCAAAATTTTGAAGAGTGCACCAACCGGCGATTCTGCTCATCATGCTTAAACATTTCATGTCTCCCGCTAACGAGCTCTATTGGCCAAATGGTAAGGCACCCGACTCCTAATCGGGAGACTGTGGGTTCGAGTCCCATGTAGGGCGCGAATCCGTTTCTTAATTTTTTGCTTCTCACTGCAAAAACGTAACGAATTTTTTGATCTAAATGATCTCAAGCATTGCGAAACTTGTTTTCCACTTAAATTAATCTAAAATTCATGCTTTTGTTTGCAGAACAGACCAGTTTAAGCTGATAAAATCCGATGAGTCGTGTGTGGACCCAATCGGTATGCCAGAAGTGATTTCAACGGTTGGCCAAACCCTCGTAAATGTTCAACGGAATTGCAGTCAAACGAATTGGTATGAGTTTCAAGATGATTGTGCCTCCGGCGCAAATCCTGAGACGTCAGATATTTCTCTCCAGACAGCCCTCCATCTTTTTGTCGAGACTGCTGTCGTCGTCTTCTAAGCCTCAACAGGGTACTCCAGCATTCACGGCCGATGAGCTTAGACTGGCCAAAGAGCAGCGACTCCAGGGATTGGGGCCGTATGTCTCGAAGCTGCCCGAGAAATGGATTCCTTATGCTGAGCTTATGAGGCTGGAAAAACCAATTGGGACGCTTCTGCTGTATAGTCCGTGCACTTGGGCAATAGGAATGGCTGCGTTTGAGCTGAGTGCGCCTATCTCCTCCACACTCTGGATGTTGACTCTGTTCGGAATCGGTTCCGTCACCATGAGAGGAGCTGGCTGCACAATAAACGATATGCTAGATCGCAATCTTGACAACAAAGTAATCAGAAGTGTTGAAAGGCCCATTGCCAGTCGAAGGATAACCGTTGCCCAAGCATCTGTGTTTCTGGTAGCTCAATTGTCAGTAGGACTGGCAGTTCTGCTGCAATTGCCATGGTCCTGCTTTTTGCTTGGTGCGTCGTCTTTGTTTTTGGTGGGGACATATCCTCTCTTCAAAAGATTCACGTATTACCCTCAGGTGGTGTTGTCATTGTGCTTTAACTGGGGTGCTCTTTTGGGATTTCCAGCAATGGGCATAATGGATGTTTCCACCATGATTCCCTTATGGCTGTCGGGATTTTTTTGGTGCATGACTTATGACACGATATACGCTCATCAGGACAAAGCCCATGACGTGAAAGCCGGTGTCAAATCGACTGCTTTGGCTTGGGGCGATAAATCCAAGCCTGTAATGTACGGGTTGACTGTGGCTCAATTGGCATGCTACTCCACTGCTGGGGTTATGGCTGGAATGGGCCCGGGTTTTGCCATTGGCGCATTAGCAGGTGGGTACCGTATCATCAACATGATCCGTAAGGTTGATCTGGACAATCCAGACAACTGCTGGTACTGGTTTAAAAACAACATCAACACAGGCCATGTGTTTGCCGTTAGCATCTTCGTTGACTACGTTTTGAGACTTTTGGGGTTTATCTGATAGTGAAAATTGGTGCTGATGAAATGGTAATTGATTATGATCGTTTTTAGTTGTTTTCTTCATCTTAATAGCATCCACCAGACTATAAAAACGATGAAAAGTCCAAATGCGGCCACAGGAAGATACTGTCTGATTAAAGCTTCCAAATTGATTCTTCTGGCTGCTTTCCTGTATTTGATCGATTCTGATCTCAAAGAAGATGACAGATCAGACATCTTGTCTAGAGAATCACCACGATACAGTAGATCTTCGATATTTTTGGTCATGACTTTCTTGACATCTGCCAACTCGGTGTTCAGCTTATCCAGATTGGACTGAGCCCTGGCATCCTGATACAACTTTTTTGTCTTTGCCATGAACGAGTCAAACTGCACAAATTGATACGGCCTCGTGGTAGGACTCAATGCGTCTTGACCGTGCGAATTGCTGAACTCCTCGGAGATTTCAGATAGATATGAAAACGCTAGCTTCCTTGGAAACTGCTTATCGCAAATGCAAAGATACACGATGGAGTCGTTGATCAAATAATGAATTGTAAATTCTCCACTTGTCACTGTCGCCCGTGGCTCTGAGTTTTGGTTCATTCTGGACACCAACGCCTTGGTCTTCTTCTTTTGCTCTAGCAACCCAGGATCGGAATCATCATCTACAGATCCTGATAAGGGAAGGCCTGTATCATCACGTGTTAGTCACCATGATCTTGAGCGCTATTGAATCAGCATTTGACATACCATCATTCCTGTAAATCAACGTAGATCTCACCATGTTGAGTTGTAATATGACAAATGGGATAACAATAATTGTAAAAGTCGATCGTGTCTTGTTTGAAGCGGTTAGTTTGCGTAATTTTGCCTTTGGACACGACCTTTTAATCATGATAAAGAAGCCATAAAACTGGCTTGCCTGGTATCTCATTCGTGTTTTGCTTGAGGTTTCAAAAAAAACAACAGAATACTAAATAATCTACGACTTTAAGATAGGTGAGTACACTTGGCTGAAGTAGTTCTGTTCATCATTTCTGCGTTGTATAATCGGCAAACCCATTTGCTCATTCACCCTATCCAATAACGTTTAGTGTAGAAATCGCCCTTTTTCCCGTAAATGTGAAACTGGTAAAGTATCACTGAGTGCAAAACTATGATCCCCAGATAGCCGACAAGCCATGGAGCGTATGTCAACATGTACTTCTTTCCAGTACTCGCAGTCAAGATATGGGCCACCCATAAGACTGCCTCTAGACATTTGAAGAGAACAAATAGGGGTGAGAAATGTTCACAAGACTTTGTTTTATGGTTTTGCACAATCTCGTAGATTGTCCATAACAGGAGCGTTGCGACAGCCCACCAGCCCTGTTTTTGTGCCGTTTTGTTGAAAATCAGTTCATTATCTGAATCCACGTCTACTCCGCTGTAAAGCGACTCGAGAATGTGGAAATGGCTGGAAATCAAGGGCATGCATCCGCCGAGGATGGCGTACCACCAAACACTCTTGTAGTTGAAGAAAAAGACGTTCAAGCGATTGCCCATCCTTGAAGCCGTTGGCTTCTTAATGTCCTTCTCGGTCGCATAGGGTAAGGTATCGCAGTCATTAGGGTCATCTGAGGAGGACGAGTGAACGGGGTCACGATTTCGGTACTTTTTGAAGGCATAAAACATGTATTGAAGCAACAAGACCATATCGAAAACCGCACACTGATATGACTGCCATATCATGAAGACAGAAATGCCCTGACTATCGGATGCATGCATGCTACTATTATCCACAGGTATCATTCCCGTAACATACAAAACCGACCCTGCACTTTTCCGATTGTAATTCATATATATCTGTGGCGTATAAATAAGCCCGCAGCATGCGTTTGCTATAGAACTTGAAAACGATGATGTTAGTGGTTCACGTTTACTCGGCATGTGAGACTGAAAAATAACATACGCAAGTGATTGACTGAGACCCTGGTAATCCATTCTGATTGACAATAGACCATTGAAATTTAGAGTGGTTTCGAATGTTATTTATCTGTTCAACAACCCCTGCAACTGTTGTAAATGGCTCAGTTAAGAGTCACTCTTAATTCGTTGACGCACGCCTGTGAAGCAGAATACACGGCTTGAGCACTTCAGTTGAATTGAGATCCCTCCGCTGTATGACTGAAAGGTTTAACTGGTTGATCTTATGGTACCATCTAGTATAACCTGGTCGCAGTCATATCCTCCCGTACTGGGGTGATGGGTAAGATTGCATGTTGTGGGGGTACATTTGACATTTCCCATGCAATGGAGCCAGATGGGGTACCCGGCCCTGGGAAATCTTAGCTAGGTCTTCAAGGTTTTTTCTGTCTCTTTTGTTCTCTCGTTCTTTTTCTTCTTTCTCCAATTTGTTTACCAACGAATCGTGTCAACTAGATGTTAGAGACCGGGAGTACTTTCTAATAATGACAAGGAGTTTTTTCTTGTCGCCGGATCGTGCATACCAACTTCTTTTATCCGATAATACAGACCTTTCTCTTGTCCCACAGAGAGGTCTCAAGGGCATGTTTTCTAGAATAAAAGTTCCCGGTTTATATCTCACTTTTAGGATTTCCCATGATAATCAGTGTTTCATGCCCGGGATACATTTAGGCTCGTAGGTATTGCATTTCTGTTCCGGTATAGTGCTGAGCTATGGTGGTGGTCAGTGCTTTTGTGGTTCGGAGTGATACTGTAGTGGTGGTACTTTGTTGGTTCATTTGTCTCAGTAAATTGGACATTTAAAGAGCCCACGCGAGTTACAAGGGGAGAATGTGTCAATACTATACTTCTGTTTTCCACAGTTTAATTGCTCGAGGTTTTCATCTTTTGAGATATCTCCAAAAGTGTAACAAAATCTAAATAGTCGCTTATACCCTTCTGACATTTAGGTGTGTCTCGACTTTGAAGAACAGCCACTGTCCCCCGCCAATTCAACCGTTTTTCTTCTGATTAATACTTTGGGAATGAACCATACATCTGGTAGACCACTAAAAGAATCAGAAATCTTGCAATTATATATTTTCACTGCAAATTCGGCATTTTTCAGTCGCGAACACATGCCAAGATCCCAAAAAGGTAGTGTGTCAAACACTACCTGACGACTCACCTACACCCAAAAATTTCAGCGAACCGAAAACCCTTCGATCTGTCCCGCCAATCCGTTTCCTTCCAAACAAAGCAACCAAGCCAAACCATTTGAGGTGGATCATAGATCTTTCAATCTGAAGTTCTTAAGTTCTTCAAATCTCAAACTTCTCAAACAAGTACGACATTTCGTCTTCTTCTCTTTGCACAGGCTCCCCCTAAAGGCAGGTTTTTTTAGTTGATACTCGAGGCAATTAAAAAACAGCAACAGCCGGAGCACAAACTACTGCAGAGACCAGCGAGACCCTTTCCAACACGATCTCGAAGCAATTCATTAAGCTTACAATAACTCGTATGCCTAAGGAATTCTTGTTCAGATTCAACAGACCAGCCAAGTGAGTATAGCAATTCGATAAGCATTGATGGGCGCAGCGTCGGGAATCCATTGAACTCCTTCAGACTTTCGCCATTTCCAACTATCCAATTTGCGAATTCGAACTAACACAACTACCTCAAACAGGCCTAGATAACACGACTTACACCCACACATCATTTCTTAAAGAGTCTTTCCAAAGGCCGCCGAAGAGTAATCAGAAGGAACCAATATCCATCAAGCTTACTCCCGCAATTTTCAACCTCTTTTGGTTTTGAATTCCCCCCAAACGTTTGTTTTTTTTTCTTGTCAATCAGGCAAGTTTTTTTTGATTTGGTTTTAAATCACAACCTAAAAAAAAGAGGAAGATTTCAAAGCTTTTTTGCTCTTCTCTCTTTCCAAGGATTACAAGATGGCACCAACCGCAACCTTTCCAAACGGGTTCACTTGCGAACCGGATTATGTCAACCATGATCTCTCTGTTTCTCTGGACTCATCGAATGCCTTTGAAGGCCCGGAGAAATTGCTGGAGATCTGGTTTGCTCCGGATGCTCAGTCACTTCCATGCGGCTCATCTGCCAACGGGCTTCGCTCAGTCCCATTGGCCGAGGTTGAGAACTTGTTAGATCTGGTTAACTGCAAGGTCCTATCCAAGATTTCAACCGATGAAATGGACGCATACGTTTTGTCGGAGTCGTCATTGTTCGTGTACCCTCACAAGATTGTGTTGAAGACCTGCGGTACGACCACCACCTTGCTGTGTCTGGCGAAGCTGTTGGAACTGGCTAACGAGTACATCTCATGGCCGGGTGACTTCAAGTCTATCCACCGTATCTTCTACTCTAGAAGATGCTTCATGTTCCCTAGCAGACAGAACGAGATTCACCAGTCCTGGGACAACGAATTGGCCTTCTTGAACAAGTTCTTTCACAAGAAGAGCTCCAAGGCTTACATCGTCGGAGACATGAGTCATGACCATTGGTATTTGTATCTTAATGGAACCGAGGAGGGGATGGCTGCTAACCCAGGATCATCCTACCTTTTGTCGCCAGTCAATTCTATCAATTCAGCCGAAGCCGCATGTCTCAAGTCAGGTGACTGTGATGAGACATTTGAGCTTCTCATGACCGAATTGGACCAGAAGCAATGTGAAAACTTTGTCATGGCTAACCATTTGAACGAGTTCCCAACAATGGATCCTGCTCACGAAGACTATGGTCATCTTTTGGGCCAAAAGACCATGGCTAAGACCAAACTAGACCGTCTTTTTGGCAACGCTGAAGCCAAGCATGATGCTTTTGCATTCACACCTTGCGGGTTTTCCTCAAACTCCATCGTGGATGAGAAGTATTACTACACCTTCCATGTCACTCCGGAAGACGGGTGGTCTTATGCGTCTTTTGAGACTAACGTTCCAGGGCGTAACAAGCTAAAGTTGATGAACTCTGTTCTTGACGTTTTCAAACCTGGCAAGTTTTGTCTTGTCTTTTTTCGTGAAGATGAGCAAAATGCCGTAAAGGGCAAGGTTTCCGACTTCGATCTCTTGAAGAATTGCAAGATTGCTGGTTACAACCGTGTCGACAAGATCGCCTATGATCTGAAGTTGAACTACCGTTGCTTGTATTCTTACTTTGAGAGAGCTTGAGAGAGCTTGAAATGGTATCATTGACCATCTTTCTGCTCCAATCGTTATGTTATGAGCTATCACTCCAGGGGGGAGGAGATTGTAATTGCGCGAGATTAGAGCCAAGATCCACCATGTTATCCAAGTACTTTCCTGCTGGCAACCGTCTACGGTTCTGTAACCGCACCTATTGAATTTTTTTATCTTATTATTGAACTTATATGAATCGACATGATCCTTTGGTGATTGTTGGCCAATAAAACAGACATAATCTTTCCCTTAATGCAGAGTAGACATTTTGAATTATGAAAAGATCTTTTTGAAGGTAGTGCACAGAACAGTGGTTCACACACGTAACTCCCAACTGCTTGTTTTCGCGTTGATGGACCTCAGGGATTCTTCGATGATATCTACCCATACTTAATTTTGGGGTTTTCCATTCCAGCGATCTCAGAATGGCCCGTCCCAGAAGATCAGCAGCACCGGCTGAGCCGGCTGAGCCAGTATCTCCAAGGAGACCAAGTAAGTATCAAGTGCACCGGTTACTGAAATTGAAGCTTCAACTAACATCTGGCTATAGGAAGAACAGCATCTGCTTTGGCTGAAACCAGCTTAGCAGAGGAAGATTTTGTTGGTGAAGAATCTGGTGACGATGAGTACAATGAAGAAGAAGATGAAGATGAAGAAGAAGGCACTGGGGCTGTTGAAGGTGATGACGACGACGAAGAGGCCGATGAAACCAACCTTGACGATACGACTAATGGAGCAGAAGAGAAAGAGGGTGACGAAGAAGAGCTCAAATTGGATAACGACAATGTGGACGATGATCCTGATGAAGAAGAACCCGAAGAACCGGTCGTTCCTGTGCGCCGTGGCCGTGGCCGTCCACCAGGAAGCAAGAACAAGACCACACTTGCACGTGAAAGGATGGGTCTGATTCCAGTGCAGCCTGTTAGGCGTCGTGGTCCCCCAAAACGTCGTAGAGATGATGACGAAGAGGGGGGAACTAGAGGTCGCAAGAAGCGTGGAAAGCCATCGCATTTGCGCAAGGGCCAGTTGCTCGACGATGACGGAAAGCCAATGGTGGTTGAAGACGACGAGATCATCACCCCAGACGATCCAAAGGGAGAAGAGAAGGTGGACAAGCAAGGAGCCCTCCTTGGTGGCAGACAATACAAAATTCGTACCTTCACATGTATGAACCGCAAGGATAAACTTTTCATGTTGTCTACGGAGCCGGCCAGATGCATGGGATTCAGAGACTCATATCTGTTGTTCCAGAAGCACAAGAGACTGCTAAAAATCATAATTGATGATGCTGAGAAGATGGACCTCATCGAAAGAGAGATATTGCCACATTCCTACAAGGGTAGAACCATCGGCCTGGTGTCTGCGCGCTCTGTGTTCAAGGAGTTTGGAGCCAGAATAGTCATCAATGGTAAGAAGGTGACGGACGATTACTACGAGGAAAAAGCACGGGCCGAGGGCGCGATTGAAGGTGAGCTGGCCGACCCAGTGGAGGATCCTTCGAAGAGACAGATGATTGGTGGTGTTCCAGGTGATAAGAGGTACTTCACAAATATTGTTCCAGACCAATCATGGATGTTTGAACACGCTTCGGCAGCCAGGCAGTTTGACTCAATGCTTTTGTATGACAGGAATCTGCTTTTTGTTCCAAAGGGCGTGAGGAATGCCTACACTGGTGTGAACTTCCTTCCTGCGTCGACGCAGCCTGCGAGGGTTGTGATCAAGAAGGTTGTTGATGAGAAAGAGACCGAAGATCAGAAGAGAAAGCTAACAATTGAGACCGTGATAACCCAGTCGAATAGTATCATCACCACAGGCTTGAAGGATGTACCACTGGAAGTGTTTGAAGACTGTGTCTCTCCCGAAGTGAAGGCTGCCATTCTGAAGCAGCAGGAGCTTGAGAGGTCGAGATTTTAGGCGAAATGCGATATTTTGCTTGAGCTGTGTAATTATAATCCGAACCAAAAAAAGGTTAGCAACAGATCAGACGTAATGTGGTCTGAGATAGTAGTTCCAAAGAGTATCACGTTACTCAACTGACAAGGTCATGATTTCCGATCGTTGCCGATAATGCAAACATCTCAAGAAATTAAACCACTGTCAACATTCTAATCTTCTGTTCTTAATGTAGTAACTCCCATAGGAAGTTAAAGTCCAGGTCGTAAAATGCCCGAACTTCGCGAAGGCGAAAGCTCCGCTCACACACGACCAGGACCGAGGCGACGGCGGCGGCGTTTTCAGTTTCCACCAGCTGAACACAAGCCGTTCCAATCAGTGAAGACTGTATCATTTCAATTTAGCTGGGATTCTCAGATCATGTCAATTTTGCTGAGAAGTTCAAGGCGGCTTCCCGTTCCGTTGCTAAGGATTTCGAGGACAAGGGCTTTGGCCAATGTGGTTTCGAAGCCCTCTGTGGCAACGGGTGCGTTGAAGGCCGGCTTTTGGGTGGTGCATGTGGGAGTACCTGCCAGTTCCATGCGTCATTTTAGTAGCAACTCATATTTGCTAGAAGAGTCTAAAGGCGAGGAGGATAACAAAGAGCCAAGTGTGCAGGAGCTTACACAAGCCAGGGCCTTGAAGAAGGAGCTTGAAGCCGTCTACAACAAGAGAAAGAACTTGCAAGGATTCTCCCATATTCTCGATTTTGAAGAGTTGACGCAGAAATATGATTTGAATGAAAAATCCAGGGTGTTGTTTACATTGAAGAAAGTGATGGAGGAGGAGCCAAGTTCGCTGAGCGAAGAAGACCGAGTCATGCTTCTATCTGCGTTTCTTCAACATGTGACCCTGTCCTCGATGGTCCCAAGAGGAGCCGAGAGGAATCTTTCCACTTTCAAAGAGGCATTTCAGAAAATCTGGAACTTCGAAAAAGAGAGGCAGGAAGCGGAATCGGGCGATTCCGAGGGAAAAGCCTCAAAACCAGAGTCAAATTCAAGTTCAAGTTCAAGTTCAACCTCAAACTCAAACTCCAAGTCAAGTGGTCCAGCTTCAGGATCAACAATTTCTCCATTGGGTGGGGATTCTTCAGGAATAAAGATTCTGGGAACCTTCGCTTTTCTGCTTGGTTTGATGACGTTTTTCGTTGCTGCTAGCGAGACCCGTCAAATAACCTGGGAAGAGTTTCGCACCCAGTTATTGGACAAAGGATACGTGGAAAGGCTCATTGTTGTGAACAAGAACTTAGTTGAAGTTTACCTAAATGATGCTGGAAAGTCTCAGTCGCCTTTCGGTGGTGAGGTTGTATATTTTACCATTGGTTCTTTGGACCGTTTTGAGAGGAAACTGATCAAGGCCCAAGAAGAGAAGAGTGTCCAGGGAGAATTCAGAGTTCCAGTTCAATACGAGCAACGTGGAGGTTGGGTCAAGGTCGTGATGATGGTCTTGCCTACGTTGGCAATGTTCGGTGGATTGATCTGGGTTAGCAAGAAGATGTCCCCTAACCAGTTAGGCGGAGGTCTTTTCAGTGCAAGCAAGTCTAAAGCCAAAAAGTTCAATGTCCAGAAGAGTGTCAAGGTAAAATTTGACGACGTTGCGGGATGCGATGAAGCCAAAGAGGAAATCATGGAGTTTGTCAAGTTCTTGAAGAACCCAAAGAAGTACGAGAAATTGGGTGCTAAGATTCCAAGAGGTGCAATCCTGTCCGGCCCACCCGGTACCGGTAAAACCCTTTTGGCCAGAGCAACAGCTGGCGAGGCTGGCGTCCCCTTCTACTCTGTTTCAGGATCCGAATTCGTTGAGATTTTCGGTGGTGTCGGTGCTTCGCGTGTGCGCGATCTTTTCAAAGATGCCAGAGCTAGTGCTCCAAGTATCGTGTTTGTTGATGAGATCGATGCTATTGGTAAGGCTCGTGGCCAAGGAAAGATGGCCGGTTCGAACGATGAACGTGAAAACACTTTGAACCAGCTTCTGGTCGAAATGGATGGTTTTGGAAGCAACGAACATGTGGTGGTTCTGGCCGGTACCAACCGTGCCGATGTGCTTGACCCTGCTCTGTTGAGACCTGGTAGATTTGACAGGAAGATTTACATCGATAACCCTGAACTTAGCGGTCGCCAGGACATTTTTGCAGTCCACCTGAAGAATGTCAAGGTTAATCCAAAGATTAACATGGAGGACCTCAAGGGTAGACTCGCTACCATGACACCAGGCTTCTCTGGTGCTGATATTGCCAACTGTGCTAACGAAGCGGCTTTGATTGCTGCAAGAACCAACTCTGATTATGTCGAGGTGGAGCACTTCGAGCAAGCTATAGAGAGGGTAATCGCTGGTCTGGAAAAGAAATCGAGAGTTTTGTCTCCAGAAGAGAAGAAGACGGTGGCTTACCACGAGGCTGGACATGCAATTTGTGGCTGGTTTCTAGAACTTGCAGATCCTCTTTTGAAGGTTTCTATTGTTCCGCGTGGAAGTGCCGCCCTTGGTTACGCTCAGTACCTACCAGCCGACGTCTATTTGTACTCTGTCGACAAGCTCATGGATCGTATGACTATGACTCTGGGTGGAAGAGTGTCTGAAGAACTACATTTTGACTCCGTGACCAGTGGTGCCTCTGATGATTTTGAGAAAGTCACCGCAATAGCCCAAAAGATGGTCATAGAGTGTGGTATGTCTGAGAAGATTGGATATCTCAACTACAACCAAGACAGGGGAAATGACATGACCAAGCCATACAGTGATCGGACTGCTAAGCTTATTGACTCTGAAATCCACAGGATAGTGGCAGAGTGTTACGAACGTTGCAAGAAACTGCTCACTGAAAAGTCCAAGGAAGTTGGACTGGTTGCTGAGGAATTGCTTGCAAAGGAAGTAATCACCAGAGAGGACATGATCAGGCTACTTGGAGAGCGCCCCTACCCAACGAGGAGTGACGCTTTCGACAAGTACCTGACTGACAAGAAGATTAGAGAGGAAGAAAAACACATACATGAGGAGAAGAAGGAGGAGGATGAAGGAGAGAAGCCCAAAGACGCATGAAGGACGATATAGCAAAGAGTGTGAAAATCAAACAACTACAACCCTGTGAATAGCCTAATACAATAAGTCTTTTTTAGTTGAAACATAAACGTTCTAGGAGGTTCTTAAAATGTGCCATTGATCGCCAGACTGAACTCCAAACCAGGTTTGGCAACATCTTTAGGTCTAGAGCTTACTGGCAAGTTATAGTGCAGGTCAAAAGCAGCATCATCACCAACTCTGTAGACCGCACCAACAGAGGACGATATTGCCGAGCCCTTGATGAAGGCCAGATCCTGGTATGAAATATCCTTGAAATTGTTGTAGACATCACCAGAGTTGACGGACAGGTAAAATCTCAATGGAGAGTCAGCTGGAGCAAAGAAGAATCTGGTGAAGAGGGAAGCCGACAATCTGTAGAAAATGTTTCCACCAACGAAGTCCTGACCATCTCTTAGACCGACTGAGTTAGCAGCAAACCCTTTGAGGGAATGCGCACCCAGGAAAAACTTGTCATGGAAGTGAGGGACGCCGGTGATCCCGGTGGTGAGGTTACTCACTGCACCGAACGAAGAAGACAGATCCAAAGTGAAAAAGTTCCTGAAAGACTTCAAGAGTTGCAGGTTCAAGACGGATTTGAGATATTTCTCACTTTGCGGAGAAGAGAGTCCGGATATCTCATTGTCCACTTGCAAGAGTAATCCGTTCATTGCCAAGCCTCCAAACGAGCTAGGCAGGTAGGTCCTAGAGTCCACCGCTCCAGAGAAAATAAAGCTCTCCTTGAAAGAATCACCAGCGTCAGTCTTAACAGTATCACTTGCAGAATCATTTATGTCCAACACAGAGCGTTTTACCATAGAGACACCCGTGGTGAAGTAGGACGTGAACTTGGAACTAAACAGGTCGAACGAGAGTGTCTTGGTGAGCCCAACCACACCATTAGCAGTGGATTGTTTGTGGGAGGCCCAACTGGCGCTCGAATCGGAAATCACACTCTCGAAGAACAGTTTCAGCGATTGGCTGACTATAGGGGCCATATATTGCAGCTCAATGGTCTTTGCGTATGGGTTGCCGAACTTGAGATCGATGAGCGAGCTTATTTTGAAGGATTCAGCATTGCCGAAAGCATTCAAGTTGCGGTATCCCAATTTGAAAGCATGTCCTGCTTCTGTGTGAACTGAGGCCAGCGAGAAGGATTGTAACTTGTATGGCTCAAGAAGCAGTTTGGCAATAATTTCTATAGGAGGCTCAATCGTGGTGTTTTGAGGAGTGGAAGAACCCGCGCTTTCTTCGAACTGAAACTTCACCTTCTTGAAGGCATTGCTGTACAAAAGGTTATTGTAAGATTGATTGCTGGAATTAACCAATTGACCCAAGGTTATGTCTTTGGAAAACAACAGAGGATACAACGCGTTTGTGAAGAACGTTGAAGAGAACTCGTCACCCCCGACTATATCCACTTGCTTGAGAACAATTGGTTTGGAATGGTGAGAGTCCACCACCTCTTCTGGCGTGGACTAGGAAGAAAAGTTAGTTGAATGATACCATTGAACATTTCCAAAAACAAATGAAACTCACTAAAGACATTGTTGACAGGTCTAGATAAGAGAGCGGTGGTGCTAGTTTAAGCCCAATAACCGTCTTTTGATCTCTTCTTCCAATCACCGTTTCTTCATTCGGCAATTTTGTATTTACACTACCGATAACCATCTTACAGACGAGAGACTCTCCGAGTTTGGGGTAAGCTGTTTTTTTTTTGACTAAAACTGGATATCCAATGAATGCGGTCTCGTTTCAACTGAATGCTCGAAATTTATGGGATCAGTTGACAGAGGGCTCAAAGTACAATGGTACCAAATACCTGCAATTGGTTCCTGATCTGGAACCACTGAAAGGTCTGATAGACATAAAGAGTACAGATGACGAGCCGATGTTCATACGCATTGATAACGATGACGCACAAAGGCGAGAATTCTTTGTGGCAAAGAAATGTTGCTTGAAATTGTGTGTTGCGGCAATTTTTGAACTAAACAGAATTTTAGAAATGGAAGAGAGGAATCCTCAAATGTGGAGTGAGTCCATGCAATGGCAGGCCTTCCTCACAACTATAGCCCTTCTGGTCACCAGTCCTGAAAATCACAGCGCTTTGAATCTACACCAGGACCTCGCCGAGATTTTGTTCTTGAGAGATGAAACTATTTTGAGGTCTGAATTATATTTGCTGATTTCCCTGTTGACGTGCAACAATGCAAAAGTGAACAAATCATCTAGTATATGGCATCTCTTCAAGAAGGTCTACCTTCTGCACGTGGTTCAAAATGTGAATGTTTCGAGCATTGTTTTGCATGCTAACTTGCTCTCAGCAACTGAGCATAAAAACAATTATTATGCCTGGTCATTTGCAAGATTTTTTGTCCAGGTCGAATGGTTAGTATACGATAACAATCTTCAAGGTGTGTATACTCAGGTTCGTCAGTTCTGCAGGGATGCACCTCAAGACACATCATCTTGGATGTTTTTACAGCATTTGATGACTTTGGAATTCACGCCGAAACTACGGGAAAAATTGCAATTAGATTGTTTGCGGCTTCTAGATGGGTTTTCTGTTGGTGATATCCGTTTCGGAGAGGCATACGGAAGACCATTCAGCAGGGAAGAGGTGAGGGAGATAGTTTTAGAGACGATCGAATGGATCCATCGTATGGAAATTACTTCTCTGTCGCCTTGGGAATTTGTGAAAATGAACATTGGAGAAGATCTTTCAACCGTTGTCGACCAATTGAAGGAATCTGTCTCGAAGTTCGAAGACGAACACGGGAAAATACACTTGATCAATGGCTATTTTGAGACAGAGTCCTCAATTGACGAGTCCAATTTGCTGCTAATGAAACTGTACACCACCACGGCCAACAAAAAGAGGGTCCTGAGGTGGTACGAGAAACACGGAAGGTTTAATGGATAATATACCACTTTGGATGATCACTTTATGAAACACAATACATGCAAACAGTGGAAGTAATGGGGGAAGGTAATAATAATAATAGAAAGAAAAACTCAACAGAAACCAGGGAATTCATTGCATATACAGCATCAACGTCAAATGATAACAATTACCAAGAGAAACAGGGATGAGCTATGCGCTCACTGACTGAATCCTCTTTGAGTGATATCGCGATCAAATCTATTTCAAAGACTTGAGTTTTTCGTAGGCAGGTATCTCAAACTCAGGTTCAAACTTCTGACCCGGCAGGATTGGTGCCACCTTCAAAACATCTTCAGTAACCTTTGAAGGGTCATCTTTGTCATGCTTGAGTAAATGGTCATTGTAGATGACGAATTCAAGGCCCTGGTTGGCCAACTGTTCCTCAACAGACAGATGTTTGAACAGCTTGGGGTAAAACTCAACACCGTCCTCTTCACGCTTTTTAGCCCGCATTCTCTGGTCGTCCTCTATTTTGAACTTTTCATCTGTGGCTATGGTGTGATCAGGGATTGCCAAAGCATCGGTGACCTTGTTCCATAGCCTTTGACTTTCATATTCACCCTGTTCCTCAAGAGGACGGACCTTTGGCTTCAAAGGCGACGCCTTTCCACAGTCGAAAAACACCTTCTTGGTCTTGGTCTTCAAGTCTCTGATCTCCATCACCTCGTTCCACTTTCCAGTTATTTCGTAAAGCAACTCGCCAGTCTGCGCGTTCTTAATCTTGCCTTCTATGGCATTGTAAGTTCCAGAAATGAATCCCTTTGTCTTAAACTCAATGTCCGCTTCCAAGTCACCCTTTTCAGACTTGATGATCATGTGGTCTCCGAGCTCGAATTTCATCTTTCCGAACAGGATACCACGAGCATAGATGTTTGGCTGTGACAACGTGTAAGTCTCACCATGTTTGGCCAGGGTCAACCTCGTGGTACCATCCATCAAGGCCGCCGTAGAGTTTCCCAAGAATCTAGATTTGGGGATCACCATTCCATCCACCCTGATCCCTTCCTCCGGAATGATGTAGAAATAGCTCGACTTGGGAGGGTGGTGAGACGTCTGCTCAGCAATGTAAAATGCCTTCTCACCATTTGGCAGGTCCCAGTAGGTAGTGAAATGCTCACCCAAGATGGGATTCAGAGGCTTCTTCACGGCTTTGGGGGCAATGTGCCAACAGGACATGTACCACTTAACGATCAAAACAAACCTCTCAATCGGGTCTTCAACGGCGTTAGCCTCAAGTATGATATCAGGTTGTTGCAATTGGTTCGTTATCCTCTCCAACATGGACTTTCTTTCCAAAATGAAGGTGGGAAGCGTGATTCTAGAAAGGTCGCATCCGGGTCTCAATTGGGAGATGATTCCCATTAGTATGTTCTGGCCGTCGCCGTCCACCTCGTCAACATCGTCAATATTTCCAGAGACATGTGTGGTCGAAGGCGGAGGCGACTTGTCCTTTTCATGAGTGACTTTGCCTGTAGAGAAAAATTACATGTTAGTTCCGAGTTCCCGAGTAAGCCCTGGCAGAGAGCATAAACCCAGGCGCGGACCAACCCGGCCACACCTGGATTTTAAATGTGCAAAATCCAGAATAAAATATTTGCATTTTCTAGAACGTACCGATCAGTTTGGATGTCAACGAAGGCATTGCTAGTAGAACGGGATGTGTGCAGAGTTACAGCAACAAAGAAAGATATCAACAGGAAGAAAGGAGAAAAGAGTTGTGACACACGGGAGGCGAAGGCGGCAACAGAACAAGCCCGAGAGAAAAGCCTGGGGATGAGTATTGATGAGATGGGCAGAGATAAAAGCTTGAAGGGTATTGGCAATAAAAAGTGGTGAAAATGGTGTAAAAAATTGCAATTACACCAATTTATATTGTGAGTGGATAATAGTTTTTAATTGAAAAAAATCCTGGGTTGCTGGTGGTTTTTGTGTGTGTTTAAAGGCCACTTTCAGGTCTTGGGTTTGCTATCTGAACGCGGACCCTTCGACTTGGCGGTCTTCCGGGCCGGGTCCAGGGCACGTAACCAGAAAAGACAAGACAAGACCGTGTGTTTCGTGTTTGTTCCCTGTTAACCACACCAGTATTCTTCATTGGGAAAGAGGTTCACGTTGTTCATCACATGTTTCAGGAGAAATGCATCCATTTTGGTGGTCAATTTGTCACCACTTCTTTCACGCGGGGAAATAGTAAGTGTCTGTCTTTGTTTGGCTACAGTTGCTCAGGACATAATCTCAGATTCATCGGGTTTAATATTAAGAGGTCTAGGAGGTCTTTGTAGCAATCGTCATGCACCAACGGCTGGTGCTGGACTGCTTTTGGCTTTCTTGGTGCCATCCAACATCTTCTCGTTTTTCCTCTTTTTGGTCTTCTCCTTAACTGGTCTGACCTCCTCCTCGGTATACACATCGTTAGGCAGATCATATAGCTTGACATGTTTTATCGAGATGGCGTTTTTCATCTCGTCAAACTGTGCCCCGCTCGAGCAAATCGTGTTGAAATCCGTGCATGGCTGCTGGATGTCCATCTTCTTCTGTTTTCCTTTCAGCTCAATTTTCAAGCCAATGTAGAGCTTCATGAGATGAACAACAACCTTTCCGTCGGCCTCCTTGTCGTTGTCCGCAGCATCAACATCATGGTCTCCATCATCTGTCTTTTTGGCTTCTTCTTGAGCTGCCAGAATGTCTTCGTCCAACTCTTTGAGACCCTTCGCAAATTCTTCTCCTTCCAGGGTTCCGTACAACTGCTTGATCTTATTCGCCTCATCTTCATTGGCACACTCATAGGACTTGGTGAAAGCCTTCACATAAGGATGCGCCAGGGCAATTCCCTCCACAACCTCCAGCTTCTGAACGAGGAATCTCAGTCTAGACTCGACGAATCCACTCCACTTCAAATGGTCTTCATAGGTGCCCTTGGTGCCAGTCACAATCGTCAAGTAAAACTTGTATCTGTAGAAAAAATCATGTTTTTGGAAAAGATCAACCCATTTCTTGGTCCCCCGCTGTATCTCCGACATCAGCTCTGCTCCTCTCTTCAACTCCTCCAAAATGACCTTTTGAGTAGACGCGGTGATATTATGCGTAGCGCACATGGATGGGTACGCAGGAGTAATGACCGGCATCCTATGGCCTCTATCGTTAGCATACAGCTTTGGATTCCACACCCTGACCTGCAGCGGGCCATCCTCTATTGGTTTTAGCAGAACTGGCTGGGGCCAGTTCCATTGAGTTAGAATGGTGAAGAACTTGGCCACCACAACAGCACTCACCGCGTTGGGATACAGTTGACATATTCTCGCTACTAACATGGCCCATGCCACACCACCTGGAAATCCAAACATATTGGCATAAATAGCACGTCTCTGGGCCCATAACTTTATGGTTCTCAGGGCATGTCTGAAAACAGTTCTTTTTGGAACCAACTCCAGAATGTCGTCGGTCACTCTGGTTCCATTCAGTGCTCTCAGGTCCTTCTCGTCGATGTTTCTCAGCAGATTTTTATCACGAAGAGTCAAATTCAATGGTACCTGTGGAATATCCAATCTTCCAAAATTCAAATCGATATCGATTCCATCAAAGACTATCTTCAGGATCGGCATGAATGCATCTGGTACAGGCTGAATCTTGTTCAATTCCGGTCTCTTTCTCAAAATCTCGTCAAAAACAAGGAAGAAATCCTCTCTGGTCACATGCTTGGGAACGACCACCAAGGTGTCGATATCCGAACCGGGCCCGTATACTCCTAGTCTGTATGATCCATAGGTGAATATCTTTCCACCAGCATCTTTGGCCATTCCTTCACTCATGTTTTTCCTCTTGGAAACGGTGTATACAAATTCCAGAGTTAATTGCTGCAACACATTCAACACTTGAACTCTCTTCTTGCTCTCAGCGTCACTTTCGAACGAGCCCTGAGCCCTCAACTCCTCAATCATCCCATCGTTCAGCTGGTTCTCCTCAGCGGTTGGACCAGCAGTCGAGATCGGAGGTGTCACACCCCACTGCTGCTGTGACATGATCCTATCGTATGAATTGTATTAATCCGAGGTTATTGCCAAAAACACGCACAACAAAACGATCAAACAACAAGACCAAACCAGTAGTTCGCTCCAAATGTACAGCTGCGGTAGACGAAAATTAAACGGCTGGATGCAATGGTAAACAAATAAAAAACAACGTTAAATGGACTGGAAACGACTGAAAAACCGATCACAGGTCTGAATCCAACAGAACGCTTTCTTACTGGGAAACGGAACTGTCACAAACGTAGATCTCGTAACAAAACAAAACCAACCAGCTTCAAATTGGTGGGCACGAAAACCAGCCGGGTAGTGTACCAAGTGAATTACCCCAATGAGAACAGATCAACAATAGGAGTCGGTTGGATCCCGCTAGTCAAGACCGATCGGCGAGCATATGGGTACTAATCCGTTTGAGCCTTGATAATTGGAGGGAATGAGTCGTTTGAACAGAGCGAAAAGGCGGGCCAAATCAAAGCTCTTTCAGCTACACTGAACAGCGCGTGGATGCAGGCCAGAAGAGTGTTTCTCAAGGTCCCAAAAACAGCGTGACATTAAATTATTATTCAAAAAGCGAGCGAAAAAAGTGAGGTATTCACACAAAAAACTCCAGAATTAAGAGATTTGCTCTGCCACAGAGGTATACAGACCGTCCCTTTTTGTGTCCGAATCCGGACCGGGACGAATCAGCCAAGAGTGTTCAGCAGTGTGGTCGAAGTCGTTCACCAACTCGGCCCTATACATATTTTGCAGTGGAGTGAGTTGACTGGATCGCGTCAGATTGTACTCATAGTGGTAGAATTGGAACAGTATGGCGATGTTCATGAGGATGGGGAGCAGAAGAAACAGTGAGGGGACAGTTTCCAGGACGGGTACCAGACTCAGGAGCTGAATACCGGACATTTTGGGTGACAGCAGCAGCACAATTACAAATTGACATAGTTCCGTGAAATACAGGTGAACGGAAACACCCACAACGGACTTCCTTCGGAAGTTCTTGATGAACTGGCTGAGCTTCCCCACGAAGAACAGTGATATGAGAACCGCAACAATGAAAAAATAGGATTTCGAGTTGTTAGGCCATAAGGCAGGCGTGTTTGAACCCTGGTCAAGAGACGGCACGGGCATAGCATTTGCACTTTGAACAGGTGTGACTGCAAGCAATGCAGCCAGAACAGGCCCACTATAATCCAGAGAAGAATTGACACTGGCCAAGCTAGCAGCACTTGCAGAGCGCTCCCAATAGAACAATTCGTCGACGTTACCAAGTAACCTGGTCGACAGAGGAGACCGCGCTCTGTTAGCCTGCAGATCCAAGTCTCTATTGGCATCTCCCCTTTGCAAATTCGTTGAGGCACCATTGGACCCAGGGGAGCCCAAAGGCTCTGATATACCATAAGTAACTGTGCCTGTCACTCGCCTCAAAATATTCAGAGAAAAACGTCGGAACCCATACCATTGGAGGACAATATAGAGATCAAGAACGCACCGGGCTCCGAAGAAGGCCATAATCCATACCGTGGACCAGCCAAGTTGATCAGGCAAAGGCGGCTGTTGATAATAGAACGAGTATATAAGAGTAATATTCATGGCCATATAGGCGAACACTGACACTATTGAAAGGTTCGACACCAGTATAAACCCGTCACTCTTGAAACACTTGTAGTTGGTAACTATCTGCGATAGAGGCGGCAACAAACTCGAAAGGTTCAAAAGAACAGAGCCGAGTATAGTTGCCACAGTAGCCATCGTCATGCTGTTATCACAACCAGAGGATTCGCGCTCGTAATTGTAGCTTTTCCTTCCTCTAATCCAGATCTGTAAAAAACTAAGGTATATCTTGGATGGATCGTCTCATATAAGCACAAAGAGAAAAAGGGGCAACAACCAAACCAAGGCAAACATCGAAGATAACGAACAACCTTGATACGTTTCCAGAAATGGTAAAAAAGACAATCAAAATCCGACGTCACTGCCTTATCTTTGTGCAGTGCCTAAACTTGTCACGCTATCTCGCCTGCATTATCTCTGGCCACAGTGCTGTGTCGTCCTGCACTGCCATTTATTACCCTTTTGGGCACACCTCAGCGATAAGCCGGCCAATAATGGGGGGCAGGGGGTGTGTACCCAGCCTCTAACTGCGCCACGTGTGGCGCCTCCACCACCTCTGCCTTTGCACCTCCTTCTTTATTGGCACGGGAACACTACCTTATGAAGACGTGGCTTATTGCCCCCTGTGTTGCCTAGACCCGATCTTCTGAAGACGTTTCCAAACAGTTTGGTTTATCATACATCACGCCAATCCACAGCGAAACTCCAGAGCTTGTATCTTCAGTTACGCACGTGATTTTCGATCTTTGAATATCTCACCACAGTTTCTAGCACAAGCGTTTATTTTTTCGTGATACAGTCTGGTGGTGTGTTGTTATTACAATGGATGAGACACTGATTTCCACTATCAACAAGCTCCAGGACGCACTGGCGCCTCTGGGTGGCGGTTCCAGTTCACCCGTCGATCTGCCACAAATAACTGTTGTTGGATCGCAGTCTTCAGGTAAATCTTCTGTTTTGGAGAACATCGTTGGAAGAGACTTCTTGCCAAGAGGTACTGGTATTGTGACCCGTAGGCCTTTGGTGTTGCAATTGGTCAACAGGAGGGCCAGTACTCCTGGTTCCAAGAACGATTTGATTGATCTGAAAGTGACTGACTCCGAAGGGCATAAGTCTGAGAATAATCAGGATGAATGGGGTGAATTTCTTCATCTTCCTGGCAAGAAGTTCTACAACTTCGAGGATATCAGAACTGAGATTGTTAGAGAAACTGAGGCGAAAACCGGAAAGAATGCAGGAATCTCTTCTATTCCAATCAACCTGAGAATCTATTCTCCTCATGTGTTGACCCTGACCTTGGTTGATTTGCCAGGTTTAACTAAAGTGCCTGTTGGTGACCAGCCAAAGGACATTGAGAAACAGATCAGGGACATGTTGATGAAGTTTATCTCGAAGCCAAATGCAATCATCCTTTCTGTCAATGCCGCGAATACTGATTTGGCCAATTCCGATGGTTTGAAGCTGGCTAGAGAGGTTGATCCGGAGGGAACTAGAACCATTGGTGTCTTGACCAAAGTCGATCTGATGGACCACGGTACGGATGTCATCGACATTTTGGCCGGTCGTGTCATTCCACTCAGATATGGCTACGTTCCTGTCATCAACAGAGGTCAAAAGGATATAGAGACCCACAAGACTATCAGAGATGCTCTCCACGACGAAAGCGCCTATTTTGAGAATCACGCCTCCTACAGATCTAAGGCTGCATACTGTGGTACTCCCTACCTTGCAAAGAAATTGAACTCGATTTTACTACATCATATTAGAGCAACTCTTCCAGACATAAAGATGAGGGTTGAGACCGCTTTGAAGAAATACCAGACCGAGCTCAATGCTTTGGGGCCAGAGGTTGCCCAATCGCCCAGTTCAATTGTCCTGAGCGTCATAACCGACTTCTGCAATGATTATACTGGAGTTTTGAATGGTCAAATAAAGGATATCTCAAGCCTTGAGTTGAGCGGTGGTGCCAGAATCAGTTTTGTGTTCCACGAGATTTTCAAAAACGGAGTCTACGCCCTTGATCCATTTGACCAGATCAAGGATGCCGATATCAGAACCATAATGTACAACTCCAGTGGGTCTTCGCCTTCTCTGTTTGTTGGTACTCAAGCCTTTGAGGTATTGGTGAAACAGCAGATCCACAGATTTGAAGAGCCCTCCTTGAGATGTATCACCTTGGTGTTTGACGAGTTGGTGAGAATCCTGTCACAAATCTTGCAACAACCCGAGTACGCCAGATACCCGGGACTAAAGGAACAAATTTCTCAGATTTTCATTCAGTTCTTGAGAGAGGCGTTAATTCCAACAAACACATTTGTCACTGACATAATCCAGGCTGAGGAGACTTACATCAACACTGCCCACCCTGATCTGTTGAAGGGATCCCAGGCATTGGCCATTGTTCAGGAGAAACTTCACCCAACACCAAAACAACAGGTGGATCCAAAGACGGGAAAGCCAATTCCAATCCCAGCTGCCAACCAGAATGGCACAGCTTCATCTGCCTCGTCAACAGTTGGCGGTGATGATGACAAGGGAAGCACATTTTTTGGTGGATTCTTCACGAGTAAGAACAAAAAGAGATTGGCAGCTATGGAGGCACCACCAAGTGTATTGCGTGCCAGTGGAAACATGTCTGACCGTGAGACCCAGGAGACAGAAGTGATCAAGCTGCTGATTCAATCCTACTTTGGAATCGTCAAGAGAACGGTTGCTGATTTGGTTCCCAAGTCCATAATGTTCAAGTTGATTGAATATTCGAAGACAGAGATTCAAAAGGTCTTGTTGCAGAGACTATATGGTAACAGTGAATTGGACTCGTTGGTCAAGGAGAACGAGCTAACGACTGCTAGAAGAAAAGAATGCTTGAAGATGGTGGATGTGCTGAGACATGCCGCTGAAATTGTCTCTACCGTTTAATCTGAAAGTGCTGCTGAAACCTGATTCCGGATCTTGAAATGAGTCTTCGACTGACTGAAGTAGTTTTGCTGAGGTTGTGGACAATGCGTGCTCTAATGGCATGAATAAGTAGTCTTCGAGCATGTTTATTTGTCATTTTAGACGTTGAGTACTGTTTCTTTATAACATTAGAAGAAAGGTCTGGGATTATGCGTATACAGCACTTTTTGGCACATTCTAAACGTTTCTGTTAGGCTTTTGTAATTAATTTTCTTATACCTCGATATGGCCTAGTTATATTCTTCGATACAATGAAGACGACTCTCACCAAAAGACAAAGCACAAAAACATAACCTATTTACACCACTTAGTCATCCATTTCCGAAGGTTTTAACAACCCTCCAACCAATCTGGCCTTCTCTTTCTCCTCTTGCTGTTTCTCTAGCAATTCCTTTTCACGGTCTTCGGCAAAGAGATAGTCAGTTGGGTCACCACCGTACTGCTTGATCTGTACCAAGAAGTCACGCAGGATTCCTCTAAACTTGACAAGTGCATTGTACGACGACAGTAGCGCAGTGATGAAATTTGTGATCTGGGTCTCCTGAAGGTGTGGGAAGGCATTTTTCAGCATGTTGGCAAGATACTCACGCAAAAAGACGGAGTTGGAAGTGCCTGCAGGTGCAGAGCCAGGAGGATAGATTGGCTCCTTGATCACATTGGCTTCCACCAAGCCCACAAGTTTGCCAATCAATTGGGCCTGCTGTTTGAAGCCAGCCTTGTGGTCTGAATCAGTTAAAACGAAGAACGTATCACTGAGTATTGGGAAGTAGAAGGTCTGGTAGAAACCAGTGGTGAATGGGTTTGTTCCCAAGTCCTCGATGTTCTTGAGCAATTCGATACACAGAGTGAGACCAGTGTTTTCCACGTCTCTGTTGTTGTGCTTGAAAGCCCATAGAATGGCATCGACAAAGGATTGGAAGGCCTCTGCTGGGAATCTCGAAAGAGCTTCGAAACTTTTGAGGTTGATCTCTCTCAGTAACTTGTAGAACTCAACTCTATGTTCGGGATATTCAGTGAGATCTTTGTTGATCATGTCCAAAGTAACGGAAAATACGTTAGCGAGAATTGTGCCAATTTGCTCTGGAATCAAATCACCAACCTTATCCACCAAAGTACACATACAATTGAGCACCTCGGCATCACGAGCATCCGGAACATTCGTTCTGTAGTCTTCCAGAACGGCAGCAAGCAATGGTCCCACGAGATCCCTTACGATCTCTTCCTGGTTGTTAGCCTTGGAGACATAGGTTTCCACAAGATGCAGTACTTCCTTCTTGATGGTTCTCAAGCCTCTCACCTTTGGAGTCTTTGTGGCAATGATTCCATCTGATGCTACTGCATTGGATATCATCCCACTGACAGCAGTGTACAGGGAGAGCATATCGACATATATCAGTCCGAGCTGAGCGTAGAAGCCTGGCCCCAATGGCGTGCAAACAGCAACATTGGTCTTTATGATGTTGGCTAAAATTCTAACAATTTCTGGCTTGCTCAGAAGGTCTGGCTCGTCTCTGGATTGCTTCACCACGGCATCCCAGGCAACGTTTGGCAACTGCATCAGATCGTGTAGCAATCTGTCCCTCTTTGGTGGTGAGTTCTGAGCTGCAATGATGGTGCCACAAGCTTCGTAGAAAGTGTGAACTTGCTGTGGTTGGAGGTCATTGGTGATGATTTCAATTGTACGCACAATCTCATCTATGAAAGGTTCAGACTCGCCGGATTGTTGCACAACAAAGTGTCTGTTACACTTCTGGGCAATCTTGATAAAGGTATCGCAGGCCATGTCTTGAACACCCTCATGGGTTTCGTGCATGAACTCGAACAACTTGTTGACCACAGTCTTCAGGAACTTCCAGTGAGCTTTGAGAAATCTTGGGTATTGGCCCACGATATACATGATGTTGGAAGCAACAACGGCCTTGTTGTCCTTTCCACGCTTCATCTCAGTCAAAGCCAGCAGATCTTTGATAACTGTGACCAAAAACCTCTTCTCCATTTCCTCGTTCATGGTACCCGAAATAGAACCAATCGCCCAACACAGAGTATTAATGTTGTGCCACGACCATTCCGAACCGTCTATTTGTCTGGCAAGTTTCTCGGTCATGATAGCTTCTGTGTTAATCACATCCAAATGTGTCAGGTAAACAAGAACCTCCCTCATAGACTTGTAAAGCTGGATTGTATCACTCTCCTTAACGAACTCTCTCACAATCTCCCCTTCATCATTCTCCACAATGAGCACTTCCTCGGGCCTCACCATGCTCTCTATCATAACGAATCTCAGCTGGGTCATCACCTTGTCATAAATGTGCTTTCTAAGGGGGAACTTCTTGAGAACTTCGGGGTTCGGCGCTCCACCTGCGGCTATGTTGCTCATGGTGCTGCCGTATGAGAGCTGGATCAAGGGGCTGAACTCAGCAGCCGGAAGCTTCTGGATCTCAGCAAACAGTCCGCTCACCAATTTACTCCAGTAGTCCAGACACGTTTTAAAGAGCTCACGCTCCTCAACTTTGGAAAGGTTGATAAGATACTCATGTGCAATCAACAGCAATTCCCTCAGACTCTCGTCCTGTTCCAGGGGCAGCAGATGGTTGGTCAAGAAGGTGACGAAGAACATAGCCAGATCCTGGAGAAATGATTGGTCCTCAGAGTTTGCGTACTTGTAAGTTTTCTTGATGTCAATGTTTACAGGAATCAAGTTCATGATGCTTTGTGTGGATTCCTTGAACATGGCCAAGAACTTGTTGTCATACTGAGGAGCCACCAGAGAGGAAACTTCAGTGAGACACTTCAAAGTGACTGACTTGAACTCATTCACAGGTAAAAACTTGGTCGACAGCAGGCTCAGCAGGTCTGTCTCGAAGATGAAACCCAGCGGGATCCAAGGAAGATATTTCAGCAAGCAGTTCAAGGTAGACAGTATCAGTGAGGGCTTGGGGGATTTGTCCAACACTTCAAAACAGAGTTTGAATATCTCGGTAAACTCTCCTCCCAAACTCGATTTGAGGGCAGTTGCCTTGGCTTGTGTCATCTGCTCTGCAGAAAAGTCAAAAATCTCTTCAGACAGCAGCTTCAAGATGACCATGTTGTTCTCGCAAACATTGAAGCCAGACCCACTGGATTGAACAATCTCCGGAATAAACGTTGGCCAGTTCCCTGGCCATTCTTGCTTAGTGATCTGAACCAATGTAAGATCACACTTATTGATCAGGGCCCGCTGAGATGTGAATTGGGCATCGTCCTGACACATGGTGATGATCATTCCAGCCACAAAATTCCTGATACCAAGTCTTTGTTCATCCGGAAGCATCTTCCACTTGGTCTGGATCAACTTGTCTAAAATGGAAAGCGCAATATACTTGGACTGGGAATCCTGCGATAGTTGTAGGATCTGGTCGGCTTTGGTCCAGGCATCAGGGTGATTCTGGAACTCGGTTATTACATCCTGGGCCTTCTTCCTCTCATCACCAGATCCGGAATAGAACGTCTCGACCACTTTGTCCAAAAGGGCAACGTCTAGATCTTTGCTGAAATCCAAAATCGCCTCCATGATGGGTATTAGAGGGGGATAAGCTGAAATAAAACGAGAGAAGGATATAAATCAGTTTGTAGTTTGAACGCAAAAGTCTCTCAAAGTTTCAAAACACAAAAAGCCAAGAAAACCTTTGCAATGAAAGTCTCGCAAAGAATTCAACTTCACGGATCACAAAATTACCGTTCTGAAGGTATGCACCAATAGAAGAGCTGGTGTCTATGGCAAATGGCTGGCACAAACAGCAGAGCAAGCTAAACTTTGAATGACCTCAAGATCCGTCAATTGGTCACGGATGGATACAACAGCGTTTTCGATCGAGAAGATCAATTTCCAACGGCTTGGATTTGGTGCTAATGGCTTTGTTAATTGTCAAACGTGTGTGTTGTTTTTTTCTGCTGGTCCTTGGCTTAAGCTTTACGGGTCGTGCGGGTCCGAAACTGGTAAGCACACTACAGGAGGTCTTGGCTCAGTCAGCCAGCCCTGAGAACGTGCGAGAAACCAGAGAGGGTTTATGTGCAACGTTTTATTCCTTATTTGGTCTGGTGACGGAGTAAACATTGGCCTGATCAACAAGTTGTCGACTCAAGCAGAAATTAACGGATTGTTGCGAAGGCGATGGGTGTCCTTCGAAGAGGCTTACAAGGCGTCAATGCAAGTAGAGGGCTATCACACCTCCATCTACACCAGTTTCTATACCAATGCCTATTCGTTCCGTAAAATTCCAATATTCATGTACAAGTATCGACCTGTTCACCTGAACAACAGGTTTGCTCTATCTGCCCTCTTCTGCTTGAAAGCGCGTCTCGCGTTTATGCTGGACTTGCCCGTCCTATTCAGATCGATGTCCATACGATTGACTCTTTCCTTCTCATCCACAAACCTCTGCTCCAAAAAATCTTTAGATTCATTTGCCTCTGTGGCACCAGGAATAGCGGCAGCCTCAAATACCACCTTCTTCTTGGTTCTTCCCTGACGCCACTTATCTACCCAATGGATGGCTGTTCCCGTCTCGTCCACCACGATCTTCTTATCAACGTATCTGTACTTCTTGAGCTTGATGGCTATTGCCCTCAATAACACCGAAATATCGTTAGTAGGATCTTTGAGATAATCGCTGTATAGTCCACCTGTTGGATCTTGCAAATTCAGGACATAAAGCAAATAATCAGCCACTATCACCGGGTCCACCTTGGTGGGCTTCACTGCGCCCACCAGAGCCAGAGTGATCATCGTCTCTGAGTTCTTTGCTTGCGGCAACGAAACTCCAGGCGTGTCATAAACGTAGATGGAAGGGCTCTTGGAAATCCAAATGACCTCGGAAGTCGATCTGGTGACACCGGGCTGGCCCCCGGTTCGTGCCACATTCTTGCCATACCCATTGCGCTTACCACCCATCCCAAGCCGCCTGAGGTTATTAACGATAACGCTCTTTCCGACGTTAGGCATCCCTGTTACGATCATTCGCAAGCCCAGAGGAGGTGGTGGATACATCTCAGCATGTTTCTGCTTGCAAAGTTGCAGAAGCTTTTTTTTATCACGATCAGAGTTCGAGTTGAAGATCATGTATTCGGACTCAGACCTGTGCCATTTCTTCAGTAGCTGGGGATCCAGATTAGACAGATCAGACTTGGAGTATAATACGATTTTGTCCTTCCCCTGTAATGGTCTGTCTAAGAGCACATTTCCTGTGCTTATAGGAGCTCTGGAGTCTCGCACCTCGAGCACCAGGTCTATCTGAGGAGCCAGCTGTGTGAGTTTGGTCATGGCAACCACATGGTGGCCCTTGAAATCAGCCAGCGATACGCGGTAATCCGGGAACACGGTTCTTGGGATGAATTTTGACACCGAAGCCGCCATTGAGGCAACCTTGGTTATTTTCTGTTGGCTCATGGCTGCTTTTAATCGGTAGAATTAGGTAGCGTAAGAGTGAATAATAGATAGGCAATGAAAAGTTTCGGGAGATGAGGTCAGATGCGATGAGGTGAATTTTTCACTTTGGGCCAGAGGGGTTTAACCAAACGAGACTTTAGTCTTCACGTTATATTTCTTACTTTTTGTTGAATATCTCAATTTTTTTTTTCAAAAATGCCACTCATACTACTGTCTGGTTTCCCTTCCTCGGGGAAAACGACCTGGGCCAATAAACTCGCGGACCAGATGCGCGAGAGAATCTCATCGTTATCGCCAGGCGAACCAGGCTCGAATCTCAAAGTCATCCTCCACAACGACGAATCCTTGGGGATCAAACACGAAGATTACATTGAGTCCAGACACGAGAAGGCTGCCAGAGGCACCCAGATTTCTGCCGTGAAACGTGATCTTTCCAAAAACAACGTGATCATACTGGATTCGATGGCCTACATCAAAGGATTCAGATACCAGCTGCACTGCGAGTCGAAGGCCTTGTCTACCTCTCATTGTGTGATACATGTGCTCGCACCGACAGAAATATGTTTTCAATGGAATTCTGCAAGACCGGCCGCCGAGAGATGGGACGAGGATTTGCTCAAGTCCTTGATCATGAGATACGAGGAACCGGATGCCCGCAACAGATGGGACTCGCCTCTTATCGGGGTGGCCTACGATGACCAGAATCTGCCCTTTGAAGAGATCTGGGAGTCTGTGGCTCTCAAGAAGGGACTGAGACCCAATAATGCCACTGTGCTGAAGCCTGCGTCTTCCATGTCGTTTCTGCAAGAGTTGGACCAACTGACCTCCAGTGTGGTGAATAAGGTGGTCCAGCATCAGCAGCAGCAGATTGGTGGGCAGGATGTTCCAATCGACAAGGATCTTTATGTGCATCTTCCGCAGATGCAAACCGTTTCAATTGCACAGCTTCAGAGGATACGGAGGACTTATGTGACGTTGAACAGAATGAGGACGGTTGATACCACCAGAATCACACCTCTGTTTGTGGAGTACTTGAATAATAGTTTAGAGTCGTCAGAAAGCTGAAACTAGATACCTGGAATTCCTCGAGTAATCGTTTAAATTTGTGGTTAATGGCTATGTACAGATTCGTTATAAAATGCCTAGATCTGCTCGCTCTCAGAAACCCGCCGTCTGATAATTTCCAAAGACTCTTGAACACTTGGCAAGCTTTCGTCAATTACGTTAGTGCTCAGATAAGGCCATTTCTTGGTGAGAAAAAAGTGGCATGCAGATGCGTTTCCCTTAGCTGCAACCAAGTTCAGCACGAACAGCCATGGGAACTCTTTGGAAAGGACGTCTGCCTCTTTAGAAAGAGAGTCCAGAAAGTCCCAAAACAATTTCCATTGAGACGAGTTGGCCAATACAGATAGGTAGAGAAGCAGGTTTCTCTCGGTGGTCTGGTCGTTAGAAATCCACTGGTATCTGCTCTGCTTGAGCAAAGCTGGTAGGACCGTTATGAAGGGAGCAGCAGGCACTTGCGTGGTGTTAGACGATACCGGAACATCGTTTGGGGTTATGAAGTCTTTTGATTCCATGGAAGAGCCCAGACCAAAAATATAGGGCAAAAGTTTCGGGAAGATTCGTTCAAAGGAAACGGCCTCTCCCGACCCTGGAACTTCCTGTTGAATATGAGGATATGTCGATAATAATAGCCCTGAAGCACTAACCAAAGTTTCAGACACATTGGCCGTTCTATTTTCATCAGATGGACATTCCGTCAGAGCCTTGAAAAATTCACTCAGATCGGCTCCTGTAAGCATTTCACCACTGGCCTGCATGGCTGCAAAGTTGTCCCAGAATAGCTTTGCGTATCCTACCTGGGGGAATTTCCTCAACAACTCCAGGTAAAAATCAACTCGACAAAGCCAATGTCCTCTGCTAGGACTCGAGACGGGAAACGCTTGTTGGAAGGAATCCTCTAACGCAGCAACCTCTTCTGCAGTCTCTGCAGAACTTACTCCTTTGACATGAGCCCTCAGGATCATGAACATCTGGTCAGTACTTTCGGGCTGTCTTTCAAACGTGTTGAACTTGCTGTTGAACTCCATAGCGAGCTTGTAATCGCCCTTTTCTGCAGATTCAGCCAGGATATCTAGGTCTGACCTCTGGTACCTGGCAGTGCTGGTGTGGAAGTATCTGATACCACTGAAGATGTCGTCGCTGTCTGACACAATATTTGCCCGAGGCTGATAAAGATGTTTCTCTTCTGGAGAGGCCCATAGCTCTTCCAAGTTGAGTTCCTCGCGCCTTTCCTGGGTGAGGAAGTGAACATAGATGCCGTCCACGTTGGTGTCAATCATCACCCATGAGTTGGCGGTGGCACCGTAATCGTTTAGTGCATAGGCTGGAGACTTCTTGAGCTTTCTCTTATATCGCTTGCGTGCTGTGAACAAATCGCTGCTTTTCAGTAGGCCCTCGTAGCTGGGGATGGTATCCAGGTCTTTCTTCACGTAGTTGTTCAGCTCTTCTGTGGCTTTGTGTAAATGCTTAGCACTTTTTCCTGAGCCAATGATCATGAAATCCCCCACAAACTGCGATCCTTGGTATCCGTCACGATGATCTGATCGCACGTCAAAAATGAGTAGATTTTCCATGCTCAGTTGTTTGGCTATGTATTCCACAATCTGAACCAGACGGGCAGGCGCGTCTTGCGGGATTTCTGGCATCTCGGTGCCCGAGATTATCGCGGATTCGGGCTCTTCAGACCTCAAATACCAAGGTCTCGAATCCGTGGCTTCCTGATCCGTGGGTTTGGCATCAATGGAGATATCGTTATTCGTGGAAAGACTCCTGCAGATGGGTCTGGTCACGCCCGTGGTTTCCCGCAAAGAAATTCCATAGGGTGTTTGAGAAATGCTCCTAGCACTCCGTATGCAACGTAGGTTTCTCTTCAATGTAAACCTCCACATGGTTGCTCGTGAAGTTTGGTTCACTGAGACTTTGGAGGAGCGCTGGAAACTTTTGAACTTTTCAGTTTGTGTGTAGTGCCCTGACCAACATTGTTGGTCGATGCACGACGTCACGTGGGAAATGACATTTCCCACGTTTGTAAAAGTGCCGCACTTTACGATGATCTTGTTCCACGAGCCTGCAACACCTTCGACAAAACCACCAAGGCCAAACGCAAGATTATGTCTACTCAAAACAGTGTTTCTCTCCTGAAACCCACAAGTCACGACCAGATTGACGCTCACAGCAACGGCGAGCAGGAGGTGGTGTACCGAAGACTACTCGCCGAGGCTACCACTAGTGAAAAATACGCCAGTGGACGCACCAAGAGGCCTTGGATTTTCGAGGTTGTTCAAGGTTTTTTCCTTCAGGACGATGAGGGAACTGATGATTTGACATTTGAGTATGTGAACCAGGATTTTGGCCTGAAACTCAGTTCTTGGACTGAGCTTCGTCAAAAGCTGGAATCTTTAAATTCGAATGCCGCCAGTAATGAGTCATATAAACTTTTGTTCCTCGCTAGACATGGTCAAGGTTACCATAATTTTGCTGTTGAGAAATACGGAACCGAGAAATGGGATCGCGATCTGGCCCATCTCTCTGGAGATGGTGAGATTGTTTGGGGACCTGATCCCTTTTTGACTTCTTTGGGAGAGGCACAGGCTGATGAGAATCACGATGTCTGGCTCCAGCAGATCGCCAAGGGAGCGCCCATTCCCACTGCTTTTTATTCCTCTCCATTCACAAGGTCAATGCACACTTTGATTCGCACTTGGAAGGACATTGTGATTTGCGAAAATGGACAGGATGAGTCCAAACTATTGGCACCAAGAGCACATCCATTGGTTGTGGAGGACGTCAGGGAAACCATTGGTCTTCACCTCTGTGATAAGCGCTCCACCAAGTCGACGATTATCGAGAGAGTCAGCAAGTACGGGTTGGTGATTGAGGATGGTTTCGAGGAAGAAGATGTCCTCTATAAAGAGGATTGGAGAGAGTCGTTATCTGAACAGGCTCTTAGAATCAACAAGTTCTTGCAGTTTCTGTTTGAGAAGGACTTTGTCGACAACAAGATCACCAGAGACGGTGATTTGGTTGTCAATGTCACATCACATGCTGGCACTATCAGATCCTTCATCACTGCTCTGGGTCACAGACATTTCACCATTAGCACGGGAGGGATGATTCCGGTGGTGGTCAAGGCGATCAGGCAATTGTGAGCAAGTCAAGCTATAAAAAATTAGAGAGACATTAGACAGTTTTAGAAAGCTCGAACATACTGAAATTTTGGAAGGAAGATACACTTGGCCGGTAGAAAACGAAATATTTAAGAAAATGTGTTTGAATCAAAGGCTCAGCTAAGACCCTCGAGATCGGCCTTCACGCTAGTCAAACTCTGTTCTGCAAAGTACCTCACATCAACATCCTCGTCATTCTTCAACTCTTCAAGCGAAGGAACGATCTTGGATCTCACGATATCCACGTAAGCACCGGAGTCAGAACCGGGTACCAGGAGGGACTTGGACACAACCAACAGAGCTTTTGCGACGTTGAATCTGATATTGGGAACTGCGTCTCTTTCGAGCTTCTCGATGAATGGCAAGATATCATTGGCTATGATGGAGTTGTTGACAACAGGCACAAGCGACTTCACCGCAAACAAACATGTAATTCTGCAAGTGAAGTTATCGAAGTCCTCCCCTTCCTTCTCCAAAATTCTTCTGATCAACTCGGAACGAGCCCATTCTTCGCCAAAAATCTTGGTAAGTTTCTGCAAGTTGGCGACTGCAGCCTCTCTGATGGAATAAACCGAATCCCAGAGCCACTCCATACAGAGCTGACCCAAGGCCTGGTCGAAAAATGCAACTCCCAATTGCTCGGCAAGCAGTGGGATCTGCTGGATGATAGCCAATCTCACGCGCCACAGTTTGTCGTTGGCCAATCCGGTGATAGCTGGAAGAAGTGATTCCGATAGCAACTGGATTCCAATCACTTCGTTCACAACTTGCAAATTGGATATGATGTTCAAACGCACCTCTGAGAACTCATCCTTCAGCATACTCACCAGAACGGGAAGCAAGTGTTTGATAGTAGACTCCTTGCCAAGTATTGGAGCAAGACCAGTGATCTCGCTTGCCAGTGCGCTCCTTACAACCTCTGATTCGTCATTACTAAGAATAGCAACACATGGAACAATCTGCTCCAAAACGACCGAAGAGTCTGCCTTATCTGCCAAGACTGCAAATCCGGGTAGTTGTTTCGAGATGGCCTTCTTAACCTCGGCCTCTCCATCCTTCATCAGATCTAGGATTCTTGGAACAAGGTTGAGTGTGTATTTATCATCATCGAAATTCGCGGCAAGTTGCTCAAACCTGTCAGCAACCATGTAACGGACTCTCCAGCTCGGATCTTCAATAAGAAGCACCAAACTTCTGAAAAGCTCCTCGAGATGGGACTTGTCCTGTATTTGTCTCTCAAACTTGAGAATGGATATCAATACATCCACGGACAGGAACTTGACAGAGTCCTGGGAGTCGCCAACCAAAAACTGGAACATAGAAGTCACAAGGTCCCAGTGAAAGTCGTCGCTCTTTCCCGGGTAGCCAAAGTTTTCTGTCAGTATGTCAGTAATCTCGGGAAGGTGTGTGGCAGCGGCCTTTCTAACCATAGGCGAATCATCCTGGATGAGCTCATAGTAAAGATCAAGCAGTTCCTTGCGTAATTCTGGCAAAACTCTGATGATTATGCTCTTGAACAAGCCAGTGGCAGCTACGTGCAACGAGAACCACCTTTCCTTGGCTAGTCTCTGAATAAGCGGGATGAAGTCACTTTCGATCTGCGCTTCAGACATTGAGGTACTGATTTCATTGAGAGCATCAACCGCTTTCTCTCTCACAATTGGCTCCTCACATGAGGCAATTCTTTCGAGAACAGGCAGTAAAAGAGGCGCAAACTCAGGTCCCCCGACATACGGAACAAACTTACTGAGCTCCTCAGCGGTGATTGCCACAACCTCGTCCTCATCTTCGGGGATAACATCCTCCAAAAATGTAATCAGTTCTTTGCGCGTACGCTCAGGCCCAAGCGCAATTGCAATCGTGTCCAGTCTCTTCATGGCCTGAACTCTGCTGGCAACGTCATCGTGTCTCAGCTCGTCCATCAGCAGGGCAATTGGATACAAATCATCCGAACTTGCGCCCGTATGGACACTTGTGGCTTCTGCTGTTTCCATTGTTATGTGGGAGTTATATTTGAGATTTTTGTCCAATAATATGCCCTGAAATCGAGTAGGTGCTTTGTGTTCCAACCCCGGTTGCACTGCTAGCTGTCTTTAGTGATTGGTTTTACCACACCAAACAAATCTATTCAAAAACGCTGTATTAATTGAATAGCGCAATCAATAGCGTTATAAAGGTACAGTTTGACGTCAAAAAATGAATTATTCCGCCCCTTTTAACTAAACAACACACGTTAAGATTAATCCTCCAAAGATGTTGACCTCCTCGTGTGGATTCCAGAGATGCTGTCGACCCGTGAAAAAATGGCAGTCTACTCTGGTAGGGTTTAACTATAGTACAATCCTATTAGATGTATGTAACACTGAAGGCCATTGAAGCTGCCTCTTTCAGCTTGAAAAGCAGAAGAACTAGTAGGAAACGTAGTCGTGCTATCATCCTCTTCCATTGTTGCGTACTGGCCATGTTTTTCAGCGAAAATGAAAGCGATACCAGAACGGCCAGAGCAAACGTCGGCCTCGCAAGTCTTTCAAGGAGTCCAGAGCTTGACAGATGCGCTGGAAAAAGCGCCTCTTTGATGGATAGATAAAGATGGGCGCCAAAGCCGGTTCTGTGCACCTCCGGATGCGGTCTCTTGTTGTTTAGTCTATTTTCCTCGGGCTCTCTATCAACCTTGAGAGCTCGTTCTTCGTGCTGCCTCCTTCTTCGCTCTTCTTCCTTCCGACCTTGTTCCAGCTGCTGCTTCTTTGCGTGCATCCTCTGTTTTTCTTCCTGCCTCTTGCGATCACTTGCGCTGCGCTCCTCTTCGGCCTGTAACCGTACAGCCTCTGCGAGATCGTCCAATGCCTTGGCGGCCAGAGTATCGTTTAAAGCGTATCTATGACCAATAAACGTCCTGGCTTCGTCTACTTGGTTCTGCTTGACCAGAATGTGTTTCACGTAAAACTCCGAAATCCGTTCGAAGCCCTCGTCCTTCTTCACGCTCCCTCCTTCCGGCAGAACTGGGAGCGGATTCTCCTCCAAAACGCTACTCACCTGTTCTTTCAGCAGACCTAGGGATATTCCATTGGAGATCTCGATGATAAAACACATCAGCACCAAATCGGGGTCTGCAGAACGGACGTCGTGGCTGTAGATCACCATCATCTGGTCGAAAACGGCACCTCTAAGGAATGTGTCGCGTATTGTGAGTCTCTGAGCCAATGACATATCTGGGAATGACCCAACTTCAGCCGGAAAGGTCCCCGTAGATGCTGAGGAGTTGGAAAGATCCTTTAGCAATAAGTCTGTAAGTGATAGGTACAGTCTGAATATGTTCACTTTCAAGCTCTGGACCTCCAGTGTCGTTTGCCGAGGAGAATGCTTGAATAATTCTGAGCCTGGCTGTGTTATATCGTCAATGAGACCAATCACGCTTCTCCAAGCAGTGCAAAAGTCTCTGTTGAGATACTGCTTGATGGCCTTTTGGTACGAGCTTTTCAATCGCGTGTGTGAACTGATATCAAGCATGGATGATGACATCCTCCTTTCTGAGCCTTCAGTGTCATCAGTCAAAGTCCCACTGCTTGTCAGACGTTTCGCCACTTCTATCTGGTTCCCATTCCTGGGGTAGCCTAGCGAAGTCTGCGAGGAAGCGTTGCCGTTGAGCACGATCTGCGACATGTCCAGGCAACAAGGTATAAGTGCAAGTTTCTTGATGCCTTGGATATAAGTCCCCTTTGAATCAGTTGAGATTCTCTTTGTATTCTGTTTCCGATCAGGTTTACGGTAGTCTGGAAAGAACACCTGGAATGACGGAGGGCTGGACTGGACCCGCGGGGTCGTTTGCCTCCAAAGAGCCTATCAGATGAGATGCACGTGATCATTTAAATTGGTGGTTCACGACCTCGCAGGGGTGAAATATTTCACTTAAAGTCGTCTCAATACACAGTATACAACTATTTTTGGTCGCCATAAACTGCAACCTCAATTCTGAGGCGCGATAGACTCGGCAGTCACATCCTCCTCGTCATCAGACTTATCTGGTGTGATCTGCGCCATTGCTGCTGATTTCATCTCCTCGTTGGTGTACATCAAACCACTAACCTCTGAAATCACGTTGTACCAGGTCAACATCTCCTCGTAGCTACTCGCCTTGAAAGAAACCGTCTTCTTCGTCATGCTGACCAGTTGACTGATGTCCTTACCCTGAACGGTGAACTTGAACTTTCCATCTCCAGGAGCAGATGGGTTGCCTACCAGACACTCTGGTAAGAACATCACCAATGAAGGGTGGTGAGAGTCCTTGAACGAGCGCGACTGGAACTCAAACAAGTACCGTGTTCTAGTTATAACGTAGTAGTACGACTTGTACTTCTTGGTGATCTTTCCCTCCCTTCTCAGTAACACACCCTCCAAAATAGGCTCGGTTGCAGTGTGAGTTTGATTTGGGAAGACCACATCCGACAGCGTTCTTTTATATGGATTCTTGGTGATCTCAAACCGAGCTGTTGTAAGCGAAAGTTTAGAGGTGACATCTGAGAGGTCGTTGTCAATCTTCACGGAATCGGGATCAGCCTCGCCAGATATGAGTGATTGAGCATTTCTCTCCTTGAATCTCTCCCATTCGTAGTCAACTGGAATTGCGGCTAGTTGATTGTTCAGATCGTCAAAAGTGTTGATTCCTTTCCCAAGGTAGTTCGTGATCGAAACAGAGAAGTTGTTGAAGATTTTCTTCAAAATTTCCACTATTTGCTTCTCCATTATTCCGAGTGTGATCTCATTGCTTTCAAGAAAATCAAAGTGCGAGTTCTCTTTGTTGAGCTGCTCGTGGCCGTGGTGGAGCACAGACCTTTTGATTATGTAGGGATCACTGCGATAATCAATTTTTGGACCCACGCTGGAGCTGTAGGAACTGTCAAAACTGGAGACGGAGTTTTGAAGCTTTGCCAATTCCTTCGAGGTGGTGCCGTGGAGTTTTTTGAGTTCTTTCACCTCCTTTTGGCTGGCAGAAAGAAACTCCTTTTTACGGCTCTGGATCTCAGAAATGATCCTTTTGAACTCCGGCAAAACCTGCGTCCTGATGGTACTATCCAGCTCAACTGCAGCACTGTGGTTCATATCCGTGCGCACCTTGAGAGCCTCTAAGAACTCGTTCAAACCAACAGGCCCGAGTTGTTCGTGTGCACCAGGGGCTGCACCAGCTCCGGCAGGCGAATACACGCCTTCACCGGCAACGGCTTGCTTGTACCCGGAACCTGCCACAGACCCACTCACGGGAGCATCTGCACCCGGACTCACTTCGAATTGCGGTGAGACATTCGACTGTAGGTTCTTGATGATCTTCTCGTACTGTTTGACATTGATGGCTATCAAACTCAAATAGTTGTCAGTAAAGTTCTCGACACTCGTCAGAAGCGCAATGTACTTGTCGTATCTTCTTGCAACGAGCTCGGTTGAATCCGGCTGCGAATCGTCAAGCAGTGGGGTTTGTGCCCCACCGCCTTCTTCGGCCTCAACACCTGTTGGAGACACTGGCTGCACCCGATTTGCCGGAGGGGGCGACGAGAGTCTCCAGGTGCCTGAACGTGATAATGACATGTCAAACTATAAACAATTGGGTCAAAAGCGCCAGAAAGCTGAGCTTCCACCCCTTGTTAACGTCAAAGGGATGTTCGTCCCCCCTGCTAAAAACGGTGGCAACAGTGCTCCCAACCTGCGGATCTTGATCTTTTTGATAGGGTCTTGACTGCCGCACGATAAGCTCAATAGGCGAGTTGTGGATCAGAAGTGAGGAGCCGAAAAGGGTATAGGAATCGGCTTGATTTAATTATTTACCCTGGTCTAAGGTTCTCCATAACGTGTATAGTCATTATGTATCCTATTATTGGCTCTCGTTATCAAGTCCATACATGAATGTATATGTAGATATATATGTAGATAAGGCTCTCGTCGGTCCGTGATTGTAACATAGAGGAACCTTGACATAAGAGATGCAAACTAAATCCAAAAAAAGCCGTATAACCCAGATTATATCCACAGATTCCCTAGAAATTATGCCTGGAAGATCCTGTAACCTACGAACAATGGCAAAGCACCGAGCTCTCAGGGGCACACTTTCCTTATAGACTGAAATCATTCAACCTCTGATCCAAGTCAGCCAGACTTCCATCAATGTTCCTGATATGTGTCATTCTTGGAGTGGTATTGAGACCGTACAAAACTCCTGGGGTGTTGGCACTCGCCAGAGGAGAAATATAAGCAGCCACAGGAGCCGGATAGCTGGGCGTAGAAGGCGTCTCGGGAACAAAATTATCACCGACAGATGGAGAATACGCAGGTGGTGAAAATGCTTGGACTGAAGGATACGTTGGGGGCACTTCGTCATCCCAAGCAATCCCCAGACCAGACCGCTCGCTATACACCAGCTTGAATTGCATCCGCAGTACTCTGGCCACACCAGTGGGAACACCGACCTTTTGATTGCGTGGATCGTCGTGGTTACCCGAGCTTGAGTGCGGGCCGACACCCGAGCTTGCAGTTGAGTTGGTAGAATTCCGACTCTGCGCGGAAGCATTAGATGTAATGGGCCTTATTGGTGACTGATCTGTAGGTCTTGAGGGCGATTCTATTGGATGAGACTGTCTTGCACCAGCTGAAGCTGATCTTCCTCTTGAGCCTGTGGGCCGGAGCTCGCCATATGCTGCGGAATGCATGACCTCCTCTGCAATCACCACCTCCACCACTAGGATGTGCGATACATATATTCCGAGCTCATTGTCAGAGATGTCGCAACTAGTATTCGCTATGGAGCTTCCAAAGATGTTGCGGGCATCAAAAACAGGTGAATCGCAGTTAATGGAGTTGATTGACCTCAACTGGTTAACTGCGGAGTTCAATCCCACCGAGGCCAAGTTCATGATATCTATCTCGGCAATCAACACGATCCGGCCCTTATTGCTGAAATCAGACTTCCAACCAGACTTGATTTCGCCCTCGGCAACCGTCCGGATCTCTTCCTGGTACATGTGTACGTCCTCGCCATCTCCAGTAACTGGGGGCAAAGGCTCAGGGTCGTTGGAGAATTGCGGGTTCAGCCCATTGGCGCCCGCAGCAACCCGAGAACTTGGAGGATCCAGCGTCTCGTCCAGGTTGCCTGTTATCTGCTGTATATCATCTCCATCTCGAGTTGACCCCGTCGGCTGCAGAGCGTTGGTGTTGGCGTTCGAGTCCACAGGCACGAGGTCGTTTTGGACACTCTGTGCAGTAGCAAAGTGATAGTTCATCACGGGCATTCCCATGCCACCACTCTTGGTGATGGGCTTCCTGTGTTTGTTCGTTCGTTTGAAGTGGTCTGCCACAATTTTCAACTTAGTGCTGTGTTTATCACAGGCATTCGCGCGCATCTTGATCGACTCCTCGAACCGCCATGCCATCTTTCGCATCCTCCACCTTTTATCGGGTGAAGACACATTCTCCAGTGTGAATTCCACGGGAAATGTCGACTTAGGATACACCACATTAGGCAAAACAGCAGAGGCGGTCACTTCAGTCGGAGGAAACACTCTAACCGAATTGCGATCCTGTCCTCGAATTATCGACCTTCTGATGATTATGGGTAATGACAGAACAATCTTCTCCTCCTTTCCACGGCTGCTGATGTATGATACTCGGGTTATCAGCTCGTACCTGATGGTTGTGCCTGCATTGGACAGCATTGTTGTGGCAGGGATTGAGCCCGGAATCAGATGGCTGAATGGATATCCATGTTCTGTGCCCATTTGGAAAGACGTTCTGTGCTTTAAAACGTCCCAGCGAGCAAGTTCTGTGGTTTTTGAGCGACAGCTGGGACATTGCGTGATGGTAGACGACTGCGGTAGGAACGGTTTTCCATATGTGACGATCTGAACAAGCCGTATATCCACAGAAACAAGATCAATAAATCCAGCCGGTGGTGGGGGTTGCAAAGAGGACGAACTTCTGTTCAAAGAAGACGAAGAAACAGGAGTTAGAGCTGGAGAAGCGGTCGGCTTAACAAAGGGTCTATCCCTCACATTCAGCTGTAGTAACCCACTCAACAACGATCCAGAAGAGTCCGCTGGGGTCCCGTAAAGCATCACGGGAGGCGATTCAATGTTCACAGTCAGCAAGATCGGGGCATCAGCTGAAGGCTGATTGGCCTTGTCGTAGGACTCAGAGGTGGGGAACGAGCTTGTTTCACTACCGAGTCCTCCGGCGAGACCTGTGAAAAATCGCTTCATTGGAGCAAAAACGAGCTTCTATTGAAGACTGCAAGTGATCTGCCACTTAATTAATGCCAACCTGGAATCTTGAGATTACCAAGAGGACGGGGACGGAAGAGGGACAACTGAGACCGGGTTTGTCTTGTTAGACTTAGACTTCGCGAAAACGCCGTGGCTGCCTAATCGGGGAAGTGCGCACGACCCCAAATCTGAAATCAAAAATCTGCCTTATCACGTGAGTATGCACGGTTGATACACGACCCGCCTTGGGTTTGTGTCGACAGCCATTTGCAAGACGTGTCTGTTTATTCCAGAACGAGTTTTTTACACCGTACACCGCGTCCTTTTTTTATCCGCTTCAATTCTTTTATTAGTCGTTTCCAGAAATGGTACAGACGAGGTCGAGTGCAAAAAAGGTCTCTGTGGAGCCGGAGGATTCCAAGTCGGTCTCGTTCCAAGAGGAACCTGAGGTGACTGAAGACGAGCTCAAAGAGAAGCTTCAGGAGATTGCTGCAGAGGATTCAGCTTTTGAAAAGCCTGAGCTTCCATCTTCTGATGATATTGCTGGTGTCTGGTATAGGATAGAGGCTATCCTCGCGCCTGTCGTGTTTACTCTCCTATCCGTGTTCACCAGAGTGTACAGGATCGGTGTTAATAACCACGTTGTGTGGGACGAAGCCCATTTCGGCAAATTTGGTTCGTATTACTTGAGGCATGAGTTCTATCACGATGTCCATCCTCCTCTTGGAAAAATGTTGGTTGGTTTTTCAGGATACCTAGCCAACTACAATGGTTCATGGGACTTTCCATCTGGACAAGAGTACCCAGAATATGTTGATTATGTCAAAATGAGGCTCTTCAACGCAGCGTTCAGCGCGTTGTGTGTTCCCTTTGCATACTTCACAATGAAGGAGATTGGTTTCAACAGAAAGACCACCTGGCTGTTCACGCTAATGGTGCTGTTTGAAACGTCGTACTGTACTCTAGGCAAATTCATCCTTCTGGACTCGATGCTGCTTCTGTTCACGGTTACGACGGTGTTTGCCTTTGCGCGGTTCCATAATGAGAACTCAGTGCCTGGAAACGAGTTTTCTCGCAAGTGGTGGAAATGGCTATTGCTTACTGGTATCAGTATTGGATGTGTCTGTTCGGTCAAGATGGTGGGTTTGCTGGTGACAACTCTAGTTGGAATCTACACTGTTGTGGATCTCTGGAACAAGTTTGGTGACAAGAACCTCTCTTATAAAAGATATGCTTCCCACTGGGCTGCACGTTTCTTTGGCCTTATCGTTATCCCAATGGGAATCTTCTTGTTGTGTTTCAAGATCCATTTTGATCTGCTTACCGGTTCTGGCCCTGGTGACGCAAACATGTCATCTCTGTTCCAGGCCAATCTGATTGGTTCCAATGTTGGTGGTGGTCCCCGTGAGGTGATGACTTCTGGTTCTCTAGTCACTTTGAAAAACCAAGGCTTGGGAAGTGGTCTGTTGCATTCGCACGTCCAGACCTATCCTGCTGGCTCCAACCAACAACAGGTCACCACCTACTCTCACAAAGATTCCAACAACGACTGGAAATTCGAACTTGCCAGAGGTGATCCCCGTCTAAGCTTCCATGAGCCCCACCCGGTCGTGCACGGAATGTCTGTTAGACTTGTTCACCAAATGACTAGTAGAAATTTGCACACTCACGAAATTCCCGCACCAGTTCTGTCTTCGGCCTGGGAAGTGAGTGGCTACGGAAACGACACTATAGGTGACCACAAGGACAATTGGGTGGTTGATATCGTTGACCAATACGGATCAGAGGACAAATTGCGTCTGCACCCATTGACCTCGTCTTTCCGTCTTTACTCTCCAGCGATGAACTGTTACCTCGGCACTTCTGGAAACTCTCTTCCACAATGGGGTTTCCGCCAGGGTGAAATAGTTTGCCACAAGAACCCTTTCAAGCGTGACAAAAGAACCTGGTGGAATATCGAGAATCACGTCAACGAGGACTTGCCTCTTCCTCCTGATGACTTCAAGCTTCCAAAAACCCACTTCTTGAAGGACTTCGTCCAACTGAATTTGGCGATGGCTGCCACCAACAATGCTCTTGTTCCAGATCCTGAGAAGCACGACGAACTAGCCTCTTCTGCTTGGCAATGGCCAACTCTCAATGTGGGTATCAGACTCTGTGGTTGGGGTGACGAGGCAGTCAAATACTACTTGATTGGTTCTCCCGCGACCACGTGGACATCCTCAGTTACTCTAGTGATCTTTTCTCTACTGGTCTTATACCATTTGATCAGATGGCAGAGACAAATCGACGACTTTGGTGTGTTAAAGTCCCCTGAAGAGAAGACAGTTTTCGACAAGTCAAGTGACCTGAACTTGTTCGTTATGGGTGGAATATATCCAATGTTTGGCTGGGGTCTTCACTTTTTGCCATTCGTCATCATGTCGAGAGTCACTTATGTGCACCACTACCTACCCGCACTTTACTTTGCGATGATGGTGTTCTGCTACGTTGTCCAGGTTCTCACGCAACGTATCAAATACGTTGGTATCCAGAACTTGATCTACACTGTGCTTTACATTCTTGTGGTTGGCTTCTTTGTCTTTTTGAGCCCAATCGTGTTTGGAATGGACAAACCAAGCGACGACTACAAATATCTGAACCTGCTCAGCAGCTGGAGAATTATCAATCCTCAACAGTGAAGGAAACAAAATACCACTTACAAACCTCCATTTAAAGATTTAAATTTTGGAATATTAACGCTGACGCGTAATTACTTAGAATTGAAAGCAAAGAACGTACTTTAATGGTTCCGAATTGATGTCACGATAGCGCCGCACACATGATAATTCAGTTGTGAGCCCCGGCCCTCAGTCGTACCCCTGCAGCCCTCACACCTTCACAAAACCACTCTTTAACCCCGCGAAAGTCCTCCATTTTTTCGCTATAATTAAACGGAGCCATTGCCATAATCATGGACCAGCCTCTGGATGAGCCACGCTCAAGCAGCGCTGGGGAAGACTACGATAACAGAATTGTGTTGACGATACCGTCTACGCGACTTGTGTTGCGGCTGTCTGGACTGAAGTATATCGCGTTCACAGTGCTAGGAATGGCTCTTTTGTGGCCCTGGAACTGTTTTCTTTCTGCATCAGAATATTTTACCGAAAGATTCTCTTCGAAACCATTATTGGCCAACAATTACTCCTCTACAATGATGACGATCTCAACCTTAACTTCTACTCTCTTCAACTTGTATTTGTCCCAGAGGCAAAAGGATGTTGACTACGCAGCCAGAGTGAGATTGGGACAGCGACTCACGATTTTTGTCTTTCTCCTGATGGGACTGAGTTGTTTGGTGGGGACGAACTCTTCGCCCGTGATGGTGTTTGTCTTCGTTATGATCAATGTGTTTCTCAGTTCCGTGGGGACTTGTCTCTCGCAGGTTGGGTGCATGGCTCTTGTGAATGTGATGAAGCCATTGTATGCTAATGCTGTTGTGGTTGGAAGCGCAATAGCTGGAGTTTTACCCTCTATCGCACTCATTGCAAGCACGGTGTCCATCAAGGCATCTACTGAAGAAACCACTCAGGCTTCGGACCGTAATTCGGCAGTTGCAGTTTACTTCTTTACGGCATGCGCAGTCAGTGCGATTGCTTTGGTTCTGTTTTGGTTGTGTGAACGATTTGATGATTTGAAACCAGATACACCTCCTGCTTCACAAAGCTATATACCGTTGGCAAACGAAGATCCAGATTCAGTGTTCTCTGCTGATTCGGGCCCTTCGGATGACGATATCATCAAAACCGTCGAGCAACAGCAGCATAGTCATATTCACGTCCCTTTCTCTGTTTTGTGGGCAAAACTCAAACTTTTGGTGCTGACCATCTTCTTCACGTTCTCCGTAACGTTGATCTTCCCAGTTTATGCCTCCGCTATCGAATCGGTCAATCACGATTCGCACCCAGACTCGTTGTGGTTCACCAAAAGAGTATTCATACCTTTGGCTTTTCTTGTCTGGAATATCGGTGATTTGGTGGGAAGGCTCGCCTGCTCGCTTCCGATCTTCGTTCTGTCATCGCAGAAGATGATGATCATCTACTCGCTTTCGCGTCTGCTCTTTATCCCGGTGTTTTATTGCTGCAACATACAAAACAAAGGTGCCCTGTTCATCTTTGACTCAGATATAGTATACATGGTTGCTCTACTTGCATTCGGCTTCAGCAACGGGCAATTGTACTCGTCGTGCTTCATGAGTGTTAGTCAATATATGGATACTGAGGAGGAGAAAAAGGCGGCCAGCGGGTTTACGGCTGTCTTTTTGAGTTGTGGTCTGGCTTTTGGGAGTCTGGCAAGTTATTTATTTGTAGCATTGATATACTAGTAAGTATCAAATAAACTATACAGGATGCTGCAGTGAGCATCAGGGCTAATCTAGGAACCGCTCGCTCACATCTGAGCCGCACGCATGGTTTTGTGCCCTGGTGTATCATCACCCGCAAAAGTTGCCGCTGCTTATAAATAAGCACCTTAATCCATCATCTCACCACACACAACACAACACGCATGCTATGATCTCAAGACGTGGAATACAAGTAGCAAAAAAGCTAAGCATGGCTGTCCCGTGGGGATCTGGATTTCCCGCTGGGACTTTGGTGTTGAACCCGGTGTGGGGCCCAGTGCGGAGCCCAGTGCGGACGGCGTTGAGGCCGTACTCGGCTGCGGAACCATTGACAAGACAGTCGCTTTCAGAGCTGAGCAAAGAGCCTGTGGCGTCTACTGATTTGGTTGATTTCCAGCAGACGAAGGTGGAAAATCTTCAATATAGTGATCACAACGGAATGCCACTTTTTTTGGCCATAACGGAACGGGCCGTTGAGAAGCTGAATGAAATTTCAAAGGAGGATGGAGATCCAAATACGGCGTTGGAGCTGAAAGTTGAAAGTGGTGGGTGTCACGGATTCCAGTACCTTTTGTCGCTTGGAAGTACAGAGAATTTTGACCCCAAAAGCGACCAGTCTATGTTTGTGAGGGGCACGGGGAAAGTGATTGCGGACAAAACTAGTCTTGAAATTCTCAGAGATAGCAAAGTCGACTACGTTCACGAGCTGATTGGCTCTCAGTTTAAAGTGGTGGACTCTCCATATACGAGCTCGAGCTGTGGCTGTGGGGCCAGTTTCGACTTTGACTTTGAGAAGCTGGCTTCAGAAAGTGAGGAAGGGAAGTGAGATAAAGAGGGCATTAGGGTATTCATTATAGTGTAAATAGGCATGAATGTTCAATAGTCGAGCATTCAATATTATTATTCCAAATTTTTCAACCTCTGTGGTCTATTGTTTTACCACAAATGTGTCTAGCAAATCCTCGAGGATATACCACACACTCGGCCGATCTTCGTCCTCAGAAGGTGAGGGAGACGACGTCATTTCTCGTGTAAACATGATTTTTCCATTTGAGAAAATGTTGAACAGAGTGCACTTTATCTTGACAAGTTGTAGCTTCGAGAAGTCGACCGCTGTCGAGGAGTCTAGTTGTTGGAACAAAGAGTTCAAGAACGGGCCTTCCGAAGATTCGAACAGCTTAAGCTCTGAGTTTGGGAGGACAATTAAAACATTCTGCAGAGACGATTGTTGCAATCCATTCACTCCAAACGTGAACTCTATATCGCCAAAAGAACCGAGTTTTCCGATTTCGCGAAGCTTGGAAAACGTCCCATTAACACTTCGTTGTAGTAGGCCCTGGTCTGCAACAACAGGTTTCACAAACGCACCGATATCGTAGGTCAAAAATTCTATCACCGTTGAAATCAGCTTTGGCAATACTTGTATCATCAAAAGTCCTCTTTTTTCACCCGATCGCTGGAGAAAAATGCAACTTTGCTGTCCAAGACCGTGGGGAGACCTGAAAAGTAGCGATCCGAGTATATAGTCTTTCCCGTTGAATTGACACTGTCCCTCTCGCGTTTTGAGTTTCAAACTCTGTCGTATTTCGGCTGCCCCTAAAGCTTCTTCGTATGCCGAAGGCGGAAGCAACACTTTGCCTTCGAGAATGGCCTCTGTGATCTTGGTCCTGAAGCTCTCCACCGCCTTCTTCGTGTAGTAGTCCATCATCGAGGTCGCATCTCCCATAAGCTTGAAAGAAAACAGTCTGAACCGCTTGTCCAGTATGAGGTCTCGCGAAGTCATTGTTGAGGTTTGGCGTTTGGCGTGATTATTCCGCCCGCAAACCCCACCGCGTTCTCTGTTTTGAATCAGATCTAATCGCGTCTCGAAAGAAGAAGATCACGTGACCCCTTCCAATACATTTTGAGCGGTTAAATGAGCCCGAGTGCTCTGGTCACGTGATCGCCGGATGGCTGGAGTTGATCCCTCCAAACGGGATCGCTCTGGAGCCGGCTCCACTTTCCTCCAAACACAATCTGCAGTCCTTCGAAGACGACCTATGTCTTTCTGGGATAACAATAAGGACACTTTCAAGAAGGTCGGAATAGCGACAGCAAAGGGTGTTGGAAAAGGAACAGTCGCGGTAAGCAAGTACGGATACGCCGCCTCCAAGACAGCTTACAAGAACCACAACGCCAAAAAAAACGGTGTTGAAAACAAAGAAGGTGAGGATACTAAGTCAGCATCTCCTGTTGATACCAGTTCGTCATTTAGAGACCCGAAGTCGTTCCCGCAACCTCCGAGAAGAACACTTTCGGGGGCTCCCATAGTTGATCAGGGTTCTCCCCACGGAAGCATGTCGTATCAACCACCAAACTACGGCTACGGGGCCAATGGGGCCAATAGTGCTCCTCCTGGTCAGCAGTCTGTTCCGCAGCCTCAACAACCTGGTTATGGCCAGCAATATGCTCCTGCTCCTGCTCCGGCATATCAGCAGGGTTATCAGAATCAGCCAAACCAGCAGTATCAACAGTATCAGCAGCCTTCACAGCAGAATTACGGGTACCAGCAACAGCCGCAGATTCCGCCACCAGCTCAGCAACCGGCTCAGCAACAGCAAGGATATGGTCAGCCGCAGGCCGCTTATGGGTACCAACAACCAGCTCCAGTCCAACCTCAGGTTCAACCAGCGTATGGCCAACCCCAGGTTCAGCAGGGGTACGGTCAACCTCCTCAACAACCTTATCAGCAGATACAGCAACCTCAACAGCCCCAGCAGAACTACTCTCAGCCTCAAGCCCAGCCTCAACAGGGAATTTCTATGGACCAGCTGAGGCAGGCTGGTAGCTTCCTGGGCTCTCTCAGCAATTCCCAAGGCCAACAACCGGTTGCAGCTCCTGGCCAACCCCAGTCTAATACTCCAGTCGTTACATACCAGCAGATTGGTCAAGCTGCTGCTTTTATGAAGCCACACTTGAGTAATGCTATTAATTCGATGAATCAGCAGCAGGCGGATCAGCAACAACCTCCGCAGGTTCCTCAACAGATGCCTCAGCAAAATACACAGGCTCAGAGCTATGGTTATCAGCAACAGTCTCAACAGCCTCAACCGCAGCAACCTCAACAATTCCAGGGATACCCTACTGATCAGCAGCAGGTCCAGCAACCTGCCCCATTGGCTCAGGGCTATTCTTTAAATTCCCCAATTCAACAACAGGGATACTCAAGCGAATACCAGCCTGGGCCAGAGCCTGAGTCGGGTTACGCAAGACCAGCATTGAGATCGCCAGTCCCATCAACTGCGGGCTTTGCTCCTCCCCCGGTTCATCGTGAACGAGGCCATATCTCGGAACCCAGTCACGAGGCTGTTACATCTCACACGGGCAACTCTGCTAACTCTTCAGTCTCGACCCCATCTATAGTCTCACCAAGTGTGGCATCTCCATCACCGGCACAGAGATCTGATTGGCCCCCGCCAATCTCCCTTCCTTCTAGGACTGTGCCTACTCCCCCAGCCGCAGTTGCAGCCCCAACTGCTCCAGTATCGACTGCTCCACCACCGAGCGCTCCCCAAGTTTTGACCAGTCCACCCAGTTTTTCCGCTGATCCACCAAGATATTCGGAGGCTTCTCGTGCGAGTACCGAGGAAGAGCCAGAAGACTCAGGCCCAAAGGTCCCCACCAAAACCAACCTCATGGACTTTGACATCAACAAATACGGGCCTCCTCCACCAAGACCTCATATTGGAGATGCTGATCGGGCAAAACTGGCCACTTTCGAATTTAAAAACAGAAAACCGGGGTCGGCAGGTCCAAAGCCTGGCACTGTGGCAGCTGCTACTCTGAACAGAAGGCCAACAGCCAACGGACATGCTCCATCTCCACCACCTCGCGAAGGAAGTGTGGCCTCTGTAAAGTCCTCCGAAAGCAACGCTTCTCATGGTTATATGGCTGCTGCTGCTGCAATGCAGCCTCCACCAAAACCTTTCCGTGGACTAGAAGGTCTTGCAGATGAAGCTGAGCACAAGAAAGCTCCTCCGAAGCCAAAAAAGCCCACTGCATTGACAGATGAACCTCCATCAACACCCCCTTCGTACAGCCGTTCTCCAGTTCCGTTGCCTCCAAGATCGCCGATGCCAGTCCTTGCGGAGTCTGCTCCTGTCAAAGTGAAACCACCGAAACCTGCCAGTCTTAGAGATAACTCAGGGAAGAAACCACCTCCTAAGCCTTCAAAACCAAAGAATCTGACTGATGGGTCTGGTGGGTCCGGTGGCCGCGATGACCATATGAAGGAGCTTCAGCAGAGACTTGGTGGGACTCATCTGGGGTGAAGAGGAGCCAGATAGATGGAAGAGGCATCCAATATGTGTATAAGATTTCCTATTCCTACATAAGTATTTATGAAGCGAGACCTCGTGGCTCAACCTTAACATATTTCTACCGTTTATCATTGTGCTCCCCAAATTTGGCTCCTCGCATGTGATCTGAAAAAGTAATGTGCACCTCGATTCAACTCGCATCACGTGCGCAGGTTGCAGCTGCAAGCAGGCGCACATAGTTAAGCCCCCGATTATGCTTATTGTTGATTTACTTCTTGGCATACATCGGCTAATTAAATAATACGCGAGCGCATGACAGGATACACAAGAGTTGTCGCACATTTGTGGCTTCTGTGCACTCTAGCAAGTGCGTTAAAGCGTGACATTTCCACTAGGAACAATCGAACATGCGTTTCATGCCATTTTGTTTCCTCCTCCGTTAGCCCCCTACTTTTTCTTTCGCAAAAGCAAAAACCGTTCCTCGAGGCTCGGTCTGGAGACTATTTGTTTTACCCTAATGACGAGAACGATGATGAGCCAGTGGCGTGGGAGATGGATATTATTTTCATTTCCAGACCAGACTTGGAGTTTGTTGACATGACCGACTGGGGGGGGCTGCCTGCGCGAAGACAAGAGAATCAAACAGAAATTCAAAAATTTGCCCTGGATGAAGTTCTGGCCAAAGGCATGAACCAATCTGCGACTATGTCTTTCAAACTCACCCCCGAAAATAATATCACTGGACATTACCCAATACCTTCCTCTGGGTATTACTGTGCCGTTGCGACTTTGAAGGCTAGCGTTGGAGATTTTTCCATGTTTGCCGAGGTTAACTATCATAGTACCCTCGGAAACTTGGGCAGCGATGACCACAGATACATGTACATCTATGCTTTTTCAAGCTTCGTCTACTTCGTTGGTTCCATCTGGTATTTCTACTACGTTTTTCTCAGGAGAAAATACACGACAAACGATTACCTTGCTATTGGAAGCACGAAATCACAACTGAAAAATGCAGAGATTCAGCTCCGTATACTGATGTACATGCTTGGATGCTCTCTGGTTTACTTCATGTCAACCAGCCACTTGTACCACTTGAATAAGGATGGCTCCCAGATTAGCTTCAAAGGATCTCTACTAAACTTTGCTTCTACGTCATTAACGACCCTTTTTTTCTGCTGGGCGTTGTACAATCTGCTGTTGATGTCATCGGGATACCTTTTCACCTCAGGATCAAAAGATATACGAGTCGTCTGGTTCATAAGATTAGTAACCATTTCCACTCTTGTGGGTGGTTTGCTTTCAGATTATAGTTCGGCATTCTGGCGTAGGGGGAGGTGGAGGCGGCGCTGGCACAGCCGTTCTATATTTCTGAAATTACTGCATACGTGTACTTTCTTGGAGTATGTGGTCTGTTTTGTCTTTGGCTCCTATTTATCTATCAAGACATTTTCCGAATTACGTTTGCACGGAAGGAGAGCAACTGCAAACAGATTCATCGCAACAGTGTTAATCATTATCTTGCCAATTGTGCTTGACGGGTTCAGCCGCGGTGTGATATTCATCGAGCCCATAACCTCTCTGATGTACGACATCCGAAAATTCAGATCTGCCAGTCATATTTTTCGCTTAGCTGCCACGGTTGCAGTGGCTTTCTTGTGGAGGGATACATCATTGGAATCAGAAATGGTTTTGAAACAAGAATGACTTAAATGGGGAGCAAATCCTCTCAAATGAGAATAAGAAATTATAGAAACTGGGTGAATTTTAGCTCCAAAAACCAGTAGATTGCACGGGCTTGCAGATTTTTGAAACTAGGGTACAGTAACGAGCTTCAGCAGAGACTTGGTGGGACTCATCTGGGGTGAAGAGGAGCCAGATAGATGGAAGAGGCATCCAATATGTGTATAAGATTTCCTGTTCCTACATAAGTATTTATGAAGCGAGACCTCGTGGCTCATCCTTAACATATTTCTACCGTTTATCATTGTGCTCCCCAAATTTGGCTCCTCGCATGTGATCTGAAAAAGTAATGTGCACCTCGATTCAACTTGCATCACGTGCGCAGGTTGCAGCTGCAAGCAGGCGCACGTAATTAAGCCCCCGATTATGCTTATTGTTGATTTACTTCTTGGCATACATCGGCTAATCAAATAATACGCGAGCGCATGACAGGATACACAAGAGTTGTCGCGTGTTTGTGGCTTCTGTGCACTCTAGCAAGTGCTTTAAAGCGTGAAATTTCCACTAGGAACAATCGAACATGCGTTTCATGCCATTTTGTTTCCTCCTCCGTTAGCCCCCTACTTTTTCTTTCGCAAAAGCAAAAACCGTTCCTCGAGGCTCGGTCTGGAGACTATTGGTTTTACTCTAATGACGAGAACGATGATGAGCCAGTGGCGTGGGAGATGGATATTATTTTCATTTCCAGACCAGACTTGGAGATTGTTGACATGACCGACTGGGGCTCGTATTATAGTTGTTGGGACGATATGCCTGCGCGAACACAAGAGAATCAAACAGAAATTCAAAAATTTGCCCTGGATGAAGTTCTGGCCAAAGGCATGAACCAATCTGCAATTATGTCTTTCAAACTCACCCCCGAAAATAATATCACTGGACATTACCCAATACCTTCCTCTGGGTATTACTGTGCCGTTGCGACTTCGAAAGCTAGCGTTAGAGATTTTTCCATGTTTGCCGAGGTTAACTATCATGGATCCCTTGGGGAATTGGACAGCGATGACCACAGGTACATGTACATCTATGCTTTTTCAAGCTTCGTCTACTTCTTTGGTTCCATCTGGTATTTCTACTACGTCTTTCTCAGGAGAAAATACACGACAAACGATTACCTTGCTATTGGAAGCACGAAATCACAACTGAAAAATGCAGAGATTCAGCTGCGTATACTGATGTACATGCTTGGATGCTCTCTAGTCTACTTCATGTCAACGAGCCACTTATACCACTTGAATAAGAATGGCCCTGAGACCAGCTCCAAAGGATCTCTACTAGACTTTGCTTCTACGGCATTAACGACCCTTTTTTTCTGCTGGGCGTTGTACAATCTGCTGTTGATGTCATCGGGATACCTTTTCACCTCAGGATCAAAAGATAAACGAGTCGTCTGGTTCATAAGATTGGTAACCATTTCCACTCTTGTGGGTGGCTTGCTTTCAGGTTATGGTTCGGCATTCCGGCGTGGGGGGAGGTGGAGGCGGCGCTGGCACAGCCGTTCTATATTTCTGAAATTACTGCATACGTGTACTTTCTTGGAGTATGTGGTCAGTTTTGTCTTTGGCTCCTATTTATCTATCAAGACATTCTCCGAATTACGTTTGCACGGAAGAAGAGCAACTGCAAACAGATTCATCGCAACAGTGTTAATCATTATCTTGCCAATTGTACTTGACGGGTTCGGCCGCGATGTGATATACATCGAGCCCATATCCTCTCTGATGTACGACATCCTAGAATTCAGATCTGCCAGTCATATTTCTCACTTAGCTGCCACGGTTGCAGTGGCTTTCTTGTGGAGGGATACATCATTGGAATCAGAAATGGTTTTGAAACAAGAATGACTTAGAAGATGAGCAAATCCTCTCAAATGAGAATAGGAAGTCGCATGCAATCAGCGCAGACTGAACAATCATGAAAAATCCAGAGCATGAGCGCAATATATTGCACAAGACGTTGGCATAAAATTAGCAATAAGTCATTTAATGTGAAAGGAATTATATAAACTGGGTGAGTTGTGGCGCCAAGAAACAATAGATTGCGCGGACTTGCAGATATTCGAAGCTGGGGTGCAGTGACGAGCATGATGCCTATAGTAATGCCATTTTCATCTATGCACGATTATCGTAAAGACGCAGTCTAAAAATGCCTTCTTCTAAAACACCAAAGATGCCTACACAACCCCCTACATACCATAAAATGCTCTTCCTTCTTATATCTCGTTATTATCATTCGTTCTCGGCCGCCGGCCATCTCTCAAGAGCTGACTCGGCCCAACGGCCAAATAGCAGCTCTTCAATCTCGTCCCGGGGTAAGACTTTTTGCATTTTCTTCCTGGAAGTGGCTGCCAACGTCTCCATTTCATTGTAATGACTGGGTAAAAGCATCTTTTTCAAACTTTCCGTGTCTGAAAGCATGAGTCTGTTCAGAAAATGCCTGAAAAACGTGGGGAAGATTTGTTTCATTTCTGGGTCTATGAAAGAGCTGGTGATCAGACTAGACTGGAATTTCACCAAAGTATCGTACTGGTGAGTGTTCAAATTTAGCGTTGAAGTGGTATCGTCAAATGCGTGATTGAGCATCGAATTCAATTTGAGTCGGTTCTTCCTTTCTCTGTCTTCTATCACGCTAACTGTCTCCTCCACGGAAACTGTGGAAGCTTTCTTCAAAAGCAGACCAGACTCAGGTGCATCAGACGCACGTTTTGGCCTCATTTGGTTGTTTGAAATTGCCCTTAGTGTGGTATCATCGCGTTCCCGTACGGTAACCGTCCCCAGATCAAACACGTCTGAGGCAGGCGTTTTGGGATCCACGGTTTTCTGCGATCGACTGGGAACATAGTATACTTTGTTAGTGTTGCCTGTCTCGATATCCCACTTCATCTTTTTGTCGATCAGCTTTGTAAGAACGGATCTGTTGATGTGCTTCCAGGCCTTGATGAACGGGTGTTTCAACAGGGTCTTCGCATTGGGCCTTTCTTTCGGATCTTTTTGCAAACATAAAGCTACAAATGCCCGGAAATCCGAGCTGAAATCTGATCCAGGACTTGGAGGCGGCTGGTCAGCGATTTTGAAAAGAACATCAAAAGGGTGGAATTCAGAAAGTGGAGGACGGCCATATGCAAACTCCATCGCCGTAATTCCCAATGACCAGATATCCGCCTTATAATTGTAATCTTTGTGGAGAATCACTTCCGGCGGCATCCAATAGGGCGTCCCGACAAAAGTGTTTCGTCTGGACAAGTTTCCAGACAGCTGTGTAGCCACCCCAAAGTCTCCAATCTTGACTTCTCCCTGTTCGCTTAAAAGAACATTTGCTGCTTTAATATCCCGATGTATCTTCCCACTTTCGTGTAGATATACCAATGCCAAAAGCAAATCGTGACACAATAGCGAGATCACCGTCTCGTCAAAGGGACCAGCTGCAAGCAGATCAGCGCAAGAACCACCGCCCAGAAACTCCATCACTATCCAGAGTTTGTAACCCTTCAGAAAACTGCCGTAGTATCTCGTGATGTTTTCATGGTTCGAACTGGCCAAAATTGCAATCTCCTGTTGGATCTCGCGGATCTCCTCAGAAGACTCCAGATCCACTTGCTTGATGGCCACGTCCCGGTCCTCCACCAGGTCCCGCGCCTTATAAACCACACCAAAGGCACCCTTCCCCAGTTCAAAACTCAAATCAAACTGGTCCTCAGCAAACACTCGCACAGACATGATGTCTATGTCTTCCTCTGGTAAAAACGCTCTGCGTTAGCTCCACGCGTTTGCATGCCCATCATCTCTCTGCTTTGAGCGTGTATTTTGGCGTGTGTGAACCGTTATTAAACGCCAGAAGTGTTGGGGCACTTTTAGAGGTGATTCTGGTAAGAAAGGTAAAGTTGAAGTAATCTCAAATTTTGTTGAAGTAGGATCTAATCTGTCTGGATGCTTGAAATCCACTTTTCTGTCAAGTCGAAGCGATAATAGGCGAGAAACTGCTGTGTCAACCGCTCAGATCTGGGGAGCTCTTAAGCGCCCAAAGCTCATCGGATGGGGCGCTAAGCACAAATTTCAACATGCATGGTCTAAATACATCACTTTGTACCAGGTTCAGTTCCCGTATTGTTGGTCGATTTTTCAAAAATAAGCCTTATTCATATCCAGAAGAGATGCTCTGCAGGCAGTTCAACTTTTTGAGTTCGGCGATGCCTATAAGGAGAGGCACATCAGGTCTGCTTAGTCTGATACGGCGAAGGCAACTATCTACTCCCTCGGACCTCTCACAGCAAGACTACAACCGTATCCTTTTGTCTAAGAATCTGACTCAAAAGAACACAAGTACGCTCAACGAATTTATGAGATGTCTGGTGTTCAACGAGGATGGAAACCTCGTGGATGTTGCTTCAGACATCAAGAAGTCTGACCTGATAGTCAAGCACGATCTTTTACCGAGGGACCTACGAAAAATAGACAAAGGTTACGACGATATCGTTCCATCGATTCTGGTGCGGCCTCAATCAATTCTACTGAGTCTTTTGAATATCCGCGCCCTAGTCAAGGCGGATTCGGTGGTGCTGTTCAACCACAGAGCAGCAGACTCTACGGCAACACAGCTCTTCGTTTTGGATCTTGAGTCGAAACTCAAAACTCCAACTGCGGTGGCATGTCTTCCGTACGAGATCCGGGCTCTGGAGGCGATATTCATATCTGTGATGGGGAACCTTCATTCCGAAATGAAAGTTCATACCACCGTCGTTAAAGGAGTTCTCCAAGAATTGGAGGACCATATCGACAGGGCCAAGCTCAAGTACCTGCTGATCGAGTCAAAAAAATTAACCCAGTTTCACCAGAAGGCTACGTTGATTAGAAACCTTCTGGATGAACTCTTAGACGATGATGAGATTCTTTGCGACCTCTATCTCTCGGACCGCGCGGCCGGGAGGCCTCGTCAAGGAGCCGATCATCAAGAGGTGGAGTTTCTGCTTGAGTCGTATCTCAAACATTCGGACGAGATCGTCCAGACAGTTGAATCTTACATATCGGATATTAAAACGACTGAGGAAATTATCAACATCATTCTTGACTCTAACCGGAACCAATTGATGTTGCTTGGACTGCGGTATTCGGCAGGACTGCTCAGTTTCGGTTTCATGCTGTATCTCGCTGCTGTTTATGGAATGAACCTCGAGAACTTTATCGAGGAGAAGGACTTTTGGTTCTGGATTGTTACTTTGGGATCCACTGCAGCTGCTGTATTTGTTTTTGTGTTTTCCATTAAAAAGTTGAACAGATTACAGAAGATTACTATGGTTGGAGATGGTGTTAGGTCTCCAATGACGACAAATTTTAGGAAATAGATTCGGCCACACTTTGAATGTTTCAAAAAAAATTATAATTTTATAAAGCTTCCAAATGCTACGCAATTTTGGGATATTTTTGGGTTTTTATTCAGCCTGGTTATTTCGAATGGCATGCATATCGCTGCTTAGTCGCTCCAACATCGTCCGGCTTTCGATGATAATTTTACATAGTTTATACATGGCTTTAACATGAGATCGTGGTCTTGTATTCTTGAGAGCTTGAGGAAAAATTCGTGAAAATTAGTTTGTTTATCTGAAGGTGTATTTTTCAAATCAGCTCGTCTTCTATAGCATACCTCGTCTAAGCTCGTCTAAGCTCGCTTTCTTTAACTCGGCTGAATATTTCAACGCTTCTCAGTTTTTCTCTTCTCGTTCGTGATTTCATGTTCTCACTTCTTTGCCTTTTTGTTAGGAGTATCTCCTTCCTTTGGTCTCGTAGAACCATTCACCAGTGACGCCAGTCCACTGCTCATTCTGTCATCGCCATACAGACTAGCAGCAGTTCTTGCTGGATTCTTGGGTATAGACGAATCTGAACTAGGAGCTACCGGTAGGCCGGAAGGTCCCTCGCGTGGCCGTCTCCAGGGCTGGCCTGGTCGATCAGGGAAGTTGGGCAACGCAGGCACTTTCCCGAATTCCTTCTCAGAAGGGTAACTTTGCGGTTTGGGAGGACGAGGAAATTTCGGATATCTTGAGTCTGTTCTGTGGGGTCCACTGTGAGGTATATTGTGTTGAGGTCCTGTAGGGTATGGTCCTGTAGGCCCAGGTGGACGCCGCACGATGTCAAACCCATTGGAGCTCGAATGCTCGTCAAACCGAGGTCTTGGGCCGTTGGGAAAACTGTTCACGTGCATTTTGTTGGAGCTAGAATTGTGCGGACGAAATGACTGGTGGTGAGGTCCTGGTCCTGGTCCTGGAGAACGTGGCGGGTGTTGATAGTGGTGCTGCTGCTGATTCTGCTGCTGATTCTGTGATTCTTCTTTATACTTCTTCAAATCCGACTCGTGACTATCCTCAGCAGTAGGAAGTTCAGAAGGAGGACACGCCAATGGTTCATACTCAAAATAAGGATGGTCCTTAGCACGCTCGGCAGTGAGCCTTTTCAAGGGATCTAACGTTAAGAGGCCAGAAAGAAGGTCCATGCCCTGTTTTCCCAAATGCGCAAATTGTGTTTCCAGATTCCGCGATTGGGGCAAATTTCCATATGTCTTGCTGCCAGGTAAATTAGAATAGCCAGGAAGTGTCTTATCGTTTGCTGGACCAACCAACTGGAAAATGAGATTGCCCTGGTGAACATCAGACTCACCCTCCATGATGGGCTTCCCAGTGAACATCTCGCCAAAAACACATCCAACACTCCACATATCGATAGCGGTGGTGTATTTCTTATCTCCGAGAATAAGCTCAGGAGCACGGTACCACCTCGTGGAGACCAGTCCCGTGTACTCATGTTCACCAGCTCCGGGACGAGTCCTAGTTGGAGACGGTCCATAGTATACTCGGGCCAGGCCGAAATCCGCAATTTTCAGCGTTCCAGAAGTGTCGATAAGAATGTTTGCGGCCTTGATGTCTCTGTGTAAATACCGTTTCCTGTGGATGTAATCTATTCCCTCAAATAGCTGAAGTAGAATGCATTTGACATGACTGGGTCTCACGCGAATACGTGGGTTGTTCAAAAGCCCCGTCAAATCTGTTGATGCATATGGAGTGATCGTGTAGAAACTTCCTGGAATCTTCTTGGAGACGTCACCATCTTCGTGAACCATGGAAAGAAGTTGAAGCACATTACCGTGTGCCAGATTTTTCATGATGGTCACCTCTCTAAAGGCCGTTATGGGAAAGCCGTCTTTTGTATCATGAACAATCAGCTTCTTCATAGCAACTAGCTGGCCCGATCTTTTCTGTCTGGCTTTTGAAACAACACTTATCGGTTAGTCAAACAAGAACAACGAAACCCGTTGACGTGGTGCTGACCACAGGTACTTACCCAAACGTGCCCTGGCCTAGTTGATCCAAAAACTCATAATCCGCCAACGTGTCCATACCATGGAACACTTCTGTGCTCGATACCTGTGTCGGCGTATGTGCCGGGGTGCTCATGGCCATTCCGTTGGTGATATTAATAGTTGATGGTCGGTTCAAGGCAGTGTGAAGTGAAATATCTACGGGTCGTGGCATGAGTGTTTTTTGTTCTGGTAAATACACAACCCGCCTGCACCGCCTTGCAGCAAGGGTCATGTGGCGCTAAGCTATGGAACTCCATGGAACTATTTGAGCCGTTAAACCCACCTGACGAGTGCATTAAATTGCTTTCTAAGTGTCATTTATCGCAAATTTTCCACCGGATTTAGTCAGCTGGGTCAGAACTTTGGCATGTGGTAGGCCGGAAAGCATGTGGAGGCTCAGCGCATGTGATGGTTTTGGGCGCTTGTTTCCCGCCAGAAACGCATCGGGGCCACTCGAGCGACATCTTTCTAGAAGCCTGCAGAAGAACACCAACCCCGGCGAGGTATAGAATCCACTTTCATATCGCATTATTTTTTTCACAAATTTTCCGGAAGTACAGCATTTTCAAACAGCTGATTTCTTGCTTTCGGCATTTGCACGTATATAATTCGGCGTTGCCCCCCAAAGGTCTATCTGCGTTCTCTCCCAAAAGCAAGTGAGTCTACTGCACTTCTGTTCCCCTGATTTGACAGAACCCAAAAAGTGCCTAACCCCTTTTTGACTTCACTCATATTCATCCGTTAGCGCTGATCTTCCAACTAGATTTCGAAACAAACGAATACAGTGATGCTGAGCTGATGCGTTCGCAGGGCAAGCTCTTCGAATACATATGCCAGCGGCTTGCGGTTGACGCAGAAATCGCCGATGAAATAAACGAGCCGTACATATGTGACGACACCGAAGCTATGCTGTTGGAAACCTTCGTTGATAAGGTAGCAATCTGGCTGGATTTATATTCGCCCATCCCGCTCTTTAGCGACCTGGTTGCCCGAGTGTCTGTCATAGAGTCGTCTGGTATTCTGCGGAATTGCATATTTGCTTGCAGCGCACTGTACTTACACGGTTCTGATCCAGAGGCATACGATGCTGGTTTTTGCCTCAAATATCATAACGCTGCGTTGCAGCAGCTCCGGATCAACCTTGCCTCGTCCGAGCGCGAGAACCCGAAGCTACTGCTATGCTCGTTGATATTAGTGGTTGAGGGACTTTTCTTTGGCGAAAGCCAGACCTTCATGCACCACATCATTGGATCATGGGCCCTTTTACTTGAGATCTTGGACTCAAATGCTGTTTCCGGGAAAAAATATGGCTACCTGTTTACTCAGGCATGTTTTTACACGCTTACGGGAGTGGACTTTGCGTTCATGACCCGGTTTGGAGTCATGCCTGTGATGGACTTGCAAACCTCTGAGTTCGGCTGTTTTTCATCTGCCAACGGCTTAGAGGCACGCAGACTTCATGATGAGTGTCAGATGCTCACCAGCGATCACCGTGTTGATTTTGCGATTGCTGATGAAAGTTTCCTGGCTAGTCGTGATAAGACATGGTGGCTCCAGGAAAGCCTTTTTGTTCTTTGGGAATCCTTCAGATTGAGACATATTCCCTACGTCGAGTCTGAGGAAGATGTCATCGGTGGCTTTCTGGCGCAAAAATGGCTCAACTTGTGGCAGAAAATCGAAGATTTCGAGGCCATGATCCCAGCCAAGTTTGCCCCATTGGTGTACAATTCCCCGGCTTCGTCCCCTTCCAGCGGCGAAGCCCTTGTGGAGGGTGATGCTTCTTCATCTTCCAATAAACCCATGCGCATGGAGATATACTTCCTGATCGAACAAGCAGCCGTTATCTACATGAACATGAGGTATGCAAAAATTCTTCTTCTGGAATCCATCAACAGAACCGGACTCATTCCTACCGGTCACAAAAAATTCAAAACAGTAAGACGCACAAAGCGTGGAACACGAAGACTGTATGCTGGTCCTGTTTTGAGACCTGATGATGAATTACTGGATCATTCAGAAAGAAGGCAATTTCAGGTCCAGTACGCAAAAGAGATCCTCGGCATTGCCGAGTCTTATGGTTCTGACTCGCTTGTTAGTGTTCTTTGTGTTGGTTTTGTTCGCCATGCTTCACGGTTATTGAATCGGCATTCGAAAAGGAGAGAAAGTTGAATGATAGGAGTTGCCAGTAAGCTTTGGCTCTCAAATCATCTTCCAATCGTCTTTTCAAGAACTAACAAGTAGCATTCTTGCTTCCTTTTTGCATGATTAATGCATTCCCACTGTGTTCTTATTGCATCCTCGGGTTCGCGTTCCGTGGAGCGCACCCTTCTTCTTCATTGTTGTACCATACCAGAGACGTGTTCAATATCAACTTTTTTGGCAACAGCTGTCTAATTTCTTCCTCCTTTCCTTTTTTCCCAGCTGGATGTATCTCTAAACTGTATAAGTCATAAATAAAACCTGTGATATCGTTAGATGTAGTAGGAAAATCGTAAGGGCTTTCATAGCACTGCAGCTTTCTCAAGAGCAGAAATGGTAATCTCAGCAAACTCTTTGCTTTCAGATACACAAAAAGAGTGGGTTATTCCACCTTTTGCCCCCAATTCCGTGTCGACGTTTTCTGAGTAAAGCTCCATCAGCAATCCGCGAGTCTCGTCCGCTACCCAATGATCTGCGGCTGCAAAGTAGGCCCATTTCTCAAATTTGCATCCAAAAAAGCGCTCATTAACACTCTGGTCTGCCCCAATCACTCTCATCTCCTCTGATGCTAGCGAAAGGGCCTGTTCAACAATGGAAGGAGAGGTCACCAGTTTGCAGGTGGCAGCCAAAGATCCACTACTAGCAGCTCCAAGCTTCAACCCCACCAAGTATTCCAATACCGAGCTCGGTAAACACGAGATTAAAAAACTCAGATGCCCGACCAGTTTCGGAAGACGCGAAATCCGCTCAGAAAGCCCCTTGAGTATCCTGCCATTGGAACTCTTCGCGATATCCGTGATAGTTGGGGTGATGAGACCAGCAAACGCCACTTCGTAACTCGAATTCAAGTCTGAATCATCCAAAACACCCAGAATTACCCTTTGGAGTATCCATGATCCGACGGAATGACCCATCACCAGCAATTGACGCTTAGAACCAGAACCATCGAAGGCCTCCTTCCGTAACACTTCCAACTTATGTGATATCTGCTTCGAAAGTGGGTATAGTTCCTTCGGCCCTTCCCCATGAGTGGTACTAAAGCCAGCATGAGATACACACAATATCTCGAGTTGTGGAAACGCCGCTTGCACCAACTGAAGATAATCGATGTAGTACTCGACCAAGCCTGGGTTGCCTGGAAGGAAGAGCAATAGTGGCGATTCCGAATCGGCACCGGCAGACTCCAAAGGTTCCAATCGAAAATATGAAGTTGGATATTCGCTCTTGTACGTTTCAACTTTCACCATTTTTTTTCTTGGAGTGAAAAAGTAGGGATAACATACCGTAATAAGACTTGTGAGGTGTCAAGAAAGCTGAGCTGAAGAGATGCTCTTCGAAAAAAGGCGTGCGGCTCAGAATTTTTGTCAAAAGGTCAGAAATGCTTCGGGGTATTGTCGGTATAATTGGAATTTTGTGAGGGTTATTTCCGAAATTTGCAGATATATGAAAGGTTTCAAGTAATGGTATTGGTTCTTAGCTGATATTAGCGGTTTTAACTATCCAGAAAATCAATACATGTAGACAATGCCACCGTATGACCGCCAGACTCACGCAACTGGGTAGCATATACCACGTTCCAACGCCCCGGAAATTCCACATCAAAAACATTTTTATTCGTGTAGATGAACTGTCTTTTCTCCGCAGGAGTCCAGGTCATGTATTCTTCGTACTTGTCAACCTCCGGGCCAACATTAGCAGCAACCAATGTTCCCTTCCCCACCATTCCCAACGATTCGGCCACGCGAATGACAGAAACATAAGGTCCAGCAGAGTTGTTGAGGTATAAGAAATCCACCGGAAGTATCAGATCGCCGAGGCCGGCCAGTACTTTCGAGGTCGGACCCTGAATGACGTGAACATAGCGATCTAGAGCGCTGAGCTCAATGATGTAACGGCCAATTTTGGCATGAGACTCATCTTCCAGAAGCAAATAATAGTCGATATCAATGAAAGGATCCAACTTCAACGCCTTATCGATAAGATAAACTGCGGAATAGCCGAGGTCGCTTCCTATTTCGATACAACACCTAGATTTTTGGTCGAGGAACTCTTTGGAAATCCTAGAGCATCTCGAGACTTCGGATTTTGGGCCATAGAACTCTTCAATTGCTTCCAAAATTTTGGGACGATTGCTTTTCAAACTTTCCTCTCGAGTCTGCAGGTAGGCAAGCAGGTCTTGATGAGGCTGTGGGGTAAGGTTAGTGTCAAGCGATTTTAGTAGTAGAAGAGTCATTGAGGCATACACTTGGTGAAGACATGCTGATGAATCACCAAAAGTTTCAAATTTTTGGTCTGGAAAGAAAAGAAGAGGAAGCGGAAAAGAAGATTGGCTGGGCTTGAAAGTTATTGATCATGCCATCTATGTGGGGAGATGATGACTTCGGGCCGGATCTGAGAATCTTGGTGTAATTTCGCTCAATTGAGAGGATTTTGAATGTTTAAAAATTGAAATGTATTCAGGTAATATCAGTCTGTGGAATGGGACCTTTTATGGAGCTTTTAATACGAAGTGTGAGCTAAAGTACTACTTGAAAGATTTCGCGCAGTATGGCTGATATAGCCGATAACAGCCATCGGGTGACCCATCAGAGAAGACACAGATTGAGGCTGTTGGAACAGACCTTTCCATGAAATCCAGCGGAAACGAGAAACTATGTTTATTGGTAAACATTATTCAGGCCTGGCCCTTGGTTTTACAAAAGTTGAGGCTTCGAGGCCAATTTATCGTGAGCTAATTTTTCAGTCTGGTGAGGGCTTAATAAACGAGACGATCTGTGCCCTTACGGAAATGACAGATATTTTGTACCCTTGTTGAAATGGCAGAGCATCGCTCTTTCTCTGATGTGAGGTTCTTTCAAGGTATATATATCAGAGCATTCCTCTCTGCTAACACAACAATGACAGATCTCACAGCCAAAGAAAGACTTGCGAAACTGAAGGAGTTGAAGTCGTTAAAAAGACAGTCGGCTGATTCGAACCGAAAAGAATTGCTCCGAGAGCACCAGCAGAAAAAGGTGGATGCCAAGGTGCGGCTGCGGCTGGAGGAAAAGCAGAAGCAGGCTGAGGAGGAGCTCGTGCGACTGGAATCAGAAGACAGAGGTGAAGATCATGACAGGCGTAAGGCTTGGGATTGGTCGATAGAGGATGTCGAGCGGTGGGACGCGAAACAGAAGCGCGACAAACATCGGAAATCGCAGGCAGGGTTTCAAAACTATGTTCAAATGGCTGAGCGAGCCTACGAGAAGGATCTAGAAGACAAGCCAGTCTCAATAAAGTCTCACAACGACCAGATGGAGCAGCTTGCTGAGCGTTTGGAGCAGGGGCAGGACTACGACAAGGCGATACAGGAATTAGTTGCGCGCTATAGGCCGTCCAAGGACACTGTGGAGGGCTTGGTGGCCAATCTTGCTGCAGCAAATGAGAGGCGTATGAAGAGAAACAGGCCTGTGGGAGAGAATGATAGCGGATTCATCAACGATAAGAACAGGCAGTTCAACGATAAGTTGAGTCGGCACTATGATAAGTACACGCGGGATATCCAGGAAGCATTGGAGCGTGGGAGTGCTCTATAAAAGGAGTTTAATACCTAAATTATATCACATTATCAGGAAAAAACTGGACTCGAATTTTCAATAGAGACATATCTCTTGACTAAGAATCCTGTATTTGAGGGTTACCCGGCAACACCATTTTTCTGTGTGTGCACGACTTTATGCTCGACAGTCTTTCACTTTTACCTTCACTCTTGCCAACCATACCTCTTTCCTTCTACAAAACAAAGCCGCCACTTTGTCATCAAGTGATTGTTTGCACCCATCGCGACTTCATTGGCCAGAAGCTCTGATAGTGCAGCACACAGCTTGTTGTATCTGCCATTCGTTGAGACCAAACAAGGCAAAAACACACACAGAGAATGTCAGCGGCTCAAAGTGAAGAGGAGCGGGAGATCCAGGATCATATATCAGATTCGCATAGCGATGATGAAAATGATCTTGATTCCCACGACGTTGGCAATGTTGTAGACTCGTCTGAAGAGGATGAAGATGATGACGACGATCCAGAGGCCATTCAGAAAGTACGTGAAGGTTTCATCGTTGACGATGACGATGACGACAATGACAACGGCGACGCGGCACAAACCAAAAAGTCTAGGCGGAAACGTCGGGCTGAAGCCGAGAGAAAAGTCCGTGATGACGAAGAATTGGATGAGGACGATCTCGAACTTCTCAGGGAGAACTCAGGTGCTTTGCCGGCCCATTTGGCGGAGAAGTCCAAGTTCAAGAGACTCAAAAGAGCTGATGATTCTGGAGCCTCAGAAGGCCCTCGTGGTCTGACCGAGATGTTCTCTGATGAAGAAGAGGCCGCTGAGCCCGAGGAGGAAGACGATGAGCAAAGGCCTCGTCAGCAATTGGACGAGTTCGATGGTTTCATTGAAGACGATGAATTTTCTGAAGACGAAAACCGTGACGAAGAAGTTGCAAGAATGCGCCGTAATGGAAGAGCCATGAATCAGCTCGCTCACTCATCCATTGACAACGACAAGCTAGGCGAGCTGTATGAAATTTTCGGTGATGGCGAGGAATACGACTGGGCTTTGCAATTGGAGGAGGAGAACGAAGTTGAGACCGAGGAGAATGCACAGCCCAAGACCCTGGAGGAAGTGTTTGAGATGTCCGAACTGAAGGAACATTTGCTAACCGAAGAGGATGATCTGATTCGTATGTCTGATGTCCCAGAAAGGTTCCAGGCCCTGAGAAAGGGAATTGAGCATTACGATCTTTCAGAGGAAGAATTTGCCTTGGAACAGGACTGGGTTGCTAACGAGCTAATGAAGGAGAAGGCTGCGATGCTGGCGCAACAGACCTTTCTGTTGGAACCCTTCAAGGCCTCTGTCAAAACCGTTCTGGAATTTATCTCAAGGGAACTTCTGGAAGTTCCTTTCATTTGGAGTCATCGTAGAGACTTCCTACTGCACACATATCGCGAAGATGGGGCATTAAAGGTTTCTAAGCTGCTGAGCGAGCACGATCTTTGGAGACTGGTTGAACTTGACTTGGAGTACCATCGAATCTACGAGAAGAAGCTTGCGATCCAAAACGTTTACAAGTCCATTGGTGTTTTCGACTCTCTCTACGAGGAGTATATCAAGTCTTCACGCTCCATGGTGGAATTGCAGGACATCCACGACTACCTTTCCTTCACATATTCAGCTGAGATCAAGGACGCTGTTTTCTCGAATGGAGACCTCAAGTCTAAAAAGCATTCAAAGTACGTTGTGTACGAGAAAGTGAGGGCAGACCCTCTTTACGAAGTGGTGAAGGCCGTTGGTATTTCAGCCCAAGAATTCGGTGAGAACGTTTCAACCAATCAGAAGCTTTATCAGACTGAAGACCCCGAACAATCTCCAGAACAAATGGTAGCTGCCGTTGTCGAAGCTGGTGAAAGCTTTTTGGCTACTGATGACAAGGCCCTTGAGGCTGTGAAACACATGTATGCTGAGCAGTTGCTCCATGATCCAAGACTGAGAACCACGTTGAGACTGGCTTTCCAGAATTATGCCAATATTGACATTGTTCTCACGGAAAAGGGTAAGGTCAAGATAGACGAGAACAGCCCTTATGCTGATTTCAAATACGCCATCAATAGGCCTACTGAATCGTTTAGTTTCCACCCGGACCTGTTCTTAAGGATGTTGGAAGCAGAACAGCTGGCTCTGGTTGAGATCAAGATTTATCTCAAGTCGTTTGACTCCTTCACGGATCATTTGTACGGTTCGTTAGCCTCTGATGGAACCTCAGATGTGTCCGCAGCTTGGAACACTTTGAGGCGCTCTGCCGTTGAAATCGCGATGAAGAAGCTGGTCCCTATTGTTTCTTTGAATGTCAAAGAAAAGCTCCGTGCCACCTCTGAGAGGCTTCTTTTCTACGATGTTAGAGAAGAATTCCTAAGAAAGGTAGACCAGGCTCCTTACCAGCCCGCTGGATACTCTAAGGGAACCATTCCCAGAGTTTTGGCTGTTTCTAATGGCCGCGGAGAAAGGGACGACGCAGTGATTGCAGTTATGATCGATGATGAAGGAAGACTCGTTGAATCCGTGAAATTCGAAGAAAAGCTCAAGAATCCAGAGTTTGACCGCTCCTTCCTCAAGGTGATCGAAAGACTACGTCCAGATGTGATTGCCGTTTCCGGCTACAACGTCAATGCGAAAATGTTGCACCAGACGGTTTCGGAGGTGATCAGAAAGAACGACGTCCGTGTCAACAACGATCCGCAAGAAGAGCTCACGTTCGAGACAGACGATGGCGAGGCTCCATTGCTGGAGGTTATGTGGGTGGCTGATGAGACGGCAAAGCTGTATCAGCACTCCAAGAGAGCTGAAAAGGAGTATTCCGACAAGCCTGTTGTTGCGCGGTTCTGTGTCGCTTTGGCTCGTTATGCGCAATCGCCTCTGCTGGAGTACATTGCTCTAGGCGAGGATTTGCCTTCTCTGTCTATCCACAAGCATCAGACGCTGCTCTCTCCCGACAGAGTTGTTCAAGCCATTGAAACTGTTCTCGTGGACATCACCAACATGGTGGGAATCCACATAAACGATGCAGTCAGAGACCCATATAAGGCACTGGCTTTGCAGTATGTTGCTGGTCTTGGGGCCAGAAAAGCCTCGGGATTGGTGCAGAAGATCCAGGCCAATGATGGTGCTTTGAATAGCAGGCAGGAGCTAGTGACCAAAGAGCTGATGTCGAGGCACGTGTTTATCAACTGTGCCTCTTTCCTAATCATTGACTACGATGAGAGTATGGAGGCTGATGGAGAGCCGCTGGACAGTACCAGAATCCATCCAGAAGACTATGATCTGGCTCGCAAGATGGCCACTGATGCCCTTGACTTGGACGAAGGCGATCGTGAAATTGTTGAGCGTGAACGTGGTGGGGTTATCAATTATCTTTACCAGAAGGGCACAGAAAAGCTAGACGATTTGATTATCGAAGAGTACGGTGACGAGCTTGAGAAGCACAACCAGCGTAAGCGTGCCACACTGCAAACCATCAAGGAGGAGCTCCAAGGAAGTTATGACGAATTGCGCCGTAGCTTCAACAGACTATCGGAATCGGAAGTGTTCAGAATGCTCACCGGAGAATCTGAGGAGACTTTCCACCCTGGTGCGGTTATTCCAGTGAGTTTGAGAAGGGTCGATGACCGGTTTTTGGTCGCGGTCACTCAGTCATTGATTGAAGGTAATATTCGCAGATCCCATATGCTTGAGCAGAGCGATTACCGGTCTCCAAGTCAGGTGTTCACTGTTGGTGAGACTTTGAGAGCAGCTGTGATTTCGGTGGACTACTCGGCTTTCAAGGCCGATCTTTCGCTTTTGAAGGAAGACATTTCAAACGCTACCACCAAGTACATCGAGAAGTACGAGGGAACGTGGGATTTCGGTGCTGAACAGGCGGACAAGAAGATCGAGCAGAACAAGGTTGCGACTGAAAACCGTGCCAAGCGGGTGATCAAACACCCTTACTTCCGTAACCTTAACAGCCAGCAGGCCGAAGACTATCTGGCACCCCTCCAGGTTGGAGAGTACGTGATCAGACCTTCTTCGAAGGGTAATAACCATTTGGTGGTCACATGGAAGGTGGACGACCAGTTGTTCCAGCACGTTGATGTGGTGGAACACGGCAAGGCCACTGAATATTCTCTTGGCAGAGTTCTTCAGGTTGGCGAGTTCAAGTACTCTGACTTGGATGAATTGCTGGTTGGCTATATCGGCTCCGTAGTCCAAAAGGTGGAGGACATGGTGAACCACGAGAAATTCCGCAAAGGCACATTGGACGAGACAAAACAATGGCTTGAAAGATACTCAGCTGCAAACAAGAATCGCAGTTGCTACACCTTCTGCTATAACCGCAAGTCGCCCGGCTGGTTCCTGCTGCTTTTCAAGCTTTCCCCGAGCTCCGAGATCCGCACGTGGCACGTGAAGGCGCTGCCAACCGGCTACTCGTTCTCCGGCAACGTTTACCCTGATATGACTTCGTTGTGCAATGGTTTTAAGACAGTGGTAGCGAACCGTCAAAGACCTACTGAGCACCGTCGCGGGCCTCCTGCTGCGGCTGCCGGTTACGGCTACGGTGCGTATAGTGGCTATGGTGGATATTGATGAGCGGCAAAGAGGCAAAAAAAATGGCCAAATATTGACCAAACTACCATATAACATTGTAATCTAAATTAACTTTTGATCTGAAAAATTTTGTAGTGTGTAGGCGAGCTTTGATAAGAGCAATGGGTCCCGCACGTCCTTCAACGCATATCCAATTCTGAAACCCTGGGGCTTTGCTAAATTGTCTCTTCACTCAACCACCAAATATGCGAGTGATTTCTGCATTGGCAATACTGATATCAGTGCTAACAGCACTGGTGAATCTCTACATATACACGTATCCAAGTTTGAACGCGGAGAATTGCTCTTGGAAGCACCAAAAACATCAAAAGCATTCCTATCTGGAGGACGTGTTTGAGCAGTATGCACACACAAAAAAGGGCTACTCAAAGGCCTCCAACGGTGCAAATAGCACTAGTGAAGTTGCTGATATTCGTCTATTGGCCATTGGTGATCCCCAGATCAACGGCAACTGGCCATCCACGAAATATATCAAACGGCTGGATAACTACGGCAACGACTACTATTTGGGCCACATATACCAGGTGATGAAAAGAAGATTGCAGCCGTCTCATGTGGCCGTGATGGGAGACTTGTTTTCTTCGCAATGGATCAGTGATAGCGAATACTATAACAGGACGAGGCGGTTTATTACCCGACTTTTTCCCGGGCCTGAGGAATACACTGCGTACAACCTCGATTTCGTCAATAAGCACGAGGACGTGGACTGGGTTTCGCACATGCATTGGTTCCAGAAGACCCTTGAGGAAGGAGGGTTCAAAGGACCTGATCAATATGACTTCCAGAACATTTACGATTGGACAGAGCACCAGCTTGCTGACGAACCGCTATTCATCAACCTGACTGGAAATCACGACATTGGATATGGCGATACGACATATCAGCACATGACCCGGTTCAGAAGGCTATTTGGAAAGGACAACTATTGGATTGAATATGGGGCTGGCACTGATCATGCTTGGAGGATTGTGGTTTTAAACTCGCTAGCTTTGGATGGCCCTTCGGCCCAACCAGAGTTCCTGGATTACACATGGCAATTCGTCGAGACTTTACGGGAAAGACCATTTGAAGGAAGCACCATACTGCTCACTCATATTCCGTTCTACAAGCGTGAAGGCTTATGTCGCGATGGACCTTTTTCCGAATTGTACACTCCTGAAAATGCTGTTGGGGCCTACGCCATTGGCAAACTCAAGTCCGAGAATCACCTCCAATATGAGACGTCCCAGCGGGTCTTAAGCGCAGTTTTTACGAGCGGAAAGCCGGGAATTGTGATGACGGGTCATGACCATGAGGGATGTGAGAATTACTACAACTTAAGTCCCGAAGGTGAATGGTATGCTTCCAAGGAAGTAGAAGCTGACGTTCATATCAAGGAAATCACGGTTCGGGCCATTATGGGCGAATTTGGTGGAAACACGGGAATTATGACCGGTCACTTCGATGAAGACGCTAAACAGTGGGAATTTGATTATACTCTGTGCCCATTCATTGTGCAGCATGTATGGTGGGCAGCTCAAATAGGGTTGCTTCTTTCTGTTTTGCTGGTTTCTGGTGCGTTGCTGTTTTGAGAGCTGAGGCTTGTCGAAATGGCATGAAAAGCTGCATGGTGCATCATCAAATATCCAACGATATTTTTATCAACTCAGAGATGGAAAACTCGTTCAAAGTTAGTGCTGATAGTAATGCTAAAGATCACAATGCTGTTAGGATATTTGCTGGCAGAACTACCTGGACGTGCAAAACCCTCAAAGAAACAAATTGGAAAGTGAAACTCATTTCGGTCGAAATAGACAACTTTGTCGGATACTTGTTTTTTCAAGGTTTACGTTCAGATGACTGTACTAGTAGTGATAGTGGAGCTATGCTATTGTCCAATACCGGTGCTGAAACCAGCAAAATGCCACTATCATACTATAGGAATGAGCATTTTTTTATTAGTAATGACACCCTAATATCAGTATTATTTGCCCTTTTATATGTAGGATTTTTTGGTCCATCGACACCGACACCAACACTGATAGGCATGGCTAGTGTTATCAGCCATCAATGCTCTTATCAGCTATTGGCAGTATGAGTGCTAATGGAAATAGCAATGACCGCTGTTGGGGATGGTCTCTTTGAAGAAAAACACAAAAAAACGCAAAACATGGCTCAACGCACTAAAATCAATTTTTCTGATGCTATCAAGCCCTACTTTTTGTCGTTATCTGTACATGATATTGAGTAGATCATATCTGACGAGTCTTATCAGCTGAGGGTCCACTGCAAATCAAACGGCAAGCCACCTGCAACTACGTCACCACAATAGCACGTAATTCATTCTATTTCACCAGCAACAACTCCAAATGAAACCTTTTCCACGATCAAACTCTAGTTCAAACCGCTAATCGTGTTGAATTTTTATTGCAACTATTCATATGGCTTAACCCCAGTTGCACCCGCCACTTTTCCCGATCCAGCCCATTCCAGGCTGGTGCATGTGGAATTCCCGATACAGCGACTGCGCCACAACACAGACGGTCGTCCCAGTGGTGGAGCCTTGGTATCTTTTGTTCTTTCCAAACAAGCGGATTACAGCCAATATTGCACCGTTCAAACCCATTGTTTTTTACAGTGCAGGCCTGAAATCTACTCTAATACCTTTTTGTTCTTTTTGGCTTTCTCCGTTTTGCCGCACGGTCGTTATCCCTTGTGTTACCGCTCATCCCGTTTCAGTTCTAGAACAAGGCGCGACCTGCAAAACCCTTCGATCACCACCAGATTTTTGGCTGACACTACCAGAATAGCCTTCAAACTTCAGCATGTTTAGACGCAAGAAGACACAAAAGCCGCCGCCGCCGCTGACCAAGATCCTGGAGGTATACAACGAAACCGCTGCGCTTTCCCTGAATAACCTAAGCCTGGAACAAAACAAGCGGCCAGCGGAAGCCCTTCAAGGCTGGAAAACTCTCCATAACCTTCTTGTTGAGAGATTGGAAGCTCTGGATGGTCATATCACGGGATTGGAGCTGACAGACGAAGAAGCCTATGTTCTGGACGAAATCCGCATATTACAGGCTCAGGCTGATGACCATCTCGTAAGGCTCGTGGGGGTCCTCGAAAGTCAGCCACAGTTACAAGCGAGCCCGTCGAAAAGGACATTTGCGGCCTCCACCTCCAGCTCCAACATGAATGTGCCGACTTTGCGAACCAGTAACCCCCAACCAATGAACACGAAGAAGTCCGCGCCACGGCCTTTGATGAAGACTCTCCGCGGAAATGGATCTAACCCAAGTGTTGCGGCGGCTTCCAGCACGAATGCTGGTGCCAAACAGGCAGCTAACGCTATTTGGAACGACGAACCCCATCGTGTGTGGTCTCCATCTACTAGCTTGTCCGCGGGAAAGTCATATTCGACTCCGGAGGACGCCTTTCGTGATTTTGACAGTGTCTCTGAGCGGGATACGGCTGATGCTCGTGCTGAGACCTTTGAGATGCTGGAGAATACTGGTAATTCGTCTCGAGTTACCCGCAAGATTGCGTCCAAGTCTCACAAGAGCGAGGAGGACTTGCTGGATCTGAAGTCTGCATTCACGTCTCTGGCCGTCAGCAAGTCTCATCCCAAGCCAAAACAGAAACCGCAGTCACAACCACAGCCTCAATCTCAGCAGCGACCTGCAATGTCTGCCAACTCGGCGAACGCCCTCAAGAAATCCGCAGCGGTGAAGCCTATTTCGAACATCAGACAGACGCGATCTCCACAGCCTCCTCATCAGAGACAACCAATCAAAAGTACGCCTGTGGACCGTTCCCATGCTGCTACAAGTGCAAAGTTGGTTACCCAGCAGAATGCCCGGCCTCGGCCTGCACAATCCACTGCTCAGACACCAGTCCAGTCCCAGAGCCATGCTCAAGCTCAATCCAAGCCTCAGTCACAGCCACAATCCCAATATCAGTCTCAGTCTCAGTCTCAATCGCAATCGCAGCCGCAATCTCGCACCGTTCGCGTTCCAGCACAATCCAGGTCGCGTACTCCTGTTAGAGTGGTAGACGATGGCCTTTTGAAAGATACCGAAACACTCGAACAGAGTGACGACAGTGAGGGCGAGGATGTGGACGAAGACAAGCTGATTGCGTCCCTACGCGGAGTGGATCCACTTGCTGCCAAACAGATCATGAACGAGATCATTGTTCATGGCGATGAGGTGTATTGGGATGATATCGCTGGACTGGAAAGTGCCAAGAACTCCCTCAAAGAGACCGTGGTGTATCCATTTCTACGTCCTGATTTGTTTAGTGGATTGCGTGAGCCTGCCAGAGGAATGCTGCTGTTTGGCCCACCGGGAACGGGAAAGACGATGCTGGCGCGTGCGGTTGCAACCGAGTCCAAATCTACGTTCTTTTCGATCTCAGCATCTTCGCTGACATCCAAGTATCTCGGTGAGTCCGAGAAACTTGTGCGGGCACTCTTCCAGCTGGCCAAGAAGCTGGCTCCTTCCATCATTTTTGTGGACGAGATTGACTCGCTGCTGTCTTCGCGGAACAACGAGGGAGAGAACGAATCAAGTCGTAGAATCAAGAACGAGTTTTTGGTCCAATGGAGTGATTTGACCAAAGCTGCTGCTGGTCGTGACCAAGGGGAGGATGCTCAACGTGTTTTGGTATTGGCAGCTACGAATTTGCCATGGGCGATCGACGAGGCCGCTCGTAGGCGTTTTGTGCGGAGACAGTACATTCCGTTACCGGAGTATGAGACCCGCAAAGTGCAGCTGCTTAAGCTTCTCTCGTTCCAGAATCACACTTTGAGTGAGTCTGACTTTGAGAAGCTGATTGCCATGACGGAGTCGTTTTCTGGTAGTGATATCACTGCTTTGGCCAAAGATGCGGCCATGGGTCCGCTCCGTGAGCTTGGTGACAAACTGTTGCTTACGCGAAAGAGCGAAATCCGGCCTATTTCGCTCGTGGACTTTGTCAACTCATTGACGTATATCCGTCCTAGTGTTTCCAAGGAGGGACTTTTGCAGTTCGAGGATTGGGCTGAGAAGTATGGGTCCTCGGGTGTTTGAGGTGCGAGCGAGAGGAGATTGAATCATACGAGGTATTTGCGCGAAATGGGAAAGCTAACAGTAACCTAGGATTACGTTGAGATACAGATTATCAGGTGAAACCTGGGTGTTGACTTCATTGAATAAGTTCCGATTAATTGAGCCTTCATTTTCACGAAATTAAAGATACATGTCAAACTTGAATGGAAGCCACAAAAAAAGCCGAGTGGTCACTAGTAGCTGCTTATTGCGGTCTAACCAGTCATTAGACAGACTGTAACAATATGCAGATATCCGAACCTTCATCTAATTGGCTAACCAATGGTTAACTATCTGCTTATTGTAAATCAACTAGGATCGACTCATGATTTGATCTTCAAGTCCTCATTAACAACTGACACAAATCTTCTCACTTATTTAGCTTGCTTTCTGTAGTCCAAGATTTGCTTGGCTGAGTCGTAGATCATCTTTTCAAATGGAATCAAACTAACTCCCGTGATCTCCAACGTCTTGGAAATGTCATACTTTGGAATATTCTCCTGCAGAAACTTCTTTCCAACCTCGGGGTCGCCGACTGGCAACTCAATTCCTGGAAACTTGTCGTGCAACACATCGAGAACTGACTGGACACAGAAGGGAGCGGTCACAGGAAAGAGTCTGGCATCAGCATACTTGGATGGGTCAGCGAGCGGAAGAACATGAAGACGAGCAACATCACGAACATCAATTGAAAGACCATTTGGGGCAGTGAAAGGTCCCTTGGCATCGGGCTTCAAAGCCAGCACCTGGTTGACAGTTTCAGCCGAGGTGTTGAGAGAAGCAGCAGCCACTGAGCTCTCAAATAACTGAGGCCCCATGACGAACGGAGGGTTCACAGTAGAGATGGTGAAGTTTGGTTTTTCATTCTTGACGAAGTCACGTGCAGCTTTTTCTGCGGTTTTTTTGGACAAACGATAAGACGTGTGTTCAGTCTTCTTGGCCTCTTCCCATTCCATTGGGTTCCACGATTCTTCGGTGTGAATATATGTTGGATCAGTGAACTTGGAAGCATCCAGAATTGCAGCAAATGATGAAGTCACCACAACGTGACGGACTTGAGGCGCATAAGCCTTAATTGCTTTCAGGATCCCAACGGTTCCGTTGACGGCTGGAGTCAGGTAGATATGCTCCATGTCTTCTCCAAGCCCGTATGCGAAGGGCGAGGCTGTGTGCAGCACAAACTCGACTTCAGGGTGGGCCTTGATAGCTGAATCAAATGCATTTGGATCACGGATATCTGAGACAAGTTCGAATGTAAGCTTAGCTTCTGGATACTTGGCCGCGAATTCGGCCGTGATTGAATCAGCTTGTTTCTGAGTACGGACGGTTCCGACGACTGGGTAGCCGGCAGAAAGCAATTGGTCCACAATGTGAAGTGCGATGTAGCCTGAGGCTCCTGAGATAAATACGGACATTTTTGAATTGGTTTGGGATGATGTGTGATCATTCGCATAGTTTTTTCAAGGGGGGTATCAGAGGCATTTTTATATGCATGAGCAAAAGGTTGTGTGCCCTGAGGCACACCGAAAAGGTGGGGGAAGTGCGCAATGTGCGGGATTAAGTGTGAGATAAGCTAGAAGGAGAGAGACATAGGAGATAGAAAGCGGGGGGAAATATGATGAACTGGAGCAAATCAAAGAAGAATACAGAATTACTCTTATGGCTAGTTTTGTCCAATGCCTGCTCGAGCCCTGAGACTAGGCTGAGAGGCCTTAGTTAATAAGTGGGCCCCAGCTCGTTTAATATGAGGTTCATTTGTGTTGAATATGTGTTGATGTGTTAATATGTTGATATGTTGATATGTTGATATGTTGATATGTTGATGTGTTTAAGTGTTTAAGTGTTTATGTGTTCATGCGAGTATATTTGAGTATTTTTTGTGCGACATTGTGCAAAGAAATTGATAGGTAGCCGGACGTCTACGAGTGATGGAATATGTCATCATATTTAGTACGCCTGCATGATGCACACTAAAAGTTACATGAATAGTTATGTACGAGTTGTACGTATTAACAAGAACAAGGACTCAAATATTTTGAAATTTCAGATAATTGGTTTATTCTTCGATCCATATATAATTATGTACACATATTACTAATTAACTGACGTTTCAAAATTTTCCAAAAAACTCAGATTTCTCTAGATTTTGCGCTACAGCAGAGAAGCAGAAACCACTTAGCAGGCATGAATCAGGTTTTTTGCTTCAAGTAATCTCCAAATATACAAGCAGTGTTACTCTAAATCATTCTCTTCATGATTTGAAGTGAATACAGCCATATTTTATCCTTTTTATCGTATGTTCGCTTATATCTATTTACCTTGGCGTGCACACCAATTCTACGCCGCACGTAAATATTGAGAGTCGCAACGATTCTTAACTGTTACGCCCGTATTACCCATAAATAGCAGTCTATATGTTACTTTTTGCTCCCTATAAGCGCATATAATTGTATCTTTCGATAAATTTAAAAACCCAAATACAAGCATTAGCTCATTGCTCATACTCGCTTAGGAGTGTGCATGAGTGGACAGAGATAATAGATAGCATATTGAACAGCACCAATAATACCTAATTACCGCCAAAGTACCACCGGGGCGATTAACAAATTACCAGCATTCCAGCCTTTCGGTGTACCTAAACTGTTGATCCAACGGCCATACAGGACGTCAGCCCCAATTCTATCAGCACACACCCTGACATCACCGTCGGATTTGGCCGTGGCCCACCCGCCAATTAGGGTAACTGCTAGAGAATCACGGGACCAGAACCACGAAAAGGCCAGGAACTGCCACACTTCAATCACAATCAAATAGAAATCTCAACAATAGCAACATTATTCTCAACTTCTAAGATTTTTGACGGTAAAAATCTCCCGAAATTCGGCCGAATTTCCACTTCCCAAATGTTAGCCGCCCAATCGTAATCGGCCAAAGACCAAGCGACCAAAGCGCCGTCGGGACGCCGATGCGTTGCCGCCGAATTGGGATGTGCTGCCTGAGATTAGGTGGACATTGATCCCGGTGATATGGTCGCTTTCTATACTCCAAATCTTTTTATATTCTGTTTCGCTCCTTTTCTCTTTCTTCTTACTAGTTCTATAGTTACTTATTTGTCAGATCCACATGTCAACTACTGCCTGGACTGTCGATCAGTGGTTGCGGTTCCACCAGGAATCCACCCCACAGAACTCGTACGCCGCGCTTCTACAACTCGTCAAATCCCAGCAAATCGCACCCGCGGACCCTGCCTGGATCTCGCTGGCATCACCAGACATCCTTGAACATCAATGGAAAATATTGCAATCGAAGGCTGACAAAAGTCAGTTACCGCTGTACGGAGTGCCTATAGCGGTTAAGGACAACATTGATGCCAAGGGATTTGCAACCACAGCCGCATGTCCCTCGTTTTCATACGAACCCAAGGAGGATGCCACAGTGGTAAAGTTGCTGAAAGACCAAGGAGCAATTGTCATTGGTAAGACCAATTTGGACCAGTTTGCTACTGGTCTGGTCGGAACCAGGTCTCCCTACGGAAAGACGCCGTGCGCATTTTCGCCCGACCATGTCTCAGGTGGGTCATCAGCTGGATCAGCCAATGTTGTTGCCCGAGGAATTGTTCCGTTAGCCCTCGGAACCGATACCGCTGGTTCTGGAAGAGTTCCGGCTGCCTTGAACAACCTGATTGGCCTAAAACCCACCAAGGGAGTCTTTTCGTGCTCCGGAGTGGTCCCAGCTTGCCGTTCGTTGGATTGTCCTTCAGTCTTTGCACTCAACTTGGGAGATGCTCAATTAGCGTTTAATATTCTGGCCAAGCCAGACCATTCCGACGAGTACTCCAGACCCTTACCATCTAATCCTTTGCGTGCATTCGGCCCAAAACTGCGTGTGGCGGTGCCAACCCAAATCGACTGGTTTGGAGAGACTCAGAACCCTGAAATTTACGCCAAAGCCGTTGAAGCTTTCAAGGAGTTGGGCGCTGAGATCGTTCCTTTGGACTTCACTCCATTGCTGGACCTTGCCAAATGTCTTTATGAAGGCACCTGGGTTGCAGAAAGATGGGCTGCCACACGCGAGTTCCTTGCTACGAACCCACCGGTTGAGGATCTTGATCCGACCGTAACCGCCATCATTCGTGGCGGTGCTAAACATGACGCGGCAACCTCGTTTGAGTACGAATATAAGCGCCAGAGACTTGTCAAGGACTTCCGTGCATCATGGCACGATCTGGATCTGATGCTGGTTCCTACTTGTCCTTTGAATCCTACTTTTGCACAAGTTGAAGCTGATCCTGTTAAGTGGAACTCAATCCAGGGTACCTGGACCAACTTTGTGAACCTGGCTGACCTGTCTGCCTTGGCAATCCCAGCGGGATTCAGACCAGATGGACTGCCACAGGGTGTGACTCTTCTCTCTGATGCGTTTTATGATTACGCTCTTCTGGACGCTGCTAACAGAGTGTTCAAGACATTGTGGAAACAGCCTCGTACCCTCGGAGCCACCGAGGTTTTGGTCGGAATTTCCGACGAACTACATGCACTGCCCAAACCGGACCTCGAATCCTCGGTCAAATTGGCCGTGGTGGGCGCCCATCTCAAGGGCTTGCCATTGCACTGGCAATTGCAGAAGGTGAACGCCGCTCTCTTGGAGAAGACAACTACTTCGGCTAGCTACCGTTTGTATGCACTACCACAGGTGGGCCCTGTAGCCAAACCGGGACTCAGACGGGTATCCGAGGGCGGTTCCGAGATTGAGGTGGAGGTGTATGCTGTGCCCACCGAGACTTTCGGTCAGTTCATCGCTATGGTTCCAGAGCCTCTTGGAATTGGGTCGGTCGAACTGGCATCTGGCGAGTGGGTCAAATCGTTCATTTGCGAGGAGATTGGGTACTCCCAGAAGGGCACCCAGGATATTACCGAGCTGGGCGGCTGGAGAAACCACTTGGCAGTCAAGAAGTCTTCAACCAAGAAGCCATTCGACACTGTTCTCGTGGCAAACAGAGGTGAGATTGCGGTGCGCATTATCAAGACCTTGAAGAAACTGGGGATTCGCAGTGTTGCTGTTTATTCCGACCCAGACCAGTACGCAGAACATGTGCTCATAGCCGACGCCGCAGTTGCGTTGAATGGAGTTTCCGCCGCACAAACGTATTTGGATGTGGAAAAGATAGTTGCTGCATGTAAATCCACCAATGCCCAAGCTGTTGTGCCTGGGTATGGATTTCTCTCCGAGAACGCGGACTTTTCAGACCGGTTAGTCAGGGAAGGCATTGTGTTTGTGGGACCAGCCGGTGACGCCATCCGTAAACTGGGACTCAAGCACTCGGCTCGTGAAATTGCCGAGAAGGCTGGTGTTCCTCTAGTCCCTGGATCTGGTTTAGTAGCCTCGGCTGCTGAGGCCCGCAAAATTGCTGCCGAGCTCACGTATCCGGTAATGGTCAAGTCGACCGCCGGTGGAGGCGGAATCGGATTGCAGAAGGTGGATTCCGAGAAGGATATTGAGCGGGTGTTCGAAACCGTTCAGCACCAAGGAAAGGCCTATTTTGGCGATTCGGGTGTGTTTTTGGAGCGTTTTGTGGAGAACTCACGCCATGTTGAGATCCAGATGTTTGGTGACGGTTACGGAAAGGCCATTGCTTTGGGAGAACGTGATTGTTCCCTTCAAAGAAGAAACCAGAAGGTGATCGAAGAGACCCCGGCTCCTAACCTTCCAGAGACCACCAGGCAGAAGATGCGCAAAGCTGCAGAGCAACTTGGTGCTTCCATGAACTACAAGTGTGCTGGTACCGTGGAGTTCATCTATGACCAACAAAGAGACGAGTTCTATTTCTTGGAAGTCAATGCCAGACTCCAGGTTGAGCACCCCATCACGGAGATGGTTACCGGAATCGATTTGGTGGAATGGATGCTGCTCATTGCGGCGGATATGCCACCAGATTTCTCGCAGCCAATAACCGTTTCCGGAGCTTCGATGGAGGCCAGATTGTATGCTGAGAACCCAGTCAAGGACTTCATGCCTTCGCCTGGTCAATTGACAGAGGTCAAGTTTCCCGAATGGGCTCGTATCGATGGTTGGGTCAAGAAGGGCTCGGTGATTTCTGCCGAGTACGATCCTACACTGGCTAAGATCATTGTTCACGGTAAAGACCGTGCAGATGCTCTTGCTAAGCTCCGCCAGGCTCTCAACGAGACAGTGGTTTATGGGTGTATCACCAATGTGGATTATTTGAGATCTGTGGCTAACTCTGCCATGTTCGAGAATGCACAGATGCACACCAAGATCCTGGATTCTTATCCATACCAGCCAATTGCTTTCGAGATCACCAGTCCTGGAGCATACACCACCGTTCAGGACTTCCCAGGCAGAGCCGGGTACTGGCGTATTGGTGTTCCACCTTCTGGGCCAATGGACGACTATTCCTTCAGACTTGCAAACCGCATAGTGGGTAACCACTCCAAGTCGCCTGCAATTGAGATCACGCTCAACGGACCATCGATTCTTTTCCACCACGAAGCTGTGATCGGTATAACCGGTGGATCTGCACCAGTAACCGTGAATGGTGAGCCTGTTGCGATGTACGAGCCAGTTTCTATCAAGGCGGGTGACAAGCTCGTGATTGGAAAGCTTACCACTGGATGCAGAGCTTATTTGGCGATTCGGGGCGGAATTGACGTGACTGAGTACCTTGGATCCCGGTCGACTTTTGCCCTTGGAAACCTCGGTGGCTATAACGGTAGGGTTCTCAAGCTTGGAGACGTTTTGTTTCTGGGCCAGCCAAACTTGCCAGCCTGTTCGTTGCCAGCTCCTGTTTCAGCACCTGCAACCGTTCCTAGAGCTTTGGTGCCCCAATTTCCAGCTAAAGAATGGACTGTTGGTGTGACTTGCGGTCCCCACGGGGCCCCGGATTTTTTCCAGCAGGAGAGTATTTCCGATTTTTTCAGCAGCCAATGGAAGGTGCACTACAACTCTAACCGGTTCGGTGTGCGTCTGGTGGGGCCCAAACCTAAATGGGCCCGTCCTGATGGGGGGTCTGCCGGTTTGCACCCCTCCAATGCACACGACTATGTATACTCGCTGGGAGCCATCAACTTCACCGGTGACGAGCCAGTTATTCTGACTTGTGATGGACCATCTCTTGGTGGTTTCGTCTGCGAAGCAGTTGTGGCCCAAGCCGAGATGTGGAAGATTGGTCAGGTCAAGCCTGGTGATCTCATCACGTTTGTTCCGATCTCTTTTGACGGAGCTTTGAAACTGAAGAAGACGTTGGATTCTGCCATTGCTGCTCTATCTGGTTCTTTGGCGGCTCTGGAGCCAATTCCAGGCCCTGAGGACCCGGTTATCACGAGATACACCGAGTCCACCAATTCACCAGTGGTCACCTATCGCCAGGCCGGTGACCGCTATGTGCTGGTTGAGTATGGTGAGAACACCATGGACCTCAACCTCTCGTACAGAGTGCACAAACTGATCGAAATGGTCCAATCGCACAAGACCGTTGGAATCGTCGAGATGTCGCAAGGTGTCCGCTCGGTTTTGGTGGAGTTTGACGGTTCGGTGATCTCGCAATCCACTCTGGTAGAAACTTTGTTGGCTTACGAGAAGGAAGTCTCTTTTACCAACAAATGGAAGGTTCCCTCAAGAGTGATCAAGCTTCCAATGGCATTCGAGGACAAGAAGACCCTGGATGCTGTTCAGAGATATTCCGAGACTATCCGCTCCAATGCACCCTGGTTGCCCAATAACGTGGACTTCATTGCGAGCGTAAACGGAATCGAAAGATCCACAGTGAAGGATATGCTATACGCAGCCCGTTTCCTGGTTCTTGGACTTGGTGATGTTTTCCTGGGAGCTCCATGTGCAGTCCCATTGGATCCTCGTCACCGCTTCCTCGGAACCAAGTACAATCCTTCAAGAACGTTTACCCCCAACGGAACGGTGGGTATTGGTGGAATGTACATGTGTATCTACACGATGGAATCGCCTGGTGGATACCAATTGGTGGGCAGAACCATTCCGATCTGGGATAAGCTATCTCTCGGAAACCATTCCACCATAAATAACGGCGGAAACCCATGGCTCCTTTCACCCTTTGACCAGGTGGAGTTCTATCCGGTTTCCGAGGCAGAACTGGATAAGTTCAGCGAGGATGCTAGCCACGGATTTTTCAACGTGGATATCGTTGATAGTGTCTTCGACCACACCAAGTATCTGGAGTGGGTGACCGCCAACAGCGATGCCATCGAGGAGTTCCAACAGGCCCAAGGTGGTGAGAAGATGGAGGAGTTCAATAGGCTTATCCAGATTGCCAACGACGAACTTTCCAAGTCCAGTGGGCCAATCGTGGACGAGAACGAGAAGTATCCGGACGAGGCGGAATTGGTTTACTCTGAGTATTCCGGCCGTTTCTGGAAACCACTTGTCGAAGTTGGTGATGAAGTCAAGGAGGGCCAAGGTCTGGTCGTGGTCGAAGCCATGAAGACAGAAATGGTGGTGAACTCACCAAAGAACGGAAAGGTGTTGAAGGTGGTTCACAAAAACGGTGACATGGTGGAGGCTGGAGATTTGGTTGTCGTTATTGTTTAAAGAGGAAGGGCTTCTGCCTCCTCAAATTTTAAGTCATTTAGTTTATTGAGAATGTGTTTTTTTTGACGTCAATGTAGATACAATAAGGCCACCGGGTGGTGGTACGGAAGACTGCCATTTCAATTGGCCGTCTCAAACTTTCACTCTTGACATTCAGATTATGCGTTTATGCGCTCGTAAAATAACATATACACCGCCTTTGAATCATTCAGAACATCTTCAACACTGACCTCTGTGATCTTCGTATCAGAAATCCGCCAGAATGGCATTCTAATCGAACTCATCAGCCGCTTCCGACGCGGACTTCTCGCCGGACTCGAGTCCGGCTTCAAGCTAATGTCCAATTCAGAGGGTCTTCTGCCACCCACCAACGACGAAACTCGAGACCGAAATCTTGATGAAACCGATCCAGATCTGCTGGGTGGTTTGGAAACTGGCGAACGCAACCGTTGATCATCGCTACTAGCAACCGCCATATCATCCGATTGGCTGTCATCTTGATCAGCACGAGAATTATCACCAATCTGGTCGTCATTCAAGTTTGGCTGATTATTCATTGCAGCATCGATGATCCCTCCTTGCCTGAGCGTTCTCTCGTCCAGTAACGGTGGTAAGTCTGTGGAGTATGTCCCATCAGGGTTCTTGTAGAACGTTGGTTTGTGCCTGTAACACTCGTAATGTCCAAGCGAATGAGACCCTTGGTGCCTGACCATTGCCTTTAGACGATAATTAAACTTTTTGGAAGTCGGTGAGATTATGGCAGCAGGCTGCAGCTGCGTATTTGTAGTATCAGGTACCGTGGTAGGTGCTGTAGTTGGTGGTGATACCGATGGCGGTACCATTGACTGGGATCTGACTGAAGAATCAGACAGTGAGGATGTCGATTCGGAAATGGAATGGGAGTCATCTTCGTCCTCGTTTTCGTCTCCTCCTTCTCCCTCGCCCTCTTCCGTCTCAGATACTTGCCCAATATCCTCATAGAAATCCGTCTCGGGTTTCTCTTCTCCCATCAACAACGAATTTGCAACAGAAACCGGCTGTGAATCGCGCACGGACGCAGTGACACTCCTGTCGGAAGTTGTTCCAGACTCGTGGTTGGTTTCAATTTGCTCCATTTGCTCCAGCAGGGAAGAATCCACACTAACCGTAAGAGTCTCTTTGAATGCAACCTCACACGGATTCCTGGTGGCCTGGGTATTTTGGTAAATCGACCGCGAGAGATGAATAGCAAGAATTTCCGGTGCACCAACTATATTTGTCATTTTGTTCACTGTGGTTCTGACTGCCGGACCGTCTGCTCCAGGAAACCTTTTCAGATACAACTCAATATCGGCATCGAGATCGTCATTGATAGCAAGCCCTTTCGCGAGCAAATCTCTCAAGCTTTCCAGCATCTTAAAGTCCTCATCACCAAGCTTTTTTCCGTCTGATTTCATCCATTCCAGAGTGTTCACAGCATGCCTAACCCTACACTGTGTACAAGCATACCCACTTATGTTCTCAGATTCGTTCTGGGCCATCAGTTGCTCCAGCACCACAGAATCTTGCTGAGGAGTGGAAAACGACAAGATTGTGCATGGGCTGGACTTGAATGGTGAACTTCCGTTGCACGAAAGACACCGCAGTTGGTTGCGCAAAAGCCCCGTGAACGGGAATCGCGGCACTGGCCCATGGTTTCCATTGCCCACAAACCGTTTCACCAAAGAATTTTCTCGCTCCAAAGTCTCCAGAATAAGCATCAACAGTTCGTGAGCATCGTGTTGGTTGCGGGATATCCGGGAATTGTAAATTTTCTCCAGCACATGGAGAAAGTCCCACACCGAGCACACTCTGGATCCACTCACCACCTCTTGTAATTTCGACAAGATCTCCACCAAGGCTCGATGAAGCACCAATTGGGGTATAGAAGACTCCTCGAAAGACCGGTCGATTTTGGCTGCGGCTTCTAAACGAGAAAGCGCAGTCAGCATTTCATTCAGGTAGACATTCAATCCCGGAATAGCAGCAAGGGCTTGCAGCGTAGAATTAGCAAAACAGTCCACCGTCATGTTGATCATTCCGGTGGTGTATTTGTCAGGTCTTCTCTTTGAAAACATCGCACTAGACCGAGCTGAAGGGTAGAGAACGTAAAGAGCAGTTCCAATAAGTAGCAATAACCACTTGGTATTAGCCAGTTTGGCTAGTGTCAGACTTAAAGATGAACGAGGCAGCACCGCGCGATTGCCCTGGTCAAACAAAAAGTTCCGAAGCCAATGGTACATGCGATCCGCTAACTATGGCCCAATCAGATCTGCACCAAAAATACACCACGGGTTGAGAAATAATGCCATGGAAGCGATGGAACTCCATTCCTCGATGGGGGGCGGCTTTCGATGGCTTACGTCATCTCTAGCTGTCGATGCGGCTGTTTAGCGCTGAGACCCTTGAAACCAGGAAAACCCGCTGAAAAAAACACGACTTGAAGGTTATGCGATCCCCGAACCATTTTGTACCCTGACGAGCCACTGGAGCTATGTTGGTGGGGGCTTTTCGAGTCACCATTGGGCCGCACGAGGATGCGGAAGTAGGGAAAGTGAGTGGGGTAAGGGTGCGCGATGCGATCTTCGGCCCAAAGCAGACAGATCCCGTTCATTTCAAGGAGGTTTTCTTTGGGTCCGACATTTAACCACTGCCCAATTGTTTTCCCAATCTGAAATGCTTCACTATAGCAATTTCAAAACGGTCAAAAAAGATCTCGAGATTCCGGGACTCGGAGAACTCACCGGTCTCGAGTTTGATAACGGCTCAGAACAGTACTTGGGAATTCCGTATGCGACTTTCCCTCGGCGATTTGCACCTTCAAAGGTGTTGACGGAGTGGACTGAGTTAGAGAAAGGTGTCAAACGCGATGCCACCAAGTATGGGCCAGAAGGGGCCCAGCCATACACTCCCATGTTCTTCCCATTCCAGCCCCGTCCATGGCTTCCAGACGATGGGTTGGTAGTCCAAAGGACCGACCGCAAAGAGATGCTTACGCTCAATGTAACTGTTCCCAAGACCTCCAAAGACCATTCCAAATTGCTCCCCGTGATGGTTTGGATTCACGGTGGAGCAAACACGATTGGTGGATCTGCTACCTGCGAGTTTGATGGTATTTCACTAGCCACTCTTTCAGCTGAAATCAGCAAGCCAACTATCATCATCACGCTCAACTATCGTCTTGGATACTATGGCTTCTTGTATTCAAACGATATTCGCAATTTCAATCTCAAAGAAGGGTTCGGCGATTCAGCCAATTTTGGGTTCTGGGACCAGGTCAATGCGCTCCGTTGGGTTCAACAGTACGTTCACGCATTTGGCGGCGACCCCGAGAATGTCACAATCTTTGGCCAATCTGCCGGTTCTGCGGCTGTAAACATGCATTTGTGGCGAGGCGAGAAACTGTTTAAAAGGGCAATTCTCCAGAGCGGCTCAATCAGCGTATGTGGGATCGATGATCTGGAAAGTGCCGATAAGTTTTATTTTAGATTGCTTGACCAGCTTGGAATTGACCACAATTTACCAGGAGATGCCAGAGTCGAACAGCTTTTGAGAATCGAAAGTTCTGTAATGGTGGAAGCACAGGAGGCTCTGTTCAAGGACCAAGAGTTCTCGATAGTGCCCTATGTCATCGATGAGCACCTGTTTCCGAGCTCTGGTAATCCTCGAATTCCTGCAGATTCGGGATATCAGATTCCCGAGTTTGTAGATTCTTTGATGATTGGAGATACTTATGAAGAGTTTGGCCCGAGGCCGGAGTATTTAGAGAAAACACCCGGTCCGGTGCTCTTCGCGCACTTGAAACAAAAAGCTTCACCCGAACTGTTTGAGATTTTGACAGAACACTATGATCTCTATCCTGATATGACAAGGGACGATTTGAGCACCGTTGGAACAGCTTTGGTAACCGATAGCACATTTGCGTTGCCAAACTTTTCACTTGCTTTGTTGATTTCAAGCGAATTGCCTATTTATTGTTTCCATTTTGATCAGAAATCAGATTTTGAGCCTACCAAAGGAATGGCACACCATTCACTAGACTTTATCTATATCTGGAACATGTTCAATGAGGTTTTCCAAGACCCACGGTCAGCCGACCTTTCTCGGAAAATGGGCACTCGATTCCTGGAGTTCGCGAATGGACTAGAACCCTGGTCAAGGTATGAAGGAATTGACCCCAAGTATCAGATCTTTGGGCCTGATGGCGCTGACAAGGTGTTGGCCTTGTCAGAAGATCTTCCCAGAAAGAAACGGTACGAGGCCTGGAAGAAAATTTGCGCAAAAGGCCTCCAGCGCGAGTTTTATAGGGTCTGTTGGGAACTTGGGTATGGCAAATAGCCGACCGGAGTCTCTCATTGGTCTAATAAAGATAAATCTTAAAGGATGTTGTACTTTTAGATCGCAAATACAACAAGTAGAGCGTGGCGCCCTAAGTGCGGCACTCAATTGATTTGTCCACTACCACTATATCTTTTTTTCCCACAGTCCTCTGAGCAACGCCTTGTTATCTCCCACAAATCCGTTGGAATATGAGCGATAGAACGCGAGAATTTGCCAGGCCAAGTGGTAGGCCTAGTGGTAGAATGCCATTTTTGACGGCTGGCTCACCCCAGATGGTTTCTAATCGTGGTGCGCGCGAGAAAGTCGTTTTGGCCCCAGGCCACTCAGCCGTTGATTGGGAGGCCCGCAAACGCGAGGAAACAAAGCGGATTCGGTCGCGACTTCCGCAATTCCCTATGCGACTACGAAAAGAGGATGTGAAGCTTCACGCATCGCGTGACGACTGTTGGGTAAGCCTTGGTGGAAAGGTGTATGACATTACTGGATACCTTGACTATCATCCCGGTGGAGTGGACAAGCTACTGTTAGTTGCGGGCAAAGACGGGACTGCGATGTTCAACCGGTATCATCCGTGGGTGAATTTTGAACGTATGCTTGATGGCTGCTTGGTTGGATTTGTACTATAATGAGGAGGACAAATTAAGGAAGTCACGACATCAATTAGAGGTTATCAATGGTTATGTTAACGAGCATGTCGTTCAACAAGTTAGGCAGAGTGTTTTAAAATCAAGGTATTGTCTTTGGTTCTTATTTTACACTATCATACATTCGTTGTTACAATGTTCTGTCATCAAGTCTTCTGGCACGCCTTTACGAATGGCGACCTCTCAAATTGGCTGAGATCACACCATGGTTTCTGGCCCTGAACGAACATCCCATAGAGAGCTTCCGGGGTCACAGGTTGGTCGCGGAACTCACTTGTGCGGAGTTCCAGTATTAGTCCCTCCAAAAGGTCTGCGATTCGCTGATCAAGCGTCTTGCCCCATGCGTCCTTGTGATGACGAGCATTGGCTTTGCCAGCAGAAACCTGTGCAAGTGGAGCTCTTTTTTGTTTGCTTTCAGATTCGAAACGGGATACTAGTTCCGACACAGAAGGCTTGTGGGAGCGTGCAGTGTGTTCCAGGGTCTCTTCGCTGGAATTTTCTGATCTAGGGCGTTGGCGCTGCTTTGGTTTTGGCTTTGGCTTTGTCCTGCGTCGCGTAACCTGGCTCTTGAGGGGCGAGTAATGGGAAACGGGTATCATAAGGCGTGGGTGGAAAGATTCAATTTTGATAGAGAGTTGTGCCGATAATTGGGCGGGAATCTGGTCAGACTTTAGATTCAAGTCTGGCACATGCGTGGGTATGACTGGAGTGTTTGCTGTTGTTTGCAAGAGTGGCTCCGATGAACATGCAATCTCATTAGTTGCGACTGAAGCGCTCGTATTTGATGTTTGGAAAACTGACGAGGTTGCTAGCGGGTCTGAATCTGTTGAAGTTCGTTCTGGTGCAGTAGGAAGTACTGAAACTTCAGTAACTTCTGCAACTTCATCTGTGACCCGTGTGACCTGACTAATAGCTTCATGAATTAGTTCCACTTCTTGATATGTAGGTACATCAATTTCAGGCTCTTCTTGCTTAGCCTTGCTCTCCTCTTTTTCCAATATGAATAAATCATCTGAGGTTTCAGTACCTTGTGTGACTTGTACGTTTTTCAGAGACTCAAGCTCTGCAATGTCAGAAGAAAGAACAAGATGAGTCTCCCCGCCAGTTTCACCAGCAGCAACGTTTGCGGATTGTGCAGGGGATTCCCCTATCGTCTGTGGCATATTTTGCAGGTTTTGAGAAATGACTTCCATGGTGTGCGAGTGTTTCCTTTGTAATTCATGAGTTGGATCTTCTTGCATAGCAAGTATTATCTGTGTGGTCGTTTGCTCAACTTCTGGCACAACCAATGCAACGTGTGGTGTAATATCCGACTCCAGACCCTGCAGATTAGAGTGTGGTTCTGGAGAGCTCATGGGGTCATTCATCTCTTCCAGATCACATGATTCATATGATTCTTCCACTATTTCTTGTTCATCTGATTCTTGCAACTCATCCGAAGTTTCCAGACCCTCTAACAAAAAGTCGGTGTCAATGTCTCCTCCGCCGCATAGTTCCAAGACCGTGGTGTCACTCAAATCCTCACCTCTCTCAATCAAACGGTTGAATTCCATCTGGAGTTTTTCCGCCTCGGTGCGATGGTTTTGCAAAAACATCTCCTTCCAACATGGAGGTGCCAGTCTCACTTTCCCACTGCTCTTGATCTCGTTTTTGAAGTTCTCGAGATTCGGTCCACTGACCCTAGGTCCTTTGGCCTGCACAGCAAAGGTCAACAGATAGCTTCTGAAGCTCAGGAAAAGAATCAGCCCGAGCGGAGAGCCGATCCAATCGAGTCCCAATGGCGAATTGTTCATGGGCTTCTCGGACATGCTGACCTGTTCTAGACTCCAAAGCGGTGAGATTCTGAGCAGTCGTTACACGAAGATGTGTCCGAAAGATGTGCCTGAGGTTGTTTATGCATTTCCCGATTCGGCTGAGAAAACAACATGTGCGCCAAAGATTTGTAGACCCACGACCAAATAAACACGTGACCACGCCCCTGCGGAGTCCGGACCAAAATGGAATTATTACTGAGTCTTGCAATCTTTATCCTGACCGATATGATATATCTCGTCTGCGCGTTTATGGCCGAAGTTTAATGTCACCCAAGCAGTGAGCGGAAAATTATTACATCCCAGAACCCAAATCTAGACATGTTGTAAATTCACGCTAGAGGACCAAGGCAAAATAATGGCGTCTCTGTACATCATCGGCTTGCTTTTGTGTTTGCCGACGTTAAACCCAAAGCACTCAAAGATGGGAAACCAACTTAAGACGTTTGCCAATCCCTTATCTGACTTGAAGGTCACACGCAGATACAAGCTTCATTCCACATAAAATATTTACGCAGATCTGTCTCCTGAATTATTTGGATAGGCGCTAGCCGCCAAGAATGTTGGACCTGAAACGCTAAAAATTAGACCGTAATTCAAAACAAAGCATAAATATTATTGGTGCAGCAAATTCATCTGAATTCGGTCTGAGCGCGACTGGGCCTCCTCCGCGCTGCCGAAGTTGGAACAGAAGAAGCGAATAATACATTCTAACGGACTATTTCACATTAAAATTGATTGCCCGACGTATCTGAGATTAGGACGGGGTTTCCAGAATTATGGCCCCAATTTATTGCGTTTATTGTGGGCCCACAGAGACGCACAGAAGAAGGGTTGAGATCGTCCCTGAAACGAGGGGACCGGTTCCTCGAAGATGAAAGGTCCGACAAAACAGAAAAGAGAAAAAAGCAGCTTCCTCCGTAGAACCAGAAAAATAAATCAGAGGCACAGTCTAGAACTAGAAATTAAAGTGGACTAGAATATGCGAGGGAAATTAGCACACCTCTTGTCACATCCAGATCCCGCTGTCCTGTCTCTGGACCCAGGCGAGACCCAACTCTCGGGCAAACGTCCCAAAAGGGCAAACGCCAGAAGATTAACTACTGTGAATCTTGGAGGAGGGTTCAGGTCCCTGCTAGTCCATGGGCCCATTTCGAAGCGGACTTGCCTAAGAAAATCACCTGGTCCATGTCGCTCATTTCTATTTCTGCTATTTTCAGCCCTTATTATTAGTCTTACTATAGTGCATTGCCCATCTCGTTTCCGAACCCCTTCGCTTATTTTTCAAATTAATTCCCGTCTTCCATTTCTTCGTCTACCCCGGGGAATGAAATTTTGCCCTGCACTTCCGGCACCTGCATCGACTCAAATATTTGACCATCCGCCCCCTTTCGCAACAACGTATCTGTTTGCTGTCTTCCTTCTTTCTTCACGTCCCAATTTTTGGCGTTGCCTTTGAGCCTGTGAGCTTTGAGGGGAACATCTAGCGCTTTTACATACTCTGGTGCCAGCAATAATCCAGGTGAAGCGGAATAAGAGGCCCACCACCGGCACAACCACAACAACAAACAGCAACGCGAACGTCGTCGCGAACATCGTCACTAACACCATTTACTCATCAGCAGAGCCAGGTGTATCGCAGCAGCATTTAAATATCATCATACCAATATCACTGTGCTTGGAACTTATTGGTTCCTTCGACTCAAACAGCACTTTTTGATATCTCGCGAATTTAGGTGTGTGGTTGAGTTTTTTCTGAATACCCGACTTCAGCACTAGCATCGTTTTTTTTGTTTCACTCAGTCGCTACTTATTTTCGGTCAACGTTGTTTTTCCCACCTTACTCCAGAATGCCGAAGAAAGGGAGAACGTTCCAATGCTCCGGCTTCGATGGATGCAGCATGTCTTTCACCAGGTCTGAGCATTTGGCAAGACACATCCGCAAACACACCGGCGAACGTCCCTTTCATTGCCAGCACTGCCATCGTTCCTTCAGCAGACTCGACAATCTGAGACAGCACAAACAGACCGTGCACGTGTACGAAAACTTTGTGCTCACTTATCCAGGCGACAAGATTACCGTTCGTGTCAAGACAGAGGATTTGCACAAGATCGAGAATATCATCAAGAACGATGGTTCGGAGTCCTCAGAATCTGCTTCTGTGGACGGACCGGATTATGTCACCGAATCGGCCGCCAAGGTACCGTCCAACCAGTTGCCTCCTCCTCGTGTTTCCGAGATGTTTGACCATACTCAGACTTTCAGACCAAAGGAAAACAACCGTCCGCAGCCAATCGATATTCCTGCTCCGATCCATAAGCATTTACCCTTCTTGACTCCGACATCGTCGTCGCCCTTCTCACCCTCAAGCCCGATGATGGCCAGGCCCTACAACCCACAGAGCCCTATTATCCGCTCCTCTTTTGGAACGGATCTGACTTCCTACTCACTTCCGCTCACTCCAGGCTCCGACACGAGGCTGCCCACGAACACCAAGAGTTGGCTCACCAACGTTCTGAACGACGATACGTGACACGCCCTATGCCCATACATTCCATCAACCCCCTAATTTCACCACATTGTATCGGACGTTTGTATTGTTTAATGTTATACTATATACGCAAATGAAACACTGTAGATATCGACGTTGTGCAATAGTGGAAGTGACGGTAGAAGCTACTGCAAAACCTGGCCGATGTGACAGGTAAATCTAGATCTATTGCAGATCCCAGACCAAGAGATCTTTCCTGGTTTACTTCTGCTATACGCCTGTGAGACTCAAAAAGTAAAGCCTACCCTCCCTTTACTTGACCCCTGCATGACAATAGACTTCAGGGTTCCCATGAATCATCAAACCAACCGAGTATATTCCATGCCGAACTCAATCATGCCACTTTGAGAATTTCACTTCTGCTTGCAGAAAGATAGCAATAAGCTTATCGCGAGATCTTGTTCCGGTACACTACCATTCCCCAATGGAAGCTGCCAGTTGATTATGTGAAAATGCCTGAAAACTGTTCAAAAACCACTGAAAAAGATCTCCAGCAGTATTGAATTCAAATCTTTTGGCATTGACTTCATTGTCCTCAAACCAGCAGAATCTGCTAGCCTGACCTCAGACTCTTGATCAGTGCTCTTAGTTTTGCGTGTCCAAACCAATTGTACGTCATGGCTTGAAATGACTGATTGTGTTTCCCCCTCGCCTTCCAGCCCCCTAACTGTACTCACTATCTTCTGTTACCTCCTCCACAAAGATTATAAAGCGTGGATGAGCTACTACAATTATGAATACGGGTCTGGCAATGCATTTGTCGGGCTCAAAAACTCAATGGCAACCCCTACACAGTCGCCTCCATACAACGCAACGCAGTCACCAGCCACTTCGTCCACATCTTCGTCGTATCCTTCCTCTCGGGCTCGGTTCATGAGCTCCAAGGGTTTTGAGTTTGAGGATGATGTGGAGTTTTGCCCGGATATACCAGAGAAGGTGTTTGCGCACTCGCAGCAGCACCAGCAACATTCGCAGCAACATTCGAACCAGGGATCTTCTTCTGACTCTAGTCCGCGCGTGGCCAAGGTTGGAAGTCCGAGCCCCAAGTTTGCTACTCCGAGAGTCAAAAAGGCTCTCGATATAGTCAACCCAGCTACAGGGATGCGTGTGGGTTCGCCCTCGCTCAAGTGAGGCTGGAGTTCGGGGAGTTCGGGGAGTTCTGCCCAGTATCAGCTGAGTATCGGTAAAAACGGTTGGTATATGAATAGGTTTGGTTTATGATGATCACGATTAGAGTACGATTCTATTTTGCTCCGTAGAACTTGTAGAGAGTTGGTCTACCCATAATCTCCATCCTTATCTGTTCTGCTAAAAGGGAGTCTGTTCGAAATAGAGTGTGACGTGCGATAACCACTGAATCCCGCACTACCTTCCCAAAGAACTTGAAGAAATGGGTGAACAGCCTTGAGATCAATGGAAATTCATCAAGATCACCATGGACGACTCAGAACTGAATGCCATCAGGGCAGCCAGGCTACAGGAACTGCAAAAGCAGAACCAACCAGTGTAAGTTAGGTTAAAATTATAGCTGAAACAATGCCAAGGACTAACCCTGTCAGCAACGACGCGCAATCGGGGATCATGAACCAGGTGCTGGAACCAAGTGCTAAGGAGAGAATTTCACGGGTCCGTTTGGTTAAGCCAGAGCGTGCCAAGGCAGTGGAGGATTATATTGCTCGTTTGGTACAGACCGGGGCATTGCGCAGGAAGCTGGGAGAGGAGGAGGTGATCGAGATGTTGAACGGGCTGGCGCAAGACGAAAATCGCCAGCGCGAAACCAAAATCCGGTTTGAGAGGAGACAACTGGACGAGGAAGATGATTTTTTTGATTAGGCGAAAACAAAAACAAAAAACAGTAATACAATGAAACAAAACGAAGGAGATTCATAGCGTCTTGCGCGCGCACTCGTACGATGGGTAATGTGATGAGAGTAATTAATCAGTTACACTTTAGGCTAGCTGAGGAAGACGGTGCAGACTCTGCATTGTTGACTGGTTCTGAGTAGATCTGCACAGATTTTAGCGAGTCTTAAAAATATTCGATAAATATATTACTGAGTCACATACAGTACCATGTGTCACCTATCACAGATTTGAATTTGGTGGAATATTGCCAGCGGTATCTGCGCATTAAACTTTTCAATCCCATCGCATCCCTTACCGCTTGAACTTTTTCCAAACGCCCAGATCTCACCTCCACCCCACGCCTTTTTCACCACATAGGCTTCTCCAGCCGAACAAACCCATCAAAAATTTGCTTTTCCCACTGCGGTATTTCAGACCGACATGCAAAGTCACCTCTGCCATATCCATGTCTTATTCCCGACCCAGAACCTAGCAGGAAACCCGCCAGCGGTTAGTTGGCCCCACCTCGTTATCTCCTGGCGCGCATTGCCTAATTAGGAAAGTGGTTGCGGATCCCCTGGCTATATAAGCCAGGGTAAGCCCTTTTTCAGATTGCAGCCGTTTGAGCATATCTTTTTCCAGGATACACGTATAGAAACACTTGCCGCGACCCTGAATATCTCTTCAATCATGGCTCCACATCCCTTCGATGCCATCTCCCCAGGGGAGATGCAACTGGCCTCCAAGCTTATCAAGGACACTTACAGCTCCGAGAAGCCTCACTTTGTCCAGATGGACCGTGTGGATCCACCTAAGAAGGACATGCTCATTTACCTCGAGGCTGAAAAGAAGGGCTACAAGCTGCCTGCCATCCCAAGAATTGTCCAGGCCTACTATTACATTGGTGTTGAATTAAAGAAGGCATTGGTGAACGTTTCCTTTGGCCATGTCATCACCATAGCTGATACTCCAAAGGGAACCGTCGGTCCTATTCTGCCAGAAGACATGATCGCTCTGGAGGATCTGGCCATGGAACATCCTATTGTCAAGGCTGAAATTGCCAAGTTGCAGCTTCCAGACAACATTGTCGTTAGATCGGACCCATGGATCTACGGTACTGACGATGACAACGAGGACAGGTTCCTCGTTCAGTTTTTCATGTACTTGGCCGATGCCACGCACTCCGAATCGAATCATTACTCTTTGCCATTGAAGTTCTGTCCTGTATTTGAGGCTTTGACCCAAGAATTCATCAGAATCGACTATCTTCCATCGGGTGTTGACTCTACCGTTACTGCTACCATGAAGTGGGAGCCCAAGCCAATCATCGAGTACCACCCAGATTTGAACGGTGAATCGCTTAGAGACATCAAGCCATTGCTGGTTTCCCAGCCAGAGGGCCCATCTTTTGAAATAGATGGCTCCAAGGTCAAATGGCAGGGCTGGGAGTTTGTCGTGGCTCCTAACGTTAGAGAAGGTTTTGCCATTTACGATGTGAGCTTCAAGGGAAGGTCAATTATGTACAGACTGGCTTTATCCGAGATGACCGTTCCATATGGTGACCCAAGAGCGCCTTTCCACAGAAAACAGGCATTTGACCTGGGTGACTGTGGATTTGGAACCAACGGTAACCACCTGTCTCTCGGTTGCGACTGTCTCGGAGTCATCAAGTACAAGGACTGTTACAGATGCAACGGAGATGGTGAGCCTGTGTTGATGCCTAACACTGTTTGTATGCACGAGCAGGACTACGGATTGTTGTACAAGCATGTGAACTACAGAACCAACGGGGCCGTTGTTGCCAGAAGACGTGAGTTTGTGGTCCAGACCATTGCTACCGTTGCCAACTACGAGTACATCGTGAACATTGTCTTCGACCAGGCCGGACAAATTTCTATCCAGGTCAGGGCTACAGGAATTTTGTCCACTACTCCTCTTGATGACGATTCCGAGGTTCCAAGCTTTGCAACCCGTGTCGGACCAGGTGTCATGGCTCCATTCCACCAGCACATGCTCTCTTTCAGAATTGACCCTGCCATTGATGGCCACAGCAACTCGGTCGCCTACGACGATGTTTTGCAGATGGCCCCTCACACCAAGGAGAACCCCCACAGTGTTGGATTTTACTCTCAGCGTACATTTGTTGAGAAGTCTGGCTCCATTGCCCAGAACCCATGGACCAACCGTGCCTACAAGATTGTCAACGAGAACGTGATCAACCCAACGACAAAGAAGCCTGTTGCCTATAAAGTTGCCCTTCCAGCACGTAACATGATCCTCGGTCATCCAGACAGTTTCACCTACAAGCGTGCCCACTTTGCTACCGAGCAGATCTGGGTCACCAAGTACAGAGACAACCAGCTGTATGCCTCCGGCGAGTTCACCAACCAATCGCATGTCGACACTGGTCTTAAGGAGTGGGCCAACGGTGATGACAGTGTGAGAAACGAGGATATCGTTGTTTGGGCCACTCTTGGTTTCACTCACGTTCCAAGATCTGAGGACTTCCCAGTTATGCCTGTTGAGATCCACCAGATTGACTTGGTTCCTTATGGTTTCTTTGAGCACAACCCAGCTCTGGACATTCCCCAGGCTAACAACCGTTTTAACAAGTCTGTTTTGGTTAAGGACGGTCAAGCCGGCTCGTGCTGCAGCAAGAGTGCTCTCTAGATGTGTAGAGGTGAAAGGGTAAAAACGGAACGGTTCAACTAATTAGTAAACTTTGGCGCCTATATAAACTTTTGAGAAACTTAATATGATAAACAATGATGTTTTAATGTAGCATTGCTTTAGAGAAAATACAACGCGGGATGCAAGGCTAGAGACACAAAGCTGTGGAGCGACCATGGTACGGGACTTGGAGTTTTCCAGGGTTTTCTAAGATTCTTAGGACTTTCACAGAGCTTTCAATTCTTCTTGGAGGAATTTTCTTGCAGGCGTTTGTAGCTGCGAGTTGGTTGAAGAGTCTTGGGGTTAGTCAATGCAGAGTGGGGGATGGTGCGTCAGAACATACTTTGTCTCTGCTGTAGGGGCCTGCGGCTGACATTGTGCATATGCACGATAACCATCATCCTCTTTTATCAGCCGTGATTAAAGATCTTAGTGAAACCAGGCAATGTAAATTAATCAAACAGTAGCTGATGAATCAATAATACAAGATCTCATTTGCCTTTTCGGTTCAAGTTGTCCAGGGTGGCTGGACCGTAGCATACAGCAGCAACAGCACCCACCTTGTTCATAGATCTCAGAAGCCAGCTTGTGCAATGCCCTTGGTAAGTCAAAGAAAAAACAGCGTCCACCCGTGGCAAAGAAATTGCAGACCTTACAACCCAGGCTTGAAGCTTTTTCGGTAAAAGATTGGTATGTGTGAAGAATCTCGGTGTACCACTGGTCAGCCTCAACTGCTTCTGGTCAGAAGTTGACCTGGGTGGATGAGAGACCAGTCAGGACGATTTTTGGAAGACTGACTGTTTATTGTTAGAATTGACGTTCTGTCAATTTTAAGTCTCACATGCAATTTTGGAGGACTTTGCTAGGATAGACGGTGAGTATTCTGTCTTTGCCATTCGTGATCATATTCAACCAGATTCAGGGTTTCAGTCATTAGAAGCTCTGCTGCAGTTGACGACTTTCTATGGCCCCGACATCCCTACTGTCTGAAAAGAGGTATTGTCTGCTAACGAATATCAACAATCCCTTGAGGACTTGATTTTTCTTGAAGACTTATTAGGCATTGGGAGAGATCTACTCTTGTCTGTAACCAGCATCAAGTCCTTCTGAACTGCGCAACACCCTTAAACGCTCCTAAACACCTCTAAATCTATAGCTCCTAATACCAGATTCACGGAAATCTCTTGAACGCTTCAGGCCTGTCAACTAACTCGGTCCTCCACGCCAACGACTACCCCTCTTTCGCCCTCTCCCCCAACTACATTTAAATACTTTCATTTTCATACTAATGCTCGTCCATTGACTATAACTGTTATTCAAAGCTTCGACTAGCGCCAGTCTATAGAGCCTAGTGCGCATCATCGCATTCGTCTAGCCTCACCCTCACTTCATATCTCCTTCTGTTTACTCGCGACGGACGTGTCTGTTGACATCCGGGTTCCAGAACAAAGTCTTGTCTCCGTCACCCCAGAAGAAGTCAACTTTTCTGACGTTCTGGTAAGGGTAGTCCAAAGGCCACTCATCGTCGCTGAGGTGCTTGGTGTGCTCTCTGTGGTGGGCGTGCTCAGCCTCAACAAAGTAGGTGTTCACGGCAGTCAAGGCAATACCTGGGAATGCAACGAAGTAAGTGATTTTCTTCCACAGAGAAGAGGTGCCCTGGGCGTGATGGGTCTCTGCCTCGATGTGTGCCTTGAAGGCCTTGGCAGCCTCTGGGTTGGCTGGCTTGAATGCCTGCTGCTCGCCAACAGAGGCAAAGCGGCGGCCAATTGTGTTGAGCGCAATGCGAGATTGAACGACGGTTTTTCTGGTGAACATTTTGGGTGGTTGCTCGTTTGTACGTAGATGGAGAGAGACAAGTGTTTGTGCAGAGGATAAATCGTTTGATTTTCGTGGTGTTAGAAGCCTTCGCTGTGATTGGTCTTTAAAATTGGTGAACACACGTCTATCTGCACGTGACTCCTGGGAGTTCCATAGGAGCCATACTGATATTCACCAGAACATAGCAAATAGTATATTGTATATATGAAGTATTCATTTCGGAAATTTGACTAGGCTTTGCCAAGATATTGCACGTACCGGTCGGCGACATCCCTCTCAACAATGTGAGATCCTTTCAATTCATCACCAATGGCTGCTATGTTAGTGCACTGTCTCCTTCTCATGGTTTCAGACTAAGAATAGTCCACTTACTCAGCCATCCAGGCCTTGTGTTGTAGTCTTTCCCGAAGATCTCGAGCTTGCGACTCTTCTTTCCCACCAGCCTCTCAATGAGGCCATACAACTGAAAATGAGTTAGTACTGTGGCGGGTATATCATGGACTTGGGTTTAATGCGTTTTTTAACACATCGTGGAGACCTGATTAATACTCACCTCGTCCGGCTTTCTGCTTGTCTGTCTTGTCGAAGACACCAGAGTTTGTTGATCTGAGCCCTTTGTGAGCCATTTGGGGTTTCCTTTGATGCTAAATTTCGGGGCGGTTAGTCTGTGTCGAAGCCAAAATGGGGGGCATTAGGGGTTGTCACTTACCCGACTTGGAGATGTTCCTTTGAGTGGTTCAGCCAATGGCCAGTTCTTCCAGTACAAATGGTACGGATCAGCTGGTTGGTCTTGATCCAGCTGATTTCATTGGCCGGCTTGTACCCCCAGTGGGAAAGAACCTGTCTGCCAACATCGGTGGTCCTTCCAGTTACCCACAAGAAGATCACGCCTTCATCCTGGAGAAGATGTATAGGGAGTGACATGAGATCTGGGTCTTTGGACACCTTGTTCGGGGTCTATACGCAGTTTTGTGTTAGTATATGTCTGAAGAAGGAGACGTATCAGTGAGTTATACTCACTCTCATGTTGATTGCCCACGATGGATCAGCAACTATAGCGGCAAACTTGCCTAAAATGCTGAAATCGAGAAATCTGACGTCGCAATTGATCCATTGGGCTGGAAGTTCAGGCACATTACTCGCACCTGCGACTTCTCCTTTGGTGAAAAAAGCGCTTTTGGCAGCATTATCGCAGTTGCGGTTGTGTTCCGCGATCTCTTTGGATCCAACAATCTCTTTGAATCGCCTGGGCAGCAATTGCTGGTAATGCAGGTATCTGCAAGAGTCCTGTTTGTGGCAGGTGTCGAGATACGAGCAATCCCCAAGCTGGGGATCGGTAGAACGATGCAACAACGGCAGAAAATGGATCTGGTGGTCCATACAAATGGCCGTTTCCACACACAGTGGATCAGATTTCATCCCCCTGAGCATTGCCTGTATCTGTTGAGGGTCAGAAGTGACAGTCGAGGCAGTGGCAGCACGTCTTGAATTCAGCATCGACGCAGAACGGATCGCCTCTGCATGATGTTTGTTATCGCAAATATCAACGAAGGGCTCGATCCGAGTGACAAGCCGAACTTTTTCGGATGAAAGTGAGTGACTTGCCAATGGAGTAGTCACCATTTGAGAAATCTCCCACAACATTGTCTTGTTGGAGGTGGCGGAGAACACATCTTCGGCGTTCGCCGCATTGTCTGAATGGATCAATTGCATGAAATTCTCCAGAGTGACTGGTTTTGAACTTTCGGCTTGATCGTGATCTTTTTTGATAACGATTACTTCCTCTTTGGCTTGTTTGGCTTGTACCAGCAGTTGCAGCTGGAGTGTGTCGATGGAGACAATGGCTGGTAACTCACCAAACTGTGAAGCCTTGGGGTCCAAATCAGAATCAAACTGGATAGCGTTAGTGATCTTTAAGATCTCTTCAATTTCCGCAAGGAAACTATTCCAGGAGACCTGATTGTTGCTTGTCTTTTCAAACAACCCAAAGGCATCCAACAGGGATCCCCCAATGGGCCTTGTCACAATCACCTTGTTCCATGCACGGAAGAAATCTGCCACAGTACAGAGATCTGACATGTTTCTGGATAAGCAGGGGAGGTGGTGAAGTGATGGTGGAGTTGTGGTGAAGAAGAAAAAAAAGACAGAGGAGAAAAGAGTGTTAAGTTTGAACTAAGGAGGGCACCTATCTGGTGACCTTTTTGTGACTTAAGCTTGAAGACCATATGTGGGAATTTTATGAGAATTTAAAGGTTTATAAAGGCGATAAAATGATTATGTGATATTTTACATTGTTTTTATAGATTTTCAGTTTGATTTGGGATGGTGGAGTTGGTATTGTGATCAATCATGGCTGAATAGTTCGTTGTAGTGAGTGAACGAGTACGAGTTGTTGATTTAGGATTCGTATGACTGGTCCCTATAACACGCCGAAATATGATTTTATAAGGGTTTGTAAATGTTTATATGTGGATTTGGATGATTTTAAACATTTTTTATTGCATTAATTTACTTACTGGCGACCAGATATACGGTTGTTAATGTCATATGTGAATTAGAGGAGCATAGACATGGTTAAGTCCTCTGTCGAATTTATGAGGCTTTTGTGGAATATAAAGAGGACCCTGTTATTGTGGGATATTTTACATTATTTTGGAAGTTTTATTGTTCGATTTTGGACAACTTGGGTCGGAATTGTGACCAGTAATAGTTGATTGGTTTCGATATGGTGAGCAAGACAGACTTGTGGGTTTAAGCACGTCTATTCTCGATAATACTTGGGAAAAACATGGAAATACAGTTTTTTATGGCAATATAAACATTCCTCCATACTTCTGGTTTATTTAAAATGGTTTGTTTTTTCAAATCAAGTGCTGGTATTGACATATATGGCTATCAAGGCCGCATGCCATAAACATAGCCCGGCCAGAATGGAGCATCTGAACTCCTCCATAAACTACATTCAACTATTGCCATGAAAAGTCGCAAAACATCCCTGAAGTCTTTTCATAAAATAAGAAAGTCTCCCTGTGTTGACCCTCAAAAAATTAAATTTTTCTTTGATCTCCATATCTTAATTCGCCATTAGCCGACTCGTCTTGGTTAACTCTGCAGATGCGAGGTGTTAGTGACGTCTAACTACACGATAAACGAATAGATAATATTATCGCCTAAACCTACGATCTGTAACATAAACGAAAACAACATATTTATACACTAACAAAAATATTTGTGAATATCCCTCAACACGGTCTAACACCAATGCATAACAAAATTCATCGTGGGGTAGCACACTTAATGTGACTAGTAAAGCCATGTCTGCCTCAGCCTATACGGGACCTCGGAATTGGCCGGACACCCACATTGTTACCTATAAAGTAATATAAAATAAAAACTCCCCAAATAATTCTCCGATTCTTCAAATAATCTCGTAAATCCCCATATAACCCCGTAATTTCCCCTATATTTACCCATTGAACAACTGAGCCCCTCACAATGTGAATGCCAAATTGCTGACCTCGGGCCCACCTAAAAGACTCGGCCCATCTGCGCGCAACTATATTATATTACCGATACCTGGTCTGCACCCTTCTCCACCTTTTCCTCTTTTCTTCCCAAGGACTGTACCAGTTTGATTTTAATCGGAAAATTATTACCAGTCATGTCTCTTCTGAATCTCCATCACCAACTGGTCTTCTATAGGGCCTACCATTGTACGTTATTGCGTCAAACTGACTCGCGCTTATTGCCCCTACTAACCCGGTCCCAGTCAACAAGAAGAATGTACGAATCCACATGGTATTCGTTCCGACTATTTTGTTCACGTCTCTTCTTATGGCAGCATATTATCGGTTCGACTCGTTTTTCCCACAGGTTGCGACTCCTTACTCGTATGTCTTCAATGCGGCGTCTATTTGGTCATATAGCTCTCTGGCATACTATCTAATTCTTGATAGGGCCGCATTGCTGACGGCTCCATTCCTTCTGCTAGCGCCAGTAGGATTTGCATATCTCTACGAAATATTTCCGGCTGCGCAGATTATCAAGCCGGCTGCTTCGTTGTTCGTGTTTTCCTGGATTGCGCAATTCTACGGCCATGCCGTGTACGAAGGCCGTTCTCCAGCGCTGTTTGACAATCTTATCCAGGCGCTTGTTCTTGCACCCTACTTTGTGCTTTTCGAGGTGTTGTTCTTCTTTGGGTTCAGGAAGGATCTCGAAAGGGCTGTGGATAACGAGGCCGGGGTCCGTGCTCGGGACTTTATTCTGGCGAAAAAGAGGAACGAGAAGGCAGCATGAAGGAGAAGGCCTGCCAAGTGGACTTATTTAGCGACAAACGTGCACCGTCGCTCACAACGAGAACGCAACCCTGGTCAGTATCTATCAGGAATGCTTCGGGGAGCAAACAAACTCTGGACATATGCTCAGTACTTATGACATTCATGAAGCTACCCCTTTCACATACTTTAATAATTTTATGGGGGGGGCATAATCACCTTGATTGTAGTACTGAATGTAGATGGTGTTACACCGCATGAACTGTAACGAGGTGCATGAACTGACAAAACGTTAGGCAATGCTAGGCGGTGTTGTCAATGAATCCTAGATTAACTCTTGAGGGACAATTTATTCAAGTCTTAAAAGGCAATTACGATAAGGGCATAACTTGCGCAATTTTAGTGTTTTTTTGTCAGTCTTTTGCCCGTTTTCTCAACATTTTCTCTATACGATCTATATCGCCATACTCCAGACTATCTGCACACTCTTTAATCCCCAACTTCTCCCCCAATGCTCGCTTCATACTCTCCTAACCAACCAACCCGCTTATAAAGGCTCCTCTGGTCGTCCCGATTAGCTCTTTATACAAAATATACACTTTTCAGACAATCTTCAACGAAAAACCATCACCGCCTGCTACGGCCACTATCACCTTCTCGCATAACGGCCTGAACCAGCGCGGACACTACCTTCCCCCCTGATGGCCGTCTCGTCAATCCAGTTCAACAACGCTCCTTCCGTGTTATCCGTTAACGCATTGCACGCCGAGAAATATTGGCTTCAACCAGGCTCAAACTCGTCATAATCCGAGTTGATTTGATTTTTCAGCAAGCACTACTGGACACGTTGCACATTACCAGTTCGCGATCTGCATTTGCTCGACGCGCTGCTACAGCGAAATAGGATAGTCAAACCAGAGGATTTAGACTGCAAAAGACAGCCGATCTTTCACCAAAAAGCGTCTCATATACACAATGGCGACTGTTTTTCTTGGGGTATACAAGGCGATCTACGATTACCAGGCGCAGAATGACGAGGAGCTTGACCTCACCGAAAACGATCTGCTCTATCTGCTAGAAAAGTCCGAGGTAGATGATTGGTGGAAAGTCAAGAGGAGAGTCGTTGGCTCAGAGGCTGAAGAGCCTCAGGGTCTTGTTCCCAGCAATTACATAGAGCCAGCGCAGCCGGTTTCGACTGCAACTGCTCTGTACGACTACGACAAGCAGACCGAGGAGGAGATCACGTTTACCGAAGGTGCGACTTTTGACGTGTACGATACATCGGACCCGGACTGGATTCTGGTTGGACTGGATCAGGCATTTGGTTTTGTTCCTGCCAATTACATAGACATTGGTGGTTCTACTGCTGCCCCGGCAATTGCGTATCCCGTTCCTCAGCAACAGACTTTCCTGCCACCTCCTCAAAGAGTTGACCGTATTGCGAGTTCGCAGCCTGAGGAAGAGAAGGATCTTCCCCCTGTGAAGCCAACCAGACCTCAGTACCAGCCCGAATACGATGAGGCTGAAGACGAGTACGAGGCGCCCCCACCAATGCCAAACCGGCCTCGGGGAAATTCTTCCGCGACGCTTTCTCGTAGAGGCTCCAGTTATAGTGGGGATGTTGGTGGTGGTTCTGGAGGTGCTGCTGATGACTTCGTCAAGGACGATTTTTTCACCTGGCCAGTTCAGGAAATCAACGGCCGCAAGAAGAAGAAGGCTACGCTTGGAATTGGCAACAGCTCTATCTATGTGTCCCCAGAAGGTTCCCATGGTGGATCTCCCCAACAATGGGACATCACTGACCTTGTAAGTTTCAATCTGGAGGGAAAACGTGTGTTTTTGGATTTGAAACATCCACTAGAGTCTTTCGAGCTCCATGCTGGCTCCAAGGATGCTGCTGAAGCAATTGCTTCAATCCTGGGAGACCTTAAGGGTGCGGCTTCCATGAATGGACTCCGTGAGGTGAAAGAAGCATCTATACCTTCGGGAGACCGCAAGACAGGAAAGGTTTTGTACGATTTTGTGTCGGACAGCCCGGACGAACTCACCGTTTACGAGGGAGAAAGCGTTTACATCATCAACGACCGCAAATCCAAGGACTGGTGGATGGTTGAGAACGTGAACAGTGGAGAGAGGGGTGTTGTACCCTCAAACTTCATCAAAGTTTCGAGCTCAACCTCTGGAGGCTCCACTCTGGGTAACTTTTTCCGCAGAAGAGGTTCCAGCCAGTCCCTTTTGAGTCCAAGCAAGAGCAAGAATAAGAAGAAGGAAAAGCTACGTGAGAGAGAAAGAGAAAGAGAATATGAGCGTGAAGAAGCCGAGGCCCAACGTCAGCGCCAGAAGCGCAGAGAACGTGAAATGCGCGACAGAGAAGCCAGGGAGAAGGTGAGAAGACGCGATGAGCGGGAAAGAGAAAAGAGCTCCAAAAAGTCTGACTCGAATGACAAATCCAAGCCAAACCCACATAGAGTTCGTACCTGGATCGATCGGTCGGGTTCGTTCAAGGTTGAAGCAGAGTTTTTGGGTTGTTCTGATGGAAAGATTCATCTCCACAAGCTTAACGGTGTTAAAATTGCAGTAGCTGCCCCAAAACTTTGTTCTGAAGATCTGGAGTATGTTGAAAGGATTACGGGAATGTCTTTGGAGTCTTATAAGCCCCAACCTGAGCCGGTGCAGACCCCCACTCCTCAAGCTTCGAACTCTCAAAGGTCCGGAGCTCAGGTTAGTGAACCAACGATTCCAAAGATCAGTCCAGCTAAGGATCCCGATTACGATTGGTTTGAGTTCTTTTTGAACTGTGGTGTTGAAGTGAACAATTGTCAACGGTACACTCTGAACTTTAACAAAGAGCAGATGGACGAGAACATCTTGGAGGATATCTCCCCATCTTTGTTGAGAACCCTAGGCTTGAGAGAAGGAGATATTCTCAGAGTCATGAAGTTCTTGGATAACAAGTACGACAGAAAGAGAGACCAGCCTTTAGAATCTGCAACAACGGGCGGATTGTTTTCTGGAGCAGACGGCTCTCTCAAGAACAACCGTAGCGATGCCGCCAATGGTGGTTCCGTTAATGGAACTGCTCTCAACGGATCATCGCAGAAGTTTGAAGACGATGCTTGGGCAGTCAAACCCGCGGCTCAAACGCAACAACCAACAAGACCACCATCTGTGCCTACTCAACAGCTTACTGGATCGCTGCAGGACTTGGTCAACATCAAGCCTGTTGAGTCCAAGTCTGCCACCCCTCTTGCCCCTGCGACAACGGGTGCTACTAACTTCACTCCTCTGCAGCCCAATAAGACCAGCTCAGTCCCACCATTGCAGATGCAAAAGACTCAGGCCACTGGTGGCTTTATTCCTATTCCAGTCCAGCCAACTGGGTTCATGCCAATCGGTTTGATGCCCACCATGACGGGAATGACAATGCAGCCAACCGGATTGATTCCACTTCAAAAGACTGGCACGTTCATTCCAATGCAGCCCACTGGCCTGATTCCTCTCCAGAAAACTGGATTGACGATGCCTCAAACTACCTTTGGCGCGATGCCCTTGCAGAAAACTGGCGGGTTCATTCCAATGCAACCAACCGGATTGCTTCCTCAACAGACCTTTGGTGCTGGTGTGCCATTGCAAAAGACTGGCGGATTGGTCCCAGTTCAACAGACCGGATTTGGTGCAATGCCTCAGACTTCATTTGGAGTTCCAGCGCAGAAAACTGGGTTCCAGCCCACTTCGTCTTTCGGCGTTATGTTAGCGCAGAAAACGGGTGGAATCCAACCGATGGCTACCGGAGCGCAACCTTTCTATTCACAGCAGCCTCTTAACACTGGAATGCCTCCAACCTCCTTTGGTAACTCAATGGTTCCATTGCAGAAGACTGGTGGGTTCGGAGCTCTACAAACTCAGATTCCCACCACGTCTTTTGGAGCAGCTCCTGGCTTCAATGGATTACCAACTGGCCAATTCCAGCAGCAGCAGCAGCAGCAACAACCATTCCAGTCATTTGGTCAACAGCCAATCTCTCAGCAAACTGGAATTAATGGTCTAACAAACATGTTTCAGAATACCAGCTTGAACCAGCAGACAGGGTTCAACCAGGGCAATGGATTTGGAAACCTGCAGACTGGACTTAACCAGGGCAATGGATATGGCAACGGTCTTGGAAACGGGTTCGGAAATGGAGTCAACGGCTTTAACAACTTCCAGCAACAGCCTCAACAACCATTCACTTCCTTCAACAGTTTTGACCAGCAATTCCAGCCACTACAATCGCAGCCTACCGGTCTCGGGTTCGGTAATGCGCCATCCACATCCTTCGGCCAGCCATTGCAATCGCAGCCAACTGGAAGAAGGGCCAACTTGGCCGCTGCCACTGCTGACAACCCTTTTGGATTTTAATCCGTTAAAAGTATTGATAGAATGACTTTATCTGTTTGTAAAACCGGGATTTGTTTAAAGAGCCCTCGAGAAACTGGGACAGCTCACAAATGCGTGTAACATCCAATTTTAATTTAGTGACACACGACTTTCTTTTGTTTACATTTCAACTACGCCTTGAATCATAAATCACTCTTCCTTACAACCAACTAAATACAGTTGTTAACCACCGATGACGGAGGTAGCCAGCAGTTCAGATGGTCGGTACGACCACTGGATGAAGCTGTTGAATGACAATGTAAGTGTGATGTTCAGTTTGGACCGCCTGGTCTGTGACAGTTCACTAACATGTGCAGAAAATTACTTCCCAGAACACATGGGAAATGCCCCTGATTGACTATTTCCATGATTCAGTGTTCCAGGGTGGCAAGAACATTAGTTTCCAAAAGGCTTCCGCAACTCTAGACGGATGTGTGAAGGTTTACTCGTCCAGAGTTGATTCCGCTGCCACTGAAGTTGGTAGATTACTGACAAATCTCCAAACAGACAACCGGGAAGAAGATGATGATGACGAAGAAGGTGGCAGTGATGAAGACGACGAGTTGGAAAGAGCAACGAGTGGCAAACAAAAGAGAATTGTGACCAGAAGCACCAATACGCTGGTGAAATCCATCGATATGATCACGATAAAGGAGCTGGACAAAGAAGAGTTTGTCAATCCGGTCTTCAAGAAGGCGCTGACCGATTTCGACGAAGGCGGTGCAAAGAGTTTGCTGCTAAACATGCTGAAACTTGATAATACGATGAGGGTGGTTTTTGCTACCACCACGGCGGACGAACAGCATAAGGAAATCATAACTAGCAAGCCTCCCAAGAAAATCGATCTCGGATTTGTTTTCAAAGTTATGGGAGAGTCTCACGAACATCTCTCCGTTTGTCCGTCTATGCCCCAGATGGAAGAGGCAGCTAGAGAGGGGAATCTGCCTCCTTCGTTGCTTGAAGAGATTGGTGAGACTACGATGGCCTTGCCTAATCTAGACGCAGACGAGATGCCAGACTTTGATAATTTTGAAAACGGATATGGTGATGATAATGATGATGTGCACAAAACCACTTTGAATCCGCTGGACGATATAGAGAACACGGGACATGAAGACGACGAGCCAGGATTTTCCACCATGATCAAGCTTTTCGATGACTCTTTTGTGAACAAAACGGACGGAGAGAGTTTCGTTGCTGATGAGAACGTTTTGCAGTACCTGGATAATGCCTCCAAGTTTACGTGGGCTGGACCAGAGCATTGGAAGATTGCCAATCTCAAGAGAGCCACAAGAGTGTTGAACATATTGCCTGAGGATGATGATGAGATTGTTCAGCCCAACATAGAAGGCGAATTCTCGAAACCAAAAGCGCCGCGCAAGAAGAAGGACCAGGAACGGATCAACATGTTTGAATCTCCTCCTAAGGCGGAAGATGAGCTTTTCGCTGAGTCTTCCAACACCATAATATCAGGCAAATTGTGGGATTCGCTCCATTTGTTGCCCGATGACAAGCATTTTTCCACCAGACAACTAATACACTTGTGGCATAAACCCACGCGAACAACAAGTTTAATATTTTTCAAGGAAAAGGAAAACAAGCTGAGGCAAAAAAAGTACGACGAATATGACGAAAATTTCTTTGCGGCCAAGTACCAGGAGAAGGAAGAAGAATCGCATGATGACTTCTTGAACGATGACGATTTGCAAGATTACAATGAAATTCAGCAGTCTGTGGCAGAAGGATATTTTGATGAGGGAAATGCTCTGATAGGCTCACAGGAAGGAAAGCTCCTTCTTTCTCAGGCCGACACTAGACCTGGTGCTATCAACTTTGCGAGAGTGGCCAAAAAGGTGGATGTACGACTCTTGAAGGAGAACATATGGGATACACTTAGTCACGAAACTGCATTCATGACATCCCGGAAACGTTCTGCCGAACAGAGTGAAGAGGAGGCAGAGAGCCCCGATCTCACACAGACTCCTTTAGTCTTCTCGGATCTGGTGAGCCAGGTTGGATCTCGCTATAAGTCATCTGAGAGAAAAGACCTTTCCACGAGTTATTGTTTCATATGCCTATTACATTTGGCTAATGAGAACGGATTCACGGTCGAGGATAATTCTGACCATTCGGATTTGTTGATCAAGGGAAGCCTTAAGGCGATAAGTGCCTGAAAAAAGAGCCGTGCTTAGAGAGCGAGCTGCACTGGAAACCGAATACAATATTCGATCACTTGTGAAGCAAATATCTGTTGTTGTGCACTAACATGATAGTCATAGGTGAAGGAGATGCGACAATGGTTTCCAAAGTCCTCCTAAAATATCTACAAAATATTACTTGATGCAAGTATGATACTGTTTAGTCAATACCCTGTTGTTATTATCATATTTTATTACCACTCCTGCGCCTTGTTTCCGTAAGGGCTCTTCTTTGTTCCTTTTACTGGAACAATCAGCTTAGAACCACCTTCCAGGAACGAAAACTTGCTTCTTCTAACATCTTCATACTTCTGGATGAAATCTTCCTTCTGCATGGTGATTCCAATATCGTCCAAACCGTTGACCAAGCAGTGCTTCCTGAAAGGCTCGACGTCAAAATGGTCAACCAAAACCTCACCGTCTGGGCCAAAAATCTTTTGCTGGGGCAGATCGATCGTCAGCTCCTTCTGAGCAACAGCGAGAGGATACAAAACCTTCTCTATCACATCCTGGGAAATTCTGATGGGCAAAAGGCCGTTCTTGAAAGAGTTGTTGTAGAAAATGTCACCGAACGATGGAGCGATGATGGAACGGATTCCAAAGTCTTTCAAGGCCCATGGAGCGTGTTCACGGGAAGAGCCACATCCAAAGTTGTCTCCAGTCACACACAAAATCTGGGACTTTGTGAATGGAGGAGTGTTGAGCACAAAGTCAGTCTTTACCATGTTTCCAGAGGCATCTTTGGCAAATCTCCACTCGTAAAACAGTCCAGCAGAAAGCCCAGTGCGCTTGATGGTTTTTAAGAACTGCTTTGGAATGATGGCATCGGTGTCGACATTGGCACGGTCCAAAGGAGCAGCGATACTGGTCAAAGTGGTGAACTCGTCCATTCCAGTTGGACCTGCTGGTTCGGAAGGGGTCTCTTTGGCAGTGTGGTCCTCTGGAGGAATGTCGTTGATCTCGTCTTCAGCCGCCTCTTCAGAAGTCTCACCAGGAGCCAACGGGGTCTTTTCGTGGTCGTATATGGCCTTTTGCAAGGCAGCAGATTCGGAAGCGTTGGGCTCAATTGTCACTTTGGGCTGGTCAACCGGATCGGCATATGGGAACTCTCTGATATCCACAAAATGACCCATGATACCGGCAGCAGCAGCCATGGCTGGTGACATCAAATGAGTTCTAGAAAGAGCACCTTGACGTCCTTCAAAGTTTCTGTTGGAGGTGGAAGCACAACGCTCTTCTGGGTCCAAGATGTCTGGGTTCATACCAAGACACATGGAACAACCAGCCTCTCTCCAGTCAAAGCCTGCAGCCTGGAAGATCTTGTCAAGGCCCTCAGCCTCAGCTCTTTTCTTGATGAGTCCCGAACCTGGAACCACCAAGGCGTGTTTCACAGTGGCAGCCTTCTTGTGGCCTCTCACAACTCTTGCAGCCTCTCTCAGATCCTCTATACGTGAGTTGGTACACGAACCAATGAACACCTTGTCGATTGAGAGCTCTTTCAGAGGAGTGTTTGGGGTCAAGCCCATATAACTGAGGGCTCTCTCAATACTGGCCTTCTTGATGGGGTCAGATACGTCTGCTGGGTCAGGGACCTTTCCCGTGATTGGAAGAGCGTCCTGGGGAGAATTACCCCAAGTAATGGTGGGAATGATATCACTAGCCTTGATCACTATGTCGTAATCGAAATGAGCACCCTCATCAGTGTAGAGACTGTTCCAGTACGAAACAGCCTTCTCCCACTCAGCGCCCTTAGGGGCCAATGGACGGCCCTTAATGTACTCCAGAGTAATGTTATCTGGTCTGATCATACCAGCACGAGCTCCAGCCTCAATTGCCATGTTGCAAATCGACATTCTTGCTTCCATAGACAACTCTTCAATGGCCTGGCCCGCAAACTCAATCACGCTTCCAGTACCACCAGCAGTGCCAATGACTCCAATCACATGCAAAACGAGATCCTTGGAAGTAATACCAGGCGAAAGCTTGCCTTCGATAGTTATTCTCATGTTCTTCGACTTGGCTTGGATAATCGTCTGGGTAGCCAGAACATGTTCCACCTCTGATGTACCGATTCCAAAGGCCAATGAACCAAAAGCACCGTGTGTAGACGTATGGGAATCACCGCAAACCACCGTGGTTCCGGGAAGAGTAAATCCCTGTTCAGGTCCAACGACATGGACAATTCCCTGGCGGTCATCGGTCATGCCGAAGTAGGTGACACCGAAGTCCTTGACGTTCTGTTCAAGAGTTTTCACCTGGAGTCTCGAGTCGTCCTCCTTAATGAATGTGTCGATGTTTTTGAGGGTTTTTCTGGAAACGGTTGGAATGTTGTGATCCACCGTGGCCAAGGTGCAGTCTGTTCTTCTTACTTTTCTTCCCGCGGTTCTGAGTCCTTCAAAAGCTTGAGGAGAGGTAACCTCGTGCACAAGATGACGGTCGATATACAGGAGGTATGATCCAGACTCATCCTTGTGGACAACATGGTCATCAAAGACCTTGTCGTAGAGTGTTCTGGGACTGCTAATTTCACTAATAGCTGGCATCTTGCGAGTTTGATCTTGTTGTTGAGGTGGAGAAAGAGAAGTGGCAGGAAGCCTTGTCTTATACGGCTCCCGGTCATCGGTCCTGTGACTAATTTTATTGCCGGCACCGGGCCGGTGACGGGCATCGCTGGGCCTGAACCGGCGGCCAATGAGCGCTGGCGATTAAGTCAGCCTTAACCGGGCCGGTATTGCGAAGAGGGGTAACAGTGTGAGACTCAGAATAATGACCAAAGGATTGAAGATCGAGAAGGGATAAGTGTATGTATGTTACAAATGATAATTTTAGACGGTGCCTTGAGCAATGTATATTGCGGTGTACTGAGAGCCTAAGGCTTTTAGCGAGAGTCAAGGCCATTTGGTGTGTACCAACCATTCATGGCCGCCGCACTCTGGCACTGTCTACGGCCTTCCATTCCAAACAATTGTGGTCAGTATGGTAGTCTTTGATTCACATCCTATATCCCGGCTTTAGTTTTGAGCAATTTCTCCAAAATTGATTTCCCGTGTTCTTTCTCACGCCAAGTAGTGATACACTGTTCTATCTTCTTCATCACGCTCCAAGTACTCGTTATCAATCAACGACTCAATTCTTTGCTTCATCAGCGATGGTGACGGCTTGAACCTGTTGCTCAGCTGCTTTATGATTTCTCCTAAAAGGTCATTATGCTTCAGCGTCTTACGGGCTTTCATTATCCGAACCACTGCTGCGTCTACCTCGATCTTGCGGTCCGCATCAACGCTCTTCATGGTGTGCGACCTCTCCTGGTCATCTTCAAGCTTCGTACTCGACGACACCGTGAGAACTTTGATTTTCGTCATTGGCGAGCGGAACTTCTCATTCACGCTGAACACATCTCCAGGGTGGATGTCCTTGGTCATAGGGGTCTTAGTCAAAAGTCTCGATCTCGAAGCAACTGCTATCGATTGCAGCTGACGAACAAGATCGTTCTCAGGTATATTTGTAATATCTCTTATCTCCTCGAAGGTGTACTGCTTCTGGTCATCTTCCGAAAACAAAAGAAGAATGATGATTGCTGAGTAAACAGGCATGTTCACCTCGTAAGTCTTTTTGGGGAATCGTATGCGCATATCCACAGTTCCCGAGTTAGGTGCCCAAATCAACTTCCTGCCGGCATGTTTCTCACCGTAGTACTTCTCAAATTGCTCCCTCAACAAGCTCAGCTCCAACGGAAAGTTTACATCCAGGTTTTTGTTCACCGTCATCGGCCAAAAGGTTCCCGTCAAAACGTTGATCTCCAGTTCCAGCTTTCTCAGGAAAGGATAATCCGCTACTAGCTGTTCTGATGCAGCAAGCTTTGATGCGAATTCTGCAGAGGTATCCCGTGATATCTTGACATCTCTAAACATCACCTCTAATTTCGACGTAAACGAATAGCCAACCTCCTTTTTCAGCTTGCTGATCATGCTGCGCTCAATATCACTGGAGAACGACTTCTGCTGAAGAAGGCGTTTCGCCAGATGATTCTTATAGTATTTCTCCACCAGATCCTTATCCTTGATGAACCTGAATATCACAATGGACTTATCAAGAATGGATTCGTACTCGTCGTGGCTCTTCTCTTTGAAGGACTTGCGTATGCCGTCATCCACGAATAGCGACAAATACTCTGCCACTTTAGGGTTGAGGTTGACCAGTTCACTGAAAGCAGAGTCCACCGTCTTGCTGATCAACACGTTTCTCTCAAACGAAGCATCAAGCATGATATCATATTTGTCCTTCAGCTCGATCAAACTGCCAATCCACTTTATCGCATACTGTGTACTGCTCTCCTTGAGACTACCGGGCTTCTTTTTCTGCTGCGGCTTCGCTGGGATTGTGGACTTGGCTTGGAGTTCTGCGACAAACTCGGTGGCTTTTTCGTCAAGCTCTGGGGTGGCAGAGATAATCATCTCCTTGAGACTAAACCTCAAAGTACCATAATTGGCATCCGCACTGCCCGAAAGAGTGTACAGAAGACTCAAGGAGTTGTAATCATTCTCAGAAATCCAGCTTCTGAGTCCACCATTCTCAAATCCCATGACTGTTTCCAGATTCGTGGATATGAGCGCATTCATCATCATCTCGCATAGTTTAGGATATGTGTCTTCTGGAAGATATAAAATGAGCCTCTTCTCCTCCTCACGCATCAACTGGTTGGCTTTGGACAAGTACAAAGATCCGTTCTTCTCGGACAACAGTTCCTGTGCAAGTCTCTCGAAGTAAACTCTACTCGAGTCCATAAGAGCTGGTTCACACACAACGGAATAGTAGTTCTCGCTGAACTGGCCACGCCAACCTTCAGTATCCGTTCTAGGTTCGTCCTCCAAAGACTCAAACATGGATACGGTGGACTTGATCAAGTATCGATCTATAAACTCTCCCTGTCTGCTCTTGTTCAACTCCAAGTTCACTATTCCAACCAGTCGATGTCCAATCGCGTGGTTGTTGTTTTTGAGAATCTTATCACGAAACAGATTCAGGCCCATGTTATAGACCGGCGGTAGGAACGACTCCTTGGTGTAAACTCGGTCCAAATACATGAAAACATCCGAGATCATTCTCATACAAAGCAAGAAGTCATTCCACTCAGAATTCACAGCTTTAAGCAGAGAAGCTCCTTGTTCACCTTTAAGCAATGAGAGCTTTTGGTAGACCGCGTTCTCTAGGTGCTCGGACAGAACGGCTTTGATGTTTTCATATAGTTGCTTGCCGTGCTTCCTCAAAACAGCATTATAGGCCCTTCTGTAGAGTTCCTCAAATGACAAGTTGGACGCTCTTTTCTCTTGGATTTCCTTGATAGCAGAGGATAGCACTTCCCATGACTTCTGGAAATCAGACTGCGTAGATGTGAGCTGTACAAGGGTTAGTGTCACAGAGACGTGAATTGAGAAAAGTCTTTCCACTCACCTTCCTGGGAGGCCTTATACGGGCCTTTCTTGCCCCAGTAGCAGATGATATCATGGCGTTTGCCCTGGTTGTTCTTGTGTTATTACAGCGCCTCTCCACCGTATGTCTGGATCGGTTTCTTGGAGAGTCCTCTACAAGGTCGTGTTTTCACTAAAATAGGCCGCGCACGATCACGGCCATTTCGCCGTTTTTGAGGACGCTATCTACCAGACAAACCTGCTCTTCATTGTTTCGTTTGCACCAATATATCACCATGTCTTCATCAGATATATTGGATGTGTTAAACATCCAGTCTTCTCATGTGCAGAAGAAAAGACCTGGTGATGCCAAACCAGCAGGCCCCAAGAAGAAGAAACAAGGTACCATGAACAGAGAGCTGTACAACTTGATAGGCCAGAACGCCCCACCAATAGCCATGGAAAAGACATCAAAGTTCAAAAGCAGGCTGAATTCGAGTGTTAAGACCACGCCTTGGTCTTACACATCATTTGTTAATGAGGCAAGACAAGACGGGCTGGAGCTCCATCACTGGATCAAAGGTTCATCGGACCTAGCCAAGGACAAAGAGTATCCGTTCGCCAAATTTAATTCCAAGATCAACATTCCTGAGCTGACTGAGGATAACTACAAAGAGTCTTTAGGGTCCGAAGATTGGTCGTTTGAAGAGACCAAGCATTTGTTTGAGCTGGCAAATGACTTTGACATAAACTGGTTTGTGATTTACGATAGGTACGATTTTGATGGAGCAGAGAGATCTTTGGAGGATCTCAAGGAGAGATTCTATGATGCGTGCGAGAAGCTTTTGACAAAGAAATATGAGTCTTCGTATACTGATGAGAAGACTCAGACCTTGATCGATAACTTGAAGTCGTTCGACAAGAGCAAGGAACTCGAGAGAAAGGAGTATCTTTCCAGATTATTGCAAAGGAATCCAACAGAGATTGCCGAGGAACAATCGCTGGTTATTGAGGCTAGGAAATTTGAGCTTTCGGCCAAGAAAATGCTTCAGGAAAGGGCAGGTCTGCTTCAGCTACTAGACTCCGCACAGTCCACAGGGTCCGTTTCGCAATATTTGACCTCGCAAGGTCTAACACAATTGTACAACAATCTCATGCTTGCTGACAAGGGCAAGAAACGCAAGGTGGAGGTTCCTGTTCCTCCCCAAATTGATAGCTCTCTGATTCGTGGGTCTGACAAACATAAGAAGATCACCGCTGCTTCCATTGCTCCTGAGTCGGCAAAGAAACCAGAACCTCTGACGCATGCTTCTGAGATGCTAGCTAAACGTCTTTCTGCCGAGGAACGTGAGATCTACGGTCTCACCATCCACCAGGATAAGATATCAGCAGGTGTGAACCTCAGATCGAACAAGATTAGCTCGTATAAGCCTGCCGTGCAGGCCAAGATCGCGAGTACTTTAAACGAACTGGGTATCAGCACGAAACCAACCATACCTACTGGGAAAGTGTGCGAAAAGTTCGATGAGCTATTACATGCAATCTCCATTCTTTTGGAGACCAAGAGGCAGACTGATAAGCTGGAAACGGAAATAAGGCTGATCCAGTCCCAGCGGGAGGACTAGATAGTTTATTGTACATTAATATCATTATTCATTGCAGTGGTTTCTGACGGCTGCGACGAGACTATGCTTGACAACTTCGTAACATTGTTGGACACTTTAGCTCTAAGAAGCTCAAGGTCTTCGAAATTTTCACCAAAAGTGTCGTCTCTGCGAAACTCCAGAGTCTCACAAGCTTTTTTCATCTTCTCAGCCAAAGTCTTTTCAATATCGGTCTCGGTGAAACTAGTGGTCTGACGCAAATGGTGCTCAGGTCCTTCGGATAGAAACTCGTCGAAGCTTTCTCTGAATTGTTTTTCATCATCAAATCCCTTGAGCAAAGTTGCAGAACGAATCAAAACCTCGTATATTCCGACAGAGGTTTGCAGTTTCTCGGTTTGGCTTGCAGCATATGTCGATGTGTCAATGGGGCTCATGGAGAACACAAGCTTCAGAAGGCAGAAAACATCGGCACGAACTAGTTCCATCTCTTTCAAGATTCCACAAAGAAATGACATCCATTCGTTCATCACTCTCCAGACTTTATTTTCCTTCTTTACGGCCAACGAGACCGCGACAATTATCGTGCAGAGTGGATACAATTTCGAAAGAGAAAGGTCGGGGTCTCCAAAGATTGCTGGACATCTCAACAGTGCAGTACGAAGTTTCTCCTCGAACTCCACGACTGATCTGTGGCGTACCGATGTGAAATACTCATCGATCAGATATGTGGTCATATCTTGCAAGTTTGGGGATGTCAGCAATTTCTCAACAAACGAGTCTTCAATCTCACCGTAATTTGATATCCCCATGTAATCGTTCAAGTGCACCAGATGGTTGTTTGTGCGCAGCGAATGGAAGGCTTGCAAGTTGATGGAAGCAACAACTGCTTTCACGAACGGTTTGTAAGTAACCAAAGCTGGGCCATCGTACATCACATCTTCGTAGCTTTCATCTAAACTTTCCAGTAGTACCTCCAACATCTCCTTGGCGTGCTTGTGATACTTGGGTACTCTTAACAGGGTCGATATGTTTTCCACCATGCTGTTCAGAAGGTGAGATCTCAGGTGGTCGAATCGTGTGGCATCTCGGGTAGCTGATTCAACATACAGAGGAAATTTTAAAAACGGATCTTGAACAGCAACCTTTGACAATTGGGCGTAGTACTTGAAGAGTCCGTCACAACGGTATTTAGCCATGCATCTGAAAAGCGTACTTTGGAAGAAGTTTCTGTCGCTTTCGTATGCGTTTTTATCCTGTTCCAGGATGGAAATATACAGGTACAACTCAGCGGACTTTCGAAACCGTTCAGATCCAAAGTACGGCCAGTAAATCATCTTGATGGTTTGCCAATCGCAGCTCAAGCCTTTCCAGACCTGGATCCAGAGATGCAGAAAACGAGATATAAAATCCGCACTTGCATCAACAGTTCCTTCTGATATAGCTATGACAACAGTTCCAAGACCCTTGAGAGTGTTCCTCAAAGTAAACTCAAGATTCACAGAATCGGCTTGCAGAACTTTGGTGAGAATTCCTGAGTATAAAGGAACGCATTCTTCGATAGCGCTCCACAAAATCGGATGCATCAGGATCTCGTTGAAAATATCGAGAACGCGGATGGATAAGACTGCAGTATCATTCGTGAGGACAAAACTATCAAGCCTCTTAATCAGCAGAATCAAGTGTTCAATCACTGCTGAGTTCCGTTTTTTCATCAACAAACTTGGAGAGTATTCAGAAACAGTTCTTTCAACCATCAACTTGCTGGACCTCACTAAAATCCCCCATGGGGGAGAAGCAAGATTTAGCAGACACCATATCAAGTCCCCACCCAAAGGCAAGTATTTTGGTCCCTCCGTTTGGAATAAGGCATCAACAATCGGGTTAAAACGCTGAGTGAGGTCTTTGTGGAACACGTCCTGCATCGTGAAGAGAACATTCAAACGAGCCACAAACACCTTCGGGTCGCTTTGCAGGATGGAGCCCATTGGCATCAGCTTCTCTATTAATCTGTTAGTTGAAACCGTCTGGCCGGATTTTGAAAATAATACCAGCAGCTTCAGATAAGTTGTGGTGGATGAGTCAGATGCAGAAATCTCATCGTGTGGTCTATGCCATTGGATTCTATCTGAGGTGTCTCCATCAAGAGGAATGAACTTCCGGGCAGCAATAACCTTGTACAGATTCACCATCAACTTCTCCGAAAAGTCCACCTGATGGTTTGTAACCAAATCCCTCACAAGTAATGATAGGGTTGTGTTGGCTTCCTTCAAATGGAGAAGCGGGCTCTGAACGAAAAGATCACAGAATATTTCCAAGACCCGTTTTGTGACATTGCCGAATAAACATCCTGAGAGTCTCAGAAAATGGGCCAATGACTTCCACCATGAGATATCCTTATTCTGTAGTCTAGTAGAGGCTAGTTGTTTGTAAAAGTGTTCGTCTAGCAGACTGCAGAACAGGCCAAAAGACTCATACATATAACATCCAGATTCGTTGTCATATAGACTCGAAAGATGCCAGCTGTAGTTCGATCTCAGCAGGAGCCTTGTATATTGATCCTGGAGGTCGCCAGCCATTGAGGACTCCTCCTTGCTTAGCTCAACGTTGGACTTTTTCAGAGCAGCTGCACAAGATTTGTGCAATGCCAGCAAGTATGGAATTGCAAACACATTCATGAGGCTATCGCTTTTCTTTGGTCTAGCCAAAAACTGTGATATGATCTCAGATACAGCTGATTTCAAGTAGGTGTATTCGGTGCGGTTGTGGAGCATGTTTGTCGCCCAGTCAATCATCTTAATAGAGAGAGACCTAAGTGACAACAGGTCCGGATTTGAGGTGCTTCTGTTCAACATCTCAGACACGTCTCTTATAAGCTTCTTCTGTATAGCTGGGAGAGCGTGTGCATCTCGCGAGTAAAACAAATCAAGTTCCCCATTGTTTATCACAGGGACCGTAAACCCTAATTCATCATCTCCAATGAGCACATAAGAGTCGACATTGAGCCACTTATCTAGCTGACTGGTTGCAGAATTGTCTGGCATCTTGAATCCAGAATATTCTTCTGTTGTAGGTTGAAGATTCACCACCTTTGTTATTTTGAAGTCGTCCTGTGGCTCCACTACCGGCTCATTCTCTGGATCTGTCTTTTCTGTTCGAACAGTAGTCATACGTTGTCTCGTTTTCTTAGACCACGGAGTCTCGGAGGCTAAAACTTCAATTTGTAGTGTTGCAGCGTACGGACTTCTTCCATAATCAAACATTGAGTCTGCATACCGCTTTTGACTAGCATGTTTCGTTCTCAGTTTTGGCCTTTTCGAGGTGGATACCTTGGCGAAGCCTGACCCTTCGATCTGACCATTATTGTTAGAAAGTATTCTTCGTGACGAACTGGACGTGGGGTTGTTTTTGCGAGACGTAGCAATTCGTCCTTGCTTTGTCCTTGCTTTGATGTTGATGTTTTTGAGTTTCGAGTACGTCCTCTTGCCTCCAGTGACTGGGCCAGGCCCATAAGCAGGTCGATGTCTTCTTGGAGCTTTATGAGACGAATTTTGATCCCTGGTCTTTGTGGATCTGGGTTTCGAAAACCTCGATGATTTTTTTGAAGCATCCCTGGACAACATCATCGTGAATCCCGACATGAATGACTCTTTGGACGCACCAAACATATTCAAACCAGTGTCCTCATAAAGCTTATTGACATCAGCAGAGGGAGCCTCATATTTGACTTCGTGATGAAAAGGTTTTGGTTCAAAAGCACTCTGATTATCAAAGTACTCGTTGAATATGTATTTCTCGGTCTCCGATCCGTAGCCTGATCCCGGCTCGGAGAGACCATCTGAGATAGAGACAGCATCAGATAACTCTTCACCCGAAATGTTTGCAAAACTTTGGTTGTATGGTGAAATTTCAGCATCGCTCTCTTCAAGAACATCATCATCAGCAACAAAAGATTCGACGTTTTCGTTCAGCGGTCTGGCTCCAGGTTTCGACATCTTCTTGCGCGCAAGTCCGACACGAGGTTTTTCTGTAACTGGACCTCGTTTATTAGTGGTAGAAGCTTTAGGACCGGGAACACGCACGAACGAGTATGGAAGAACTCCCTTGAGCCTTTTCTTGAAACGATCTTTCTCATCCTCCGAATCTTCGCTGCTTCTGTCGCTGTCATCATTTGAGTCAAGTTGTTGTGGGCTTTTGAAAATTTGCCTTATATTCGCTTCTGAATCGGGAAAAACGTTCTCCTTCTCCTCATCTGATGCCTCGTATTCTTCTTCTGACAAGTCCGAATATTCTGTGTCCACGAAATCCTTCAATTGTGAGTCCATGGTCTGTTCAGGCTCCGGCTGCCTGTTTCCACCTCCGACCTCCTTTAAAGCACTATAGAAACTCTTTTTGGAAAACCGAGGATTTGAGGAAGTCTTCTTTTTCTTCAAGTATAGCGTGTTCAATAGATGGTTGATTTTCTCCTCGGAGTATCCTTTTTCAAACAGGCCATCCAATTGGTTAGAGTTCATTAGCCCCAAATAACCTGCCAGATCTGCCGTATACACATGGAGTTGTGAGAACTTCTTTTTTCTCAATCTTTGATGATGGGAGATCTCGGAGAACTCGAGGGAATTGGCGATTTTCAAGAGTTCTTCGTTGGTCATGACCTTGTCATCATCGTCATCATTGATATTACTGGCGAGCGACTCGTATTCCTGGGGTTCAATTGGGATAGTGGGATTAACAGGACCAAATTTTCCTTCTTGTAAAGGGACAGGTTCATCATGTCCTTCGGTTAAATGATCTTCAACTCTCTGTGCATCTTCATGAGACTGCTCTTCGTTCACGTGTTGATCTTCATGAACTTCGATTTCCTCTTGTCCAGTCTCCTCGTGTTCTTCAAGAACGAAGTCATCGGGAACTTTATCCCGAACTGTCGGCAAATTCAGCCTAGAAAAATGTACCTTGTCGCTGCCCTTGGAACTTCCTTCTATCATTTCGTAAAAGCTCTTTCCCGATCTATTCTTTCCCATATAAGTCTGAAAATCGGCAACAAAAACATTAAATGTCCTCTTCTTATACCTATGGGTCTTTATATTCAGACTTTCACAATAGGCCCTCTTCAATGAGTATATGTAATTCAGTCTCCGAATGATCTCTTCGTCTGGAACGCCTAGCGACGCTACCTCTTCCAATTCTCTAGGCGAACAAAGCTGAAGAAATACAGAAAGATCAGATATAAATACATGTCGCTGGTTGAAAGTACGTTGCCTCAAAGAACGTCGCTGAAGTGTGATAGCTCCATCTTGTCGCGTAGCCAGACGTGCCTTCCCATTGGTTCCTGATTTCGCACGGTCTGGCACGTCTAGAATTTCCAGCTCCGGCTCGGAGTCGGAGACCTCCAGCTGCGACATTAATAAAAGGAGGTGGCAAAGTTCACCGAATTCGAAAGTTGGGGAGTAAACGTAGAGGAGTGTAAGTTTGTTCTTCAAAGCCGCGTTGTTGTGGGACGTGTGTGGTTATGTAATCAATCACGTGATAAAGTCTGCGTCTTTCATGGAGCTGTTTACAACATAGTGATCTAAAGTCAAGCAAACAGCTGAATCACCGATTACGCCCTTTGACAATCAGACATTTTGTTATTTTCAAAGTCCGTTCAGCATGCACAATGTCGTCTCAGGCGAAACCCCACAGATCGTCGAAAAGACCGCCAGTAAGTGGACCTTCATTTATTGTCTTGAAAGCAGTATGTTAACAAGCCCATGTTCAGTTGGCCACGATCGAATCGTGTCTCACAAGGCTATTGGTTGCTACCAGAGATCTTCTGGAAATGTTACCCAAATGGGCACAGCTTAAAGCAACAGAAGCTGACGTTTCAGATGCCTATGTTAGATTGGGAAACGAGTTCAAGGTTACTTGTAGAGCCTTTTCCAGTGCTGGGGTAGATATTACTGATTTAGGGGATGTTCCTCAGAAGCTTAGAGAAGTCCTTGAGTCTGCATTGGTTGAGGAGCCATCTCAGGAAATTCTGGACAGGTTTTTGCCTACGATCCGGAAAATTATTGTGGGTATGGTCGAGAATCTGAAGACTAAGAAGGAAGCAGTCAAGCAGATTAAGTCTGATAGGAACAGTTTGAAGTCTCAAGGCATTTCGGGGCCTTCTGTGACGTCGGAAAGTGCGAAACATCGATCAGATAACGGTTCGATTGTCTCGAGTGAGAGCAATTCGTCGAGTCGGCCTCAATCAGCGTCTTCTCATGTGGATCCGCTAGCTGAACTGGAACGGGGCAACACCCTTCAAAGAAAGGCTTCAAAAAGATTATCAACATACCAGTATCAACAGATTATAAGTTACTCTCCTGGAAGAGATCCTCCACTGACTGCGGCTGCCGATATCGGTTCACCTAGATCTCCATTGCCGACTTCACAAAGGAAGCAGCAGCACACAACGATATTTCTTAAGATCGGATCAAGAGTTCGCAAGACCAGTTATGAGCCGGTGAGAAATGTTGAAGACTTGAAGATGCTGTTCATAGAGGTATTTGGTTACTCTCCTGGGTCTGATTCGTTTCCAGATGTATACATCCAAGACACGCACACTGGTGTTTCTTATGAGCTGGAGGAAAAGTACCTTGATGAGATCAAAGAAGGCAGTATTCTGTCCATTACCCCGAAATCTTCGGATGAATCGTATCATGCTGATGGCTTTGACCAGAAGATATCTGCTTTGACGGAGAAGGTAGACTTGTTGCAAAAGTCTGTTATTGCTGAAATAGGATCCATAAAAGACCTTCCCCCAGTATCCCAGCCTCAGGAGAAGAGAGAAATTTCAAGCTCTCCTGAAATACTCAAGAAGATTGCTGATTTACAACACCAAGTCACAATAGCGAGACAAATTGCGTCTGCCAACAAAAAGTCTATGACAGTCTCTTTGAACAAACTCCTCGGTAAATTTGGGGATTTCCAAGAAACAAGTGCTCTGGCTGCCAATTCAGCTGATGACGTCTATCTGGAGAACTCACTGGTCAATTTGAGCAACGAAGCTTCAGAGATGGTTCAGAAAACTGATATAATACAGGATACTCTGGAGCAGTTCAAGAAGGATATCACACAGAGAAGAATCTGTCCCTCTCCAAAACAGATTGAAATGTTGCGCAGAGACATGGAGAATACTCGCTCTGAAGTTCTGAAGCTTTCTGAGTTCCTAGAAAAGGAAACTCCAAATTGGCACAAGATATGGCAGGTGGGACTCAGCAAGGTGCTCGAAGGCAAGGACTTGCTGAAAATGCAAACTGAAGTTATCCAAGATCTAAAGGATGATTTGGCTAGTGCTGACGACATATTCGATACCATTGAAAAGTGCTCAGAACAGATGATAAAGACCAAAAAGAGCAACGTTGCTTTGAACCTTCCACTGCCGGAGCCTGGTCAGAGTATTAGCGATGTGAAAAACGCAGTTCTTTCGGAAGTTGCAGCTCTCCAGCCGAAACATGAGGAACGCGTGGCAGCAATAGAACGTGCTGAAAGGATTCGTGAGCGCCAGAAGGACCTGGAAAGGGATGAATTTTCAGAAGAACTGAGTGGGGTTGTTGAAGGGAATAAACTGAAGAAGTCCGGTGGCATAGAAGAAACTGAACGTGTAAGGAGGTTGAAGGATGAACAGAACCTCAAGGGGCAGGCTATATTATAAGGTTGAAAGTGAAGGTGAATATTGTGCTATGATAAATTTGCTAGATTAACCACAGTGTTAAGACGCCAATGCGGTTTTCGTTGCTTTGTTCAACATGGCTGATACATCGAACGGACAGCGACCGTTCACACCCATCACCAACTGGTTCACCAATTCTATTGCAGGAAGGTAGAACTTCTTGATGAAGACATGCTCGTTGAAAGAGGGATGGTCAACCACCTCAAGAGAGCACTTTAGCATTGCGAGTGTACCCATGATTGCGTTGCGGACGTTCCTCTCCACCTCAGACTGAGAGTTGTACTTCAAACTCAGCAAACTCTTATAAAGCTTGAGTCTGATGGACTGGAGACACTTCTCATAGAGTTCGGATTCGGACTTCGCAGAAGCCCTTACCTTTCCATACTGCTCGACCGTCTTATAGGCTGACAGGCTATTCAAGTCGATGGTGAGACCACAAAAGTTGAGAGTTCTCAAGTTAAGATCGGCCAGCATCGTCTTTGACTGATTGACTATGATATTGTACTCCCTAGTTTGGGCTGAAGAAAGAGAGTCGCTGACTTTTTGAATCAGACTGAGGTGTGGAGATAATATGAGAAAGTCGTCACTCAAACGCAGAGTCAGAGCTTCACCGTTGAATTGGAGATATTTCTCGACATACTCGTCATAAACCAGATCACAGAACTCAGAAGATAACTTCAGTCCTTGAAATATACCTCTTACTCTCACAAACTGGTTTTTCTCGAAGAACACCGTTGAAAGGCCCATTTGCTGTCTTATTATGTTGAGGACCTTCTCCTTGGTGTACGTAGAAGTCACCGCCAGATCCTGTCCAAATCTTCCTCGCATTTTAAATATATGACCAGCGCCAGAGAGCTTGGGCTGGAATATTCTCCGTTTGTAAAGACCCTTAAAATATTTCTCGAGGTTGCGAGAAATGTTGAACCTTTTCGTGACATAGATGCTCTGTCTGTTCAGAGCAGTGCTGGCAGCAGCTATGATCTTGGCTCTAGGAATGCTGTCATAGCAATTGCTAGCATCGAATTTGAGAGCATATATCACTGGCAAGTTGCCTTTGTTTTTTTCTAACAGATGATGGCGATATTCGGAGATTCTTTTAAAGACGTCTTGAACAGAGAATATAGCACTTTTTGGTCTCAGTCTTCTCAACACAGTAGACACGGGTTCGATCTCAAACTTGTTTCTAGCCCTTTGTTTGATTTCAGCAAAGCTATCTAGTGCCTGTAAACGACACAGAACTCGAAAACCGGACTCTTTTGGAACCACTCTCATTATTCCAGCAGATCCTGCAGTTGGTGATGGGTGCTTACCAGAGTCACCGAACTTCGGGCTCAAGTAGTATCCAAAATACTTTTCCTTGAACGACTTGGTGATATTTCTCCATAGTCGATGGCGAAAGAACATCAGTCCAAACCCTCTTGGATTCTCAGTTATATAGAAAAAATGTCTTAGAAGAAGTTTCAAAAACGTTCCAAAGAGAAAGGTGACGAACTTTTCAAATCGTCTTCGTATGCAGCGAGCACCTTGACGATCCTTTCCCCCGCCAAGCCATTTGATATATCGTAATTGAACAGACTTCATAATAGACGAGACAGTGAGGCTTTCGTTCATGGCCATGTTGATGAAGTGCGAGATCCCAGAATACAGTACCACTTTGTTGTGACTGTTTCCCCATATTTCCTCGGGAAATAACTTTTCAAATAACGTCAAAACAAATTTGACGACCCGTCTTCTTGAAGAAGCAACTTCAAAGTTACTGGACATTGTGGTGGGATCATAATCATTGTCAGGACAGTGTTCATGGATCAAAGTGCCGTATTTGCAGCCATTGTTGTTTCTTGTGATTATATGGCACAAATGTCTTGCTTTTCGGAAATTTTTTGGGATAGATGAGCCAAGTTTTAGATCAAAAATACTGCAAAGTAATTCGTCACCAGTAACACCCAAAATAAGTTGGGCCACCTCGTGAACAGGATGGCCAAGCATGACTGACCGATTGCTAAAGACATGGCTATCGTCTCGGCTCTTGCTCACCTTTAGCGTATAAGGCCCAAATATCTGAACATTGTTCTTGAATCCGATTGTGTTAACAAGTAAATTCACAAATCTTGCTGTTCCAATCAATCTTCTGAGATCGCAGAAGGCTGGTGAAATGGCCTCCTCCACACATACATTAACCTGGAAACAATTGAGCACCCCATCCTCGTAGGAATAACCATGGGTCAGGACATTCGGGGATTCCAATTGTTTCAGATGCTTTATGACATTTTTGATGAGATCAACCTGCGGTATTGTGTCAATCGCCAGACCAGGAGGTATTTTAATGGGTCTGAACTTTTTCAGTACCTCACGCGGTTCAAAGACCAACACCTGGCGAAGAACATTGAACAGCTTCTCGGGCAAAGCCTTGGTGTCTCTCTCTCGCTTCTGCTTTTCCTGCTGTCTGAGAAACTTGCCCAATCCAACGCCTTCCATCCGTAAACCTCCTGTAAATTTCACAACAAAACGGAACGCGTCTTAATATTTTTGTGGAGAAGTGCTAGGCTTGTGCATGAGGCGTGTGCTAACCAGTCTACGAGAGCGCAGATAAGAACATCAAGTTTGGCAAAGACGAGGAAGAATTTACTACTCTGAAATATCCACACAACAGGTGCCCGCGTTGAGAACCATGGTATCAATGTCGGTTGATCAGATTGTCTCTGTAAGTGTTGTTGGCTTTTGCCTTGAAATATGGGGTTTCTAACTTACCGCCAGCTCGTGGAATCGCTATACACCGCACACTCTCCAGATGCCGTTGCGGAACTACAGAATCGATTGCAGATCCTTCAAAAGTCCGAACAAGGATGGGAGATAGCAGAAATGCTTCTGGCTCAGCCATCGTTGAATTGCCAATTTATAGGGGCATTGACTTATACTGTGAACCTGAACCTACACTCAGCCACGCTCGCCTCGTCTTCATCTACAATCACGTATGCTACCATCATGACCAAGCTTCTGAGCCACTTGAGAGATGTGGTTCGGGAGGATCCAAACTTGAAATCGCGAATGCTGATAATCACCAAACTTCTAGCGAATCTGGCGCTGATTTTTACGCGGACCTTCCAGGACTGGAAAGATCCTCTGAACAGTGTGGTGTCATATCTTACGAATCAGCCCGAGACCACTTTGAATTCAGAAATCTTGCAAACTTTGCACCACAAGTTGATAGAAATTCTTCTTCTTTTTTCTCAAATTACAGTGGAGGATATCACCAAGAAGGACGCTTCAGACGTGAATAGAGTGGAGTTACATCGCTGCATTCACGAGGGCTTCTTCGCGACAACTCAGACCATCATGGCGTTTGCTGTTGAACGTTACGAAGAAGCTTTGGCTTCTACATGGCTTGACTGTATGTCTTCGTGGATTCAGTATATATCTGTGGCGCAGCTGGAGTCCACGGAGAGATACGACGCTTCGGTGATGCTTTCCAATCTGTTCAAACTGTTGGTCGATTCGAAAGGCGAGGCCCGCGTGATCACGGTTGTCACAGATATATTTGACACCAACCCTGGAATGATGAAACAAGAACTGAATAAAACTCTGGAATCACTTCTGTTTGGGAGTTGGGGTATCGAATACCTGAACACCCACGGCCATGATCACGAGGCTGTGAATATGTTTTCCAGACTCGTGATACGATTCTTGGAAGGTAACCTGGTGAGTCTATCAGCCAGTCTTTATGACGACCAGAGTAACGAAAAGTTCGAGTTCTTGATATCACTCTCAAGTTTCCCGGGAACGCCCATCATTGACGAGATGAACTCGGTAGACTTCGTGGACTTCTGGTCGCAGATGGCAGAATGCTTTGTATCTGACGGTGAATATTTTTCGCTCTTGCTGAAGAATGATGAGAGTTCAATGGCTAGACTTACTGATAAGTCGATAGCGCTGTTTTCCAGGGTAGCACAAATCTACTGGCAGAAGGTGCATATTCCAGACGATGTGGCCGACTTCAAAGAGGAATTCGACTCGTTCAGAAGGGACGTGGCTGACTTCTTTGAAACCATTTACTCCATTGTCGAGTTCCCACTGTTCGATAATCTAGTGAAATCAATCATCGAGGGCCTCACAACTTCCTCGTCTCTCTCGGATCTGGAGGCATCGCTGTTTCTCATGAACGCGGTCTCCGCAAATTTCAGTGAACATACGATAAGCGACGATGTGTTGAAAAGTCTGGTGATGGTGATGGACTCTGACTTGTTGAAAGTGGTCCAACAAAGTATCAGCTTCGGTCAATCTCTGCAATATCCCATCCTCACAACGGTCCAATTTCTGGCCTCAATCGATTACTTTTATAGACACTCCGTTGGAGTGCCCTATCTGTCGACCATTCTCAATTTCTTATTCGGATGCATGTTGAACTCAAATCAGTACAGTCTGGTTGCTTCAAAGGCCATCTCCAAGATATGCAACGAGTGTCGCCAATATCTGGTTGATTTCATCCCATACTTTGACGATCTGCTCACCGAGATGATCTCAAACTATAACGTGGAGCCACTCATAAGGCAGAGAATCATCAACTCGCACGCCTCAATTGTTCAGAGTATCAAAGATCCTGAAATCCAGAGTCACCATCTTAAAAAAATTCTGACCTTGATTCGCCAAAGGTCGTTGGAGGCCATCAGAGAGTTCGATAATCCCCAACTACCAAGAGAGGAAAGGGAAAAACAGCTGGCGTACCTCATCAGTTTGCTATCGTCAGTCAAAGAGATTGGCAGAGGCATGAAACTCCCCGACGATGTGGACCAGATCTATAACGCATCGGAAATTGGCGTCATCAAAGAGTTCTGGGAGAGGGACCCAATGGGCATACACCAGATAGTGATAGACACTGTTGGAGCATTTGCGCTGGAGAGCAGGATGCTATCCAAGAGTCTCAGAATAACTGAGGAAGCATGCAATATTCTTCAATCGGGGATGAGTGAGTCCATCGGTGGGCCCTTTGTGTTTGAAAATAACGTTCCACTGAACTTCATTCAAGCCAGATGCAGCAACAAAGAGGCTGACCCAAAGTCTTTTCTAGATACTCTGCCCTTGCTGTTTTCTTTGCTGTCTGCATTGTTCAACTCGGCGTTCAGAACTCTGGACCAGAAACCTGTCGAGGAGATCTTGCAACTGCTGCTTATAGACAACATGGTAATCGTCAAGTCAGACCCAGACATCCTGCAGAGTGCGCTGAGTGCGGTTACTACTTTGGTTGAGAAACGACCTTCTTTGCTTGTGCACCTTCCTCTTTTCTTTGACTCGATTCTTCCTTTTGCTCTTGATCAACTCAAGTCCAAGGAGAGGTATGTTTTGAAGGCGACCGAGAAATTTTGGGTGCGTCTCATTGCTTTGCGCAGAGGGGGTCAGCAGGACACGATCTCTGTGCAGAGGATGTTTCTGGAGACTCCTTTGGGCGAAGTGCTACTGCTCACGGCCCTGGAAAATATGTTGGAGTCGCCTCGATCCAACGTTGACCTGTATATCGAGGTTATCAAGGTCATCGTGGTAAAATACCAGCGGATGGTCAAGCAGTGGATGACTGCTTCTTTCGTCAAGATCGATCAGCTTAGACAAGAACGCGGAAAACAACCCGTTCCAAGCTCTGCCGTCTTCATCAGCAAGGTACTGGTCACTAGAGGGATGGGTGGGTGCAATCGTGTGATCAACGATCTCTGGCTACAGGTCAATGGGCTGGTAGACTACAATACTCGTTAACACACAAAGCTGGTTCCGATAACATAGTACAAAAATCACTGGAAGGACATGGAGGCGAGCTCATCACATATGGCCTCGGCCTCGTTCTTATATGAGATCTCGGCCAGACTCATGACCTGGTACCTTGGCCTGGTCACATTATTGAAGTTGTCGAGTTTTCCCTTCAATCTGAAGGCAAACTCTTTGTAGGTGGCTCTGGTCAGATACCCTTTGAATGCCGCCTCACCATCTTCCATTCCGCCTTCATCGGTAGATGGGGCATCCCTAATCTTGATTAGGTCATTGGCACTGATTCCCAGAATGGTCTTTGCGACTTCCTCGAAGCAAGTCACCCAAAGCTGGTCGGTTTCGTCCAAGATCGATACACTCAGTATGTAACGCCAGCGTGGTGCGTCGTGGAGCTCGTTGCACTTCTCGCATCTCCACTTATCTCCTTCCTCAAGAACCTTCTTTGAGCATCCCTCGTTGGGACAGGCAGGGTAGGCGATGTTTTCGGATCTGATGTAGCTGATTGTACCCTTGAAGGAGAAGAAGGTATCAGAAGAGCCCAGAGCAGTCTGATGTATGGCCCCTATGGTGGTTCTCTCGAAGATGGACGCCTTACTTGTCAGATCATAAGCCGCAGAGGCCGCGTTCTCACCCTTTACAGGAATGAACTTTTCGTTCTTTCCTTGAGTGTCGTACCAGCCCTTCAGCTTGTAGGCCTCTGGAGTCTCTGGGTTTGCAATGATAGTAGCGGATGGAGTCAAAGATAATGTTCTTCCACCAAAATCCTGTACCTTAGCACCTTTGATAGCAACTACGGTTCCAACAGGAATGTCGAAGTTGACAGCGATCTTGTTCCACAAACCAACCGTAGCAGCGAAGTGCGACGAGTCAACGATGGTGATGTCACGTCTGTCAAAAGGTCTTCCGGAAGACTTAGCAGTGATGCTAAAAAGGTCGTCAACCTTGTTCAATACACCGACAACATCGATGATGGAGTTGGTCGTGAGGTCTGGGACTCTCTCCAAAGAAACGAACGAGTACTGGAGATTAGGAACGTCAGAAGCATCGTCACATTCCTCAATCAAAGAATCCCTATCCAAAGCGAGTTCGTAGTTGTGGCTCAAAGTAGAGAACTGTTTCTTGGCTGGTTGGATTCTGGCTTTAGAGACGTAATACACATGACCCTCTTTCAAGAAGTCATAGTACTTGTCAGCAACTTCGTTGAAGGCAGTAGCTCTGATCTCATTCGATTCATCCATGAAGTGAACATTGAAAAGTTTGCCCTCACCTCTCTGGTTTGTCCAGGTCTTAACATCAGATTTGAATGAAACACGTGCCTTAATGGTCCAGGTGTTCTGGTAAGGTGAGAGCTGATCAATCGCATAGAGATTGTCATGGTGAGAGTTGGCATTGCGTGCAGCGGCAGGTTTTTTCTCCTCGCGAACTGGAGCTTCGCTTGAACCAAAACGATCCTCCTCAGGATGCTCACGGAAATACTCGTCGACGGTCACATAACGAAGAGTACCACCGTGTGGGGCATCGTGAGCCACAAGCTCAACATTTCCAATGATTATGAGTTTCTTGTTGTTGCTGTTCATCGATTGAACATCATAGTTGATCAGCTTGATAATGCTGAATTTCTGAATGTTCAATGCTTGTGCTGCTTGAACATGCTCAGGTCTGATAATCGCATTTGCCTGGAACGTACCATCCGTCAACATCAGTCTCAAACGCAGTCCCTGAGGATTGTCAATCTCTCTTCTGGCAGTAACCTGAACAACCAGAGGTTCCCCGTCCTTGTACCTTCTGTTGATGGAGAACACATCTTTCAAGCAGTGTTCGGTTAGCTGATTATCGGCAGTAGTCATGGTGGGTGTGATAGTGGAAGATAAGTGGCAAGAAGAGCAGGAGACGCGTCTGGAAAAGTCAATATGAACGCGAAGTAGTGTGATACCTGATTTACTTGGGCAGGCACTACCATAGCGATAAAGCCTTAATAGGCCACAGATAGAGGTCATAGCTATACCCGTGCATCCCTCTTTTAGCTGAGAAAAAACAAAGCTAAAGTTTTTTAGATAAAGCTTCACTCCGGATTTATTCCCTTTTTGGTTTTTTTGCATATAAGTCGTCTTTTTGCGTTTCTGAGCCCTCACCCAAATTACCCCGGTGTCTGGTTGTGTGCCCTGCTCATGAACAAAAATATACCATTCCTAAGCTCTCTTACATCACCAAACTCCAACTACCAAGGTTGCGCCAACATCACAAGACAAAATGGGCAACTCGGATCTTGTGAGACTTACAGAGTTAGCAGGAAAGGCTGAAAAGAAAGATGACAAGCCAACTTATGTGAAATACACACCCAGTTCAGTTATACAGCGTTCTGACACTCCGAAGCAGCGAAAAATAAAGATCGTTGATAAGCAGATAGATCCTGTTTTGCCTCCCAAATTCAGACACAAAAAGACTCCTGCTCGCCCTCCATCACCTCCAGCACCTGTGTTGCACGCTCCAGCGCCCAGTGTTTCCGCCGAAGACCAGAAGAAATGGTACATACCTCCGGCAATCTCGAACTGGAAAAACCCCAACGGTTTCACGATAGCCATAGACAAAAGATTGGCCAGTACGGGAGCAGGACTTCACGATGTTGAGGTGAACAAGAATTTTGCTGATTTGTCGGAAGCCTTGGAGCTCGCAGACAAACAGGCAAGGGAAGAAATCAAGCTTAGAGCGGAGATTCAAAAGAAATTGGCTGAGCAAAAGGCTGCTGAGAAGGAAAATAGACTGCGACAGATAGCCGAAGAGTCTCGTAGGGGTCGTTTGGAACAGAATGAGCCAGAAGAACCCGAATTCAAGAGCGAAGCAGCCAGAAGAAGGGCCGAAATCCGGGCTGAAAGGCGCAAAAAAGCGGAGAGAGAGCTACGGATTGAGAGCATGGGCAAGGAACAGAGGGTAAAGATGATGGCAAAAGACTCAGGACGTGAAATTTCCGAAAGGGTGGCTCTTGGGGTATCTAAACCATCTTCTAACGCTGATTCCAAGTACGATTCAAGACTGTATCTGCAAGCCTCTGGGGCCAATGCCAGATCCAGTGAAGATCAATTGTACAGCACTCCTCTGTTCAGTGCACAGGAAGCGATTCACAACATTTACAGACAGAGAGGCAATGGAGGGGCTGATGACGATGGTCTCGATGCAGACGAGCAGATGAATCGTTTCGAGAAGGAGAGCAGGTTTGACGAACTGAAAAGACCGACAAAAGGATTCAGTCATGCAGAAAAGAGTTTGAACGAACAGGCAAGTGGGCCAATTGTCTTTGAGAAGGACGACAAGTCGCTGGAGGAGGAATCAACTCGCTACTACGGCCTGGATGAAAATCCCTCGAAGCGTCAAAAGAAATAGGCACTGTGGTTGATTAGGTGACTGTGTATAATATTGTATTTTTCAAGAATGAATGGTCGACACTCGTGTCAATCCTAATGGTTCATACCATGCTAGTCTAAACCTAGAGAATCAATCGTATTGTAGTAAATCTTGTCGTGGTAGTTTGTTTAAGTGTTATTCGCTCAATAATGGTCAAGCCATGTCGTTTCATTTCCTCACTGCTCTTCGTCAGAGTCCTTCTCTATGTGCACATCTTGGTCAAATAGACTATCCAGAGATTGACCAACCGAATTCTTACTCAAAATGATTGATAACCCCTTGCCACGTTTGATAAGCATTTCTTCGGCTTTTTTCACAGATCCGCTCACTCGTAGAACTCTTATAGTAACTGGGGAAGCTTGGAGTCGGGTGATCAGCATGATGGCAGCGCACACCAATCGCGTAGATTCTCTCGATACTTTGATGATCCCGAGAGAGGACTTTTCTGAAAAATACTTCACAGTAAGAACCCCTCCTCCAACACCATTTCCGTAGTCACCAAAGTTTGTTTGTAGCGACTGTCGTATGGCCTGAACAACCACCTTTGGTGTGATCGCAATAGCCGGTGGCTGGTGTATGAGGCTGAGACTACCTGACTTTGTCTTGAGCGCGGCTTCTAGAGACTCTGCGGTCTCATCAATGGGATATATCACGTTGAAAACAACGTATCTGTTTTTTATGCGCACCATGTTTGTGTATTCGATAATCTCATTGTTCACTTACAAGCGTAAAATCTGACTTTGAGATGATAGCACTTTCAGGGCTGTGCGTGACCAGGGCACATAAGGTTTTCTAAGCCGCACGACATGCAGAAGCAAGAAGCCTTTTTCAGAAAAGGCGGACATTCAAGGTCAAATAAAACCTGCTAGAGATTCGGTGACTAGAAGCTATGATATGCCAAGATTAATCTTATCAACTTACTGTTGCGAGGAAATAATTCAAAAATGTTAAGCTGCTGCAATTGGAATGCAAATTTTACACACTTGAAGTAAAGGTATAATAATACAGCCGTTAACAGACCGTGAACAGGAACTCCTGTTACCGAGTCTCATTGGTCCATGCTAGTCTAAAGAAGCATTTGGACTTGAGATACCAGAAAAATGGTGGCTCAGACAATTGAAGTTGAAGGTATAATTGGAACAAATAAGTTGTGAGCGATACAAATGAATTCCTTGAGCTCGAGCAGAATAGTGGTTGTATGACATCTGGACATGAATGAGGCTAGTTGGGAGCTTCGCAAAAATATATGCAAATAAATACCGAGATTCCGGTCTCAGGAAAGTAGTAACGGTCATTTGACCAATTGTCTCGTGCAACGGAATGCGTCAGTTGAGTCTATTAATGGAAGAATGCTGGTGACGAAGAGGAAAAAAAAAGAAGTGCGCCATGAACTTTTGGTGAGAAGTCTGAGAATTTGAATAAACCGTATGTGAAGGCGAAAAGCAAAATGGGTCAAGCTAGAAGGTTGACTTTGTAATTAGACGATGAATGCTAATAGAACAGCAACACCGGCCAGAAGAGATGAGCCGAGTTTGGCTGCACCACCCTCGAGAACGGAGACACTGGCGGTACCAGTGGATCCAGAAACTGCCGAAGTGGAAGCTTCTGAGGAAGAAGTGAAAGCCGAGGTAGCAGAGGCTGCCGCTTCGGTAGTGACAACAGAGACTGTGGATTCAGTAGTCTCAGAAACTTCAACCTCGGTGGTGTAAATGGTGGTAGAGACAACTTCAGCAGTACCGGTAATAACGCTGGTAGCAACTTTGGTGATCTGGCCTTCAGACGTGGAGGTGGTGACAGTGAACTCGGAAGTAACAACTGTTTCTGTGGTAGCCGTGAGCTCAGAAGTGACTGTGACTGTTTCCAAGTAAGCGGTGGTGACCGTGACAACCGAACCATGAGAGTAAAGGAACGGAACGGAAGTTGTTTCTCCAGTTGTAGTGGTTGCAGTGGCTGAAGCAACTGTCTCTGTTACTGAAGCATATGCAGTGGTTGCCTCGGTCTTGGTTTTTCCAGGAACGTTCGGTGTTGGAGCTGCGCTTTCAGTGTAGGTTGTGACCTCATATACAGGCACTGTTACCGTAGTTGTACCGTATGCTTCACCCTTGGATGTCTTTGTGGAAACATATGTCAGGTAAGAAGGAGTGTACGTAGTGGTGTAAGTCACAGTTGCTGTGGTAACACCCCCCGGACAATAGGTGGTGTAGATGATAGTAACACCCTCACTGGCCTCGGTCACAGTGGTCACACCGGTGGTATGTGGCTTTGATGTGCATGCACCTTCCGAGCACGTAACTGTTGTAATCACAACCTCCGGAATGGTTTTAGTGACGGTCTCAGTAACAACAGCAGCACTAGGAGCTGTCAAAGTAGAATACACCTTGGTTTCTGTCGCTGTCAAAGGACAGTATGTGGTGTACACAGTTACAACGTCGGTCAGTGTCGTGGTAACTGTAGAAACGGTTCCAGTTACCGACTCTGAACAGTATCCACCCTCACAACTGGTGGTAGTGAGCGGACACCAGGTGGTGTAGACAGTAGTGATATCAGTTAGAGTGGTAGTGTAGGTAGACACACCTGTTGGATAGGTTTCAGCAGAACATTTGCCATGAGAACAGTGGGTGGTGGTCACAGTGAAGGTACTCTCAGCAGTTGCAGTGGTAGTGATTGTGATATCTCCTGAGCAGGAGGAGTTGGAATAGCCTGCACTTGCAACAGTCAATGCTGTCAAGCCAAGCAGTAGGGAGGAAAGCTTCATCGGGTTGGTCTAACGCCCAAAGCGAGTGAATGAAGGTTTTAAATGGGAGTGATGAAGGATGGGGAAAGTATGAGGGAAGCGCAAATAGCAGCAAAGGAATACTACAACCAATTTATAATTACGCTTGGTCGGATGCTAAATCCAGTTTCCAAAAGTGAAAATTCTAGTTTTCACAGCGACGGAAAGCAAGCTTGCATATCGCTGGACCGAAGTATATCGTTAAACCCCCTAGCAACGACTTCAGCGTCTATTTCTCGGATTTTGGAAAGATCTACATGAAATCCAACAGCTTCCTTGTCCGACATCTTGAAGTTCGAGTTTTAAATGCTGGCAGTAGAGGAACGAGCGGTATTTTGGAGTAGTGAATTGCATAGTTGTTGCTGGTAACAATAAGTACATGACTTTCGATATCATACATTGTTTTCAACATTTGCACCATCATTCCCTATTATTTGAACGTCTGTATTTCCGAAAAAAAAAATCTCCTAGGCTGGGTGTGCAATGACGATATGCATCTCTTGCATGGTGCATGATCCCATACATGCGGCAGAGCAAGGCCATCACCCTCGAAGCCGTTACCAAGAGGACAAGAATAGACCGAACCTGGTCGCTGAGGCACTGAACTCGTTATATTTACTTCTATCACCAAAAGGGGTTCTGTTTGTGATAACTGGTACTGTCCTGACGGTACTTCCGAAAGTCTGGACCCTCAGCAGATTTTAGTAATGGAACATACCGCAGGGGGGGTACCGAGGAAAGCGGTGCAAATTAGCAGAGGCACAGATCTGAGGCTTTGACCGATCTAGATAAATTGTAAGTGACCTCGGAAATGCTGAAATGTTCACCACATTTACTGCCTATAAATCAGTTCAGATTGGGGCTGTTGACTTGCAGATGTGGTCAATGGGGAAAGACTAGTTTGCGAATATCACTGCTGGGAAGTCACATTTCAAAACCAAGGTCTCAGGTCCAAAGTAGTGATGGCTAAATTAGACTTTTCTAATCCTCAGCAAGTAACTCTGTGTTACTATCGAATCATCATTGGTATAGTTAGGGGACTATGACAACTCAGAAGTCCAAATTCTGAGGACGAAGCTTAAGAATTTGATTTTTACGATTATCATACCGAATACAGTTCTTGGTAATACCAATTATGAGTTGTTCTGAAATCAACTAGAAGTCGCCATGTCTTCAAATATCTGTATCCATAGCATCCTCAGTTCCGAGAACCCGTTTGAGGTCTTAGGCTGCCTTAGGTTGCCGCTTTCAGTGTGAACGCATCTTATTTAAATGGATATTCATCAGAACTCCTTACCAACTCCCTGCATCCAAACAATCCTCTGTTCGGGTTTCAAAAAATACTTTTTCGAGCTTTGGTCTAGGTTAGACAGGATTGCCGCCCAGCGATGAACCCCCCTCCTTCGAAGGCTTTCCCGGAAAAAAGAACTTCTGGAACGCCGACTATAATGACTGGAGAGTTCTTGAAATTCAGTATTTACAGCTAAAATAATCATTGGAGTTGAAGAAGTACGAAACAAGAGAATGCTTAATAAGCTAAGCTCTCCGCGCTGTCAATTTCTCAATCTTTGTTTAAGCTTTCAAAGCTTTCGGCTGCCCTCAGGGTGGCAGTATCCGAGTTGTGCCTCTGGAGACGACTCAAACTTTAATACAAGCCTTGTTCTGGTCGAACCAGGGTGGCGATATAATAAACGGGGTTATTTTTTACTGGAAGATCGGCGAGAGCATAAATGTATTGGAATCCTAGATTTGAAATCTGGACATCCCTGCCTACATGGTGAGTTCCAATGAAGATTTTTCTAGAGGTGCCAAAGCCCTCGTCGGCATCAGAACCCCCGTGGAATAAACTTGAGCGGTCCAAATCAACAATATGAAGAATCTTCTGACTGTCTCCAGAAACTTTCCTGCATTTCCCAATCCGGTTAATGAACAAATAATATTGCTGCCATCCTTTATCTACTGCACTCAAAGTATAAACGCTAATGGTAAATAGATCGACCTTGCTTATCCCCAGCTAATTGTACCCGAGCATGCGTATCGGCATATGCAGGGGAGTCAACTGCTGATTTGGATCTTCCACTACCCTTTTATAATATCTTGAGGCACTACCTTTTGATTTGAATTCCCCACTACCTTATTGGATTGATTCGGGCACACCGGTATTTGTAATAATCCACGACCTTTTTTTTCAAGAGCTCAACGACATGAAGCCTACGCCGTTGCCTTGTTGCACCCCGTTACTCGACAAGACTATTCTACCGAAATATTCTTGGTATTGGCAAAGCTGTTGCGAATTTGCAAGTACACTGCAGTTTTATTTTCCAGAAGGCTGTTGCTCCTGTCCCTGCTGTTGTGTGCATGAATATATTGCCTTGGAAAAGGATAGTATACTCAAAGCGAAGAATCTCTTGTTCGTTACTGCCGTTGCCACTACAACCGTTTAGAACCATGTCAGCCATTAATTCTACTGAAGACTGGACTGCTGCCAAAGTCAGGTCCACATTCCTCAAGTTTTTCGAATCAAGAGGCCATACTTTCGTGCCATCTTCTTCAGTCATCCCTTACGATGACCCCACCCTTTTGTTTGCGAACGCTGGTATGAACCAGTACAAGCCTATTTTCCTAGGAACTGTTGATCCTTCGTCTGACTTTGCTACGCTGAAACGTGCTGTTAACTCGCAGAAGTGCATCAGAGCTGGTGGAAAACACAACGATCTGGAGGATGTTGGAAAAGACTCTTACCATCACACTTTCTTCGAGATGTTGGGAAACTGGTCTTTCGGAGACTATTTCAAGAAAGAGGCCATCCAATGGTCTTGGGAATTACTCACTGTGGTTTATGGCATACCTGCTGATCGTTTGTATGTTACCTACTTCGAGGGTGATGCTAAGAACGGTCTGGAACCCGATTTGGAGGCCAAGGATCTCTGGAAGTCCGTGGGTGTTCCAGATGACCACATCTTGCCCGGTAATGCGAAAGACAATTTCTGGGAGATGGGTGACCAAGGTCCATGTGGTCCATGTTCTGAAGTCCATTACGACAGAATTGGTGGCCGTAATGCCGCTGCTCTGGTTAACATGGATGACCCTGATGTTCTGGAAATCTGGAACAACGTGTTCATTCAGTTTAACCGTGAGCCAGATTCATCCCTGAAGCCATTGCCTGCCAAGCACGTTGATACTGGTATGGGTTTCGAGCGTCTTGTATCTGTATTGCAAGATGTGAGGTCCAACTACGACACTGATGTTTTCCAACCTCTTTTCCAACGTATCCACGAGATCACTGGTGTCAGACCCTACTCTGGTCATTTTGGAAAGGAAGACCTAGATGGAATCGACACAGCCTACCGTGTCTTGGCTGATCATGTTCGTACCTTGACCTTTGCGCTTGCCGACGGTGGGGTTCCAAACAACGAAGGCAGAGGCTACGTTTTGCGTCGTATTCTGCGTCGTGGATCTCGTTATGTCAGAAAGTACATGAACTACCCGATCGGAAAATTTTTCTCCCAGCTAGCACCAACTTTGATCGAGCAAGTCAAAGATATCTTCCCAGAAGTTGCCAAGGACCCATCCACGATCTTCGAGATCTTGGACGAGGAAGAGGCCTCGTTCGCCAGAACCCTTGACCGTGGTGAGAAGTTGTTTGAGCAGTATGCCATCATTGCATCTAAGACTCCAGAGCAGACTTTGTCTGGTAAAGATGTCTGGAGATTATATGATACCTACGGTTTCCCTGTTGACTTGACAAGGCTGATGGCTGAAGAAGCTGGTCTCAAGATTGACGAGGAAGGCTTTGAAAAGGCAAAACTTGCTTCTTGGGAGGCTTCTAAGGGAGCAGGAAAGACTGCCGGAAAAGCCCTGCTGAAATTTGATGTCCATGCCTTGGGCAAGTTGGATTCTGATGGCACTGTTCCAAAGACTGACGACTCTCCTAAGTACGGACTTGAAAACGTCAAGGCTGAAATAGTTGCTATTTACAACGGAGAGTTCTTGGATTCTACAGAGGGTATTGCAGAAGGCGAGCAAATCGGTATTTTGTTAGACAAGACCCCATTTTACGCCGAGCAAGGTGGACAGGAATTCGATACGGGTAAGATCGTCATTGATGGTGTTGCCGAGTTTAATGTTGAAAATGTCCAGCAATATGCTGGATACGTCTTGCACACTGGTTACGTGGTGGAAGGCTCTTTTGCTGTCAAGTCATCTGTCATTGCCGGATACGATGAGTTACGCCGTTGGCCAATTAGAAACAACCATACAGGCACCCATATCCTGAATTTTGCCCTTAGAGAAGTGTTGGGTGATGGTGTTGATCAGAAGGGTTCTTTGGTTTCTGCCGAGAAACTCAGATTCGATTTCTCCCATAAGGCTGCGTTGTCTCTCAAGGAGATTGAGCGTGTTGAGAACATTTGTTCAGAACAAATCAAGTCTAACGTGCAGGTGTTCTCCAAGCCTGTTGAGCTTGATACTGCCAAAAAGATTTCTGGTCTCAGAGCCGTGTTTGGTGAAGTGTACCCAGATCCAGTCCGTGTAGTTTCCATTGGTGTCCCTGTTGAGACTTTGCTTGCCAACCCAGAGAGCGAAGAATGGAACAAGTACTCTATCGAGTTCTGCGGTGGTACTCATGTTGCAAAGACTGGTGACATCAAGGAGTTTGTGATCATAGAAGAGAGCGGAATCGCCAAGGGTATCCGTCGTATTGTTGCTGTATCTGGTACCGAGGCTCATGCCGTTCAAAGAATTGCGAAGTCTTTTGACGAGGAACTGGACGCAATCAGCAAACTTACTTTTGGTGCTGAGAAAGAGAAGAAGCTAAAGGAGGCCAATGTTGCTCTCGGAAAGCTCTCTGTTCAGGTTGTGGCCAAAAATGCTCTTAAGGAGAAGTTCGCCAAGATAGACAAATCCGTCAAGGACGAGCAAAAGGCCATACAGAAGGCTGAAAGCAAGAAAACTCTTGATGCCGTCAAGAACTTCTTTACCGAGAATGCAGAAGCTCCATTCTTTGCAGCCCACGTGGACATTTCTCCAAATGCAAAGGTCATCACTGAGGCCATCAACTTCTTGAAGAAAGAGAATAAGGACAAGTCCCTGTTTTTGATCACTGGTAAGGAAAGCGAGGCCAGAGTTGCTCAGGGTGTCTATATCTCTGATGCAGCTGGTGCCAAGGGTCTTGATGCTACTGCAGTCGCCCAGCTTGCTGCTAAGTTCATTGGTGGTAAGGCTGGTGGAAAAGGCAATGTTTGCCAGGGTATGGGTGACGATGTCAAGGGCATCAACGAAGCTGTCGAAGCTGTCTCTAGTTTGTTGAAGGAGAAGCTGAGCATTTGATTTTATGTAAATACAAATCCAGTTTATTTTGACTATACTAATTTGACATGCAGAGAGTGTAGGTATAAGTTTGTTTAAAATGACCAGTCGATGTAGGAGACCTCTGGGGTCAATTGCCTTTCAAGCTTTTTGTGAAAGGGAGCCTGCTTTCTCAATCCGAACATTTAAGAAATGTAATCAGATCAAGCCGCAAGAGCACCCTCTGGTGAGATAAGCATTATCTGTGTTTGTCGTGAATCACACAAAAGCTTATTACCCCACGCCTCAGAAACCTGGTAAAATTACACGTGCTTATTGCGATACGCATTGAAATCCCGAAAGGTGTTGGGCCATAGGGCTCTCCTAGAAACTGATCTAGAGATCGCGGCTAGGAAATGCTTCTAGGAAACTGATCTAGAGAGCCCGGTTATTAACGGCTTGAGGCATAGGCGGACGGTTTCACTCCCAAACTCGGTACCGAGATCAGATCTGAAATCCAGCTTAAAGAACTTCCTCCCCAGGCCAAGGACAACCTGATACTGTTGGCTAAAAGGCCCAATGGTTTGTGATATGTTTGACTGACATTGATGGTTACAGGATATCTTTTTCACTGTTATTGTCTCCTCAGTTGAAGGCACGCGGGCGCTTGTATATCAGCCACTGTGCGGCTCGCACATGGGCTTTGAAACCTAAAACAATGTCAGAACAGCCCATTAACCCGAGCTTGAACTCCTCACCATGTCAAAAAAGCATTGAAGATCATCCGGTGCCGCTTTTGACGTGATCAAACCGGCCAAATGCGGTAACCCAGGCTTATCGCTCATACTGGTAAAGCCACACTATGGTGTCACATCCAGCTTCAATCACCCGCATTGAATTGTGTGCTTTGACGTCACTCACCTTTTCGGCTTCTGAGCGATTGCGAATTTGCATCTAAACCACTGAGTGTGGTTGCAAATCAGATAGTAATATGCAGAGGTCATGAAGTATATATAATACGTGGTCTATGCCCGTGAAAACTCGTGAAATGGGAGTCCAAATTGTCAGTCTAGTTTAGGCGAGAACAATAACAAGAACAACAAGAACAAGAACACCAAAGTCGAATTTTTAAACCGTCGCAGAATGACTGTTGCTGTTCAATCCAGAAACGTGGATATTCAACCCACAGAAAAGAAAGAGGCCAAAACGGACGGCTACTCCCGGGTCACGGAGAAGGATAGAAGCTTGGCGGAGCACCCAGAGTTTCTGCCCGTGTGGGATCCCAGAGATAAGTTCCCAAAGCTTCAGCCATTCAAGCACAGAGACCGCGGACTGTTTGCTGACCCTCAGTACAAGAACTTACTGGCCGAGGCAACTGGACCCATCAAACAATTCAACGTCACTCCCAAGCTAGGAACAGAAGTCAGATCCGGTATCCAATTATCGCAGTTGTCTCCAGCCGCCAAGGATGACCTTGCCTTGCTGGTGGCTCAGCGTGGTGTGGTGATTTTCAGGGACCAAGATTTTCAAGACAAAGGACCCGAATTTGCCAAACAATGGGGTTCCTATTACGGCCCATTGCATGTCCATCCAGTTTCTGGGGCACCACCTGGACATCCAGAGGTGCACGTCGTCTGGAGGGGGTCCGAACCTACAGACTTTGAAATTCCCTTCAAAAGAAAGGTTAGCAACATCGCATGGCACACGGATGTCAGCTACGAGCTCCAGCCACCGGGATTGACTGTCTTGGCCATGCTGCAAGGTCCCGAAAACGGTGGTGGTGACACCCTGTTTGCCGACACGGTTGAAGCCTACGACAGATTATCACCTCTGATGCAAAGCCTGATAGAAAATCTCAAGGTTGCACACACATCTACTGATCAGGCCAAATTTGCTGTTGGAAAGGGTGGTATTGAGAGGAGAACCCCAGTGGACTCGATCCATCCTCTGGTGAGATGGCATCCGGTTTTGAAGAAGAAGATCCTCTATTTCCAAAAAGCCTTTGGGAGAAACATTCTAGGATTGAAGGAAGAGGAGAGCGAGAATCTGCTTTCGTTTTTGTTTGACCATATCAAGAATGCCTTGGATCTGCAAATTAGGGCTCGTTGGGAGCCTGGTACCGTTGTCGTGTGGGACAACAGAAGGGTTGTGCACTCTGCGACCTTGGACTGGGACTCTCCTGAAGTGAGACACGCCTTCAGAATCACTCCTCAGGCCGAAAGACCAGTTCATTCGCAAGAGGAGTACGATAACTGGACCGTTGAGAAGGAACTCGAGGAGCTCAAGAGCTTGGAGGCCACTCTCGCTGCCGATCCTGGTGATTTGTACGCGGCGCTTCAAAAGGGGCTTGATGGGCTGAAGATCTAAATGTTTCAATTGTTTGGCTTGACTGTGTTTTTTGTTAATATTTTTATTCAGGAATGCGAATCGAAGGTATGGAGGAGAGTGAGGTGAAGTAGTAACTAGAGCACAGTGGAATTTGCAATAATTCAGTATGATAAGCGTTATCAGCGCATGTCGTGTACCTTGCAAAGGCATTGTCCACCCCCTTTACAATCTTCGCCCTCTTGTATAATTATCATTGATCTTCACTTCGCCGTTGTTCATTCATTAGATATCCCGGATTTGCAGATCCTCACCCAGGAATTAATGAGGGCTGAAGATGAGTCTGATGGATCATCGTCATCTGGAAAGTCGGAGGAGGAATCTCCTCAATCCCAAAAAGAGCAATATTCGAATATGCAAAAGAGTATCCTGAGGTTGGAAGAAAAGTATTCGAAGTTAGAAGCTGTTCTCAACCGAGTGAATGCTCCCTTGAATTTTGAATTGAACACTGAATTGAACACTGAATTGAAACCTGGTTCGCAGGCCGGTTTGAAAGCTGAATCGAGAGTTGAATCAAAAGCTGAATCGAAATCTGAATCAAACGATGGTTCGGTACTTGACTGGATCATTTTATTAGCATCTTGGGTTGTTATTTTAGCCCTTTGTGTTTGTGGTTTGTCTGTTTTTCTTTATTGTTTTTTGTATTTTGTGCTTTTTTTAGGTTACTGGATGGGACTTGTCCTGGATGTTGTCGCCCGAACGGCTCCCGATTTCTTGATACCACGCTAGAAGACGTTTCCACACGGTATTTGCATCGCTGAACTTTATATACAACTCTCGATTACCTTGAATAAAATCACCTACAACCCTCTCCGAAACCTCCCTCGACCCTCCTCACTTTTGAACAATCCCATCGCATCATCTCAGCATGAACCGTGCTATTGTGCGATGAGCTGTTGGCAAGGTCGTCGGCGGGCCCAATTTGCTATGGCTGGATATTTCACTTCGAGCCTTCGTCTTTGATATTTGCTTCCAATTCCAAACAATTGCAAAATGTCAAAAGTTTTTGGTGCTAAAGTGAAGAACGTGCTTTCGGGCGACACTCTGGTTTTATCTGCCAACTCCTCCAGCTCCCAGGAGCGGTTGTTGTCACTGGCCTATATCCAAGCCCCCAGATCCACGGAGCCTTTCGCCTACGAGTCCAAGGAGATCCTCCGTTCGTTGCTCGTTGGAAAGGATATCAAGTTCCATGTTTCCTACAAGAGCAATTCTGGTAGAGAGTTTGGTGATGTTTCCACTCCTCTTTTCAAGAGTCTGGCCGAATATGTTGTTGCCAAGGGTGGAGCCAAGGTTCGTGACAACATCAACGACGAAGAGGCCGAAGAATTGAAGATTGCAGAGACTAAAGCAAAAGCCCAGAACTTGGGAATTTGGGACCCAAAACTGAAATCTGTGCAAACAAAGACTTCTTTGGCCGAGGCAGAAGTTAATCTGAAGACTCAATATCCGGCAATTGTCGAGAAAGTGGTTGCTGGTGACAGACTTATCGTCCGAATCTTGGTCCACAAAACTGTCCATGTGGTAATCCCAGTTTTGGTAGCAGGTATTAGAACTCCGAGGACTGCGTCCAATGACCAACCAGCTGAGCCTCTGGGTGAACAGGCCTTCAAATATGTGGAATCTAGACTGTTGGCAAGAAGCGTCAAGGTCACCCTCATTGGTGAAAGTTCTACCGGAGTGGCTATCGGCAAAATTGTCCATCCTGCCGGAAATATCACCGACAAACTTTTGCAAGAGGGTTTGGCAGAAGTTGTCGATTGGCAATCCACTTTGGTCGGTCCCCAGGGAATGTCTTATTTGCGTGGCCTCGAAAAGACTGCTAAGGCTGAGGGAAAGGGTATATGGAAGTCTTCCTCCTCTGCTCCGTCTTCAAACGTCTCGGTCTCTTCTAACGCTTCCAAGATCCGTGTAGGTGCCCAAATTGAGGCTGTTGTTTCAAGAATCGTGAGTTCAGATACTTTGGTGATTCGTCTTAACGATGACACAGAGCACACTGTTCAGCTTTCGTCTTTAAGAGCCCCACGCCAGTCAGACGCCTCGTCAGCCGCTTTTGTCCCGGAAGCAAGGGAGTTCACGCGTAAAACTGCCATTGGCAAACATGTCAAGGTATTCATTGATGCCGTAAGACCCAAATCGGAGCAATTCGACGAGAGGTTCCTGGTATCTATCACCCTTCCAAATGGCAAGAGTCTCTCGTCTCTGGTGGTGAGTTCAGGTTATGCTACCGTTATTCGTCACAGGCGTGGAGACGAAGACAGATCTCCAGACTGGGATTCTCTCATTGAAGAAGAAGCCACTTCTATCAAAGACAAAAAGGGTATTCATGGCAAGGCTCCCAAGCCAGAAAGAATCGTGGATGCCAGTGAGAACGCTGCCAGAGCCAAACAATACCTCACCACTCTACAGAGCAAGACCTCAATTCCGGCCTTGGTTGAACATGTTTCTAGTGCTACACGTTTCAGACTGGTTTTGCCTCGTGATGGAATCAAAATCACCCTCGTCTTGGGAGGTCTGGCTGCTCTGAACCGAGAATCCGAAGTCAGCAAAAAAGCACTTAGCTTCGTATCTAAAAAGGCATACCAGAGAGATGTCCATGTCAGTGTCTATGGGGTTGACAAGGTTGGTGGTTTCATTGGTAATTTGGTGCTTCCTGGTCAAAGTGTTCCCATCCAGGCATCTTTGGTCTCTGAGGGATATGCGGCCGTTCACGAAAGATCGGTGAACCAAACAGGATTTGGATCGCTCTTGACTGAAGCTGAGAATGAAGCCAAGACCTCCAGACTTGGAATATGGTCTGACTATAATCCTTCAGCCATTCAACAGGATGTCCAAGAGGTGACTAGCCAGCTGGAGAACATCACCATCACCAAGCGTTATTTGGACGTAGAGTTGACCGACATCTCGGAAGAAGGTCTGATTGCTTACCAGATCGTTGGGTCTGAACGCTCTAAACTTTCCTCGTTCATGAAAAGTTTCCATGATTTCCACTCCTCCAACCAGGCTCCTCTGGCTAAACAGCCTCAGAAGGGAGATATCGTTTCTGCTCAATTCTCGGAAAATAAAAAGTATTATCGTGCAAAAATTATTTCATTCGAAAAAGCTTCGAGAGAATATAAGGTTCAGCATATTGACTATGGAAATTACGACGTTGTTCCGTTGGCCTCGCTGCGTTCATTGCCTGCTCAATTCGCTGTTTCAGCCTTTCCAGCTCAAGCCCACACTGCTCAGCTGTCATTGATCACCCTTCCACCCCAGGATTATTTGAACGGTGCAATTGACTTCATTGAAGAGTTGACAGCCCAAAAAGGACTGGTTGCCTGTGAGACCTTCAGAAACCCTGCTCCAGGTGTGGAGTCTGATGTCATCCTGTACGATCCAAAGAAGATTGCCTCGGATCCTAATTACTCTATCAACAAAGAGGTGGTCGAGAATGGTTGGGGTATCGTCAAGAAGCACCTTAAAGGGTTCGAAAAGGGTCTTGAGTCTGAATGGAAGCAATTGCTAGAAGTTGAGGCTAGTGCTAAGGCTCATCACAGAGGATGTTGGGAATACGGTGACATTGAGAGTGATCAAGAATAGGTGAAAAGTTTCTGTTTTTCTAGCAGAACATAATTGTTGCACTTGCATTTTATGAAAGTGATGATTAATAAACAGGAATCTTCATATGTACAAGAATTCGTGACTATGTAAATCTAGATCTACTTCTTTCCTCCTCTCTTCTTCTTTGACTTCGACGGAGCTTTTCCCTCAATGAACTTCATGATGTCATCGACTGATTGGTTAGCAATGGCAGGATTTGAGTTCACAGTTGGGCTCTTCGACTTCTTTCCATTGGCCTTCTCTTTTTGCAGGGCAGCAGCCTCCTGCCTTGCTTTCTTCAGCTCGGCCGCTTCAATCTCCCTCTGTCTCTTCTCCTGTAGCTTGGTGTGTTTGAGGTACTTCTCGAACTGGTCGGCCCAGTTCTTGGTTTCCTTGGTAACTTTGTCATCTTCACCCACAGCTTCTCTGTAGATCAAATAGGACTTCTTGGTTTCCTTCACAGCTTCCGCGATATTGTTGGTTAAGGTCAACAACTGTGCTCTTTGGAACCTGATCAACGCAGAGATCACTGAGTCGGATCCGTTGACATACTGACTCAGGTTAAGAGCCTGGGTGAAAAGGGCAAGCGATTCTTTGTGAAGCTCTGCCTGCTGGAGCATACTTCCCAAGTTGACCACTGTATTGATTACGGATGGATGGTCTTCACCGTACACGAAAGACCAGTAATCAACAGCAGCCTTGTAGACGAAGAACGCATTGATCAGGGAGTTGGCTCTCTGTTCGAAGTAACCGGTGTTGAGCAATCCGAGAATGGTTTCGAACGAATCGATACCAGAGGTACGCTCGGTAATACGCAAAGACCGTCTGGAGAAAGCCACTGCTTCGTTAGGCATGCCAAGATCAGAGTAGGTTTGCGCCAGCAAGCTGTAGGCCTTGGCAACATCTTGGTGAATGGATCCATAAACTTGTTCATAAATAATGATAGCTTCATTGAGCAAAGCCAGTCCCTCTTCACGCTTCCCAGAGGAAAGGCTCACTCTTCCCGCTTCCCAGATCTCCTCGACCACAGTCGAACGAAAGACTGAGTCCTTAACAACAGGATTAAGAGAAACAACATCCTCCACTGTAAATGTCACGTTATGAGCAGTGCTCTTCTCCTCAAAAGGTTGGGCATTCTTCTTTGACTTCTTGTTGGTCTTCGAACCCTCTGGCACTAACAAACTTTTGGCAGCCTCAGGAGTGAATGCATAATCTCTGGATAGCCATTGAATACCAAACTTCTTGGAGATCTCACGAAGAAGTGGTATTGGTCTGATGTGAAGTTCCGACCATTCAGCAGGTAGCTGGAAACGGTACTTCTTGAATACAATAGACTCAATCTGTTTCAACACAGATTCAGAAGACCAAGACGAGAAAGAAACATCAGCCTCTGGGTAAGCCCATCTGAGCTCCTCATCCACAGAGATCTCTGGGTTTGGGTTCAGCTTCCTACCGAGTAAACAGTTGGCAAAGTGGGCGACAACATATGGAGAGAAAACAAACGGCAAGCTCAAAGTGGCTTCGCGCAAAATGAACTTGGCAGAACGAGCAATCATTTCCTGAATCAAGAGCATACGCAAGGTCTGGAGAGAGGCAAGGTGGGCAATGTAGTCAACCGCGGTAGATTCCGTGGAAGGCTCCGAGGTGGCCTCTTCAGACTTTGGAGTCTCAGAGCTTTCCTTGTCAGAAGTCTCCTTCTCAGAATTCTCTTCTTCGGCTGCCTTTTTCGCCTTTTCCTTTTCCTCTTCGTCGACCTTTTTGTTGTGCTCGGCGATCTCAAGCTTCCTCTCCAACTGCTTGCTTTGCAAATCAGCCATACGTTTGGTGACGTGTTCAGCAACCTGGCCCAAGTAACGAACATTGATACCTGCTTTGTGCAACAACGTTGTCAAGTGCTCGCCGTCAATCGGAGACACAGCTTCGTCGTTTTCCAGCTCCTTGACGAACTCTGGAATCAGCACCTCAGATACAAACTTGGAGATCTCACGGACCTTGGCCTCGTCTGCTTTGATTTCCTCTGGGGCTTCCTTGGGAGTATTCAAGGAAAACACATCAGGGTTGAATGTGAATTGTGTTTGGTCGATCACGATGTTTGGCTTTTCGGCTTCTTCGCCCTCCTGGGCTTTGCTGCCTTCAGCTTCCAATCGTTCAGTCTCGGTCTTAACAGCATAACCTATCTGGCGTCTCCACCATTCCTCAACAGCCTCATGTCTCAGGGTAACTTCGCGATGTGGGTATGAGGTCTCAGACTCTGGGTTGTAATGATTCTCGATGAAGCTGATGTCCAGAGGAGTGGTACGGTAGAGCTCGATAACGTAGGAGCGGCCATCGTTACCCTTCATACCCTTGATTTCAGCCGAGGTAGCGACCTCAGCAGATGACTCGCCTCCTCTGGTCCAGGCGTGGTGGGGTTTCAAATGGAATGCGTCAGCAACTGGCTTCAATTTTTTGCCAAATGCCTCATCATTTCTAAGAACCTTCTGGTCATCGTCATAACCATACACCACAAACGGTTTGGACTCATCAACGCCATCATTCTCAGAAGACAAGTTCTCGTTGAAAATACCTGGAACCGGGGTTTGACAGATGACTCTGCGGCCGCAGAAGTCCACGATGACTGTACACAAATGATACACCTCTGGCAAATCCAGTCTGTTGAGACAACGTATTCCAGCAAGATCTTTGTTGGCAGCAGCTCTGGCGGCCAAGTCTCCGCCAGACTCAACGTACTGACCAGCATCAACACATAATGAGTAGAAAATACCGTTGCGCAGGTAGATGTACTGGGATGGATCTTCAGCAGGGTTGATGGCCTCAATCTCGCCTCTGACAACGGCAGCAGCTCCTCTGACTGCGGATGTTGCAAAGTCAAATCCAGCTCTGTTCAGCAATCTTTCTCTGACAATTCTCTCCTGAAATGTGGTTTTTGGTAGCTCTCTGGTAGACTGGTATTCTTCGTTCCAGTCTCTTTGCAGGTCAGCACCGTCCATGCCGCCTTGCAGGAAGTTCGACTGAGATCTTCCCAAATCTGGCTGTGGCTTGGATGGCTTCTGCACTAACCAAGGATTTGACAGAAACCCGTTACTTGGAACGGCGAAACTCTCGACAGGGATGGAAGAGTACCCTGTTGCATTCTTCACGCGGGTCTGTAAAAAGAGAGGGGACAATTGTTCCAGTAGAGCCAGCAATGAATGGTCCTTGAGAAACTTTTGTTTTCCGTTTGTGGTGGACACCTGTTTTGGAGAACGGTCAAACTTGGTGTTCGAAGAGTTGTTCACGAAGAACCCAGAAACATGAGAAGTAATGTGGAAAGTCTCACCTTCGATTGTCTGAGAACTCAAGTAGAGCAAATCTCCCTTTGCCTTATTGGAAACAGATACGGGTGACCAGGCAGAGAGGTTCAGCGATTTCAAAGCTGGTGAAGCGGTGAAAGGAATGCTACCAGAGAAGTCAGAGAGGCGAATTGGGTCACGGGCTGATTGTACACCAGCGACAACCCTTGCCTTTTCCTCCTCAGTCAGAGTGACATGTGGGGGACTCTCTGGCTCTTCGGCTTCTTCATTTTCATTCTTTTCCTCAAGCTTTGCCTCTGCAAACTTTAACTCAAACAGCTTGGAGGCTCCAGCGTCCACACCAGAGGCATCGTTCATGGGGCTGAAGTAGGCAGGTAACTGCAAACTGGCAATCTCACGAACTTTGGAAATGTGTTCACGTGCCAATTTCTCGTTATAAGCAAGTTGTTTCAGAACCAAGGTCAAAGATGGCTTGTCTGCTGCAAGGTCGACAAACTCTGACAGCGGAAGTGCATCGCCGAGGACCTCATTGTCTAAAGCCAAACCAAAATTCGAATTTTGCTGCGTTACAGGCAAATTGGACAAAGTCTCGAAAATTTCTCCAATCGTGGTGTAGGAAGAGACAGGGAAGTCAATCTTTCCTGGTTCATGAGGAAGCTTGACAGTGAGATGCACCTCAACTGCTACGGTTAATATTGAGCTCTGGTGATGTGTAGCAAGTAAAGGGCGGACTTACCTTCCTGATTCCTGGTTTCCTCTGTATGGTCTTCCGTCATGTCAGCGGCAGAATAAAGAGTAGTTTCCTCGAAGTGGAACAACACCGGCTTGTTGTAGAGAAAGTAGCTTTGAGATTTTTTTCAGCCCGACGACGGCCGATATGGGTAGTGCGGTGTTCATTTATACGCCGCATTGAGCATATAGAGAAATCCTATGATTAACGGTACAGATAAAAGTTTAGCAACCCTTAGGAGTTGCAACTCAGATGACCGAAAAAAATGAAGTTATCGCTGTAAGCAAATGTATAGAAAATATCCGATTGGACACGAGCATATGCGGCTGGAAACATCCAGATTTGAACACATACAGCCAGCAGCACCATGACCAACCTGCTTAGGGCCCACACACACACACACACACACACACACACACATACACGAAGACCACGCTAAGCCATCCCCACTTATAATTCTCTCACCACCATAATGACCTCGCGTCAATTCTTTTTCGTCTATAGCCCCAGAGAACGACGCACCTGCTGATGAACCTGTCTCTCAAAGGCAGGTCTATCGTGTCTCCACAGCTTGCACGCGTCGATATTCGCACCACTCTCGGTATTGGGCTCTGCCAGCATACTCATAACACTCAGAAGAATCTTTTCCACACTCTGTACCGGCGACCATCTCTCCTCGCTCCTCTCATATTGCAAAGGGTCGTTACCCGGCGCATGCAGAATGGATATACACACCGAACCATCAGCATATATGTTAGGATGCAGCAAAGGAGGATCAAATTTCATTGATGGTGGTGCCAGAGGATAATCCTTTGGAAAAGTGAGGACCGCTCTAAAGACTCCATATTCGTAGGCTGTGTCTGGTGGCCCAGCCAGCAGGCACTCCCACACGAATAAGTTGTCCTCGCGAACTGGACCAGCCAATATCCCTTCAGGCCGATCTTTAGATAACTGCTGGTATTCTTTAGCAAGCCGGCGCTGGGCCGTGGATTTTGGAGGCATCTATCTACCAAAATAAGAAGGTTTTGAGCGTTCTAGCGACTTCCCACTCCTTAGGCGTAGATCTGGCCTCCAGCGATAGCCAAGCCAGTGATGTAGTTTTTGAGCAAATTAACACCGAATCGAGTATTCCGACCCGGAGAGCCGGGGGTGAAACGGAGCTTAGAACACTTTGCGCCAACCGGGGTATTCGGCCCAATAGTGGCCCTTAGGTGATATTTTTAAGTTTTTCTATTTATATGACTATTGTAGAAGTCTTAGGTACTTTTCTCACTGTTTTCCGGTCCGTTTATATCAAATTTCATTGCGGGATAAACCTCATTTGAAGGAAGCCCTATATTCAGATCACGTGGGCATCCACCCTCGGAAATCAAAAATCGTCCTATCTCTAGAAACTGTCAAGATTGTCTTGTTTCCTCCCAGTTGTAACTAGTTTTTCAACAAGGTTTCTCGGGATGATCTTGGTGGAGGGCGAGAAATACGCCTGCGTGAGGTGTATTCGAGGACACAGATCATCCACATGCCAGCATACGCAGAGAACTCTGGTTTTAGTGCGGTCCAAGGGAAGACCCGACAAGAACAACAAGAACAGGGTTGCGATCACCGCTGCCCAGATAGAAGATTCAGCATCACATGATACCAGCACGAGCCGGGTGGATTCTTGTTGCTCCGGAAAAGTGAATACTCCCGTTATTACGCCGAAAACGTCTTGTTGTCACAAGGACATCTACATCAAACACGAAGAGGGCTCTTGTTGTAGAGAAAAGAAGTCTCCGAATCCTTCCGCAGGTGATTCAAAGGTTGAGGGTCAGAACGTGATCGTATTAAAGGCTACACGCAAACAGGTCTTCAATGCTGCGAAGGGCTCTTTCAGACTGCTGGATCCGGTGGGAGAGCTGAACCCAAAGACCACTGCTGGAATTACCAAGTCCCACAAAGGGTGTGCTTGTTGCAAGAATAGCACCTCTCAGAATTTGTCTGAGAAATTCAAGAATATGGATGTTTCCAGCTTTGACGTGAAAAGGTCTTCTTCATCTCCGAATATCAGGCTCAACGAGGATAGCAATCAGCTCCATTCAATGAGCGAAGGCTTTACCACTCCCGTGAAACTTGAACACTCTTTGATCTCGGAGAACCGCAACAACATCACTTCCACAACTTTTGACATGTATTTGTGCAAGCCATGTTCCGTTCCAGGTTCGTGTTTGTGTCAGGATTCAGATTGTGCTTGCGATAACTGCTTTGTACATAACAAGAGCCCTAATAGTATGGCCTCTTCCCTCGGTGCACCTATCGCAAGCATTCAGATGCAGTCATACAACAACCCGAATGACGCAGATTCATCTTCCTATCAGCCCTCGGTACAGGGTTTCACGTTACCAGACAGTGAAGAGTGCAGTTGTCAGGAAGACGAGTGTTCTTGCTTCCAATGCGGAATTCACGGCATAAAAGATGGAATCCGTGTGAAAGACGGTCTAAAAGTGTGCGATCCTCCGAGCCCGAGTTGGAAAGACGAGTATGCCAATGTTTTTTCAATGCTCCAGCAAAAATATACTCCAAATTCTACTGAGGCTGTTGACCCGAATAACATATTCGTGCAGCTGGGTCTGGACGAGATGGAGAACGACTGCTGCTGTCCGGATGATGCGTGTGATTGTTTGACCTGTTTCAAACACGGAAGGTTTGGTGAGCCTGATATTCTCAATTTCACGTCTAATGAAACTTATTAATGAGCCTACATATCGCAAGCAGCGGCGTCGCTCGTTGAGCATTGTTTCCCTTATCACTGCCAATGGTCTTCTTTCCTCTCCATCAACCCCATCTCTTGCAGAATATACACTGCCTCACGCTTCCCGCTTAACCAAGCGCCATGCACAGCACCGGCTCCGTCAAGAATGGTGTGTTCCCCAGCAAAACGAAGATTCCCCAAGCCTTGGCTCAGAGTAATGGCCACTTCAACGGGATCGTCACCTGGTTCGCATGCTGCATACGAGCCCCTGGAGAGAGGGTCCAATGTCCATGTTGAAGAAATGCATCGTTTGGGCTCTGGCAAGTCGCCATAGTCAGAGACCTTCAATTTTTCAAATATCGGTTTGAAATATTCCCAAGCCTCATCTGGCCTTGCCTCCAAGTTCCTGGTGATATCGCCTTGGGTGAAACACAGAACAGATGCAACTCCCGAAATAGAAAACATGTTCAACATCAGAACGGGGTGGTCCCAGCACGTGTGATTGGCTTCTCCTGGTGTTGGAATTGTCACGAAGCGATCTCCGTACTCTGGACTCCAGAATAGATGCTCAAACTCAAATACAAATTTGCCCAGAGAGCCGAATGACATGCGGGAGAGGGATTCGCGAAAATCACCCGGGAGTTCTGGCTCCCATTTGATGGAACCCAAAGTGTCATCATTAGACTGTAATACACTCTGAGGAATTGTCACAATGACAAATTTGGCCCGATATTCTCTCTCACTCGTTTTAATGACCATGTACTCTCCATTGCGCCGCACGTAGTTCACCGTTTGATTCAAAATGATCCTTTTCACCGGAATCTCAGCCTCTATCGTTCCGATCACTTTATCGTATCCTCCTCGAACCAAACAATTTCTCCCAACATTATCCACCAGTGCATATTTACTGCTCATTTGATCCCATGATACACCATGCCACAGCTCAAGCTGTCTGAGCATAGCAGGAGCAAATTTTGCCTGGGCCTCAGAAAGAAGCGACGCCTGTTTTCTCGTATATTCCTCGGTCGCTTCTTTGAGAGAAATATCTTCCACCTCAATGCTTTCGAAGTACCGCAGCTCTACGTACTTCTCCATTTCCTTGACAACCTGGGGAACTTTCTCGTGCTCCAGATCCACACCGGATTCGTTTAAATAAACGGGTTTTCCATCGTCGTAGAAAAGGTCAAAATCCTGAGCTCGTGATCTGACCTCATCAAAAAACGGGTTGGTAAGAGTATCGTGAAACCAAGAACCGCCCATATCGTATGGAACGAGTCCGGTTCTATCAGTGTGGATCCTGCCTCCAGTACGGTTTCTTCCCTCCAGTACCACATAATTGACACCAAACTTCTCCAGCTCTTGTGCAGCTTTGAGACCCGCAACTCCAGCACCAATCACGCAAACATCGTATAAAATTTCACGACTTTCACCCATATCATGCCTCTGTATAACTGTTAAGATAGTGAAAAGCTTACGGGCCCAAATCATCGGCTATACCAAACGGCCGGTACACTACTCTCTGATCAGCTCTCAACAGAGTCTCCCAATTGAGACTAACCGATAATCTTTACTATCCACCGAGGAGCAATTAATCTGGAAATCGCTTTCGGTCTGGTTTATTTTGAATCTTGTTGTATCCGCCATGTCTAGTTACTTTGATGATTCTCCCCATACGCCTGTTGACGACGTGCAAGCTTTCTACAAGCCAAGTGTCTCCCCGGGAGTAGACGAGGAAGACACTCTTCTTCAGGAGAAAATACGATTGCAAGCGGCCAGTATAGCGGCCTTAGGGATAAAGGATACCTCAGAAGACAACATATACAAGACGGCAACATTTGGCGGGCAAGCCGTTCACAGCGTTTCTGAAGCAGACATGTTCAACTTCGACAGGGTGTTGCCTAAACAATACATCAGGTTCTACGATTCAAATCTCAGCGAAATCATGGATTATATCTTTTCTTTATACGAGCAGCATTCGTCTCAGGCAATTCTTCCTGCTGCCGTTGTGTACCAGTGTTTAAGATACGCTGAGTCGAAACTAGAGTCTGCTGAGCTGGTTGAGTCTTTCTTGAACCTGTTTCTAACTAGACTAAGAGCTGTTACCAACACCAAGAGTGGAGTCATGTCTGTTGAGACTTCCAGGATGGACATTGTGATGCTGAGTTACTGGCTTTCTGCCGTCAACTCTTTGTATTACTACCTGTACAGGGACACAGCTTGCAAGTTCTTCACCAAATACCCTAAGATATTGCAAGAACTGGCCACAACTCTGCAGTCTCTGATCACACAACTGGCATTTGCACTCAACAACAGACTTGAGGCGTTTATTGACCCATGTTTATTGGAGTATTCGAGTGTTCCTGGTGTAAAGGACATCATCTACAAGAGCGATTGGCATCTGTTTCGTCCCCAGAAGAATCACAAAACCACATATGATGAAGTTCTGGAGATGCTGTATCCGCCCTCTATCCAAGAGCAGATGAAGCCATCACCTTTGAAGATTATCCAGACCTTAGGCGCTCTGATGTACGTTCTTGAGCTGCACCATATTAGTGATGTGATCAAGCAACAGACGTTTTCTGCAGTGTTGTATTGGCTGGGAGCTACCATATTCAACAGATTACTTGCAAACAAGGCGTATTCGTCCAGGGCAAGGTCTCTGCAGATAAGACTGAATGTTTCGACCATAGAGGACTGGCTCAGGTCAAATGACTTCACACCTTACAAACCCTCCAATATCCACTTCAGCAGTCAGGATTACCCCGAGTCGATCGTTGGGTCCCAGATTCGTCTCCAGAATGTTGCACGTTTTAACAACGATCTCAAGAACCCACTTGACGCCAGTTTCTTCTACAACTCGCTTTTCAAAATAGGTAAGTACCACCTGACTCCTGCGATTGAGCTACTGGAATTCACACAAGTCATGACCACTTTGGGAGATCTTGAGACTTTGAACAAGACAGTATCAAGCTTCACGGCAGTAGGTCCCACCCACCTTTTAGCCGTTGTCAAAAACTATCGTTACGAAACAGAGGAGACCAAGTTTGCCAAATTGTTAAAGAACGACCTGAAAGCTCTGAGTGCGAGCGGAAAGCTCAAGCTATCGCATGTGTTGTTCTACAGTGGGAATGAAGACAATTTGTTTTTGAATGCCAGCCACATCTTCCCTGTTGCTTTGCCCAACCTCCTAGAACTGCTGCATCAACACGGGTTCGGGGTTGAGGCCTATGATCCATCAACAGCCAAAGCTTTCCAGCCTATGTTGCCCTTGGACGTGGTAGATGCTATTGACAACATATATGACCAGCAAGAGAGCAGAGCGAGAGAGTATGAAAGATACGGTAACAACACCAGTGAAGATGAGGATGAAGGCGAAGATGGCTCCAAGCCCACCGGGGCAGACGACAGCTTCAAGGGCACTGAGATGTTCAAGGAGGTGAAGATGCCTTCTGGTTTGGTCCACAAGACCTGGGAGAGAGAAAATGAGGACGAGATTAATCCATGGGCGTAAAAAAATTGTGTTATTGTTGGTTCGAGAAAGCCCAGACCATCACTCTTATAGACATAGTTCGCATGCATATACTAGATTTGGTGCACTGTACCATTCGTTTTATTGAGAGTAGTGACAAAATTTGAAAGATAGTGGAATGCAGAAGATAATAGCTGTTGTAGAGAGAGTTTACTCGGTGCAGCAGGTCAGATAATTCATGATTTCGTGTTAGGCAGGTGGTTATACTATTGAATTCGTATGCATGCATATGCAGCATTTTGGCAACTTTTTTGAAAAATTTGAAAAACTGGTATAATTGTGGTATTTTCAAGTTATTTTTCTTTTTCAAAGAATTCACCAAAGTCTTTTTCGCTAAAAAAACCAAATCAAGGAGCATAAACATATCACAGGTCTTATTCTCCAATTAACCCAAGGTTGCCTTTCGCGTTAGTTAAACCGCCGCACACGGCTTTGGCCGCATGAGAAGCGGACGGAAGGAGGGAACAACAAATCAACGAATTTCAAACTCGAATAACAAGTTAAGACAATCTATAGCTCAATTCACCCAAATCAACTCATCTAGCCTCATTTTCATTTGCTCATTTCCCTCAAATTTCACCCATCAGACGCTTTTTGCTCTGAAGGCGTGTGCATATTACGTAATCACACATTATAGTGTGGAGATGAAGAGGGCCGCTACAATTTGCACAATGCACTTAGACACGTCCTAGCTGCTTGGAACAAGACACATCACTACTAGACTCCAGTTGCAAACGTCATTCACTCGCTCCTGGTCAATTCAATCAATAATTCAGCATATTGCTCTAGCAATTGTTCCATAATGTCTGCAATGACCACAAATAGTGCTGCGTTGGAATTTGCCAAGGCTGCCTCTGAAGCAACAACCAACTTTGTACAGTCCCATTACAACAACAAGGATTCCATCAACTTTGCAAACTTCAATCAGGACTTTTCATGCATATCTGTTGGTTATGAGAGTGGCTACAAAATATTCAATTGCGAGCCGTTTGGAAAGTGTTATACCAAAAGTAAGTAGGAGTCCCATGGGGTCCTATCCTTTATCGGGGATTGGGCGGATATGCTCAAAATTTAATTGCTTTACTAACTCAGAGCCCTTTTTTAGCGGATGGAAGCGTGGGAATTGTGGAAATGCTGTTTTCGTCTTCATTGGTGGCGATGGTGGGATTGGGCGAACACCCGGCTCTTTCGCCCCGGAGGCTCAAGATCGTAAATACCAAGAGACAGACCACCATTTGCGAACTTACGTTTCCGACGTCAATTTTGGCAGTCAAAATGAACCGGGAAAGGCTTGTGGTACTTCTGGAGGAAACCATATACATATACGACATCAACAACATGAGGCTACTGCACACTATAGAGATCCCGTCCAACCCCAACAGTCTAATAGCCCTTTCTCCCACTACGGATAGCAACTATCTGGCTTATCCCTCACCCCCGAAAATCCCAGCCAAGGGGAACTCCAACAACGATTCTGGACAAAACACCAATGGTGCGGTGAACAACGGTGCTAATTCGGTGAGACACGGAGATGTGATAATATTCAACGCAAAGACCCTCCAGCCTCTTTCTGTGATAGAGGCTCACAAGACGAGTCTGGCTGCGATGACTCTGAGTTTGAATGGACTGCTTTTGGCGACGGCGTCCGATAAGGGAACGATTGTGAGAGTGTTTTCGGTGGAGACAGGTGCCAAGCTGTACCAGTTCAGAAGAGGAACGTATCCCACCAAGATATATTCGCTTGCGTTCAGTCCGGATAACCGTTTTGTCATTGCTAGTTCTGCGACAGAGACAGTTCATATCTTCAAATTAGGAGATGATGAAACGCCTGCACCGACCTCAGGCCCAGCTCTTTCTGCTGTGCAGTCGCCAAGCTTGAAAAAAAGCAGCGATTCCGAAGTCAGTGATGACGAGGAACAGGAAGACGACGTGGAAGGGCCTCCTACAACTTTGGGACGTCGCGCATCTACAACGTCGTTGGGCTCATTAAACAGCACGGAGTCTGGCGCAGACAAAGTGGAGCCTCTGGTGGACCATTCCCGTCGCTCGGTTGGACGGATGATACGAAGAACGTCCCAATCAATAGGAAGAAAAGCAGCTGAGCGCATGGGAACTTATCTACCGCCCAAATTCTCGTCGATATTGGAGCCAAACCGCCACTTTGCTTCTCTCAAGGTTCCAACCTCCAAGGACACAAAAACCGTTGTGGGGATAGCCAAGATGCCTTCGTTAGATCTGATTCCCAGCGTCTTATTAGACAACGGGTCTGCTCAAGGAAGTATGGTGGATGACTCTTCAAGCGACTTGACTTCCAAGAAGCTGCTCCATATAATGATTGTGTCTTCGGAGGGGTTCTTCTACAAGTTTGGCCTGGATCCTGAGCGCGGAGGAGATTGCATTCTTTTGAGTCAATACTCCCTTCTGAATGACACTGTTAACAAGGAGCTAGGTCTGTAAGGAGACGGATATTAATCAAATAGAATGTTTTTATTGATGCTTTGTAGGAGAATACACTAAACATAAAGAGTGCGGTAACCGTTTGTATGGTAATGGTTTTGAGCACTGGTGATCACGAGCTTGATTATGCCCCGCCAGTTCGGCGTCCATATCTCCTTATCAATATTTCAATACGGCAGAATAACACCACAACACTAACAATGGCTCCTAACTTGAAGAGACCCGACCAAATAGTGAGGTATGTGCATTAGAATAATAGCGATCGTTTTGATCCCCAATCACTAACGTTTTACAGATACGTCCACACTCCTGCTGAAACCAGAAATGCAGCCTCCAATTTTGTTTCGCAGAACATCCCAATGGCTGCTATGTTCTTGAGAAACAAGCCGCTAGCCTGGGCTTCGTTGTTCCTATCTGTTCAGAATTACCTTAACGAGCCCACACACAAGGCCAAGGACGAGGCCATGCCCCCATTCTTCAAGCTGCTGATGGGTGCTTTGGCAGTCTTGACTACCTACATGGACTTTATTTTCCCACCAGTCGCTCCAGCAGCTAGACAGGCTGCTGCTGCCGCTGCCTCAGCTACTGGATCTGCTTAGGCGAAATACAAAGATGAAGAAAGGTGACAAAAGGTGAAAAAAATACGAAAAGCCGTACGAGGGTGATCGGTCTAATAATTTTCTTGCGATAGTTGTATATCTGAATGCTCTTGTTCAGGCAAATAAAAAAGTCATAAGAAACGGTATTATTTTGAACGGCGATAGCATGGTGAGTACTATATCTGCCCCTCTGAGAGTCTTATTCCTCCTCCAGTAGCCTGGATGTAAAATGCTTCAACAGTCTATATGGGGCATCTAGTCTATCCATGAAGAGTTCGAGAAACTGGCACTCAGTTCTATCTCTGGATGCCTTTTTGACCAATTCTTGAACATTGTGGACCTTCCCGACATGGCAAAAATGGTCAATGTCTCCGAACACCTCAAATAAACGACACCAGTCCCAGTTGGGAGCAATATCGTTATAAGAGCTATCCTCTCCTTTGATCACACGCTCGATGGTGTAACCGTTGTTATTCAGGAGTAATACCGTGGGTGTTATTTTGTACCTGATGTAGGAAGCATACTCTTGAACAGTCATCTGTGCGGCTCCATCTCCTTGCACTACCACCACCTTGCCGGGAAGATCAAAATCACGAAGAGCCAAGGAAGTTCCAAGAGTAGCAGGAAGAGCATAGCCAATGGAATTCCAAAATGACTGGCCGACGAACTTATTCCCGTTCATCTTGATATCAGCCACTGCAAAGGCAAAAGCGCATGTTTCCACAATGAGAACGTCGTCAGGGCATAAAAAGTCTCCCAGAAAGAGCTCAAGGTGCTTTTGCGATAGTGGCAGATTTTTGGTCCATTTTGGGAGTTTGTCTTGAATTGGTGGAATGATAACATTGGGTGAAACTGGTACTCGACTAGCGTCCAGTTGTCTCAAAATCTCGGGCAGAATAGTCATTAATTTCAGACTAGGATCAATCTTTCCGTTGATGAGAACGTAATCCGAGTTCAGCTCTACCAGATCGGTTTGGTTGATTTTGTTTGAACCAAGACCGTCGTTGAGTTCATTGTGGAAGCTACCAATATGCAGGACCAAATCAGAAGACTCAATTTGAGAGTTGATAAGCGGATTGCTTGAAATCTTACCAGCGTAAGTTCCCACAAATCTGGGCATTGACTCGTTTAAAATGCCCTTTCCAAGATATGCGCTGTACCAATTGACTTTATCGCCAATCTCTTTAACCAGATTCTTGACCTCTTGATCCATTCGAAAAGACTTGATATGATAATCGCACAAAATCGAGGTATTTCCGGATTGGTACAGTTTCTTCAGAATCTCACTGGCACACTGGGCAACCTTGGCATCATCAGTAGTCTTGGTGTCCAGATCCAATGGCTGGAACAATCTCTCTGTCGAAACCAAAGAATCTGCGAGATCCAAAGGAAGAAACAGATATCCAGGCCGTGATTGCGTGTAAGTCTGCACTATGGCATTGTCCACCTGCTGACAAGCCGTTGCGAGATCCTCCAGAGTTTCCTGAACCACACTAACCGATTTGGCCATTTTCTCGTAAACATAATGGTCTGGTTTCTCGAGCTGATTGGATGCTCCCATCAAATGGTGAATGTTCCAGACATCGGTTCTTTTCTTCACTTTCAAAGCAGATGTACCAACAATGTGAAGAACTGGCACGTACTCAGCATATGAACCTCCAATTCCGTTAATAGCAGATAGTTCACCAACACCATAAGTAGTTACTAAAGCTCCTAGAACTCCAGATGTACGTGAATACCCATCAGCAGCATACGCAGCATTCAGTTCGTTGCAACAACCCACCCAGTTCAACTGTTTGACGTTATATATGTGTTCCAGAAAGTTCAGGTTAAAATCTCCTGGAACTCCGAACACAGATTTGAGTCCTAATTGAGCTAGCCTTACGAAGATATACTCGCTCAATGGAATTGTGCTTTCGGTAGTATCGAAACTAAGACAAAGGCGATCCACTTCGGGGTCGAGTAAAGCAGGAGTCATAGCAATAAGTTAATGATCGGAGAGGGATCTTGAGATAACGATAGTCGGATCGAAAGCAATACCCCTGAAAGATTTGTTTCAACTTCAAGATCTGAGTTGGCAAATTTATATAGTTTTGCTTCGGCAAATGACGGGCGTTCGCGGGATATGCAGTTACGTGATTGCATATGGCAAGCTGGAAACTCCGAGGCCAGCTAATTTGGCTGCCGAAAAGGCCGTTGCGAAAATAGCATCTACAGCAGCTAAGTTGAACTGAACTACTTGGGAGCCCTTGGTTTGATTGGTAGTGCAGTGAAATCCATTTTCAAGCCGGTGAGGGAAGAGCCTGATGTTGGTAAAGGTTCAAGGCGGGCCTCGTGCATTTCCTTGCCTTACTCACCCGCGATTAGCCGACCTATTTAGCTGCACACGTCGCGCACAACAAATCAGGTAGTGTATAAACCAATGATATAGAGACTCAGAGATAAGAGATTCGTGATTGACGTTAGGTCTCAAAAACAATTGGGGATTTGACCTCGTTTTTAGGTATTTATTTTTCAAGTTTTGATGAGTTTAGACCCCACAGAGACCGGGCATTTGCCGTCGCACAATGAATATTTCCAATTGAAGGACAAAGACGTTTGGTCATTGATCAATGAAACTGCTGCACAGACAGAAAAGGAGACAGGAGTGAAGATGGTTCACTTGGGCCAGGGGTTTTACTCCTACTCGCCACCTGACTTTGCAATTGAAGAGGCAAAAAAGGCATTGGACATTGCAATGGTTAATCAGTATGCTCCTACGAGAGGAAGAATGTCTTTAATCGACGCTTTATCCAAGACCTACTCCCATTACTACGACCATGCATTGGAGCCATCGGAGATAATGGTGAGTACTGGGGCTAACGAGGGAATTTTGTCGTGCTTCTTTGGATTTTTGAACCCTGGCGACGAAGTCATTGTGTTTGAGCCTTTTTTCGACCAATATATCTCGAATATCGAGATGGCTGGTGGGAAAGTGGTCTACGTCCAAATTCATGCTCCGAAGGATTTTAATGAAAACATTGTCTCTGGAAAAGACTGGACCATTGATCCTCAAGAACTTGAAAGTGCGATTTCTTCCAAGACCAAGATGATCGTGTTGAACACGCCTCAAAATCCACTTGGAAAGGTATTTACTCGCGAAGAACTCACCATGATTGGAAATCTGGCTGTCAAACACAATTTACTGGTGGTCTCGGATGAGGTTTACGAAAACCTCTATTATGTTCCAGATCGTGTTCGCATTCACACAATTTCGCCTGAAATTGATGAGAGGTGTCTCGTGGTTGGTTCGTCTGGAAAAACTTTTGCGGCTACAGGCTGGAGAATCGGTTGGGTCATTGGCAACAAAGCTCTCATCAACTACGTTGCCGCAGCCCATACCAGAATCTGTTTTTCTTCACCAGGCCCAATGCAGGAGGCCGTAGCAGGTGCTCTGCTACGTGCTAAGGACAATGGCTATTACGAAAAATCCAGAGCCGCTTTCGTGAACAAGTACAAGATTTTCACCTCGGTGTTTGACTATCTGGGATTGCCATACACCAAGGCTGAAGGTGGGTACTATCTCTACGTGAATTTCCACAAACTGCAAATTCCGGACAATTACGTTTTTCCAGACCTCTTCTTGAAGAGCAGAGACTTTCAATTGGCATACTGGTTGATAAAGGAAATTGGTGTGGTTTCTATTCCTCCCTCTGAGTTCTACATCTCTGAGCATAAGGCAGAAGCCAAAGATTGTCTCCGATTTGCCATTTGCAAGCAAGACGAGGTATTGCAAGAGGCTGTTAAGAGATTGAAGAAGTTGAAGCCATTTGTTGGAAATCGAACCAATCAATAAATAAAATACGTTGGACAAATTCAACTGATTATATTGTATGTTTCGTTATCAGTAAGATTGCGTGCGCGACCGATTCGTAATCAGAGAAATCTCACTGGAGAGGTGATGCGATATTGGAATTTTTCACGCAGTGCCCAATCATATCGCTTCCACGATTACTAGAAACGCCACAACCGTGTCATACCGTGATCTTTGTGACGCCGTAGGCATCGAGGAGGATTACTAGCAGTCATGACCCAGGAACTACTGTGATCATTAGGGAACTGAACATGTTGACTTCTGGATTGAGATACGGAAAACAAATTTTGTCGAGGAGCTTTCGTGGAAAGCCCCAGATACGCAGCTTGGGCGCTTTGAGGCCTAAGAGCGGCTCAGACTACCGGCACTACAAGAACGCCTTTGGATTATTTGCAGTTTCCTCGGTGGTTTTGGCGGGTATCACAGTATTTTCACCTTTGGTGTTGAACGACAACCCCAGAGTTGTATCCAAAAAGGAATTGAGCACCCATTCCACCGAGGACGATTGTTGGATCAGCATTAATGGAAAAGTTTACGATCTCAGTGGGTTTGCGCGTAAACATCCAGGCGGGACAAATCCAATACTTAAATACGCTGGATCTGATGCTTCGAGAATCTTCAACAGTCTCCATGCTCCCGGTTTGATCGCAACTGCATTAACACCGGATCTGGTGGTGGGTGAGTACCTGGACAGCGGAGACGAGACGACCGATCTTGAAGAGCTTGAAAAACAGGAGAGCATGAGCAACAAGCCTCCATTATCAAGAATTTTCAATCTGAACGATTTCGAAAAAGTTGCCAGACAAGTTTTGAGCGAATACGCTCTAGCCTATTATGCCACTGGCTCAGACGATGAAGTTACCTTGGGTGAAAACCACAACGCGTACCACCGCGTGTTTTTCAAGCCTCGTGTTCTGGTTAATGTTGCACAGATTGACACTAGCACCAGTCTGCTCGGAACTCCAACGTCGGTGCCCTTTTACGTCTCTGCTGCTGCTAGAGCCAAGCTGGGCCATGAGGACGGCGAACTGGCAATTGCCAAAGGAGCTGGAAGAGAAGACGTGATCCAGATGATATCAACAGTGGCTTCATATCCTCTTGACGAAATCACTGCGGTTGCAAGACCTGGCCAATCGCAATGGTTCCAGCTATACGTTAACGCAGATCCGGAGCATACACGGAGCTTGATGGAGAAATTCAACAACACTGCCTGTTTGAAAGGACTTTTCATAACTGTTGATACTGCATGTTTGGGAAACAGAGAAACTGACAGAAGGGGTCATTTCGAGGAATTGAGCTTCCCTGTTGACGATGAAGGATTTCCCGTCAGAAATGTGGCTAATTCGGTAGCCAGTTCCCTCATGGACACGGGCTTGGTATGGGACGATATCGCCAGGTTTCGGGCCATGACATCCAAGCCAATTGTGCTCAAGGGTATTCAATGTGTCGATGATGTGTTGAAAGCAATAGACGCTGGAGTTGATGGGGTGGTTCTTTCAAACCATGGAGGGCGAAATCTGGATTTTTCACCTCCTCCTTTGCAGGTTCTAGCCGACCTCCAGCCTGTACTAAAAGAGAAAGGCCTAGAGGGCAAAATAGAAATTTTTATAGACGGTGGAGTTAGAAGAGGAACTGACATACTCAAAGCGCTTTGCCTGGGTGCTACTGGAGTTGGACTCGGCAGGCCGTTCCTCTACTCTGTATCTGGATACGGAGAAGCCGGGGTAGTTAAGGCCATCCAAATCTTGAAGGATGAACTGGAGATCAGCATGAGGCTTCTCGGTGTTACCAAAATCAGTGACTTAACTCCAGAGCATGTTGATGTGAGACAGTTGAGAGTGGCTGAGGCTGGTAAACTATGATATACCACAAAGTTTGATTGCATTTTGTAAAGAATCATCATTTATTTGAGCAACCACCAACGCATGCCTGCATGTATGGTATGAAATACATCGCAAGGGGCTATTTTAGATTTTTTTCGTGCGTCTTGTCACAGCTAGACCAACGAAATCGGAGGCTAAACAGCTGCAATGACGAATATGTCATGACCCTCGCTTAGCACATATCTGTGGCCAAGTCGGGGAAAGTGGAGAAAAACGTGTCTGAACCAATCTTGGGTGAATGCTTTAATAGTGGGCGATTGTGGTTAAGACCTGTTCTAATGGGACAGTGCATTGGACTGCGGAAACTGTGCTTGAAGTGTGTATGTGCATGCATTCCAGATTGTCCTCTATCGATCGAGCGAGACCGAACAGTTTTGGAGGTCGGCCTGGATCTCGTTCGGCTTTGACCGTCTTTGGCACTTCGCAGTCTTCCCATGGTGTCAACGCGATTCGTAATAGACTAAGTCCCAGAAGCCAGATCTTCTTCTACTCCACACACGACATAAATTTGATTTTAGCACTACCTGTCCACTTCTTACCTCACCTTTTTTGCATCGATTTGTCATTTAACCTGCTTTAAGAGACCCAAGCAAATCCCGCCCTTTATAATATATTTTTTGAAGGACATCTCGGAGTATCGCCGTGTCCGAATATAGTTAGTGGGTATTGCTATTTGAGTTCCACGAATATACCCGTGTTGGTACGTCATGAACCCCGAAGCGGTCATACGCCCCGAAGCAGCAACCTTGCCACTTAACCCCAGCATGTCAGGTGATGTTAGCAACGCGGCCGTCGCAGAATCAACCGGAATAATCAACAACGAGTCTCATTCGGGTAGGCGTCAACCGAGTACTGATACCTCGGTTGTAGGGGTGGTTGGTGCGACTGGCGAGCCTGAGTTCATCGATAAGAGATTTTACATTCCTGATTTGGACTCGAAGTCGGATAGGTTTTTTCACGATTTACAGATACAACACCGCAACGAAACGTTGCAGAACGCAAAAGCTGGTGACCAAATTGGTGAAAATCACCAAGGCCAACTTGATCCAATGAACGCTGGTGAGAGACTCAACAGGCCTGGACCTACGCCATTGTTCAACCAGTCGTATATGAATGGACACCAACAGAATCAGCAGGTTCAGCAGGCTCAACAGGCTCAACAGGCTCAGCAGGCTCAACAACAGGGTCAGAATCAGCAGAACGCTCACTTGAGCATGTTTGGGCCTCCATCGCCCACCAACAGCCTGAACTCGTTCTTCAACTCGCACTCATTCGTGGGAAACCCCATTTTATATAATGACTTTGGATTTCCGGTGTGGGAGAATTTCGACATGCTGACACCTACTGCGACAGACTCTTCGCATTCTCAGACTCCTGTCCATGGAAGAAACATGGCCCAGCCGGTGCCGAGAAGACGTGTCTCCATTTCGAACGGTCACATTGGCCAGATCGTCCAAGCGAACAGCTTTATATACCACCACAAGCACCAAGGTGACAAGCAAAGTGACGGATCGGAACGGGTTCTAGACTCCGAAACTGGTCGCGATCAGGATGAGACCGCAAAGGGCGCGGTCGGCGAAGAAAAACCGCTACTCAAGTCTGAAACGGAACTGGATGAGCCGCTGAACCGAAGAGTCAAGCAGGAAACCGACTCCCAGCTGGATATGGACGTGAACGAGAACGGTGTTCCCAAAACACGTCTTCTGTACAATAATGAGGTGATTTTCGACCCAGATGCACCTATCCCGGGGACTGCGGTGTGGAAGAAACAGAAGCTTTTAGAAAGGAACAAATTGGCTGCAGCTAGGTGCAGGCAAAAAAAGAAGGTCAATCAGCAGAAACTGCAGAATGATATAGATCACTACAAGGACGAGGCGGACTCGCTGCGGATACGACTTCGCGCTGCTGAAGAGTTAATTTTCAAGGTTCAGCAGGAGGTGAAGAGGCAGGGCATCAACGAGGGGGTTTTTGGGGAAATTCTAGCTTTTGAGAAAACAGGTTTGTAATAAAAATCAAAGTTATTGAAGGGCAGTGGAGTAGGCACCCAAGCCGAGCACTTACGCTTTATTAATCAACGTCACTGGCAGCAGCTACAATCATAGTTGACTTGTCTCGAAATTTCTCGGTTCTAGCCTCGTAATCTTTTATTTATTCAAATAAATTCCCTCCCCCCCCCCACTTGATTAGAATCCTTGGACGGTATCCGAGACCCGTCATCCGAGATCCGTTATCGCATTGGCCAAATCGGGAAATATGGCGGTAAAGGATACCCCCCGTAGACGCAAGAAAGATAAGGTAGAAATTGTGCAGGCAAGGTGCAATGCGTACATGATAGGTATAAATATACCGCATTTTTTACGTGAAGATTGCCTGCTTTACTTGCTAGATTAGCGAAAGCGAAACCGAATTTTTCATCTACCTCTTGCCCATCAGCATTCTATATTACGCCCAATCAAACTGAAATGCCTAGTTTGAACGATACTCTTTCACAGTTCAAAATCACCCCCGGAAGGCTGGTGAAGACCATCCACGAAACTTCAGGAAAATTTGGCGCCAAAGGCAAATGGGGTCCCTTAGACTCAGACACCGGAGTTTGTCGTCTGGCCCTTAGCGACGAGGATAAGGGCGTTCGTGATTGGTTTGTCCAAGAACTGATATCGCTTGGATGCGAAGTCAAGATCGACGAGGTTGGCTCGATCTTTGGAATTTACCCTGGGAAAGACAACTCCAAACCCCCAACAGCGATGGGATCACATTTGGACACGCAACCAACGGGTGGAAGATACGACGGCATCCTTGGAGTATTGAGTGGACTGGAGGTGTTAAGAACCTTCAAGGATTCAGGATACGTCCCAAACTATCCAGTTGCGCTGGTGGACTGGATGAACGAAGAAGGTGCCCGATTTCCAATGTCTATCATGGCATCCTCCGTTTGGGCCGGGAACTTCTCTAAGGAAGAGGTTTATAACACCAAGTCTATCTCCGACCTCAAGCCGGTCTCTGTGAAAGAAGAATTGGAAAGAATAGGCTACCTGGGAGAGACACCAGCAAATTACCTGCAAAACAAACTCGCTGCACACTTTGAGATTCACATAGAGCAGGGCCCTATTCTGGAAGAAGAAGAGAAGGAAATTGGTATCGTGGTAGGAGTTCAGTCCTATTCCTGGTTCAACGTGTATGTCAGAGGAAAGGCTCAACATACTGGAACAACTCCATTAAATGCCAGAAATGACGCGCTTTTGAGTTGTGCGAAGATGCTGGTGAAGGCTAATGAAATAGCCCACAAGCACAATGGGTTGTGCTCCATCGGCACTTTGAGACTCGAACCCAGTTCAATCAACGTGATTCCGGAGTATGTGCATTTCACGCTGGATTGCAGGCACCAGTTGGACGAAGTCCGCGAAAAGATCATCGAGGAATGCAAATCGGAGTTCCAGAAGATCGCTGAGGCACCTAATGGATCTTCCACCAAAGAAGCCAAGGTAGAGTTCGAGTTGATCTATACCTCTCCAGCAGTCCATTTTAACGAGGTGTGTGTATCATGTGTCGAGCAGAGTGCCGAGGAACTTGTTGGTAAAAACAAGGTGAAAAAGATTATCTCCGGTGCCGGTCACGATTCGTGCTCGACATCCACCAGAATTCCAACCTCGATGATCTTTATTCCATGCAAGGATGGTGTTTCGCACAATTTTGAAGAATATTCGACGCCTGAACAGTGCGAAAACGGCTATTTGACGCTGCTGGGTGCTGTTGTGAGGTATGACCAGAATCGCTCGGAGTGAAGATAAGTAAGTAAAGTCGTCTTGACTGTGAACAGATATGTTAATGCCTAAGTGTATGGCCCTTATATCACCTACTCTAGAGAGATAAAGTAGAAGAAACGGTGCTGGTTTCCATTTTCTAGAACATACCCACTCGTAGCTCCTTTATCCAAAATTCCTATTCACATATATCTTCGACCTCGCCAATGAAACAAACTCTCCATCCTCACTCTTGTTATTCTGCAAATCCCAGAGAAGCATCCTAAGATCATTGTAAAAAATCTGGCCGTATTCTAGTTTTCCCCTTATCATGTGTATTTTCATCCTGGACTTGTAGCGCGGATGACAGACCTGTCTCTTGATCCATTCCGAGTTCACTGAATCCTCCGACTCAACAGTCTGCAGTTTCACCATTCTCCCCGTGAAATCTCGGATAATCTTGATGAAAGTAAAGCTTTCAACATCAAACGATTTGTTTATGAAAGGCAGCACGTTATCATCGTTATTGTGCAACACATCAGTTCTACCCTCGCCATGCTCGCCTTGAACTACCTCTTCGACGAGTTTCAGGTCCGAGATATCCTGGGTTTGAAAGGTGAGTGTTTTCGTCGTCACCAATGAATCTGTTGGTTTCAAAACTATATCTTCTCCGGTAGAACCCATTATCATGTCCACCAAGTCTGATGGATAATCACACCTAGTGTTTTGAAATTGGACTAGACCTTCCATGGAAAAATCCATATTGATAGGCAATTGCGACTGAGAAAGAGTCGAATAATCGTATAAGCGGATACTTCTTCGATCTTTTTTCTCTAAATGCAAAAATAGACTCCGCAGGTCCTGATGCAGCAGAAACCGTCCATTCAGTCCAGAGGTGAAAGGCCTTCCCTGAGGTCTGGTGGACTTTTTTTCAAGTCTGTTTCTGTTTTTCGGCCTTTTGGCCAGTTTCAGAGGGGGTAATTTTGGCTGGAATTGTTGTTGTTGTTGTTGTTGTTGTTGCTGTTGGTGCTGGTGCTGGTGCTGGTGCTGCTGTGGCGACTGCTGATGGAGCAATGGCTGAAATTGCTGGTACTGCGATGATAGTGGATGGTGATGTTGGGTCTGTAAATTAGGCTGTAAAGGATGCTGTAAAGGATGCTGTAAAGGATGCTGTTGATGGTTATGACGTAGAGTATGCTGTTGAGGGGACTGTAAAGGGTGACTTTGTTCCTGCGTTGATGGAATATGCTGTTTGGGATAATGCTGATTTTGGTGATGTTGATGATGCTGACTTTGGCTTTGTTGCTGGCTTTGCTGATAAGGATAATAAACCGGATACTGCAATACCCTCGGGCCATAATAGTACTGATATGGCTGCTGGTACTGATTGGAAGGCACTCTCGCCATATTGGGAACACTCGAAGCAGAAGTCAAAGGAGCTTGTGAGGAAAAAGGGCTATCGTATTCCAAACGAGGAATCAAAGGAAGTGATGATGAAGACGGTATTGGTGGTTGGAGCGGTAACGGACTTGGGTTCGAAGGGCGTGGGCTGGAGCGTAGACTCTGATGAAGACCCTCACCGATATGATGCAAGCCGTGTGGGCTTGGATGGACACTCGGCTGAAGACTTTGAGAACTGCCACTGATTTGACGTTGATGAATACCAAGCGAACCTGGTGGAGAACTGAGGACCATTCCGCTTGGAGTTTGGTGGAGACTAGAACCCAGGTCATCCGACACTCGACGAGGACTTTCTGTCTTCAGAGGAATGCCCAATTGGCCTTTGGGACCATCAGCTATTTGACCGAGAGCAACAAAGCTTTGGGGTGGAATAGCACCTGAGCTGGACCTCTTTCGAGGAACCTCTTTTTTTGCATGACCAGCCTGGTATTGATAGGGGCTGGGGATGGTCTGGTATAGAGTGTTGGCTGCGTCACTTTTCCTCTTTCCACTGGTATTTTCAAGGGCACTGGAAGGTTCCCCTTCCGTGCCCTCTTTGTGCTGGTCATGCCCGTCTATTGCTTGATCTGAAGCTTCTATATTTTCAACACCATCTTTCTTTCCATCACCGTCCACACCATCACCGTCATCCTGGGGGTTGTTGACTAGATCTTGGATCGAAACTTTCAACGGTCTGTGTGGGTTTGACATTGAGGAGGTGGCCACCGAACAAGAGATGCGACCAAAGTGAACAAGGAACAATGAAGAAACAGGGAAACGTAAAAAAGGAAAAGCTGATGATGTAGGAACTAGTTAGCACAAAAGCAGGAAATAGCACAAAAGCGGTAAAATGAAGACTCGGGATTAGGAAACTGGAATTGTATGATCGAAGGTAGGTCCAGTGTTGTAGAAAAACCCACAACAAGACTAAAGATCAACACAAGGTTCTAGCTATTGGCAAGAGCAAGAAAAGGAAAACAAAAAGAGCTAGACCAAAAGTTCAATCCCGACCGTTCAATTACTTGGGAATAACAAGATAAATGTAAAGGAGGGTAGTGATCTTGATTCACCCGGTAAATTCAGTGAATCATGAAAGAATCGTGGTTTGCGGTTTGTATTTGAGATTGGTACGGCCAGAACAGAGAGCACAACAATGACACTCGTAAAATGAATCAACTGGTTCAACGCTCGTACAATTTGACCTCTCGATCAAATAATGTCTAGCAATCAGCGCTTATAAGAAGAATGTGATTCAACGGCAATCTCAGCCATATTATATTCGGTGAAAAACATCAAGGGACTTTAAAAGAAATGTCAAACAAAGGGAGCGCAGGAGGCGGACCAACACCAGACAGGACAGACGCATGTTTGCCTAGCCAGCATATACATGTGGGTTACACTTCTCAAATGCAACGTCCAGGATGGAGAGGTACATGAGGGCCAGCATCGAGAGCTATGTTTTAGGTGAAGATTGACCTAAATCTACCATGAATCAGGGCTACAGGACCGTTGTTCTGGGAGGTTAACCGGAGATCGAGAACGGAGTTCTGTGACCTCCCAAAAGCGGATGCAGCAGGCTACATGGTTTAGAAGGGCTGTCTGCAAAGGCCGGAGATACTTGTAATAATGGAGGTGCGGATCATATTGCACTGTTCCCGTTATCGTGGTGGGGGTTACGGAATATGACAGTGGAGACACAGGTCTTTTTTTGAATTGGGTTTTACTTTATTTTTATTTTCCACATGTTAGCGATCATTTCCTTGCTTGTTTTTCAGACGTGGTGCCGGAGCTAGCCTTTCGTTTTTGCTCATTGCTTCGCCGTTTCGACTGTTTAGCCTGTTGTGCAGAAAGCGTGGTCAACTGCAAGGGTGCAGAAATGGTTGGACACGGCCAAGAAACAGACGGAAAAACAAAAGCACGAACGGAGGGTGAGCTGCAACAAAGGTCTCACACCGAGTTTGCCGGATAGAGTTGTGGTCGATACAAAGGTCATGTAAGGGGTGATGTATATGCAATATAGATGAGAAGCTAATGTAGAGGTTGAATCGGTAAAAAGCCGGTTAAAGTTACTCTCTGCGATGAGAGTCAATCTCAAGCCAACACAGGGATGATTTAACATAGGGGTGACAACGCTGAACTAGAATATTGGACGGTGGACAAAAAATGGTAGAGATGTACGCGTAAAATAAGTATGCGCTTTGGTTTCGTCGACTAGGCCGGATGGGATCCATATCATTGCAGGCCAGTTCGAATCGGGAACTATTATGTTTTCAGATAATTTCAGGTGGACCAAGCCAACCTGCAAATGCGAACATTGGATCTGTCTCCACAATCTGAGTATACGTTAAAAGGAGTTTAAATCTTGAAATTGAACTGGGGTGTCTCTCACTCCCTGATATACGAGTGGTCGAAGCAAAAGTCGAAGCGAAGGGCGATGCACTGGGACTCAATTCAATTGCATACAAATTCTGTCTACAGACCGCTCTCCGCCACTCATACTTTGAGCAGGTAAGCACGATTGCAGTCACAATGACCAGTGATCCAAAGCGAACCATATAGTCTATCGCTCCCCAAATTACCCAAAGCCGTGCGAATTGCCAAAGCTTGGGCACCCCAGATCCTGGTGATCGTCAACGAGGGCCTGCGGTATCCGGATATTATTCAAGACTTGTTTAAAGTTTTATGTGGGTCCTTTCGACTGCGTTTCTTTTTGAGCGCGCTACGGGAGTACATAATATTTTTTGGTCGTGGATGTGGCGTGGGTACTCTGAAGTAGTCCCAAAAAGGAATGAAATCATGGCAATAGATTGTGAAGTGGTGAGTTGCTAAATTTTAGTTTAGGTTGGGGGTAACATTTACGCAAATGAACTTTATTGGATCCTATTGTGGATATATTATATAGTAGCGTTTTGATGATCCCAGTGCTCGAGAATAAGCCTGCCTCCTATTATTGGGTGGTCTTCTTCTTTGTTCCCATGAATTACACTGCCTATACATATACTGGTTCGCATAGTCTTTAGTGATCGTTGTAGCAAGGAGTAGCTCGTATTAAAAGACTCCGGAGATATGCGCAAGGTGTTATATGACGTGGGTTGTGTAAATGAAAGTGGACGATAGTTATATATTTAGTTGTGGTACATTTACTAAATAATAATATTCTGTAGCTGACGTACGCCTCGGTAGTAGACTTTGAGCGGATATGCTTTCATTTGTTAGAGCTCATGTATATCATGTACGTTCAGGCATGTACAACCAAGCACGTGACACTTTTCAGTCAAATTAGCCCCTTTCTAGGACCCCGGCCTCGTATTTTGAATTAACTAGGAAGGAGAGGGGCTTATTGGAAATTTAGCCTGGGAACTTGATTTCTTACGGAACCATGGCATTGTTGCTCTCCGTTGCAGAATCCATCGACCATCTCACCCAGTTCTCGCTTTTGCTAGTTAATCCATTCGGCCACTACTGAACATAACTCAAAACCGTTTGATCAAATCGGGCATAAAGGGACCAAATTACTAGTGGGTTGATGTACAAACTTGCCGATGAAGCGACCCGGACCCAACTCTCTCACATTTGAAATCCCGTAGGTGCATTTGGTGAAGGGACGACAAAGAGGAGTTGCGTCGAAAAAAAGCCTATTGACTATATTATCATACGGAATGAATAAATGTATGACAAGTGGACAATAAATAGTCACCTATATCCTTGGGAGCGGTAGAGTGGAGCCTATGAACCTTTTTATTTCTCTATTGTATGGTCATTAGGCAAGAACCCAGAGTTGAGGTTGTTACTAATTAGTTTTAATCATTACTCCTTCTAGTAATGACCCTTTCTTTCTCTTTTCTACCCTCCTATATTTTACCTTTTTCCTGGTCTCCTTTCAATATCCCTTCCAGGAATCTTGCCTCTTGCAGCACACCCAATTCGAAACAATGACTTAGCGGGGCATCGGCAGTGGTAGCTTTGACGTTATCAACAAGTAACACGTGACGAGTCTCCCATTCATTCCGGATGTACCATTGTTTCACAAAAGCTTTCAAAAACAAAAATCTGCCACTTCATTGAAAAACAACACATCCGTTTCCGCGATGTCTTTGGTTTTTTTCGGCTGGGCCTCATAACAGAATTTCACGACAATGTGATTCAACGAATCTTTCCGCAGTTATCTGCGGGGGCCTGCAAGAGGTGCGCGTTTGACGCACAATGACGGTGGGAAAAAATACTGGGATATGAAGAAATTCGGCAAGACAGCACCCGAAGATAAACTCAGACGGCGCGCAGGAGAAAATTCTGTTGGGAGGTATCTGCTTGGTCGGGGCAATAGTGCTAATGATATTGCTCGGAGACTCCGCCGCATCGGTATTGCTACTGGCATTCACCTGTTTTACAGATTTTCCAGAGAGCAGGAATCAATCCAAATAACACGTGACATCTGGGATCCAGTTACTGGTTATCAACTCCTCCACTATCTACTGCTTCGACCGCAGCCAGCATGCAATCTGTGGCACGATCACAAACCTACGAAATTGATATCATTCAGTTCAGTTATCGAGATACGGACAATCCCATTGCGCTTGCGAGTTCATTGAATCAAGACCGCGTCACGCTCGTTTACAGTGCGAACGCTACCGTTTCAAAAGAGGAATGTCACGTGATTTATGGTCGGTACACGTTCGACTGAAACAGAGCCAGTGCACGTCTATTACACCTACAACACTTGCATGTTGTATGGTGTCAGCTTTGTACCAAAGACGGGCGAAATGATTTTCATATATATATACATGGACCAGTTCATCATTATGCTCTTATTTTGCTTCTGACTGGTTACTATGCTTTTGCCATATCTTTTTCTGCTGTTCGGCAGCGCTTGCGCAGCATACGTTAATGTCACCACCTCCACAATCACTTCATGCTCCTTGGGAATTTGTTCTATTATTACAACAACTGTACCATGCTCTTATAAAACTGAGTCATCTGTCAAGCTTACTTCTACAAAGTCTGCAGTGGAGCTTACATATACTTCGTGTGACACACTGGGGTGTCATACACTAACGTCTACAGTTGCCATTCCACGTTCGCTTTCTACAAAGACCACTTGTTCAAGCTGCTCCTCGCAGGCTACTTCTATACCTGTTAGTATTTTCGAAACTACAAAGACAGTCACAACGCTTGTGACAGGACAGGACTATGTCACGATTACATCGTGTGGATCAAAAGGGTGCAGTACTTATCCAACTGGACTTACCACCATAACGAGCACTAGCAATGGCATCGCGACTGTTTATACGACTTATTGTCCATTAACGGGAAGTTCCGGATTAGTGAGTTCTGTTAAGACACCTGCTACAACACCTGCTACAACATCATCGTCATCAGTTGCCTCTTCACCTTCCTCATATCTTACTACTATCACCAGCAGTGTGAATGGGGTTACTACCGTCTACACAACATATTGCCCTTTGACCAGTGCGAGCGAAACTTCAAAAGTTATAGAGAGTTCCTCATCGACTGTTTTATCGGTAACCACAGGAGTTGACGATACAACTTCGATCTCCAAAACCAATACTAGTTTGTCTGCTGAGTCGAGTATTATTACCAGTGCTACCAGTGCTACTACCACTCATACCAGAACTAGTTTGTCTGCTGAGACAGGTATCATTACCACTGCTACTGATGATGATATAACTGCTACCACCACACACACCAGTATATTTACTAGTGACACCGATGATGATGAAACTGCTACCACCACTCACATCAGCATAGTTACTAGTGACACTGACGCTAGTGAATATACCACTGATACTAGTACTGTTGCTACTGGTATTGTTGCTAGTGAGTCTAGTTCTACTATTACTCAGGTTACTTCCCCATCGTCAGTGCTTACGACTGCCACAATCACGTCAAATGGGGTTCGCACCGTCATCACCACTTATTGTCCACTAAGCAGTGATACCACTGCCGAGAGTTCAATTGAGGCCACATCAAAAACAGGTCCCACCTCTTCTCACTCATCATCATCATTATCATCATCCAGCGAGATTGAAGTTACGACGACAATATCCTCGAAGGACATTTCCAGTTCCAGTTCTGTCACAACAGCCCTTTCAAAATCTTCTACAGAGTCTTCAGATACCGCCACAGATTATACCGCTTCCAGCACTATCACCACTCCAGTACAAAGAAATCCCTCGACAACAACAATCACATCTTGCTCCAAAGGTTCCTGCACTGCATTAGTCACTGGGGTATCCCAACAGACCATCACCTCCAACGGGGTGGAAACAGTTTACACGACCTATTGTCCATTAACCTCAAAGCAAGGGGTTCACATCGTGGGAACCGGCTCTGTTTCGGAAACGGAGACCACAACATTGTCAACAGTATATATCACCTCGACTGCCTCGGCTGAGGCCACATCTGCGACATCCAGTGTTCTAAACCTGAACGCTTTCACCGGTGCAGCCAATAGAGTGGTTCCATCTGCGTTCTTGTTTATAGTGGTTGCATTGTTTGACTGGTTGTGATTTGTTTGAGCCTCTGAATCTCATTCCTATTCTTTCAAAAGACGAAAACGGGTTTAATTTCTTTTTATAGCCTTGCCACGTTGCTGGTTGTCTCAATACACTGTTCATTACTGTTTTAACTTCCCCTGCAATATAATCACATTAACAACTGAAATATTATCGCAGGTGGTTTACTATTCTTGGTTCTCTTGTTGGACTAATTGTGATCACATTATTGTATCCGTTGTACTATTTCGCTCTTATACTGTTTCGTCTTTCGTTCCCGATTTGTCATTTGTCATTTATCCTGTTAATACATCGAAGATTTGTATTCGAAGTCCTTGATGAACTTCTCTGCATCTTTATTCCCAGCATCATTTCTTTGTGGCGGTGATCTTGATCTCGGCCTCAACTTCTTCAGACCATATGGCTCTCTTTCCCGGATACTTTCCTTGAAAACTCGAGATTGCTCCTCCTTCAACTCTGCGTTGTGTCGTATCTTCACTGGCTTCAGTCTCTTCATTAACCTCTCCCTGAACTCATCAACCCGTAGATCTATGGTTTCATCATCTAACCCACCGTCCTCGAGCTCTTCCCTTAGATCCATACATCTGACCTCTATGGCCCTCTTAGATTCGTGTTCGCTTATTTCAACGTCTTTTCCAAGGCTCAGTTGTTTCTGTGTTCTCACGTAGTTTTTGTTGTTTGTTCCGGATATAAGTTCACGCCTGGCAAACTGTCCATTTGCCTGTCCTTCTTGTCTCTTTGCGGAAGCTAGATTCCGCTGAACGTACCCGTTGGTACCCGTTCCCCTCGCAGTTTTGAGTCCTATTCCGTTATAAGACATGGCGTTAAGAATCCTGTACTGTTCTGGGAGAGAGTTTGCAGCAAAAGGAAAGTCTCAAGTCCAACTTTAGCCCTTTTCAAACTTTGAGATTATATAATCATTACGTAATATTTCAGCACTGCACGTCAAGCATGTGGGGACAACTCAGATGCACCACGCCATGTCTTCTTTTCTTCTTTTTTTTTGGTGCCAGCTGAGTATTTTTGTTGTAAATGTCAGCAAAACAACAGCGGTCACGGAATGGGTGTTTGACATGCAGATCACGACATCTGAAATGCGACGAGATGATTCCCGAATGTCTGAACTGCAAGAGGTCCAACAAAACGTGTGAACGTGGTATTCGGATCAAGATGATTCAAACGACACGATTCGACGTGAAGAAGAACGACTTCAACTATCGACCGCGTGGACAATATCAGTTTTTGGACCAGTCGCTCGCAGTTGCCTCAGATTACATAGGTGGCGATGTGGGCTACAAGCCGTACATCAAGTTGCATACTCCAGAGGACCTTCGGGAGAGTCTTGACCAGTACAACTTGTCCACGGACGCCCCACCAGCAAAAAAGGCCAAGATCTACGAGACTGCCACCACAGTGAACATGTCGCTGGTAAATCAGATTGAGAGTGCATTAAAGGACCGGGACGAGAAAAGTTACATATCGGCGCTTGTTGATAAGGAGGAAAGCTCTTCAGCCATGGGGGGATCGTCCACCTCATTGGATTCTCCTTTAAATTTAACAAGTCGCGATTCGCCTTTGTACAACTCGAGCTCTACACAGTCTGAAGGTAAAAGTCCTCAGTTGACACCGTCGAAGAATAGAGCAGAGGCTCTCTTACTCGCCAATTTTGTTCATCATTGTACGTGGATACTAGATTTTGTTTGCAACGGCAACGTGGTGCCACATTACGTCCGACTTTGGGAGGACGAGATTATGCCAAATATGGTTGTGCGAGATGAGGATCTACTGCGATGCATTTTCAGATGTTCTCTATCGTTCCCTCCTCAAAAGTGGCACGGTCTTATTCCTGTTCCGCGTCAAATAAAGACGGCACTACCACTTCACATGAGAGTGGAGCCTTCCAAAGAAAAGCTTGATTTTTATGCAAAGCAAACAGATGCGTACCAGAGCAGACTTTTCGAGGAAATCCGGCAGGATCCTTTTTTTCAAGACCCCCAAAACGCTCTACCAGACGAGATTTCCAGAATTAAAACGAAACTGGAGAAATATATGATCTCAGCAACATTGGTTTGCTTGAGCATTTACTTTGAGGACTTAACAAGACAAAATATGGTGAGTGCTGGCTATTTGCAGGCCCAGATGAAAAGCGTGAGCTCTCTGATTCTCGAAAGCAAGATTCTGGGTTCAGCTATTTTTGCTGACTCCAGAATTTTCGAAAGTTGTTTCACGATGTTGTTCACCATCGATTTGTGGGGAGCAATAATGCACAAACAGCCGTCGGTACTAGATCCGTTTGAGGTGGGATATTTGCTGCCTCTTCTGGCTGAGTCTGATACTAACTCGGACTTGGCTCCTAACAAGTCTTCCGACACTTTTGAACAAGCCCGCATAGAGGAACTAACCAATGCTGCTACGGAGTCTGATACCATCCAACTTTCTCGGATTCTCATCATTATGTCCAAGATCTACAGATGTGGCCAGTCAGATCTCCAGAACATGGACGAAAAGTGGATTCAGTTGATCGAGGAGATCAATACTTTCGAGAAGGAACTTCCCTTTGTGTACGCACCATCTGGACTCTCCAAAGTAACTGCCGATGACGGATTAGGGACAGCAATGACGGAAAAAGAATCCGGAACACCTGAGAGTAGAGCTTCAGAAGTGTTCAAGGCGCCTTTCATGAAGATACAATTTAGCAGCACGGCGGGACTTGTGGTGCATCTTCTTCACCATGCAGCATATTTGATGAGCGAAAAAGTTAAATTGCCGACTTGGCCTTCATTTTTCCCCGACAACGACAATGAAGATTGGAATTTCCGGCTGATCAATTGGTACAACCTCAACACTACTTTCAAGCACTCCGAAGACAGCCCCACAGAACGAGAGCATATGGCCATCAGAGTCATATCCATGCTGCTTAGTGTGGAAATCAAGTCCAACAGGCTTCACATGAACGGAAGTCAGACCGGGAAGGGTCAGATCATATACCCTCACTTCAAGTGGCTCTATGACCTTTCACTGACCTTTCTGTCTCAGAAGAGCCTGAACGCATTGGACGACATGCTCAATGATTTACGAGGCCAAAGTCAGACTACTTAATCTATACTTTTTTTACGGGAATAACTGGTGCATTATAGGCAAGTTTATTAAATTTCACTTAATAGCAATCGGGCATCGCCAAATCGGGAAATGCTCATCGCATGGGATTTTTCATTTTTCGCGTTTCTCCAAGAAGCCCAGGCGACTTTGTAAACGCCACTTGAGAGACGAATATATGCCACAACCAATTATAAGTCAGTTCTTTTTGCCTCATGCTCGAAGCCAGCAGATGTCGGCTGAGAGTGAGGTGTTTTCTGACGACGATTTGATGGAAATTTCGGAGAAAGTGCCTGAGCCACCAGGGGAATCATCAGGAGGCTTATCAGGAGACCCATCAGCAGAGCCACCCGCAGAGCCACCAGCGCCACAACGGCAGCCAAATCCTTTGAAAAAGAAGCCATCCAAGGCAGTTTCTGATTATTCATATGCTCCCATTTCAGCCCCAAAAACGACCGGTTCAAAGAAACCAGACCCGAAACCGAAACGGGTGCGAGAAACCCCAGACGACGACAGAACGGTGAAAAAACCAGACATCGCGGCCAGTGTTAAACTGACCCCATTGGAACAGCAATTTGTGGAGCTCAAGTCAAATAACCCCGAGTCAGTATTGGCAATCAGAGTTGGCTACAAATACAAGTTCTTCGGCGAGGACGCGAGGGTGGTGGCAGGGCTATTGGATATCATGTTGCTCGATGGAAAGTTTTCCATAGACCTGAAAAACCCACCACCACGCGACAAAATGCACTCCAGATATGCCTATTGTAGTATTCCAGACAACAGGCTACATATTCATTTGAAAAGGCTGCTTGGAGCCGGGTTGAAGGTTGGCGTCGTTGAGCAGACAGAAACAGCAGCACTCAAGAGCAACTCTGCCAATAAGTCCAAGATTTTCGAGCGAGATATAAGTCGCGTTTACACTGCTGCTACCTACATTGACGATAATGAGGCTGGTGAGAGCATTCTGTCATTGGACCGGGGTGGAGGCTATATCCTTGCTGTTTCTGAGAGCGACGGCTTGATCAGCGTTGTTGGCGTCCATCTTCTTTCCGGCGAGATTGTATATGACACCTTCGCAGATGGGGCGATGCATAGCGAGTTTGAGACTCGACTGTTTCATCTTTATCCTGTTGAGATTATGGTTGTTGGAGAAATTTCCCATCTCACCAGCCGGACTCTGGATGGATTCAAGAGCCATGTCTACAAACACGATAATGCTACTACCCTGAGAGTACTCAGCAGGGAAAGAGAGGTCACTGGAATTTACTATGACGAGTTCACCCGTCTTTTGGAAAACTCTCCGTCAACTCTGGATCTTTTTCTGAACCAGTTGACCGCTGATGTTCAACAATGCTGTGCGCAATTGGCAGTGTATCTCAAAGAGTTCGGTCTAGCCTCCGTTTTCGAGGTCTCCTCAAATTACAACAAGTTTGCAGATTTGAACAGACGCATGATTCTGGATGCGAACACTCTGCAGAACCTGGAGATATTTCGCAATTATACAAACGGAAAGGAAGTGGGGTCGTTGCTGTACTTGCTTGACCACACTCGGACCAAGTTTGGCGGACGTCTTCTACGAAAATGGCTATATCAGCCGTTGATGAACTACGAGGATATTGCTGGCCGTTCAGCTTCTGTGGATGATATATTAAACGGGGATAATCGAAGGATTTTCGAGAGACTGGGAGGGTTTCTCCATTCCACGCCAGACCTCGAAAAAGGGTTGGCCAAGATTCATTATAAGCGAACCAAGAGAAAGGAAACGTATATTCTGGTGAGACAGTTCGTTGAGCTGATTGGACTGTTTTGCAACTTTGAGACCTTAACCGAGCAAAATTTCAGGTCCAAACATCTGTATGACCTTCTGATGACCACTCAGCATATTTGCAAGGACGAACTCGGTGGGTTCAAGGATCTGTTGAACATGATCAGATCCGATGCGGCAATGGATGAGGCAGACCTAGACCAACAACGTGCCCAGTTCTTCAAGTATGACTATTTTGAGAGTTTGAAGAGCGGAGACATTGAGGTCAAGGAGGTGGAAAAAGAGCTTGAGACGGAGCTAGTCCAGATCAAAACGTTTCTGAAAAGACCCGCAATGACATACGATTGTCATGCAAATGATCCTTACCTAGTTTCAGTCAGAAACACCCAGGTCAAATCGTTACCTTCAGATTGGGTCAAGATCAGCGGTACCAAATCTGTCTCCAGATTCAAAACGCCGGAAATGGTTCGACTCCAGAAACAATTGCAATACAAACAGGGACTTCTTCTTCAAGAATGCGATCGTTGCTATTTGGAATTCCTGGAGAAGATCGACCAATCGTTCATCCTGCTGAAGAGGCTCGTGAACACGCTTGCTGAGCTCGACTGTCTGTTTTCTCTGGCAGCTGTGGCTATTGGAAACTCTGATTATACGAGGCCAACTTTTGTGCATAAGCAGGTGATTTCCTTGAGAAAATCGAGGAATCCTGTGGCTGAAGTTGTGCATTCTTCCAAGCATTACATCGCAAACGATGTGGAGATGTCCGAAGAAGACTCGCGTATATTGATTGTGACAGGGCCGAACATGGGCGGAAAAAGCTCTTTCATCAAGCAAATTGCGCTAACAGTGATAATGGCTCAAATGGGGAGTTTTGTCCCTGCGGAAACTGCCACTCTGGGCGTATTTGACTCGGTATTCATCAGAATGGGTGCCCAAGACGAGATCATGAAGGGTAAATCCACATTTGAGGTGGAATTGAGCGAATGCTCCACTATACTGAGGCAATGCACCGACAAGTCGCTGGTATTGCTAGACGAGGTTGGAAGAGGAACTTCAGCCACGGACGGTCTCGCTATAGCCCATTCTATCTTGGACTTTCTCATCACCACTGAAGGAAAACGTCCTTTCACCTTATTCATCACCCATTTCCCAGCCCTCGAGTCATTCGAGGATTCGCACGGACCAGTCGTCAAAAATGTACATATGGGCTATCGTCTTGAAAAATCCTCGGGCTCGGATGTTGAAGATTTGGTGTTCCTGTATAAGCTAGCCCGAGGCGTGTGTCGTGAGTCGTATGGCTTGAACGCTGCTAGGTTGGCCAATATTGATGAAAGAATCTTGAAAAGAGGTCTTGAAATATCATCCAGAATGAGGGCTGATCACTCATTGGGGTGGGGACTCAACGTTGGTACTGGTTTGAAGAATGCCCTGGATGACCCCAGAGCCATTCACACATTGTTACGGCGTCTGTCATAAAACTGCATGATATTAGAACTGTAATTGGTCTCGTTATTTTTTTTTCTTCGAGGAGTCTATCTCTTCAAAAAACCCTTGGAGTCTGACTTCGCAGGTAATTCCGCACCCGTGAGAGTGTAGGAGACATCTCCAAAGAGGTTTATATCGTATATTCCTTCCTCGCCGTTATCGTCATAGCCATGATGTAAAGTGACAGAGCTGAAAGACTCAAATGGGTCATGTTCTTGAGAATCCAGCTTGTCCTTGGTCTTATTGTGTGCGTTATTGCTTGAGTGTGTGCTTTGTATGGTACTGGAACTAAGGCTTTCCACCTCGCTCGTCTTCGAGTCCTTGCTATGGGATCCTGAGTCCTTTTTTGCCGAGAAAACCGGTATCATGGGAGGCTTTTGATTTCTTAGCAGAGCCCATTGGGTATTTTTGAAGAAAGGATGTGCTTTGATATCAGCAGCTCCGTTTTTGCTTCCCAGCCTTTTGAGTTCGTCTTTGATGAGCAGTTTTTTTATCACATTCCTGCAATTGCTGGTAGTTGAAGCATAATGGGAAGATGAGTGGTCTGGAAACTGCACTTCGTGTTTCAGAACATTTGAGAATGTTTGGTTCCGAGTTGCGCCCTTGAAAGGCGTGGTTCCAAATATCATCTCGTAGATGAAGATACCGAGGGTCCACCAATCCACAGCAGATGTATGGCCTTTATTCCTAATCACTTCAGGAGCAATATACTCTTCAGTGCCCACAAAAGAGTTAGTTCTGAACCCGTCAATGCAAGCCTTTGTGTCCAGACCCGTTGGCAGATGCGAGGAGCTGTTGCGACTGGTCAGCACAATCTCAGGCTCTTTGTTAGAATTCGTTTGCTTGGAAAGATCAAAATCAGAAAGCATGATGTGACCAGATTGATGAAGAAGAATGTTCTCGGGCTTGAGATCACGATAGATAAATCCCATCAAGTGCAGATACTCAAGGGCCGCAGTCACCTCAGCAGCATAGAACTTGGCGTCGCTCTCAGGTATGCATTTCATCTTCCTCGTTTGCAAGGCCCTGAAAAACTCCCCTCCCATACAGTACTCCATACACAGATAGAGATAGTCCTCAGACTGAAACGAGTGGTACAAAGTCACGATGAAAGGATGGTTACTGGTGGCCAGAATCTCCTGCTCAGCAAGGGCTCGTTTGATTTTGTTTCGCTGAATCATCTCTTTTTTGTTGAGAATTTTCATGGCATATAGTTTCTTGGTTTTCTTTTCCCTTACCAGATAGACCTTTCCAACATCACCTCTTCCAAGAAGCTTAATCTTTTCAAAGGAGTTAGGACTCACTTGGACCTCGGAAACTCTGATAGAGTTACTGGAGTAGGTCCTGCCCACAGACTGGTTTCGGGAGCGGCTCTGGAGGTGGAGCTCACCAATGTGCTCTTGAACACTATCAACAGATTCATTCCTATTTGGTGGTAACTCGTTTTCATTCAAAACCTTCAGTCCCAGAGGGGCTGAAGCCACTCTTCTCAACTTTTTCTGCATAGAAGTTGCTGGATTCTCAACCGCAACCGGCTTCTCAAACTTGTTCAGAGACGAGGTCGAATTGTTTATGCTGTCGTTATGTTTCAATTTCATATTGTAAATGCCCGATTCCACCAGCATGTTCTGCTGCTCGCTCAGATCGCATTCTTCAATCGAACCTGGGTTATGGGGAGGATATCCTTGGTACTGGAAGTAAGGGTTAGAATTGACAACCGTGGTTTGCTCAGGAGACTTGAAGGGAGGGGTTACAGCTGAAGGCGACCGCTTTCTGCGCAGTTTGTCCATGATTCCCTGGGGAGAAGCAGGACTTCTGACTGTTCCCGAGGTCACAAAATCCGACTCATTCTCTGTAACTCCTGCAGAACTGTCCAAGTCCTCTTCCGGGTCCGGGGTGTTCGTATTAGAGTTAAACTTGAACAAATTCTTCAGTTTTGCAAGCTTTTTCGTGTGGACTATCGAAGGATCTTCACTGTGGTCCAGGTGGTCTATCTCGTTATTCGGCGTAACTTCCGGATTAAGAGTAGGCGAAATTAACGCTGGGCTCTCAGAAGGCTCACCAGATCCAAACGAGAACAGTTTTCCAAAGGACTGGGTGAGTTTCTTCGAATTCGATCGCGACCTGTAGTCTTGTTGTTGATGCTGGCCATTGATGGGGTTGCCGAGGGCAGCGACTTGAGTCGGCGAGTCGGGCCCGTTGGCTTGGTATATATATTCGACGCTAGCCGTTGTCATAGCAGGCATTCCAATAAGAAAAACCTCGGTAAAAAAAGAACAGATATAGCTGTTCAGGAGATTGTTCACGATTGCCAGACTACCTGTTAGAAGGAGGAGCAGATCATTTCTGTGGATTGCACTATAAATGGGCTGGTGGGCTGTGGGCTAGTTAGGCAACTTTTGGCGTGCGGAGATTTCAGGGTTGCCAATTTCGGTCGGAACAATACAATACTAGAGTCTTTGTTTCTTTTTTGTAAAGTTTGAATGGAAACCTAATCCATTTTTATATTAACTATATGGTTGAGCTCCGCTTGGTTCTGCTCTCTTTTCTCCCGTCCCTCTTCGGTCCCTCTCTAATGTACACGCCTCTCTGCTTAATTAGCCAAATGAGGAGGAAGCAAAAAGTTCGCAACCGAGTTCTTGATGTAGTATACGTGCTGGCAGTGGTTGCATATCATCTTTCCCTCTGTTATCTGTGTTTCGAGCAGCAGGCTGTGCAAATCTCTCAGTATACGCTCGCTTTCCGGGTCTTCTGGATCTATGTTTTCCGGTTTCACTTGTGGAATGGAGTTGTTACCCAAATCAGCAGCAACCTTTATCAACGCAGGCCAATCCAATCTGTCTAACATGCTTGTAAGGAACTCAGCGTCGAAATCCTGTTCCTGCTGCACCAGCTGACATTCGGAGAACACCAAAGGAAATGAGTCAGAAGATGCAGCACAAGATTTAACCGCACACCTCACAAAGTTTGTAGTCAAGAACTTCATATTTGTAATTAGCGAAAGCTTCGTGGAACTGAAACTAACTGCAAAAAAGACAGATTCGTAGGTTCGTCCTGAGATTAGATGAAAAAAATAAAATTAGGTTTGTACAGACACGACCATCTAATTAAGCCTTCAAAGCTGGGGTTCTGACAATTGATTACAGCATCGAATGACATCTAAGTACATGAAAAGGTTAATATGATATGGTCATTAAACATGCCAAAGAGTCAAACTGATTGGTGAATAAAACATCTTCAAAGAGATGCACTGAATGCAGCACTCAACACTATCTCTGAAGCGTTGTAGTGATTGGATAGAATTGTTTTTTCTAACTCGATGAACCATCTCTAGAACAAATGATTCACATTTTCAAGAGATATCTTCTGCCTCGAGCAGATCCTCTGTATATAGTGGCGCAGCTCATAAAAGTCAATTCTGGGATTTCTGACCTGGAACTTCGGATCCAGCAACGAATACATGGTGCCATATGACAGCTCGTGATACTTCATTCTTTCAAAGTTTTCCAGCAAAAGTTTGTAGGACTCGGTTGTCAGTTGTTGCGGGTATTTCTTCAGTATCTGCGATAAGGCCAAAACAAGCGTCTTTGGCGAGCTATGCGAGCTGTGGTGTTCGTTGAACACAGCTTGAAGTTGTTTCTGTAGATGGGATGGTCCTGACGAATTTCCATAAGGGTGCGCAATTCTGATGGCTGGTCGTATATCAATGTGCTTCAGACCGGATTTGAGACCTTTGTGAAAATCTTTCTTGAGATGGGTCAAAGTACGATCAGGTATCAAGTCAACCAGGTCATTAAGTGATTCAACCCGCTCCTGAGTCTTTCCAGTAGCATTCCAAAGACTCTCTGTCACCGAAAGTCTGGAAGGGCACTTTGCATTTTGGAGATAAGTCTCACCTTTCCCATCCTTTCCCTCATTGTTACCTGCCAATATACTCATGTAACCATCCTCTATACATGCCACCGTACACAACGTATCTATCAGAACCTCAGTAGCTCTAGTCTGCAAAGGATATACCGGAACTCCTATCTCTGTTGTCAGTTCGTCCGGAGTGAGTGGTAATTGCAGTGATTCGTCCATTTTGAAGGTCTCAGATTCTAAGTCTCCCCCTTCATTTTCCATCGCATTCTGCTCGGATTGGCTTTCGCGAAATTGCAAGCTCATCCCAGCGTTCTCCATGCTCATTGTGACTGGACCCATGGGGAAATTCTTCAAAAAAGGGGTCCCACCATTCATTGAAACCATATCATCAAACGAGGATCTCGACTCTACCGTGTCAGATACTGTCCCCGCAACCCGCTTTTGCAACCAGAACGGAAGAAAACCAATGGCTATCAAATTAGTTCCCAAGAAGATGAAATTTCCGTCGAGAAATAAATGCTTCAGCACCTTGTTTGTCCTGGCGTTCATCTGCTGTGTTGAGGTGGGTCTAGGATGAGTCCATGTATGTAGTACCTTCGGTCTTGTATACCTCAGGCGAGGCCGTATCACATGTGCCCTCACGGTGTGAAACATGCTATAAAAAATAGACAAGAATGTGCAATTATATTGCTTGTTGTACAATAGAAAGCCCAGGAGTCTGGATGGTTGTCAGGAAAGAAATGGTCTCATTAGCTGGGAAGTGGACCGTCTCTGATTGGCAGATTTTTCGGGCCTCGCTAGGGTGATGAGATTGGGATTTTGGCTATCGAGTCTTGGTGTCAGTTTTGCTTCAATTTTGCTTCAGTTTGGACACAAAATTTAATAAGTTATGGGATATTCATTGACATTGTCGGCCGAGCTAGAAGGTGTGACATCCTTGCAGCCAGCTGATTCGCTGGAATCACCCTTTGAGTACACATTCCAGGTCCAATGTACCTCGTGCAGAGAGATACACTCCAAAGAGGTCAACATCAACACTCTGGAAAAACACGAAATGAGTGGAAGCAGAGGTGAGGCAAACTTTGTGTTCAAATGTCAATTCTGCAAGAGAGAATCATCAGCCAGTGAGTATGAGAAGTACATAGACAGTGCAATTTTGTCGCTAACATTTTACAGACATCACAAGGACGAAAAAAGCATACACCATCGAAGACGATAAACCAGTGGCGATCCTGGATATTGATTCAAGAGGACTCGAGATTGTCAAGTTCATCCCTGTGGGAAACTTCATCTGCAGTGCAGTCGAAGGACCTACCAAGTTCACTGAGGTGGACCTGAGTGACAACGAATGGTACGATTACGACGACAACGCAGGTGCGGAGGTATCGATCACAGACGTGAAGTGGGACTTTGTAAAAAACTAAAGAATGCAATCTGTAATTGGGGTATGCTTATGCTAGTAGATAACGCTGATTGATAAAGCCGCTTTTACGTCCGAGCCGCACCACCTGTCGGTCTCGGCAAATATTCCGCATTAGGCAATCTCGCCCGCTCTCAAAAGCGCAGGTTATGCCGCAATGAATCATGTTGAATCATGTTTTGAACTCTTTCCTGGTCCATTGAGCTCAAGACATGGTCACTGACTTGAATAACAAGCGCCGAAGGAGGACTCCCTTCTCGTGCTCCGCTTGTAGACGGAGAAAGGTCAAGGTAAGTGTGTTCTAAGCGGACTAGCTAGACAGCTCTCTAACAAGCATCTTAGTGCGATAGGAAGAAGCCGCGGTGTGGTGGCTGTGAACGGAACAAAACCGGAGACGGATGTGTTTATGAAAGCCCACCTTTCTGGCAAAATGAGGGAGGAGGTTTAGGTGAAACATTGAATTTTGGAGACCAGGCTGGCTCGTATATTCAAGCTACTACGGTGCCTGTAGGGTACATTCAAACCACGCAAAGTCACTCCAATGGGCAAACTCTTCCCAAAACCAAGACCAAAGATAAGGCTACGTTAGTGGCACAGTTGGAAAGTCTTAGAGAACAGGTCAGTAATGTTGAAAAATTGCTTGAAGGAAAGTCCTCTGGTGCCTCCGACAAGATTGAGCTTCTGGACAAACGGAAAGAAACGCTTATTTTTCTGCAAAAAGATGGGAGATGCTTCAATTTTGGAATCTGTTCATGGCACGCTACTACCAGAAAAGATCCCTTCCTGTTGCATATGGTGGACGATTTCAGAAAGTTGAAAAAGTCTAAGAAACTGAAGGATGCACTGGCTGGAAAACGGCCCAGAAGAGCGGTGACAGGGCAAGGAAGTGATTTACTGGAGAGACAGATAAGCTTGAAGAAGCAAATTGTTTCTCCAAATTATTACAAATTCAATACCGATGCGAAGGACCTGAGTGGCTTGATGTCCAGTATGGTGAGGCTGATGCCTTCGCAGAATATTGTTTGGGGTAATCTGAGACATTTCTTCAAGTATTTGGTGCCTTTCTATCCCGTTATTGATGAAAAAGAGTTTTTGGAGTCCGTGCAGAGGATTTTGAGTTATAGCGAGGAAGGCAAACCTGACCTGAAGTTTAGCAAGAAGACGGACCCTATACTGATTTGCACGTTATTGGTTATCATCAGAATGTCATACCTCAATCTGTTGTTGAAGTCTCACAGATTGGTGCCGTTGAATGGCGATGAACAGACGTTATTGGCTTGCCCAGTTGAAGCAAATGTCATCAGCATTGCTCATGCAACCCTGGAGCACTTCAAATTTCTGAGAAAAACAGGAATCGAAATATTGCAGCTGCTCGTTCTTTTGAGATACTATTTCAAAAACGCGCCTGAAGACGGAGATGGTGGTGATGGAGTAGATTCTATGGTCTTTATAGGGACTCTGATCAACTCAGCTACTGCCGTTGGAGTTCACAGGGACCTAGTAGCTAGACCATCTACTTTGAAAATTGGCAGTTCCCAGGATCAACTGAGATTTACGCAGAAATGGAGGAAAATATGGTGGCTGGTGGTGGTGACAGATATCAGCCAGAGCTTGAATCTGGGCTGCCTTCCCATTACTGACGATGAAGAATGTGACACTAGTTTGCCAATTTTTGATCCTGCCTCTGCCAACGTTGAGAACTTGCGCTCAGAACAGGACGGTATAGCTCGAATCAGAAAACGAGTAGGCTTTCACCCGATGTTGAGACGGTTGATGAAGCTCACCATGAGTTTGAAGATATGTCCCACTGTCTCACAGCTTACGACAGAAATCACGATTTTGAGCGACTACTTGAATAAAAACGTGGATCCTCATCTAAAGGTTGAAGGAAACGAGTTTCTCGCCGCTGAAGAGAGAATGCTTGTCATGGAAGTGGGATGCTTCATATTAGCAATGGAACATTTTGTTTTGCTTCACCATGAGACTCAAAGAGACACCCGGAACTTCTTCGACATGTCCATAAAAGTCTTGGGCAGATCACTACATATCCTCAAAGTTGCCATGGGGTTGTTCAAGCTGTTGTTTTCGAAACTGGAAAATTTCAACTTCCCGCTTCTGTCTTCGTGCTCCATCTGTTTGGGCAAAGTGACTCAATTTTTTATTTTCGCCCTGGTGAGAATCAGAATCATAGAGCAAAAGGTGAGATATAATGAAATCAAGGTTGATCTGGAGAAACATGCTTTGCTGATTGAGCTCTCTAAAACACTCTATGCTAGGCTCAAGGCTATCACCAGCATCTTTATGCTTTTGAGTGACACTTACTACAGCGCACTGAAGGCACACGCGCAACTTTCATTTGTTTTGGACTGTCTCAAAGGCGGCGATTACGTCATCAAAGAAGACACCAGATCTCTTCACAACAACAGCTTTGAAGACCTGAGTGCGGGACAACTACGAACGATGCTTACACTCATTGATTCCGTGGTCATAGACGACCCCAAAGAGTTTGCCTTCCACAATCTCAGCGTGCAGCCACTAACTCCATTTTCTCCGGAAACTGACATGTTCCAGGAACCGTTGAAAAAAACCATTTTAGACCAAGCAGGTCTTCCTACGCTAAGGCCTGACGAGGCGCGTTTCTCCGAAAGCGTCGATTCTTTTAGCAGTGAAGCTGACATATTGGATTTCCTTGATTTTTTCAATGAGGATTTCGAAGCTCCCAAATTCGCCCCCGAATTCGGGTAATTCTTGGACAATATAGAAGAAACCATAGCAATTTGGCACCCATCGGAAGATGACCTATTTTTAATGCAACTGTTGACATGCATGAACCGAGGCCCGTTGCTGACAAAGCATTTCAACGGTTTCTCAGACGGTAGTGCGACACCCACCGAAGGCCTCGGAGAGATTGATTGGAAAGCAATATAAAACCCGAGACTTTGCGACTATGCATTCTCTCTCCCTGATATTCTATATCAATTCTCTTAGTAACTATGTCTTTGCCAACTTCTACCAAAAGAGCTTATCTCGCTGTTGCCCCAGTTAAGGAGACGAACCTTGATTCGGCCTCTCCTGACTCCACCTTCAAGGTGGAGACCGTCCCAATTGACTTGGTGAACTTGAAAGAGGGCCAGATTGGTGTGAAATCGCTTTTTTTCTCCAATGATCCTACTCAAAGAGGCTTCATTCAAAAGGGATTGAAGCCCGAGGATACATATGCGATTCCGATTCGTGAGGGTCAGACCATGAGCACTTATGGTCTTTTTGAGGTGGTGAGCTCGAAATCGGACAAATTCCAGGTTGGTGAATTGGTCTATGGAAACGCATTCTGGTCGGAATACTCGGTTATTTCGGAGGCTTCTGTCTTCAACAAGGTTGACCCAAACGCGGGTTTACCTCTGCATTACTTCATGGATATCGTTGGTCTGACCGGTCTCACCGCATACTTCGGCTTGCTCAAGGTCGGTAAGATCACCTCTGAGGACACCGTCGTAATTTCAGCTGCCAGTGGTGCCACTGGTTCTAACGCAGTTCAGTTTGCGAAAAAGATTTTCGGTGCCAAGAAGGTGGTTGGTATCACTGGTACTGACGAAAAAGCCAGGGCTGTTGAGGCTTTGGGAGCCGATGTTGGTCTCAACTACAACGACAAGGACTTTGCGGAGAAACTGGCAGCTGCCACCGACAAAAAGATCGATCTGTACTACGACAATGTCGGAGGATCCATCTTGAATACCGTATTGCGCTCCATGAGCATGTGGGGAAGAGTCGTTGCCTGTGGCTCCATCGCTGCCTACAACGATACATCTGCCAACGTTTTTTCCAACTGGGGTGCTGTAACTGTCAAGAGATTGACAGTTACGGGGTTCATTGTCATTGACTTCAAGGAGAACTTTGGTGAAGCTATTCAGGCTATTATTGGTGGCTTGAAGGCAGGTACCATCAAGTATGAGCATGGAAAGCCAATCGATCTCGTTGGACATTTCGAGAAGGTACCAGAGACCTGGGGATTGCTGTTTGACAGCAGCAAGAAGCCATTTGGAAAGCTGATCTCGAAGATCGCTGAACTCTAGGTAGGAAATACATATCAAAAATACCAAAAATATATCTTTACGTGTCCCAACCGTCTCCGATAAACCGGGAGTGCCGTAGCAAGCAGAATTACTTCTTTGGGCTTATCTCAACGCCGGGTGCCCCACCGGTTTCTCAGACGGGCTTATGCGTTTGAGCTGAAGGCTGCCATATTTTGGCTGCTATCATATATTGCTGCTTACCATTTCATGGATAACTTTTTTGTTTTTTTTATTTCTAGTCTTTGGAATCAAGAATCTGGTTGATCATGGCCCCCTCAGCAACTATTATTGAGACTGAGTCAATCACAGTCCTTCACGACGATCTCTCACACATCCGCTTTGCGAGTACCCTACAGTTCTATTTGAACGGTGAACTCCAAACGGTGCGCGATCCAGATCCTGAAGGAACTCTGCTCGACTACATCAGATCAGAAGCTGGACTCACTGGAACCAAACTGGGATGTTCAGAAGGAGGTTGTGGAGCCTGCACGATCACGGTAGCCCATTACGATGAGATCAAGAACAAAATCACTTACGAGGCCATGAACTCATGTATCATTCCCCTTATAGCTGTTGAAGGGAAGCATTTGATCACAGTCGAAGGCATTGGTTCCACCAATAACCCACATCCAGTCCAAGAGCGTATTGCCAAATACCATGGTTCTCAGTGTGGTTTCTGTACGCCTGGTATCGTGATGAGCATGTACTCATTGCTTAGAGAGAAGAATGGTCATGTTTCCAAAGAGCTGATCAGCGAGGCTTTGGACGGAAATCTTTGCAGGTGTACCGGATACATGCCAATTATTCAAGCCTGCAATAGTTTTGCGTATGACAGCGATAACTACAATAAGGCCCAGTTGAAGCCGGGGTCTGTGACTGCATGTTCCAAGGGCGCTGATTGCTGCCAGAATAAGAAGAATGGTGCCAAAGCTGAGCCAGAAGTGGAAAAAGTTGAGGTTTGTGCTAGGGGAGATTCCTGTTGCAAGAACAAGACTATTGAAGCTAATGGCGTAGCTGAAAGTGAAGCCAGTGGCTCTACCCATGACCCTTCTAATGAGATCGACGTCAACGCCCTGTTCACACCCAACGGACTCCCATTAAAGCCATACAATCCCAAGGATGATCTTGTCTTTCCCGCAAAGCTCACCAACTACAAGTTGAAACCTATTTTCTACGGAAACGAGCATAAAGTGTGGTTCAGACCAACCACCAAGCAAGAGTTGCTTGAGATCGTTGCCAGCTACCCACAATGCAAAATCGTTTCGGGAGCGTCGGAAGTTCAAGTGGAAATCAAAATGAAAGCCGCAGACTATAACGTGAGCATTTTTGTGAATGATATCGCGGAATTGCGGACTTGGGAGTACATCGAAGGGAAAGGTCTGCTGGTTGGTGCCAACATATCTGTCTCGGAATTGGAGTACATTGGTGAAGATCTAGCTGAAAAGCTTGGAAAACACACCAAGGGTCAGGTATTTGAACATATGACAACTCAATTGAAGTATTTTGCAGGAAGACAGATCCGAAATGCGGCTTCTCCCGCAGGAAACATCGTGACAGCGTCACCAATATCAGATCTGAACCCGGTTTTGGTGGCCTGTGGAGCTATAGTCACATACGAACAGCTTGACCCTACCGGAAAGGTCATCAGTGGTGAACTGAACATGAACGATTTTTTCATTGGATACAGAAAGCACAGACTGCCACAAGGAGCCATTGTGACGTCCATTTTCATTCCTGAAACGAGACCCAACGAGTTCATCCACAGTTACAAACAGAGCAAGCGCAAGGATGATGATATTGCTATTGTAACTGCTTGTATTCGGGTGAAGTTGGACTCTGAGGGACTGGTTGAAGACTCAACACTTGCGTATGGTGGTATGGCTGCTATGACTGTACAGTCGAAACAGACCCAAGAAGCTATCAAGGGCATGTCAATCTTTGACCCAAGCTTTCTGGAGATTGCCGTTGACAATCTGGACAAGGATTATCCGCTCGGGTTTGGCGTTCCAGGTGGAATGGCCACATACAGAAGGACGTTGACATTCTCGTTTTTCTACAAGTTCTGGCAGTACATGCTTGCTGGGTTCAACAGTTCCCACCCGTCTGCAAAGGCCCTTCTGGAAGTTGATTCCAATGCCAAAGTCACCAGAAACAAGCCTGAGGGATGGCGAGACCTGGAAACGCCTTTTGAGTATGAAGTTGTGGGCAAGTCAAACCCCCATCTCTCTGCCATGAAGCAGGTCAGTGGAGAAGCCGTCTACACCGACGATATCCCTCCGCAGCACAAAGAGATTTTTGGTGTCCAGGTATTATCTACCAAAGCCCATGCTAAGGTGCTGTCTGTGGATTACACCGATGCCTTGACCGTGGAAACTGTAGTAGGGTACATCGACATTGACGATTTGCCTAACAAAGAGGCCAACTTGTGGGGTCCACTTCCTTTTGGAAAGGAGCAGTTCTTTTCAGACGGGGAAGTTTTTGTGGTTGGTCAGACCATCGGTGTGGTGTTTGCTACCAACAAAGAGCGTGCGGCTGAGGCCTCCAGACTCGTGAGAGTGGAATATGAAGAACTTCCTGCCATTATCAGTGTTGAGGATGCTGTTGCACAAGAGTCTTTCTTCCCTGATTCAAGAATCACAGAACTGGGCGACTGGGAATCTGCCTTCAAGAATTCGAAGCATTTTTTCGAGGGAACTATCCGTTTCGGTGCTCAGGAACACTTTTATTTTGAGACCCAGGGCTGTCTAGTCATCCCCGAGGAAGATGGTGAAATCAAAGTGTATGCCTCCACTCAAAATCCCACCGAAACGCAAGAATACGCAGCCCAGGTAACTGGCGTTGCTGCGCACAAGGTTGTGACGCGTGTCAAGCGTTTGGGCGGTGGATTTGGTGGCAAGGAGACCAGATCTGTTCAACTGTCTTCGCTGGCATGTGTTGCTGCAAAGAAGTTCAACCGGCCAGTAAGAATGTCGTTGTCGAGATACGAGGACATGCTAACCTCTGGACAAAGACATCCATTCCTTATGAAGTATCGCGTTTCTCTTGACGAAGACCTGAAGTTTACTGGACTGGATACAACTCTTTATGCCAACGGAGGCTGGTCTATGGATCTGACACGTGGTGTTATTGACAGAGCAGTCTTCCATGCGTGCAACTGCTATTATTTCCCCAACGTGCGTGTGGCAGGAATTCCCTGCAAGACCAATACTGCGTCAAACACTGCATATCGGGGCTTTGGAGGGCCGCAGGGCATGTACCTCGCCGAGGGAATGCTTGTTGAGGTTGCAGAGAAACTGGGAGTTGATCCGGATGTGATTAGGCAGAAGAACTACTTCACTGCCAACACGGGCCAGATCACGCCCTACAAGCAGAAGGTGGATGACGACATCTCCGTGCGGGATATAGTGAAACAGAACTGGGAGGAGGCGAATTACGATCAGTTGAGGAAAGATGTGGAGGACTTCAATGCGAAGTCCAAGTGGATCAAGCGGGGTTTGGCACATGTGCCTACAATGTTTGGTGTTTCTTTTGGAGTCAAGTTTTTAAACCAGGCTGGTGCTTTGGTTCACATCTACCACGATGGGTCTGTCCTCGTGTCGCATGGTGGTGTTGAGATTGGTCAAGGTCTTTACACTAAGATGACCATGATCGCTGCTCAGGAACTGGGAGTGCCCATAGAGAAGGTGTTTATTAGTGAGACCTCCACCCAGGTGGTTCCCAACACATCTGCCACGGCGGCTTCGGCTGCATCTGATTTGAATGGTATGGCCATTGCAAACGCCTGCGAAAAGCTGAACGAGCGACTGAAACCAATCAGGGAGCAATTGGGTCCTGATGCCACATTTGACGAGGTGATCTCAACCGCATACCACGAGCGAATCTCGCTGAGTGCTACAGGCTTTTACAAGACTCCCGACATCGGTTATCTGTTCGGCGATCCCGATCCTGCTCCTGCATTCTTCTACTTTACCCAGGGATCTGCAATTTGCCAAGTGGAAGTTGACACACTGACTGGAGACTGGTCATGTCTAGAGGCCCATATTAAGATGGACATCGGCAGACCTATTAACCAGGCCATTGACTATGGTCAAATTGAAGGAGCATTTGTACAAGGAATGGGACTTTTCACCATGGAACAATCTCTATGGTTCAGACACAACGGTGCTCTTTTCACCAGAGGTCCTGGTAACTACAAAATCCCAGGGTTCAGAGACGTACCGCAGAAGTTCAGGGTGTCCATGCTGAAGGACCGTGATTTCAAGCACCTCAAGACTATCAAGTCGTCCAAGGGAATTGGTGAGCCTCCTTTGTTTTTGGGAAGCTGTGTGCAATTTGCCATCAGAAATGCGATCAGCTATGCCAGAAGGGACAACGGGTATGTCAAGGGTGCCGCAGGGCTGCCAGTGCAGTCTCCTCTAACCAGCGAGAGGATCAGAGCGTCAATTGGAGACATGCTAGTGAAAAAGGGACTGGTTGTTCCTAAGAACGAGAATGAAAGGGATTTTTTTATCGAAGCATAGATTGCGTTAATAGTGAAGAAATAATAAGACTGATTGACATAAGGTAAGGATTGTAAAAAAAACATCTGGTGATGGGATATCTGGTGTTTGAAAGGCGTTGTAGAAGGTGTTTTGAAGGGTGATTTGATAAATATCTCAAACGTCATGTAGCAAGCCTTTGATGATATTTTTTTCCTATTTTAATTTTTTACTTTTCCGCTGTTTTTGAGCCTTGATTTCAGTGCTTTATCAAACCTCTTGACACTTTCCATCTAGCCTCTTGAGTAGATCCCCCCGCCATCACGTCAATGGAAAGTCCTAACGATTACCTACGCAGCAAGAATTTACACGAGAGAGTCTTATCCAAAATCTCCTAATATCTCAGACCTATTCAGAGCCTTTATACCCTAGCCCTCACTCACGAACACACTCCTTGACCGAGTCGAAAGCCGCACCCGGACTGAATCAAGACGTCACCTTCCTCCACCTTTTATCAAAACTCATATTAATTACCAAGATCAAGCCACAATATCGAATGCACCATAAATTTTGCCAAATCCAGTTTGTGCCTTTTTTTTTACCCCACTCCCCTTCAGTTCTGCGTCTCGATTTGTAATGGCATGTGAATCTAGAAGGGCGTGTCTTCGGCCCGAGTCAATAGCCTACGGCTGGACCGCAAGGGAGGAGGTAGCCGGCTGGAAATGTGACAGAAGCCACGAGGGCGCATTGAGTTATTGACTAATGAAAATGACAATTGCCAAAGAATCCGGCCAATTATCTCGTTTTGAAAGCCAATTCCGTCACTAGAACCCAACATTATTAAGACGTTTGCTAAAACACCTGACAAATTTTATTCAAGTCGGGCCCAATTACCATGATTGCTATCGTGGGGTAGTTGCTCTCTTAGCTTAGTCGTGTAGCCGGAAACTTTTCCCTGACCAATTTGCGACCGCCTATTGGGTCGGCTGGTCTGACCTAATGCGGAGATGGACTGAGGATATAAATATGGCCACGGTTCCCTTCATCGTTTAGACCATACTACAAGCTGTTACGACGCAAAGCATTTCATTTGGTTGTTTTTTAATCTCAATTTGCAATGTCTGGCCCACCTACGTACACAACATCACAGGGTTGTCCCGTGGCACACCCTTTCGCGACCGATCGCGTTGCCATCAACACCAAGAATTACAAGACTGAACAAGCACCCACGGGCCCGCTATTGTTACAAGACTTTACTCTGATCGACTCTTTGGCTCATTTTGACAGAGAAAGAATTCCCGAGAGAGTGGTCCATGCCAAGGGTGGTGGAGCCTTCGGATACTTTGAGGTGACAGACAACATCACTGACCTGGTTAGCTCCAAGTTCTTGGACACTGTTGGAAAGAAGACAAAGTCATTTGTGAGGTTTTCCACTGTTGGTGGTGAGAAGGGTTCGTCTGACACTGCCAGAGACCCAAGAGGTTTCGCCATTAAGCTTTACACCGAAGAGGGAAATCTGGACTGGGTGTACAACAACACTCCCATTTTCTTCCTGAGGGACCCATCCAAGTTCCCCCATTTCATCCACACGCAGAAGAGAAACCCACAGACCAACCTGAAGGATGCCAACATGTTTTGGGACTACATCTGCAACAATCAGGAGGCGGTGCACCAGATCATGTACATGTTCACTGACCGTGGTACCCCAGTCTCCTGGAGACACATGAACGGTTACTCTGGACACACGTACAAGTGGTACAACGCCAATGGCGACTGGAAGTACGTTCAGGTACATCTGATTGCAGACGGTGGAGTAAAGAACTTCAACGTTGACGAGGCTGGTGAGCTTGACGGAAAGAACCCTGATCACAACACCCAAGATCTGTTCCAGGCCATTGAGAGGGGTGACAATCCTTCTTGGACCGCCTACGTTCAGACCATGACCCAAGAGCAGGCTTCCAAACTGCCATTCTCTGTGTTTGACCTCACCAAGGTTTGGCCTCACAAGGACTTCCCATTGAGGAGGTTTGGTAAGTTGGTGCTGAACGAAAACCCAAAGAACTACTTTGCCGAAGTTGAACAGGCTGCTTTCTCGCCTTCTCACACCGTCCCAGGCCAACAGGCTTCTGCCGATCCGGTTCTGCAATCGCGTTTGTTTTCATACCCAGACACTCACCGTCACAGATTGGGAACTAATTACGTGAACATCCCAGTCAACTGTCCTGTCAAGCCTACCTTTGCCCCTAACATCAGAGATGGTGCTATGACGACCACCGACAATTTGGGTGCCACCCCAAACTACGCCAATGCCTACGATCAGCCAGTTAAATATGCTGAAACCGCCAAGACCTCTAACAAGACTCCAGAGGAGACTTTTACGGGTGAGGTTGTCAAATTCCACTGGGGTGTTGTGGATTATGACTACGTCCAGCCAAGAGCGTTGTGGCAGAAGGTTCTGGCTAAGCAGCCTGGTGGACAAGCCACATTGGTTAAGAACTTGTCGGGTCATGTTGCCAACGCCAACGAGTACATTCAGGACCGGGTCTTTGAGTTGTTCGGCCGCGTTGACCCTAAGTTGGGTGAACAGTTGAGAGATGCGGTTCTCAAGATCTCTCCAAGAGGGGAGTCTGTGTCAAGGCTCTGAGAAGGAAGCTTACTGCGGAGATGTTTCCGGTTATTATTTTGTCTAGCAATTTAGGATAATAAGCTGATTCCATTTTGTGGATCCATAGAGTCTGAAATTTGCCCTGTAAATTGTAAGCAGGGTTGGCTATGTGTGTGTCCTGCCAAATTTCCATCTCGGTATTAGAGAAGAATCGGATAGAGGACATATGCGGGTTCACCAACATAATAGCTTGAGTGCTAAAAGCTGAGTTATAATAGTTTGTAGCTCGCTTAGCGATGTTCCTGTTTAATTCTGTTTCTTGTAGTTTCTTGTAATTTCTTGTACGGTTTGACTTAAATCTCCGTTGATGGCGGAATGGAAATCTCTCCATCCCAATCAGGCAATTAAAAGCGGGCGCATCGCAAGTACGAATGAGGAAGTTGGATCCCTACAATCGTATCACCCAGCGCTTGAAGCTGATATTTGACTCAGATCCTTTGCTCTTTCCATTCTCTTCTTCCACCAAAGAAACTCTCAAATTTCAAAACTGTACACAATGGACGCCCCAACAACAAACGCTCCCTCCTCCTGTTGCGGCTCAGGTGCCGTTTGCAAGTGCGGATCTGGCTGTCAATGCCCTTCTTGCAACACCACTAAGTGAGTAATTCGCTTTCTAGCCGAATTCCTAATATCTTGACTAACTTCAAAAGACTATAAACGGTATAGTTTTTGTCTTGTTTTCGCATTTTTATCGTTCTCAGCTCAAAATTCCAGGTTTTGAATAACCGTGCATGGCTTTTACAGTGCCCTGGCTGTTAGAATTGGCCATATCACTGTGAATGTGATTAACAAACCCCAGTCTATTGCAAGTTTGAGTTACCATATTGCCGCTGTTTGGTGATAAGTTTCGGCCACATATACGTCTTGGAGTTAACTTTCTTATCGCTCGCTTCAGTCGCTTCGTAATGTTCTCCAGCGTAGACTCACGATATATGGGAATATCGGATAATTTTCGAGATTTTCCGTAAACCAGAAATGAGTTTCCGTTCCATAAATATTATGGCGAGAATCTCTTGTTTGTTTATTCAATTTTTGACTCACAAAATTTGAATGTGTTGACCTTGACTCGAGAAAACGGATTTATGTCATTGAAATATTCGACCAGACCGTAGACCTACTATCCCACTGGTCCTTCAAAGTGGTGGGGAACCCTTTGACTTCAAAAAAAAAAAACGAAAAGATTGCAACACCCGAGTTTCGCATATGGTCTCCCACTATACTACTCTATCGAGCTCTTAGCAGCTTAACTACAGTTGATCGGACGGGAAACGGTGCTTTCTGCTAGATGTGGTCGCAACCGGGAAGAGAAGTTTCAAAGTAGTAGTACTCTTGGCAAACAGGACAATTGACCAGGGCCACCAAGAGAACGATCTCGTGCACCAATAATATTCAAACAGGGTTTTAAATGAGGGGAGTGAATATCCGTTCTCAGTGTAATCGCTGATTCAACCTTTGAAATAATCAGTTACTGAATACAGCCGCACCATAGGATACGGCTTCCCCACTGCCCCCCCAAATCGTCAAACCAGTAGTGGTCCTCCAAATTGCAATTTACGTGCCCCAACCAATTTTCCAAAGCCAATCAAATTCCGTTAAAACACTCCGTATAAGCAAGAGCTGGGATCCAATCCACAAAGTATTCTTGTTCAACAAAGCACACTGTCTCATATTTCCCCCAAACCACACAATGTTGAGGAAACAGGCGCCTTCTTTGAGACGCGGATTTGCTGCCGTTTCCGATAATGTCCAGCCAAACCGTGTGCACGGTGGGCTTAAGGACCAAGACAGAATCTTCCAAAACATCTACGACAAGTACGGTCGTGACCTGACGTCCGCGCAGAAGAGAGGAGACTGGTACAAGACCAAAGAAATCATATTAAAGGGTGACAAATGGATCATTGATGAGATGAAGAAATCCGGGCTCCGTGGAAGAGGCGGTGCTGGGTTCCCAAGTGGTTTGAAATGGTCCTTCATGAACCCTCCCGGATGGGAAAAGAACGTTGGCGCCAAGTATCTGGTTGTCAATGCCGATGAAGGTGAGCCTGGTACCTGTAAGGACCGTGAGATCATCCGTAAAGAACCCCACAAGTTGGTTGAGGGTTGTTTGGTTGCTGGTCGCGCCATGAATGCGACTGCTGCGTATATCTACATCAGAGGTGAGTTCTACAATGAGGCAGTTCAGCTTCAAACTGCCATCAACGAGGCATACAAAGCTGGCCTGATCGGAAAGAACGCTTGTGGATCTGGATACGACTTTGACGTGTACATACACCGTGGAATGGGTGCCTATATCTGTGGAGAAGAGACGGCTTTGATCGAGTCTATCGAAGGAAAGGCTGGTAAGCCCAGATTGAAGCCACCATTCCCAGCTGGTGTTGGTCTGTTTGGTAGACCCACCACTGTTACCAATGTGGAGACCGTTGCTGTTGCCCCTACCATCTTGAGAAGAGGTGGTGACTGGTTTGCTTCCTTCGGTAGAGAGAGAAACTCGGGAACCAAGCTGTTCTGTGTTTCCGGCCACGTCAACGAGCCATGCACATTCGAGGAGGAGATGTCCATCCCGCTTAAGGAACTGCTGGAAAAGCACTGTGGTGGTGTTGTCGGTGGTTGGGATAACCTTTTGGGTGTCGTTCCAGGTGGATCTTCGGTGCCAATCATGCCCAAGGACACATGTGAAAACGTGCTTATGGACTTTGATGCCCTGAGAGATGTTGGATCAGGTCTCGGAACTGCTGCTGTGATTGTGATGAACAAGTCCACTGATGTTATCAGAGCCATCCAGAGATTCTCTGCCTTTTACAAGCACGAGTCCTGCGGTCAATGTACTCCATGCCGTGAAGGAACCACCTATTTACAGAAGATGATGGACAGATTCTACACAGGACAGGCCAAGGAGAGAGAAATTGACATGATCTTCGAGCTGACTAAGGAGATTGAAGGTCACACTATCTGTGCCCTTGGTGATGCTGCTGCATGGCCAGTGCAGGGTCTGATCAAGTCGTTCCGTCCGGTCATGGTTGACAGAATCAACGAGTTCCAAAAGAATAACAACGTGTCTTACGGTGGATGGCTCGAGGGAGGAAAGGTGAAGGATGGAAAGGTTGTTGGGTCGCCAATCCCAGCTGACGCTTTCCACGGACACCATTAGAGGAGCCCACGATGCATTTGAAACACCGATAAAGAATATAAGGAAGAAGTTTAGACTGAAAAGACGTTGAAGAGGTTGGTGTCACGGAAGCAGTCATCATACTAAGTTATAGTGAATTGAATATTTACAAAATTTGAAGTGACTGTAGGCGTTTTTAGAGCTCGGTATATATGTGGCCGATATGCTGCTAAACATTGCGAGCTGGATTTACGGCGTACAACGAGGATTATCAGAAAAAAGAAAAAAGAAATAATCGAGTTCGACATCTTTTCTGATACTTAGAGATTTTTTGCGTCTTGAAAGCCCTATTATCAAAACTAACAAATTACATTTCGCAAACTCCCCATTGGTACGAGATACATATTTCAGGTGGCTTGTGAATAGATGCAATGGCTGTGCTATTCAACACACTACCCGCCCCTGTAGGCGTAGGGATTTTCACTTCCGCGCTCCGTTACGCTTTTTGGACCTAACATGAAATTTCTTCGGAACAGCTACAGTCAATACAGACTTGCCATAGTGGTATTGTATTGCTTACGAGTCAAGAACAAAGGTATTTGTACCTAAGGTTTATCCATAATCACACTATATTCATATTTCTTTCAAGTCGGCGCAGGACTTCCGGAGCGCCTTCATCTGAACAGCACGCATTTTGGGTTTGAGATACTGCCGCTTGTTACATTATAGATTTCTTGAAGAATGAGATTTTCCAAGGTTTTAGTGAGCCTTGCATTGATATCTCAGGCTATTGCGGTGTATCCTCCACCGGTAGGCAGCAACGACGGTGATGTTGCCATCACTGGTTTTGGCGCAGGAGCTGCTTCCGGATCAGACTCGAGCAGCTTGGTTTCCGAGAAGGCTGAAGCTTCTGATTCGAAGGTTTCTGGGATTGGCGAGAACAGTGGCTCCATTTTGAGCTCCCAGAAGACGCCTCTTGAGGGACAGGACCAAAAAGCTGAAGGAGGCTTTAACGCGTTCCTCATGTCAATTTCCATGATTATAGTCTCGGAGATCGGCGACAAGACCTTTTTGATTGCTGCGCTTATGGCCATGAAGTCGCCGCGTTTGGTTGTTTTTACTGCCGCGTTCTCGTCATTGGCCGTCATGACTGTCCTCTCAGGAGTTGTAGGACACACGTTGCCAGCCTTGATCCCCCAGAGATTAACCCAGTTTCTTGCAGGTATCTTATTTATCGTGTTTGGTGTCAAGCTATTCAATGAAGGACTTGGAATGTCCAAGGAGCTCGGTGTTGGCGAGGAAATGGCTGAGGTAGAGGAAGAAATTGCTTCTTCCGCGATCAACAGTCGCATGAACGCCAGCGAACTGGGCAAGGAGTTCAACGAGCCGGCCTACAAGAAGGTCTTGGAGAATGCTACCAATCTGGTTTCGTTTGTGCTCTCCCCAAGATGGGTCCAGGTGTTCGTCATGACGTTTTTGGGTGAATGGGGAGACCGCTCCCAGATCGCCACGATAGCAATGGCTGCTGGTTCAGACTATTGGTTCGTCATTCTCGGAGCAATTATTGGACACGGCCTGTGCACTGCTGCTGCTGTGATTGGCGGGAAGTTGCTTGCTTCGAAAATCTCCATGAGAAACGTGACTTTGGGTGGTGCTGTTGCGTTCTTCGTCTTTTCCATCTTGTACTTCTACGAGGCTTCGTACAACACTGGAGAGTAATAATAGGACTTCATGTGAGGAGATGTGTGAGTGCTTGAGATACTTTGTGGACGCTAGTGTTGCGTCGGCAATGATGTCTCAACACCGACCATTCATAACTGGAGCTGCATCGTCAGCAAGATGATATAAACCGTTTATGAGTATACCGCAATGTTGGAAATTTTTTTTGGACCTTTGCACTTGATGGCCAATAATAACCCGAAGGTGATTGTGATAAGAAAAACGAAGAAAAAAGATTATTATTGGTAGTAATAGATTGCAACAAAGAAGAATAAACAAAATGAACTCTTCAGAAACGTCACTGGGGTGCGGTTTTGAGCTCGTAAATTGAGTTTCACACGCACGCATACGCGTATGTTTTGCCTTCACAATGTGCGTTACTATTTCCTAGTTTTGATACTCCAGACATTCTCTCTCGGTTTCCTCTTGTTAATTTTCGTGGTTTTTGTTAAACTACACAACCATGTCCACAAATGAAGACTCCGTGCGAAAAAGGAAGCTCAAGGTGGTACATGATGAAAACGACAGATACGACGGAAAGTCGCACAGAAGAAAGTATGTCTTTGCGCCCAGGGATACTCTTTCCAAGACCGCGCCTGCTCACAACAAAGAAGTCATACTTAAAGACGCTGATCCCAATGTGCTCATAAACGAGAATCGTATTGTGGAGGAGGCGGATTATTTGTTCCCAGCTAATATCGGATCTAGTCAGAATGGAGGTGAAGAAAGGGTGGTCTGGGAGCCCGCTAGCAACAGAAAAAAACGGGCTGAAATGGCGGCTAGGTATCAGGAGTTGAGTGAGCAGCGATCCAGTAGTCTGCCGTCTTCCCCGCTAGCAGATAGGACATTTCCAGAAGCAATCCTGCCGAATCATGCTTTGGACCCGGCATTGTCGTCTATGGTCAAAAAGTACAATTCCAGCGTGGAACTTCTGCCTTCGCCCGGAGTAGGTAGATCGAAGTCCGACCTTGGAGCCACACCACTTTCGAAGATACGAACAGGGTTTGGATCGAAAAGATCCTCGTCCAAGCAAGATACCACGAATGATGGGACCCCGCTTTCCATCCAGCTGTATCGAAGTTTGGGGCCTAATTCGAAGACACCTTATTCTCTGAAATACCAGGACTCTCAGAAAACGCCATGTGCAAATTCCACCCCTTTGGCTGCAAGGGAGCCCAAGAAAAGCGAGATGTTACTCGATGACTTGGAAGATATGTTTGGTGATAGTTTCGAAGAGCAATCCTTTGCAAACGAACTAGAAGCCAAATCTGCCCCAGAGCTTGAAAATGTGGATATATCTGTGGATGGTGAGTTTAGCGACTTGGATATGGATGAGCTAGATGAAATTATGGGAGTGAATCCTAGCGCTGCTCAAAATGAGGTAAACCTTACGCCACAGCAAAAAGCTGACTCCAGGGACGAGGATGATCTCCTCGACGACGACGACGACGATGCGTATGACGAGCTTTTTGGCCAGTTAGCTGTTTCCAAAACCGGACCTAATGAGCTGGCAACAACTGAGACAAATCTTGCGAAGTCTGCATTACAAAAGGATTCGCTATATCGATTCGTGATCAAGAAAGCCTCCAGGTCATTTTACAACATTGACGGAAAGCAGAAAGAACAGGTTGACCTCACTGTCATGGATTCTTCCATGCGCATGAGAAGGGTACATGTTCGTGATTTCTGGGCTGAACTTGACTTTGAAGAGAACGATGTCATTCACGTTATCGGAACTATGACTGGAGTGGTAGACAAAACCCAAAACATTCTAATTTGGAATCCTGATGAACTTCTATCGGCCACAACAATAAGTGAAACTCTACGATGCCAGAGAAAATCGGTGATCAAAAGCAGAATATCGTTTCCGGGAGAAGCAAACATCCCAATCATAGTTGGACATTCAATCCATTCAATTTTCCAGTCATGCTTGCTAACGGGAAACACATCCGATGGTTTCATGTATTCTGAAATGGAGAATCTCTTGGATCAGTTTGAAATTGCGATTCTCAGCGCAGATCACACTAAAGAGTATGTGCGGGATCAGTTAAAGGAACACATCCCGTTCGTGAAACAGTGGGTCGATCATAACCTGAACAGGACAAACGGACTGAAGCCTCCGCCTTTTGGCATTTCGAAGGTTGTCGATGTGGAGGAGATCATCTGGTCCCCAGAATATGGGATTAAAGGATACATCGATGTTGTCTTGGAGGCGAAGCTGGGTTCTGGAAAGAATAGCATAATCCCAATGGAAATCAAGACAGGAAAGGACCATATCTCTCATCGGGCTCAAGTCTCATTGTACCAACTTCTCATAAAGGACAGATACGACGAGGATCCAGATTTCAGTCTTCTGGTATTCACGAAAACCGCAGAGACCCTGACGAATGAGAAAAATCTATCCGATCTCAAGATGTTGATAAATTTGAGGAACAAACTCTCCAAGTATCACAAAGCAAACTCGAGAGACCTTCCTCCTCTTGCAAAATCCATAAGTTGCGAGCGATGTGAGGTCAAGGATGCCTGTATGGTGTTCAATAAGCTCATGGAGTTTGGGACTGAGTCGGAAGCTGGCCTTCCAAACGGAGAATACACAGATATCACAGGACACTTAAACCTGCCAGCACATTCCGAATTTTTCAACAAGTGGGATGACTTGCTATCAAAGGAGGAATCTCTTTTTGCCAGAATGAAGAAGGATTTGTGGTTGTATTCATCAACAGAAAGAGAGAACAGTGGAGGTAATTGTGTAGGAAACCTGGTGATATCAAGCAGGTACGAGACCTCTGAATCTGGAGATGCCTATTATTATAGGTTTGAGAGAAAATATGGCCCCGATTTGCTTTCTTCTCCATTCACCAAAATGGATATGGTTCTACTCAGTGGGGAAGATAGCCGGTTTGCAATAGCTACTGCTTTTGTGGACTCTGTGAGCACCAACAGCCTGGTTCTCAGAATGAGCAAACAGTTACCAACGAGGTCGCTATCGAAACCGTCCACTCAATCCCAAAGCTCTCTCTCCACGAACAAAGTGTTCGCTGTTCCTGAAGAGCTTCAAATCCGGAAATACAGAATAGACAAAGACGTAATTGGCCATGGATTCAGCATGGCTAGATTCAACATCATGAACCTATTTCTGCCTGATGGAGATCAAAAAAGAAGACAGGTTGTTGTTGAAGGGTTTAAACCACGGTTCATGAACAAACCACTTAAATACGATTCCGCCTTGAAGGCTGCATTCAACGAGGATCAGGTCAAAGCAATGGACAAAGTATTGTCTGCAGAAGATTATTGTCTCGTTTTGGGCATGCCTGGAACAGGAAAGACGACGGTCATTGCTCAGATAATTCGAAGTCTTGCACGAAACGGGAAAACGATCCTCTTAGCTTCATATACTCACTCAGCCGTGGACAATATACTGATGAAACTACTTGATGATGACATTGATATTTTGAGAGTGGGGAACCCGCACAAATTTCATCCGAGCATCTCCAAGTTTGCACTGAACAGTTCTGCTATACAAAAGCCCAAAGAGTACAGAGAAGCTTTACTGCAGCCTCAGGTTGTTGCGGTGACATGTTTGGGACTAAATGATGCTGTGTTTTCGCACCGTCAGCAGTTTGATTACTGCATCATTGATGAGGCGTCGCAAGTGTCACTGCCTGTTTGCATTGGACCCTTGAGGTTTTGTGATAAATTTGTTCTCTTCGGTGACCATTTCCAATTACAGCCTCTCGTTATGAGTCCAGAAGCCAAAAAGGGAGGTCTTGAGGACTCGCTATTCAGATTGCTCAACGATCGTCACCCGGAATCGGTCGTCGAACTGACATATCAATACAGAATGTGTTCTGAGATCATGCTCATTTGCAACACTCTCATCTACAATGGACTGCTTAAGTGTGGAAACTCCGATGTGGCCAACCAGGTGTTCAAAATACCTAGCAAGCAAAACCTGGCTCGACTGATTCCAAGAACGGAGGGTACATCGATGTGGATGGACCATGTTTTTGAGGAGAAGAACAAAGTGATATTTCTTGATCATGACAAAGTTCCAGCCGTTGAGGTTGCTTCGGGAGATAAGATCGAGAATTTGACAGAGGCTTCTCTTATTATTCAGATTGTCCAGGCTATGCTGGCTTGTGACGTCGAGGAAAGCTCTATTGGGGTTATGTCTTTCTATCGAGCACAGATGAAACATTTCAAAATGGCATTTTCTGACAACAAAGCGATCGATATACTGACTGCTGATCAGTTTCAAGGTCGCGACAAAGATTGTGTGATCATTTCGTTAGTCAGATCAAACGAAAACAACAACGCTGGTGATCTGTTAAAGGAGTGGAGACGTATAAATGTAGCCATGACTAGAGCCCAGTCCAAATTGATTGTGGTGGGAAGCGGCAAAATGATGAGGAGCATCGAGAAGTTTGGCGAGTTCATGAAGTTAATGGAATCCAAATCATGGATCTACGAACTACCAATCGGAGCGGATAAGACTTACAGGGGATTAGGTGACAAGTTCCAGTCTCCAAGCAGAAAAATAAGAACTGTGAGAAGGCCAATGGTTTCTCCAGACTCCAGGGCAGTGAGAAATAGCACAGTGATGAAGGATATTGCGGGGTCATTGTAGCTTTTGGGATGAAAAAAAATTAACGACCAGCATTATTTAATAGCATTTATAGATTCAAAATTATCATGAAATACAGTATAAAATTTCCGGCCATGCTGGTGAGGCTTTAGATGTGGCGCATTCCTGGCGGGCTGTGCTCATCGGGCTCGAAAGCACGTTTTCGGTTTTTGTCAAGTTCAATTGCGTCAAGACGAAGGGTTATACCAGCAAGCCTGAACAGGGTTCAAAGCCTAAGCTTTTAAAAAATAGAACAACATCAATAATGGCTTGCACTTGCAATTCTCACAACTCAGACTCGGTGCACTTGAGTACCGCTGTTGATCCAAACGATGTGTTGGTTACTTCATCTGACCCAATCCACCCAGCCAACCTGATTTGCGAACTGTGCAGAAGATTCTACGACAACGGCTGGGTCACTGGTACAGGCGGAGGAATATCTATCAGAGAAGAAGACAACATATACATCGCGCCCTCGGGAGTTCAGAAGGAGCGTCTGGTTCCCGAGAACATGTTCGTGATGGACCTGAAGAGCCAGGAATATCTCAGGAAACCATTGGCACTAAAGCCTTCGGCCTGTACACCTTTGTTCATGAGTGCCTACACAATGCGTGGAGCCGGTGCTTGTATTCACACGCACTCACAAGCTGCTGTCATGGTGACGCTTCTTTTCGACAAGGTGTTTGAGATCTCGAGCATTGAGCAGATCAAGGCCATCCCCAAGGTGGTGGAACCAGGAAACCTGTGGTACTCCGATAAACTGGTGATTCCCATCATTGAGAACACCGAGAAAGAAGAGGACTTGACCGATTCTTTGCAACAGGCCATTAAGGATTATCCTGGAACGACTGCTGTTTTGGTCAGGAGACACGGAATTTATGTCTGGGGTGAGACCGTTTGGAAGGCCAAGGTGTACAACGAGGCTATCGATTACTTGCTGGAGATTGCCGTGAAGATGAAACAGTTTGGGATCGAAACCGTGAAGGCAAAGGACTAAAAAGTGAACGAGATGATTGGAATGAAATAAATAACTACGTGTGGTTTTTTATGGGATATGACCATTGCTATTTTCATAACTAACTACCTAGTATACATACAGTACCATGTCATAATGGATTTTTAGTGCTCCTGAGTTGGCCACCATGTACCTGCTAATGTTAGTAATTGAACCTCTAAATGAAACCTTAAAAATTAGCTCCAACTCACCTGGCTCCAATCTATCTGATTTTCAACCTCCTCGTCTATCAACCCTACGCACACCACACTGTCCCCTCGTAGCACGTACAACCCCAGTTCCAGTTCTTGTGTGGCCTCTACCGGGTCAAATATACGCTCAACGGCTCCGGTCAATATGATATTGGTGCTCTGGTCAAATCCTTCCAGTTTTCCCTGAGTTGAGTTAGTATTCCATGATATTCAACTCGAACCACACCCGTAACTTACCACGATCAATCTGCCGTCCCCAGTAACCACCTTCACTTTCTCTGAAACACAATTAGTATAATAGCTTAAAGAGCCAATTTCAATGCATACCCACGTTGTAGAAACGTCTTTAGTCCCGACATGATGGTTGAATCTTGCGAAACCTCTTGGTGCTATGTGATGTGGTGTTGACAAGAATGAAGAAAGAAAGCTTGCACTTAGCTCATCGCCTGGCTTCCTTTCTGGGGAAGCCATTCGTAGCCAACTCTTCTTTAGAGAACAAGACTAGATTTAGCTGATATTGGGAAAAATTGGGATAATTATATTGGAACAAGCCAAACTTGTTAATTTATATTAGGCTCTACTATTTTTTCCCCGTTTTTCAGTGATGTTCTCACAAACGTTGGTCTTCAATGAGGGAAGCACGGATCTGAGTAGCGATGGGGAGGACGAGATTCAAGAGAATGCGACTATTACACAGACAAAGGAGATTTTGAGTCCACAAACTTCAGGATCTAAAACGCAAGAGCCGCAGTCCGATTCACGTTCTTTGATTTTGTGGGCAGCAAGTTTGGAGCTGGAAAGTATTGGACTCAAGAGGAACTCTTCCCTGCTGCAGAAGACCCTAGCAGATTCGTGCGATTCTTTGAACAAGATCTTGCGTGATATACAGAAGGGATTGGAAAAATGGAATCGACTCTCCAGTCAGACCGTTCAACAAAGTATGGTGACCTCTACCGTCCGAAAATGTGGATTGAAACTGACCTTACAGAACTCAATGCAAAGCTAGATGCTATTGAACAAGAAATTTCACATCTGAGAACTGAAAACTTGAGCCCCCAGAATCGCGGCATTTCTGCTGAATTCAAAGAATTCAAACGGAGCTCTGAGAAACAGCATGATGAGATTATGAGACAGCTCCAGGAGTTGCATTCGAAAATGGGGATGACTTCCAATTCCTCTGACCCAAGACAAAAGCCTCTAAAACCGATTCCAAAACCGGTTCCTAAACAAGCTGCGAAAAAGCCCATAGACAGGACAAAAATATCACACAGCGAAGGCCAGTCACAGAAGCGGATTTTGATTGACACCGCCGAGACCGAACACCTGTCTTTCAAACCCTTTATTTCAAAGCGAAAGACTCCAAAACAGGCCCCCAAAAGGCCATTGAACAGGAAGAAGATACCATACCACGAGGGTAAATCACAAAAGCGCACCCTGATTGAGACCACGGAAACTAATCACCTGTCTCGCTAGGTCAATTTTGATTCTGCAGTTGTGTTTCGTGGACCCACAACCTTTCTCGGCGAGTTTATCATAATAAAGATAGTACGATGGCATGTACCTATCGACAAACAATTGGACCTCTTCATCGGTCATCCCAGTGCCTTTGCTTTGAATGAGCGCATGCTCCTGCTGCTGCCTCCAATGATAGACATTGTCTATGGAGTCTGTTGTGATGTAGACAAAAGCATCGAACAGTTTCCACGTTTCTTGGTACTCTTTGAGCTTCGAATTAATAAATTCTATATCTTGCAGTCTAATTTTGTCAAATTTGGGGGATTTTTCACTCTTGATATTACTCCACATATTGGCCAAGTCTTCCGAGGTCTCAATGGCGGTGTATCCGGTGAACCAGCCTTCAAGAATCACCACGTCAACAGGTTTTGCCCCTATATGGACCCACTCAGAAATCGGGGCTCGATCTCCTCTTCCTTCGTGAGCAGACTTGTTGTAGCGTGGTATCGATATGTTCGGTAGCTTCTTTCTAAGCTTGCTCATGGTGTCGTTCATGAGCTCTATATCATGCGTGCCTGGAGGACCTCTTCCCGAGACGAGCCAATTGGTTGGGTTTTCAATTGCGAGCTTGAGTTGATCTTCGAAACTAAGATAGAAATCATCAATGGATATATCCACACAATGCAATTGGGGAAAGAGTTGTTGGAGTCTCTCTCTTAGGTGCGATGAAAGATAGGTCTTTCCTGATCCCTGGGGGCCACTCACTCCGATAACGATCAATTCATTGGTCAAGCTTTGTTTTTGAATTAAGGGTTGGAGGAATTTGCGCGCAATCTCTATGGTTGACATTGCTCTACGAACGACGTGAGTGCACCATCAATTGAAAAATTGGAACAAGATTCAAAAGAATGCAAAACTGGATCTTAGAAATGCGCGAGAATTTGGGTGGGCTGTGGGGGCACATGCAAAATCGCGTGGGGGACTCTAACTTTAGCTGACTTCAAGGTGCTTGGATGGCAATCTTGGATGCGGTAACTGACTTCCACGTTTTAAGATGATACCTTGTTTCATGGCTGATTGCAAGCTATTATCGTGTTCAGCTTAATCTATCATTTATACATTTTACCCCTTCACAGAGCCTTCAATTCCTGCAGTTTGCTAACCAGCTCATCCACACTTGATACCTTGACACCAGCAGAACGTGCAGGAGGCTCTTCAACCTTCAAAATTTCCAACCTCTCTTCGATGGTCACACCATAGGCATCGGGCTTGACGATTTCCAGAGGCTTCTTCTTTGCCTTCATCATTTTAGGCAAGGTGACGAACTTGGGCTCGTTCAATCTCAGATCCGTGGTGATGATCAGAGGCAGTTTAGCACGAATAGTCTCGGCTCCTCCATCAACTTCTCGCGTGACAGTCACAAAATCTCCTTCAACAACCACCTTGGACGCGTTAGTGGCTTGAGGCCAGCCCAAAAGACCAGCAAGCATCTGGCCAGTCTGGTTGGAGTCATCATCAATGGCTTGCTTTCCCAGAATCACCAAATTCGAGTCCTTTTGCTCAACAACCTTTTTCAGGAGCTTCGAGACCTGTAGAGGCTCAATCTCTTGTTCACCAACATCCACCAGAGTGGATGTGTCAACGCCTTTGGCCAAGGCAGTTCTGAGAATGTCTTGTGCTTTGGAAGGGCCGATAGACACAGCATGAATACTTTCTACAGCCTCTTTGTGAGCTTCCTTAATTTTCACAGCTTCTTCGACCTGGATATGAGTGTTAGTTGGGAACAAAAATTATATTCAGACACACCTTAGCCACTTACCGCAATGTCACAAAATGGATTCATGCTGAACTTCACACCCTTGGACTCAACACCGGTGTTAGTCTTGTTGATTCTGGGCTTCAATGCCGCATCAATGACCCTCTTAACGGGCACCAGAATTCTTATTTTTGATGACATATTGTGTGATGTTGACTGAAGAGTAGACTGGTTTCTTTGCAAACTGATTTTCGAAGAATGTGAACATCGGGTCTTTTATCGTGCAACCCTCAAGAAACACCGGGCCGGTTAAAAGCATCTAGCGTGGGGGAGGGACAAGTTATCGGATTTAAGAGAAATATTGTGTCAAGCAGAAGGTAACATGCGGCATAGCAACATTTTGCGATATTATTTCATTATTCTCCAGTTATTGAAAATTAAAAATATGTGTCTTAGTACACGTAACGAAACTCTTTGTTCTCTCTATCAGTAAGATCCAAAAATTCTTGGTTATCTCTGGTCTTGTAATCATCGCCCAAAGCCTCACGTTCAGCATCACGTTTCTTGTTCAAGTGAATTGCGTACCATCTCATGATGATAAGATCAATGGTGACCAGAAACATGATGATGATGATTGAGATCTTCGCAGGCAGATACCTCGGGGCATTTGCGGCGCGGAAAGTTTGGGGTGAGATGATATTTCCTGCACAGTAACCTATGACATTGATTGCATTGACAACAGACTTCTTAGTTGAACCAGCAACATTAGAAGACATCTGACCAAGAATGACGGTCCATCCAATAGGGACAGCTCCCTGTAGATAATAACCTGCCAAAGCTGTTTTCTTGTCACCAAGTGCCAATAGAAACGCGCCAACTATCGGAATGATATGGATCACAATACAGACCAGTAATCTCTGATTGTATTTTCTTCCCAGCCAAGTTCCACCTAGTAAAACCACAACTTCAACTGCACCTAGGGGAGTGACCAAAACCAAAGACTCCTGCTTGGTATATCCAAGACCAGTTAAGATAATTCCACCATATGACGTAGCAAGAGAGTTGGGGATATTGGCTGCAAACACCCAGAAAGCATACATCCAAGTGTTTGGGTCTTTGATGGCCTCGTAGAAATGCTCTTTCTTGAAAATATTGTTTCCAACACCCTGCTGGTTGTGACGGATATTCTCGATATGAATCCTGCGTTCTCTGTCAGATAAAAACCACGCATTGACTGGAGAATCTGGTAAAGCAAAGTAAAGAATAATTCCAGCAAAACTGGTGATACACCCTGTGATCAGGAACACTACCTGCCAGCCTGAAAGCAGAGCATTCACATCACCAGCAACATGCTTGCTGATACCGTAAGCCATACATCCACCGAATATCTGCGCAAACCCACACATACTGAACCAGATCCCAACACGGAAACCTTGCTGTTCTTTGGTATACCATTGCGAGGTGATGATGACCCAAGCAGGAACAACAGAAGCTTCGCAAATTCCCAAAAACAGCCGAACCAACATCATTCCCGTAAAGTTGGTGGTGGCAGCAAAACAACTCAACACTCCGCCCCATAAGAATACGGTCACAGACGTGAACTTAGCAACCGGTAGTCGTTGAAGCAGATACACTGATGGAAACTCAAACACCAATTGACCTGCAAAAAAAATTGTCGCAACCCAAGAGAATTGAGTTGTGGTGATACCGTTGTCCGCAATGATGCCTAACGATGAGGCATAGGAAATACATATTTTGTCCAAATACTGGAAGAAATAAATCACACACACCAAGGGCATGATGTGGAGATCTATCTTGCGTACCAGCGCTCTTCTTTCTTCATCTGTTACTTCAACTTTTTCCCCATCTAAAGCAAGTTTCAAAGCCTGATCGGCGGTCCCGAGCTCAGGAAGATCAACCAAGCTGTGGGTGACGCTGAGAGCGTCACTGGAACGTTTTTCAGACATTTCAAAATTGAGTATGGTCTATTCTCATTTAACCGACCAAGCGAACAATAGGAACATGGTATTTATATTGGTCAGAAGCAAAAATATCTCAAAAGTGTTATGTCTTAACACCGCGGAGTCTGCAATTGTGTGCATTTCATCACAAATGATGCAAAATAGTTTGTTACATCAAGCGTGCGTCACGAGGGATGTGGCTCCTTGACACTGCCGTCAAACGCAGGTGCGTCATACCGCCCTGTCCGCTGCAAGCTTTTGAATTCAAATCGCTTGTAAAAAAAAAGCTATGGAAACTGTGGCGGCCATCCCGCGGTGCTTAGCTTCGGACTAGGAGAAGCTTAGATGGTTTGCCAGAGATAAGTTCCGCGTACGTCTTCTCTAGATGCGCGCGAGCCACAGCTTACGCGGCTATTTGAAGAAATCATGCGTTTGCTCGGAGGTGTGTGCATGTCATAATATATAGCCGCATACATGAAAAGAAAAGCTACATGTGAATAATAGAATGCCAGAAGAACAGTTATACATTGTAAAAATGTTCAGCGAATGTCAGAAACTTATAATCTCGTTAAGAATAAAATAAAATAAAAACAATAAAAGCAGCACCGGTATCCCTTCAGGCCTTGTCTCTGCTGGTTACTGCCTTCATAATTATTTCACCATCCAAGGTGCTCATGATATCTTCAGGTTCAGACATAATGTTGTAGCCGCTGAACTTCCTTAGATCAACACCTCTGTGGAACATGATGTCAATCTCGTCGAAGGTTCTACCCTTCGTTTCAGGCAATCTGAGATAACACCAAGCCACGGAAATCAATGAAAGACCTCCAAATATAAAACCAGCCTTACCTCTGAGGTTTCCTTCGTTTTCATCAAGGATGTATGGCATGATAATGGAGAACACAAGCGCAGTTACAGATTGCATAGCAGTTGCAAATGCAATTGTTTTCCCACGTAGTTTCGTTGATGGAATCTCACCGATCACAACGTACATGACTGGACCAACGGTACACTGCCAAACAGCAGACCAAATCAAAACGAACGAAGCTTGGGCCCAACGTAAACTGTCATTGGTATCGTAAGAAGGGGACACGTCTAAGAAGCCAATCAAAAACAGAAGGACTGTGGCAATGGCCAAACCGCCTGTATAAAGGACTCTTCTACCAAAGTAGGAGAGTAAGAACCAAGACAAAACGGTGAAGACGAATCCAATAGCAGTGGATCCAAGAGAAAGAGAGAACGCATCACTATCCGCCAAACCAGCTTTCTCGAAGAAAAAAGTCGAGTAGTTCATGCAAAGGGGAATACCAGAAAAAATCTGAATGACATAGACCATTGAAGCAATTTCGGTTCTGATAGAATTTGTTCCGCGAAAGATATCTTTGTAAGAAGTGGTCTGTTCCAATTCTCTCTCCAAAGCATCAGTCTCTTGGATAAGAATAAGTCTTTGCTCGATTGCTTCGACTGGTTCATCCTTTGGGGCCAACTGAACCAAAACAGCTCTAGCGTCATCAATTCTGCCCTTACGCACCAACCAGTATGGGGATTCGGGAGCCCAGTAAATGAACGCAAGGATTAGTGTGGGCCAGATCCATTGCACGGCGAATGGGATCTTATACGCGTATCTATCGGTTCTGTCACTCATAGCATCCATAACACCGTTTCCGATAAATTGTCCAATGACGAATCCGATGTTGTTAGCAGCCTCCAAAACAGCTCTTATAGAGTTATGACTGATCTCGGAAGAATAAGTTGGTGCAATCAAAACACAACCACCCCATAGGATACCTGCAAGAATTTCGCCAGCGCATAGAACCTTCAGATTGGATGCAAAAAACTGCATGAAAACCAAAGCAATACACCCAGCTGCGGTAAAAGCATAAGTCCGCTTGCGTCCAAATGCTTCCAAAGGATACGCATATATAATAATCAAGATCTGTCCAATTGGAGTACCCATGCTAATGGCAGTCTGCCATGCAGCAGAGACTGCGTAGGTTCCATCGTCTTGCAAATCACCAAAATGATTGTTGAAAGAATCCAAACCATACAACGAACCAATAATCTGAGCGTCGTAACCTGCCATGATCAGACCAAAGGCAAAGATACCAGACCAGAAGATTTCCTTGGGGTATCTTCTGATGGCCTCTCCTACGCCCATTTGCTTCTCTATATGACCAGCATCAGCGGTTTTCTCTAGAATATCACGAATATTGTCATTGACCTGATCCGTTGTTTTAACTATATAAAGATTGGATTTTTCAACGGCGACATCCACCTCTTGGACCGCACTTGAGGCATTATCGGTAGTCATCTTCCGCTAGCGAATTTGGCCTTTCCAAGCTAAGCCAAAACAACGGATGTAAAATAATGAAAGCAAGAGAAAGGCGGAAGAAACCCGCATCCGAAACATCTGACCTTTATACATTTTATTCCCGAACCAAGATATTCAGGGCCGAGCGAATTTACTATTTCCTTATCTATTGCAATCATGCAGGTGAGAATGGAACCCGATAACAAATGAGTGCATATAACAAAAACATCTGCATGGGGTGACTTAAAACATGCTTTGACGGGAGTACATTATCATTGGATTTCAATCTGAGCGAAGAACAAGAACCACATCATACGGCTCACAGATATAGAGAAAAGCGATCAAAAACGTTAAGCTCAATTCTAAACCCAGTCCCACTAGGCTGTGGAGCAACCTTCACACTGTTAACCCCGCGGTTAATGTGTATTTGCTTCCGGGGCATCGGTACTGCAAAAGTTTGATTGGACGCCTGATCTGTTCTTTTTCCGGTTGCAATTACGCCCTATTCAACACTTGTGGAAGGATGCCTCATATATTACTATAATTCATCTTGATCCAGCGAATAAAACATCAGAGCATACCGAAAATTCGAAAATATCGGTTAATATTATGCAAATCGAATATTCGAGCTATCCGATAAGACAGATCAACTCTTCTGACCACCACGGGAAAAAGGATGTTTTTCATAACATCATCTTAGTGGCGTCAGACCCGTTCAAGGGACATTTGCCCCTGAGTGTTTTCGAGAAAACAGAGTATTTGGCCGCCGAGGCTTCACGGGATTCATGGCAAGAGTTCTACATCACCGACCCGTTCTCGGACAACGCAATTATATGTTCTTTCGGAATTATCCACAAACTGGGAAATCATAACAATTTGAACCTCCTTATTGGAAATGTTCATACGAATCCAAAATACCGCAAGAAAGGCTTCATCACCTATTTGATATCGGAAACCATCCAAAAATATGAATCTGTCGGCCAGCACCAGTTCAGCGGCGATAAATCTGAAAACAAAGATGCGGATCAGTTCATAAAAGAGAACATAGATACCAGCAAATACACATATTACTGGACCCTTTATTCGGGTGTTTCTGATTTCTATAAAAGATTCGGATTCGAGGCCATTGGAGAAATGGACTGGTTAACCTTCGATGAGCAAGATACCGGGTCTCTATCAACCATCGAGGAGGTGAAAGAGTATCCAGGTTCAGAAGTGATTTTGCTTGGTGACGAGGCCAAGTCAACCATTGGAAAATACTTTGAGGACCCCAAATATGCGTCTTATGTTAACGACACCAAAAACCCACTCCATAGAAGCACGAATTTCAGCGTGCCGATGATAGGTAAATTCTGGATTCGTGATCAAGTCGTTTGTGAGTATTACGATCGCAGGTATTCTTATGTGGGACTTAGGATTCTTCATCACGATATTGACAAAGAGACATTCGTGATCATTTCGGGTGCTGCAGAATATAATGGCATACTTGTTCACAAATTGTTCACGAATTTGTCAACTTCAGAATCTGAAACTTTGCATAAGGATCTTGAGCAGATTTTGAAATTTTTGAAGCTTGCTTATTCGGACTATGAAATGCTGAAATTCGATCATATTAAATCGTTCAAATTCATGATCACTACAGGAGATATTCATGCAAAAGACGCTGAGACGAAGAAAACTATAGTCAGCATCCTGTTGGGACAGAACTGGATCTTGGATACTTCGAATAAAAGCTTTCTACCCATGATGAAAGAGTTCGGACAAGATGGTGTACGTGACGGTGTCAAATGGATAAACAATGGATTTTGGTGTTTTGGGTGAGAAAGATTTCAGCCAATTTTAAGAATTATTAGAGGCAACTCTTGCAAGCCCTAGACTACATGTAAACCTTTGCTCCACTGTGGTCCAACTCGATGATTTTCCTGGGAAAATGGCTAGTTGCTGATTTTGCTAGGCCTGTATTGGGTGGAGACCAAAAAACTGCTCCTTGAGTTTGAAAACATTGTAGGCATTCCATTCTGCAATCAAGAGGTTGAGACGTCTTTGATGTATTTTCCGGGTATCAATCTTTAGTAGAACTCTCATGAGTTCTCTTATCCCTGATAAGCACTGGCCTCTCAATTCATCTTCTTCAAAGAATCTCAGCGCACAAAGGAAAACAGTCAATCCGCAAAACATGATCTCACTGACGAATACTTCAAGAGTACACATGCTATCCATCTCTTCATACTTGAGTAACAACACGACAACCTGAAGACTATCACTGACACAAGAATTCAGGGACTGAAACTCACGTGGATTGAGCATTTCTGCTTCAGGAGAGATGAAATGCCCTTTTAATAGCATCACGAAATAATGGTATCTCATGCGAAACACACACACTTGCGGGGCTATATCTTGATTCAGAACCTCATCAGTGCTGATCCATTCTGGAAAACTCATTTTGAAAACTCGCAATTCTCGCAAAGCAACTTCCACAATTTCTTGTTTATTTTTGATAGCAAGTCCTCCCGCGGTAGAGAATAGGCTGGTTAATGGGTCCCCAACTATGACGAACAGCTCCAAGGAGAAGGTGAATGCGAACGAAAACTCAAAATAAGAGTAGATGTCTTCTTGTAGTCCTCGGAAGTACTTTCGTACTGATAGTTGCGGTGGACTGGTATTTGTCTCGGCCTTCTTCATTGTAGGTGCATGTCGGACCGCGAACCTCGAAAGCATATCCACCTGATAGCATCCCCACCATACAAATCTCTTCAAAGCATTTTCGTCCTCTGATATTGTTGAGTCTGGAGAAGAAGACACAGTCTGATTTAGTCCAAGTTTAATCGCCAGGTCTACCGCAGACTTGCCAAAATATAGCTCTTCCGTTTTTTCTCCCCGAGCGTGGGAATATATGCACAGGAGATTCAATGTCTGAACGGAACTAATCTGCGGATGGAACAACTCATCCTGTAAAAGCGTTTTTGACCATTTGAAAAGGTCATCACCCAAGGCTCCGAAATGTGTTGAGTCCGAAAATACTGAACCCATGGCTAGCATAGCCAAAATCAAACTTTTACTCGAATGTCTTCCACCGAAGTTGGCACACAAGTCAGAGATGAATAAATGCTTCCACACAATCATGACATGTCCGTTTTCATAGTACCAAAAATTCTCCAATAGCTGTGAAAAGTCTCCACGACTAACAGGTTTCAGAGCTTCCTGAAACATGGTGTCACTTGCAAACGTATGATAACCCCTGGTGATTAAACTAAAAACATCAACGCTTAGATAATTCATTGTGTCTAATGGGTACTCAAACTCATTAAAGTCAACAGTCTCAGAGATGGAAGGAGTGAGATCTTCAACCAAGTTACTCTCGGTATAGTCCGACGTGTGACCAGAGTCATAGATATCTTCGTCGCCCGTATTTGGGCTACAAAGATCCTTGTGGTCGTCTTTCCTCTTATCCAGTAATTTTTCACGTAACTGCTTAACCTCTCTGGCGAGGGCTTCAACGTCACTTTTTTTTGCCCTGTTTCGAATTGTAGCTCTCTGCTTGAAAATACAAGTTTTTCCTTTTCTAGCGCAGTTTGAGCACAATGCTTGGAGCCCATCACACTTGATTTTCTTTCGCCTGCATTCTTCACAGGCTACGTACACCCGACTTCTGGCACTCATGAGGTACTCTTGAGAAACCTAAAAAGTTGCAACAATTGAAGAAGTGCAAATTGAAAATAAAAATTGAGGTAAATCCCAAATGCCAGAAAATTGACTTGGCATTCCGGTAGGCGCAATAAAATGTTGAATGTGCACTCTGTCATGCTTCTCGATGCATGAAGAATATGCAAGATAAGGTTTTCGGAATAAATAATATCCGAACCGTTTCCAGCCACTCTACTTGAATCCACTCCCTTTGTTTTCCGACATGGACATTATTCAAAATTCATATAGTATTTAAAAGGGCAAGCATTTCAGTAAATTTAACGGTCTTTAACGTGAGCAGATATCAGACACCGAACATGAGAAATATTTCGCAATACACACTGAAAGTACGTCGAGTTTCATTCTCAAAGACATAAAGCACTAGCCCTAACATCAACTTCTTCGAAGATTATCCTCGCTAGCACACTTGGCAGTTTAACCTATGGTTACGCATCGGGTGTTGCTGGGACAATCACTGGACAACCAAGCTTTGTTGATTATTTCAACTATAATTCAGACGACGGAAAAACAGCAGATGCTTTTAATGGTCTTCTCTCTGGAGGAGGGCTCATTGGTACTCTAGTTGGAGGCTATCTCGCAGAGAGCTTGGGTCGAAAAAGGGCAATCTTTATATCCTGTTGTTTCTCTACTGTCGGGTCAATCTTAATGTGTGCTTCTGTCCATATTGCAATGCTCTATGTATCCCGTTTTATCATGGGTATAGGAATTGGGATGATCGTTATGTTGATTCCTTTGTGGCAGACAGAAATAGCACCACCAGAGGCAAGAGGACTATTGGTTGGTATCCATGGTACTATGAACATTATGGGATACTCTCTCTGTAACTGGATTGACGTTGGATTCTACTTCTGTGCTGATAAAAAGGCAAATTGGAGAGTTCCTCTTGCCATTCAGATGCTATGGCCCATCATCTTAGGTTGCGTTATTCGGTATATGCCTGAGTCACCTAGATGGTTGATTGAGCATAATCAACTTTCTGATGCTCGAGAAGTTCTGCAAAGTCTGCGCCCGGATCTTGATGATGATAACTTCAAGGTCATGGTAGAGCAGATTGCCAATGAAAATCAACATACTTCTTGGAGATCTCTCTTCACTGTCCCGTCGTACAGGAAGAGGCTATTTGTGGGATTTATGGCAATGATTGGTGGCCAAGCTACTGGAACTTTGGTTGTGACAAACTACGGACCAACTATCTATGGAAATCTTGGATTTAGTAGTTTGGATCAATTATTGCTATCAGCCGGCTACATCACTTCAGGTGTTTTCCTTAACCTTGGATGTGCTTTTTTGCTTGATGTTGCTGGTCGTAAGACACTTCTCATGATCGGATTTGCTGGAGCAGGTTGTGTTGCCATTACTTTAGAGCTTGTGATGGTGGCATTGTACGCAGGTACAAACAATGTCAAAGGCAATGATGCCGCCGTGTTCTTCATTTTTTTCCACATTTTGTTTTACGGAGGTACTACTGATGCGACAACATATGTTTACGCAACTGAGATCTGGCCAACTCATATTCGCTCCAAGGGTGCAGCCTTGTGTACCAGCGGTCTTTTCATTGGAATTTTGGCCTTCACTACTGGTGTCCAGACTGCTTTTAACACTATTGGATGGAAGTATTACCTGATTTTTGTATGCTTGAGTTTTATCAACTTTTGGATTGTCTTCTTTATTTTTCCAGAGACCAAGGGACTTTCTTTGGAGGAGATTGGAGCGCTATTTGGCGAGGATGTCAATGCCGTCGGCGGAGATATTCTGGAGAGAGGAGCTCCCGACACCAAACTGCTGTCCACGGTTGAAATCAGAGAAACGAAGTCAAGCTAGATATCCCTCAAACTGAATTTACGAATTTTGAATTCTAAGTTTCCCAATTTAAGAAAGTAAGTTTCATGCAAATGGTGAAAAAAATAAGCTACACGGAAGACCGGACTTGTTGGGCTGACTGCTTACTCTACTTCCATTTCGCGACTAGCTTAACTATACCTTTGTTGAGTTGCATTAATTAATCTTGATATGTTATAGAAGATATTCATTCGGTAGAGCTTTGAAGCCGTTTATGAAGTTTGACTAGCGGAACAGTTTTCGGATGCAGCGAGTTCTTGAGGCTATCCTTATCCGTGCTGACCATCACTGCTTTGGCCTCCGGATCAATGACCAAACGCAGGAGATCAGGACGAGAATAATGCCCCACCGGATCAGCAGTAGCTTTGGCAAAATAAATCTCATCAAGGTCAATATCACAGTAGATAAGACCATCAAAGAGTTCATCTTGCCTTTCGGTGAGCGGAACTCCAAGAGGACCAAAAACCATGGCCTTCCCACCTCCAACACCATTTTGATAGGCACCGAGAGGGTTGGTTTGATGTGAGGTCTGATCCTCAAAAGCTTCTTTGCTAATCACTTGGTTTGTGCAAAGGACAAAAGTTCCCCCCTCAACAGCATGCATTTGTGATGCCTCTAGCGAGAAAGTACCACCTTCGCCATCATATGGCCATGAAGCAATATGAACCTGTTCTCCCTGAGAGTAAGTATTGAATTTCAACAACGGTTGCAGATGCTCCCAACAGTTAAGCATTCCAATACGACCCAGTTTTGTTTCGACCACGTTAATCAAAGAGTCACCCGAACCGTCCCCATAAACTGTTCTTTCGACATGCGTTGGCTTAAGCTTGCGACGATGCATTAGAACCTCCCCCTCGTCTGAAATCAAGATCTGGCTCAAGTAAATGCTGGACTTGTCCAGTTCACTAAATCCAAGGCCAACAAATATTCCCCTTTGAGCGGCAAGTTCTCTGATTGTCATCATTTCAGGCCCAAAGGCTGAAATGGAATTCTTGATATACTTGCGATTGAGTCCTTTGTTCTGCTCAAAGTTTCCAGTCCAAATATAGTTGGGGTAACCAGGAATCCAGACTTCGGGGAAGGCCACCAAGGCTGCACCATTATCGGCAGCTTCGTTGATCAACATCAGAGTTTTCTCTAGCGATTTATCTTTATCGAACCAGCATGGCTCAGACTGTACGACTGCCGCTTTCCATTGGCGCACTGACATTTTTTGTTTTGAACGATGCTGAGATGGCAAACTTCCAATTATGCCTCAGGTTACAGCTTTTATATTTATATGTAGACGCATTTGCTCTAAACAGTCATAGAGTACGGATATCATAATATCCGGGAAAATCTAGTGAGGCTCCATATCATAGAGTCAAATGATTGAAAAAAGTATCCTTCAAACTTTTGTTAAGTGCTATATGCACCCATACCCAAAACGGCACAGCTGGCACAGAAAAAGAGACGAACAACTTCCTGATTGAGACAATATTCGGTAAAGTCTGTCTCCGATAAATGCCTAGCGGTCAATTTGGACCGGTGTTATCAGATTCCAGCCACGTTTGCTTATCTAACCGGAAAGTCGGCAGATAGTCGCGTCGTCATTACTAAGGGAGCAAATGACAAGCTTGCATGTGTCAGGGATCCCATCAAATATGTACCTTAGATGAGCTCTGACAGCTTATCCAAAGAGTTTGGTACGCGGGAAGATAAGGACAATAATCTCCGTTACAGAATAGAGCGGTTACCGCTCATTCCGGGTTTACACTTCTACGGTATTTGGTGGTTTGCGCTGTTGGCAACCCATTTGAGATTCTCAAATAAGGTTAGTACTTCAATTATTCGCCACGATAAAGTAACTATCTGTTCCCGAGGAACGAGTAACATTCTTTGGGTCCCCGGAAGCTTATGTCTCTCCTGTTTAGTCTTCTGCGTCCTCATTCGGACATCATCTTTCAAATGATTGCAAATGTGTGACCTCCGCAGTTATTTTGTCGGCCATTACGTCATGATGCAGATTGGGATTGACCAGTTCATGCCTAGTTTTTACAAAAAAAAGCATTAATACGGATGTACAAACTAGGTTTTGTACCGGTCCTTTCGGCTCAAAACTCGCAAAGGCGGGCTTCGCGATATCTGATACTCGTTGAACAAGAAAGAAATATTCGAAAACACCTCAAATAGACTTCACAACGACTCTGATGCAATGATCTCAGCGAATGTCTTGTGTGTATTGGTCAAAGGTATTGGTTTTTGGTGCAAAGATGTCGCTTCTTCTGAGACCTTGAACACAGTACTCTTTGGACGATCGTCTATCAATAACCTCATCAAATCAGGTCGAGAATAGTGACCAATGGGATCTGCGGTCATTTTCGGATTGATTATCGAATCAAGATCAATATTTGCGTAGATTAAACCATCAAATAACTCATTGGTGGGCTCAGTCAGAGGTAAGCCATTTGGTCCATAGATTACGGACCTACCACCCCCAATGCCGTTCTGATAGTTTCCAAGAGGACTGGTTTGGCCTTCTGTGTTCAGCTTGAAACCGTCTTCAGTTGTAATCTGGTTGGTAGACAGAACAAAGGTTCCCCCTTCGAGTGCGTGCATTTTTGAGGCAAGTTGGGACCACGCCAGTCCACTATCATAAGGCCAACATGCAATGTGAACTTGTTCCCCTTGAGCGTAGGTGTTAAACTTCAGCAAAGGCTGCAAATGCTCCCAGCAATTAAGCATTCCAATCCTTCCTAATTTGGTCTCAACAACATTGATCAGAGAGTCACCAGTAGCCTCACCATATATTGTTCTTTCGACATGCGTTGGCTTCAGCTTTCTGCGGTGAAGCAAGACTTCTCCCTCATTCGAGATTAACATCTGAGCAAGGTAAAGACTCGAATTTTCTCTTTCACTGAATCCTATTCCCACGAAGATGTTATTGGCCTTTGCCATTTTGCGCAAAGACACGATTTCGGGGCCGTAAGCAGTGATACTATTCTTCATGTACTTTTGCACCAAAGGTTGATTCTCATTGAAGTTTCCTGTCCACACAAAGTTGGGATAGCCTGGGATCCAAACTTCGGGGAATGCGATAAGAGCAGCCCCGTTTGCTGCAGCCTCAAGGATGAAGTTCTTTGTCTTTTCCAATGTGGCCTCCTTATCGAACCAAACTGGCTCTGACTGAACCACAGCTGCTTTCCACTGACGAATTGACATTTCTATTCTGTTTAGAATGAGAGAGCTACTCGTCTTTGGTAATGACAGAATTTCAATAACTGCGATCAGAAACGTATTATTTATACCTTTCGCCAAATGAAGTTTTGAGAGGATGGATTCTATAAAGTCCGAGGTATCAGCCTCATGCACTGATAAGCGATGATAAGCATGTCTCAATACGTTTCCGGTCCATTCGGTTATCGGGTCCGAAAGCTATAATGTCCGTTAGTCTTTCTTCAGCACAATTAATGCAAAAAATTTCAGCTGGTGAAATACATCCATAAGCTCTGTAGCACTATATTTCATTACTCTGTGATGGGATGCCAAAATAGAATTACATGAATTTTTTTAAAGACGTGTTCACCATGAGTGACATTCATGCAAAAAATATGCCCTCAAAGAAACACACCGCAAGCGTGTTGGGTCAAAATCTGACCCCGGAAAATCTAACTAGAATCTTCTACCTATGACGGAGGACTTCCCAAAAACTGGAAAGTGTAAATGAATTTTGATGCTTCTGGCAAGCCGTATCCAGAAGCCAACCAGCAGCCAACCAGTAGCGCAAGATACCACATGGTGGTCTTCTCTAATATGCGAACCAACGTCGTACTGTTTTGATGTATTTGCATTTGTCACAGCTCACATAACACCACAGGGGCTTTCAGTATTAACTTGATTGTATTCGAAAAATTGAATGACTCTCTAAATACATAATTATGTAAAAAGGTTGAAACTAGGTGAAGGTCAAAAAAATCGCTTTTGGACATCTAATGGCAGATACCCTTTGCTCTTCTTCCTTCTATGATTTTCCAGTATCTGTCTTTGGTCTTCCTTCTCCAATAAGGACCTGTCAATTCCATGATCAGGAATGTTCCAGCACAGAAAAAGCAGATGAACCCACCAGCAAGAAAAGTCTTCTTCAAACCCGTATTCGAAATCCACGGGGTGATACCATAGTCCATCGCAAAATTCATGGTATTGCGGATCAAGACAACGATCACCATTGCTTCACAGCTCATTTCCCTATAAGTGTCAACTGTATAGGTGCACGCAGAAGCCGCTCCAAGGATAATACAACCCCCAGTGACGCCGGCACCGATGACAAGCCCAAACCAGTGGATCCCATAATAAGCACCGATGCCGTACAGGAAGAGAGCTGCAGGACCCAATATCATGTACAGAATCAAGAGCCACAGCCTATCCTCTGCATAAGAAGTACCCCCGCGTCTTTCAGCCAGTTTTAATTTCAACCAATCCGAGGCATAACCCGCGTAGAAATTCATAAGAATTGCGAAGATCAACGGAGATACGTAAACAAGGCCTGTCATTGCATTTGAAAAGTTGTAAGGGCTTGCCGTGAAAACTGAAGAGATGGTACCATTCATAACCGAATACCAAAAAAGAGAAGCTCCATACAAGAACCCACTGTATAGAACAACTGGAAATTGTGCCATTTTGAGAGGGCCAATTAAAAAGGTCTTGAACCATCTCCAGTCTCTACTCTTGTATAGACGCAACTTTTCACGGTAGGTAGTCAAGGGAATCGAGCTATCAAGTTCGAGATTTTCACGAACTATTTCAATGTTTGCATTAGCAAGGTTTTTCTCCTGCTGGCGACCAGATAGTTGTTTGGAGAGAACAGCAGTGACGGTTCCATCACGAACGTTACTCAGCACTATTTCAATGTCACTATCATCTTCGTTCGGAACTGGCCGAGTGTAATTCGTCTCTTCCATGAAAAAAAACAAAAAAACAGTGGCAATTGCACAAAAAATACAACTCCAATAAATGACCCAATCCCATCCTTGACCATCTGCAATGAAGCCTGCCACCATAGGACCCATATAATTCGAACCAAAAAGGGATAAGGCATAAAGGCCCATCCACCTGCCTCGTTCATGTTCAAACCAAATATCCGAAACCGTAACTTCACACAATGCTTCCACTGGAGCTGCGAAGACTCCTTGTAAAATCTTGGCACCAATCCAAGAGCCCCCGGTCTTCGCATAAGCTTCCCAAAGGGTTAAAAGACATACTGCCAAAGAGGAAAGGAGATAAATTGGCCTCTTCCCAATTTGAGATGCTAGAGGTAAAAACCACAGGTTTGCAATTCCAAGCATCAAAAACATATAACCTGTACCGTCATTCAAAGTTCCAAGACTAATACCTGTCTCGGAAGAAATTTGGGTAAGGATCGAGTAAATAACAGCAGTAGGAATACCAATGCTGAAACAAAAAACAACCATACAGAACATTTGTAGGTATTTCCTATTGCGGCTCCAATTCAAAGGATCGTTTGGATCCGTGGTTGGTCTGGGAATAAGAATAACATCTTTGTCCTTACCAGCGACATCCAACTGGAGAAGCTTCTCCTTGTTTAGCTCCACCAAATGCGAGGTACCTGGTATCACGGAATAATCAATCATTCTTGTATCGTTAGGTTTAATGTATGATTATTCGAAAAGATTCTCAAACATGGAGACGCGGACCCTTTTTATCCCATCGCGCTGTTAGTCATTGAGCCGCACCAACACCGTTTTTCCGGTTTTCTGTCTCGATTGGGACGAGATTAGGGAAGCTTGTTAGTGATTGTGTCAACTGACAAAATCGAACAAACGCAATTACCACTCGATCGAGCTTATCTTTCGGAATGTATTTTCCTGAAAAGTCAAGTGTTAGTCTTTTGTATTGTAGTTAAAACGTAGAGATGCTGCCATACCCCTTCCAATTGTTTCTTTTCTTACATTAGAAACTGAGAATGTTTAAATCACTCAAGATTCAACCGGGTAGACTTTTGGAGACTATTCACAAGACAGCAGATCTGTATGGTGCAAAATACAGATGGGGAGATCATCCAACTGAAACTGGTCTTCGCCGTCTTTCGTTGGATGATGAGGATAAGGGGGCAAGAGATTGGTTTGCAAAAGAGGTTAAAGATCTCGGATGTGAGCTGAAAATAGACAATGTTGGTAACATGTTTGCAATTTACCCAGGTAAAGACATGACTGCTTTACCAACTGGAGTTGGCTCTCATCTTGATTCCCAACCAACAGGCGGACGTTATGACGGACCACTTGGTGTTTTGTCCGGTCTTGAAATTCTAAGAACAATCAAAGAAAACGGATATGTTCCCAATTATCCAATTGCCTTGATTAACTGGACCAATGAAGAAGGTGCACGCTTCCCCGCTCCTTTATTAGGTTCATCAGTTTGGAGTGGTACGACTAAGAAGGAGGATATTTACAAGGTAAATTCCGTTACCGATTCTCCTCCAAGAAGTGTCTTGAGTGAACTGGAAAGAATTGGGTATAAAGGCTCAGTCGAATCAAGCCATAAGGTCAATCCAATTGCCTGCCATTTCGAAATTCATATCGAACAAGCAGCATTTCTCGAGAAAGCAAACAAGAAAATTGGTGTTGTTCAAGGAATTCAGGCCTTCGATTGGCAAGAGATAGTGATCAGAGGGAAAGCACAACATACTGAAACCACCCCGATGGAGGGGAGGGCAGACGCTCTCTTGACTGCTTCAAAAATGATTATCAAGGGTAATGAAATTGCCAAGAAATATGGGGGCCTTTGTTCCACTGGCATTATTGACGTTGAACCACATGTTTTCAACGTAATCCCTGAATATGTCAAGTTTTCTTTGGATACACATCACTACGAGAACGATAAGCTGGATTTGATGTTGAAAGAGGTTAAAGATTCATTTGATGCCATTGCTGCAGAAGTCGATGGCCCTCTTACCGTTGAATACCTTCCCCTGTTTACCTCCAGGTCCACCGAATTCGACCAAGAGTGTATTGATTCTGTTAGACAAGCGGCCATTGACGTTGTCGGAGAAGATAATATTATGGATATTACCGCCCGCGCTGGCCACGATTCTAAAGAAACAAGCGGAATTGTTCCCACTTCAATGGTATTTATACCATGCAGGGATGGTATCAGCCATGCTCCTACTGAGTACAGCACCCCAGAGCAGGTAGAGAACGGTTTTAAGGTGTTGATGAATGCAGTGCTGAGTTACGATCTTCTCCGTAAGAAGAAGGCAGATGCAGCTTCTGCTTAATTGGCTCATATCAAAAAGTATAGAAAAGCTTTTCTTTGTTCGATAACTATAAGAAAATAAAGCTTAAAGGCATAACTTTTCCAGGGATTCTCTATGTAATAAAATGTCACAACCCATTCCTTCTTCTTCTCCAGTTCCCCAGGCCTTTTTGAAAAAATCAATAATTTGGCAGGAGTATTGTGTGTGTACATAGTCACCAATTTCGAGCGTCCTTTCAATAAGATACTTCCGATGAATTGATAGAAGAGAAGCGGAACCAGCTACCATGATTGGCCAAGGTAGCGCACTGCATATTGGATGATAAGGAGGAATAAGTTCCAGATAATCCATAATCAACTCAACATCTTTTTGAATGAGATCATCACTTGTAGAAGTATTCGGATACAAAACCTTTGTAAGTAAGAGATGTGCTGCCTTCAAAAACAAGGCATTCGTGATAAGACTGCAGTTCAGATGAAATCTTTCCTCCTCCTTCAGATCTGCGCAGCTTTCAGGGGGTAGAAACATTAGGCTTTCATGAGCTGTCATATCATACAATAGCTCGGCTCGCTTTCTTGAAATATCATCAAGCGGAGAAACCCTCGAAAGCCACGATGCCTTGGCAACAACTTCAAATGCATCACGAGCAGCTCCCATAATCGAGTTGTTCATCCATTCCAAAGGCATTGGTAACAACGGCTTGCACAGAACGTCTCGAAATTCGTCGAAGAACACGAATGGAGAGGGAAGTCTCTGCAGCGCTTCGTCCGTACACACCAGAAGTTTGACTGAATAGTTGTATGCAAAGCTATCAGTAACATACTTATCGTTGCAAGATATGACCAACTCTTCATGTGTGGTCTTACCCATGGGGTTATCCTCGTCTCCAAATACGAGAAACTTGTTCGATTCTTCATGTCTTGAAGGCTCGGTAATGTATTGTTCAAATTTGAGAATATCAAAATTAGAATCCAGACGGTGATTGTTCTGCTTGTTGAGCCATTCCCGTTTTCTCTTCTGTAAAATTTGGTAGGCAGCAATCAGATGATGGGTACACTTGACATTTCCTGCACCACAATACTTCTCCCTTAAAGACAAGTTCAAAAGACTAAATACTAACCAATCTTCAGAACCATCTATATTTTGAGATCTTATCTCTTCAAGAATTCTCTTCATGCACTGCTTGTACCTCTTGTCGGATATCACCGACACTGAAGGATTCTTCCACATCAACCAAGCCGCACCACAGGTAAAGCAAACCTCTCTGAAAGCCGCAGAAGTAGGCAATAAAGGGATTGCAATACCCGCAGGTAGAAGCCTTCCATCTGTGAACTGCGGAGTAATACTAGGCAAGAAACCTTCCAAAAAGGCACGGAATAACATTGCAGATTCTGGATCCAAAGTTACACCTGAAATCCAATTGAGTCCTGAGAATTGTAAACCTTTCAATAAATGGGGGCCATAAATAGGCGTCTCCTCGCGGCTTAGCGTGATCTGACCCCCCTTCACACAGGCAACCTCAAAAATCAGATTTTTGGCAGTAGACCTTTTCGGTTGGAAAGACGACTTTGCAAGGGATTGATTACGATGGTCAGGCCATACGCACTCCAAATCACTCTTGATACATTTTTTGCAAACGGGGACCGTTTCGTCGCATTTTCGTTTTTTGTATCGACCTAAGATCAAAGTCAGAAATTTGGTCCTTTAATATGTGGTTGAGACTGCTCAAATAACTAACTGATAACACTCACAAGTAAGACAACCTGTTTTTGTTCTACTGATCCTTTTTACATCTCTTTCTGATGCCATTGTGGGAGTGTTCGTTCACAAGGAAGCAAAAATTGGGGTATTGTGATTTCTCCTTTTTTTTCTTTGAAATGGTTTGCTATTGCCATCTCAAAAGATAAGAGGTAAATCCATCAGGCAATGTTTCCGATCTGACATCCAAATCAGGAATTTCATGCGGAAAGCAGCTGCGATGATCTGAACCGGGGATTTAAAGGTACAATCGTAAAATTGACACTGTAGTATCTACTGGAAGTTCCTAATTTTAAGTTATTAAGCAGCTGTTTTCTCAAAACGATGCTTTTCAACTTACAAGTCTATGTCAAAATTTAGTGGTAATTAGTGAAATAGCGGTTTATTCGTGTAATCAAAGAATACAAAAGGGGATGAGCAAAAGGCATATCCCCGGGTGCGCGCGCGGCAGGGGTGGCTCAGCTCCGCTGGATGTGAATTCATTCGAGTACTATTCGCTAGAAACGCACACCACGGAGTATCCAACGTAATGATTGAATTCAAATAATACTCACATGATTGCACATTTTCGTTCTTACCGGGGCTACTTTGCCTTTGTAGTCACAGCTCTGTGTCAAACCATAGTAGGTCCTGTATCGTTGCAAACTCCAGATCCAGAAAGTTTACAGAATCAATACCATCACAAGCTTCGTCCTGTTGCTGGGTATAGTCAGCTTCTTGAGTTACAGTAGTGCCCTCCACTCGGTTGAACGAATTAAACTTTTTATCATTCACCGCACTCGGTCCATGATCAACCCCGATATTGTTGAAGATAGCGGCAGACTTGTTGAGTCGTAAAACGCACATGTGATTGAGCATTTTCAAGGCCCAAACACACTCTGCTGCCATCGAGGCCGTTTGTTTCAGACTTGTTAACAAATGAATGGAACCTTTCAGAATTTTTGGACACTGTGTCAAATATAGCCCGGCATTCATGAAAACTATGCTTGTCACCGATATGGTGAAAAGCAAGGTGAGATTCAGCCACCAAGGAACTTGCAATTGTTGTAAACTATCGATGTTTTCAAAAACTTTAAGAACTTTTGCAGAATGCTCGGCCAGAATGTGATAAGTTTTACTGGCATTGTCAAACGGCTCCAACTGGCCGCCAACAAGATTCAAGATGTCTTTGCTATGGAGCGATAGTGCAATGTCATGGTACGTCAAATACACCTGGTCAACCATCAAACTATCGCAAGAACCATCTCTCAGGTTTCTATCAACCCAGTTTTTCAAGCCATTGAGTTGATTGTTGACATCGCCCAGGAAAAGAGGATCCATATAGTAATGTTTGGTGTTATGGCGTTGAATCTTGGCAGCAATTTTAGCGAGATGAATCATTGCCAAAGCCGGCCTCTGTAACCAGCCATCCAGGACCTCCGGATTATCTAGTTCAGGAACTCGCAGACTGATATGTTCATCATAGATCTCGTGATGTCTTCCACTTTGCCAGGCATACAACTTGTCCCAAGTATAAACCAACCAAAACACTCTCTCCACCTTCGTGATTTCGTATGGGGTTTTGCATTTAGTTCTTATGGCAACATCGACATTTAATAACATTCCTTTGCACATCCGTATGGCTGTCCCAAGAGATGCATGAGAAGAGCTCTGTCTGTGCGCAGTTCTGAGATACAAGGTGATCAAGATCCACGATTGGATCAACTCCAACGACTGCCATTCAAAGCTGAGTTTGGACACCACCTCGTAGGCGGAGAGGAACAGCTGTTCTTCTAGTCCAGGTCTCATTTTGGTCCTGACGTCGGGTGGCACGGCTGGGTGGAATTCGGCAAATCTGATTGAAATGGCAAACACCAAACTCAGCATTGCCATGAACAATCTGGTAGACTTTATTTCTTCATCTGCGTACAATTCACGCCGATATCGGATCAGCTGGTTGAGGAAGCCCTCTTCATGGAGAATCGAAAACAGTGGGTTGATATTAACTAGGTAAAATTGCACCAGCCAATCGCAAAAACTTGTATCCTCGGTAGGGTCTAGAATAGGCGAAAGTGAGTCCAACGAGAACTGCTGCAAGTAATGATTTCCAGACATGTTCCAGCCGTAAAACTGCACCCTCGGAACGGCTAGCTTTTCACGTTCCTCAGCAGAGAGGCTCGCAAAAAGAGAGTTTGCCAGTTTGTTCATCAATATGCCATCAAACTTCACCACTCCTCCCAGTCTGGTCTCTACCAGATGGTCTCTCAGAAACAGGGCATCCGGGTCAACACTATCGATCCTGTCTTTAGTTTTCTCCGCCTCCAATAAAAAGACTCTGTTTTCCAAGTACTTGATGTACTCATCTTTTGTTGGTTTGGAGTTCTTAAAGGGTTGTCTGACGTTTTGTAACGTTTCGGTTGTGGAGTAATCGCAGCTCTTGTCATGTCTTAGGCAGCTAGCACAGGGGAACTCGCCGTCGCATTTGATCCTCCTCAATTTGCAAGGTGTACAAGCTTTTTTGACCCTTGTGATCTTAATTGACTCTGACATATCTGTTCAGAAGGATTCATTTGTGTACATACCAGAGAAGAGAGAGTACGAAATATCAGATTTGCCACGGTCCGAGAGCGGAACCACTAGCGGACCGCTAAATTTCTCCACATCCATATAAGGCAATTCCAGAGATACACTTCCCTCTTCGGAAATATTCGCGGTCCGCTCTGAAGAGTTTCTGCGGACCGTTTCAAACCTGCTGTCTTTTAGTTATTTATTTAAACCCCCTGAAAGAGCACCAGAAAATTTACGATAATGCGACAAGAAGCCAATTGTTTACCTCCGAGAACAACATGGAAGTAGATACTGCCGAGTTCCCGGAAGGCGGGATGGGCTGGCTAGTGTTGGCCGCCGCATGGTGTGCGATGGCCGGCAGCTGGGGGATGGTGAACAGTTTTGGTGTATACCAAGCTTACTACCAGACGGATCTTTATCCCCATGAAGACGCATTCAAGATAAGTGTAATTGGGGCTCTACAATGCTTCTGCATCTACGAGTTTTCTATCCCGACTGTCTACTTATTGCACCATCTGAATGCAAGAATCACAATCACGCTTGGTGTGCTGATTCAAACTTTCTCGCTTATGATGATGTCTATCACAAACAACATTTGGCAACTATTTCTGGTGCAAGGCTTGCTTTTTGGACTAGGGAATGGTATAGTGTATCTCACTGCGATCACAATAATAATGCAATGGTTCAAGAGAAGACGAGCGTTGGCTGTTGGTATTGCAGCCTCAGGCTCCAGTATCGGAGGTGTTATCTGGCCAATCGCTGTGAAAAAACTGATTGCCGAAGTTGGAATTGACTGGGCAAATAGGATTTTGGGGTTTATTTACATTCCCATGGGAGCCGTAATGATTTTGTTTTTGAAACCGAGACTATCGCTTCGCGCTGAAAAAAAGGCAACCTTGTTACCGTTTAACTTTGAGGTTCTGAAAGATATCAAGTTTGTCTTTTTGGTTGCAGGCTTTACTATCACGAATTTTGGTCTCATGCCAGGGTTATTTTTCAACGACCTGTATGGACAACGACTGTCTAACAAAACAGGCCATACCTTAGTTGAGCCTCAATACTATGTGTCGATCTTGAATGCAATGAGTATGGTTGGAAGGATCATGCCTGGATTCCTCGCTGACAAATTTGGCAGGTTGAATTTGCTTATTCCATTTGCACTGCTGTCAGGTATCTTTCCGCTGGTTTTGTGGTTACCATCTTCAAGCTCCAATAACCTTTTCATGTCTTTTGTTGTTCTCTGGGGACTCAGCTCAGGAGCTATGATCTCGCTATTCCCGACTCTGGTTCCTCAGCTTTTTGGTATCAAGGATAATCAAAGTCGTACAAGTTTATTTTTTGCAATTGGAGGAATTGGAACTCTTTTTGGACCAATTATATGTGGAGCCTTTGTACCGTTGGCCGCGGACTCTCAGGGTGATATCGATGGTTTTGATAAGGTCTCCATCTTTATTGGCGTGATGTTTTTGGCGGGAACGGCAATGCTTGTTGGCCTCAGAGTGTGGTCATCGAGGAGTCTGAAGAAAATAATTTGAGCATCCATGGTTTTTTTTGTCGGGAGCTAGTGAAAGGTATTAGTAATGGCCAAATAGGTACCTGAGACAAGCAATGGTTCATAAGTTGTTCCCATCTCCTCTTGGCTGTTTCCTCAGAAGTTCGAGGATTCAAATACAACAACCTTAAGGGGATGATAAAACTGAGCTGATCCAATTGGTCACTGTTTTTATCCTGTTCGTGATGAGCGACTCCGGTTAGGTTCTGATGTCTTTCCTCTGTTCTTCTATCAACTGTAGCCGCACCAATGAATGTAGAAGGGCTCCTAACCTCAATAATTAAAGACGATATGATTATGAGAGTAAGTATGCTCGAAAATCCTGTCACGTGGGTATATAGGAGTCAGTCAAATTGGAATCGTATTGTCTGTTTCGATTTTCCGGTTTCACTCTTTAGATTCTTGCTGCTCATAACAGGTTCGAAATTTTAGCCATGTCTGATAGCTCTACATTTACTCCCAGTGCCTTGTCAGGCCTATCCCCATCCGACACGCTGGCTGCACTGCTTCGCACCATTGAGTTCGAAATTATCCCTCTAACTCGTGTTGGCGTATCTTCCGGGAGTAAAGTCTTTGGGGCTGCCATCCTATCCACCGACACCACGCCGTACACAGTTGCCACTAACGACGAGCGCGTATCTCCCCTGCTACACGGAGAAATCAATTGCATCCAGAAATTCTACACAACCTTTCCCGAAGCTAGCACCCGTCCTGATCCCAGAAAGGACTGCATTTTTCTTGCTACGCACGAACCCTGCAGTTTGTGCCTGAGCGGTATTGCATGGTCTGGGTTCAAGGAGGTGTTCTTCCTGTTTACCCACGAGGATAGCCGGGACCGATTTGCCATTCCGTATGACTTGGAAATTCTGGAACATGTATTTCGAGTGGGGCATAGCGACTCGACTCAGCCACTATACAACAAGAAGAACAAGTTCTTTACGGCGCGGTCGCTGGATGAGTATGCTGACAGAATTAGTGACGAAAAGAGTAGGAGGTATTGGAAAGAGGAGATTTCGAGGGTCAAGGTTTTGTATGATGAGTTAAGTGAGACGTATCAGGAGGGAAAAAAGACTGTTGAAAGTGCAAGTACGTGGAAGTGATATATGAATTGTCATCATTTATTTGTTTGGTTTACTTTAGAGTACATTCTTTCAGCTACATTTGATATTACCCACTTCCTTTTGTACTGCCACATCATCTCAGGAACTCCGGATGATATCCCGTTGGTTTGCAGCCCGCGTGCGTCAGCTCGCAGCTCTGGGTGATAACAGAAAGTTCACCTCCTTTAGATAAGAAAAGGCACCACTCCAATCAGGCCGAAACGCTATATATTCAGTTCACGATCGTTGTTTGTCTAACATAGATAAACAATTAGTTTGGTAGTGTAAGATCTTGATGTCTGACGAAAAAGTGTCGCAATTTATTGAAGAGCTGCCAAAGTGTGAGCAGCACCTCCATATCGAGGGGACATTGTCTCCAGAACGTCGTTGGAGCTGTGTCATTGCCAATGGACTGCAAATTGAGAACTGCTCCTCATTGGAGGAACTCTCCCAACAATACGAAACGGAGTATGTCTACCAGAAAGGGCAAGATCCCGCAAAGTACTTGCAAGAATTTCTGGCCATCTACTATGCCTCGATGAATGTACTTAGAACTGTTGATGATTTTTACAACCTGGCCCTGGATTACATCAAGAAGGCGAATTCAATGAATGTTCGATATGTCGAGGCATTTTTTGATCCACAGGCTCATACTTCGCGTGGAATTGAGTTTGATGTTGTGATGGAGGGCCTACTAAAGGCGAAAGAGGAGGCCTGGTCCCACTATGGAATCCAACTGCACTGGATAATGTGCATTTTGAGAGATATGAGCGCCGAGAGTGCAATTGAAACAGTGAAGCAATCATTTCCGTACAAGGAGAACATTATCGGTTTGGGCCTTGACTCTGATGAACACGAAAACCCTCCAAGCAAGTTCCAGGAAGCATTCAAGCTGGCCCGTCAGTACGGTTACAAGATCACCTCCCACTGTGATGTTGACCAGAAAAACACGCATCAGCACATCAAATATGTGATCACCGAACTAGGCGGAGCTAGGCCTCCTGCGAAAAAATATGAACTTGAAAACCCTGATTTGTATTTGACTCCAAAATTCCCAACAGGTGCTGACAGAATCGATCACGGTCTCAATGTTGCAGACAATGAGGACCTTTTAGAATTTACTAGAAAGTCCGGCCTGGGCCTGACTTTATGTCCTATAGGATACCAGAAACACATGGGTCCTCATGTTGTCTTTCCTAAGGTGGTTCGTATCATAGAATATGGTATTCCAATCACTTTGAACAGTGATGATCCGGCGTACATGGCCAACTACAAGTCCGAAATCTTGGCTGGTACTCTCAAAGGCTGCAATCTCTCAATCAGGGATTTGTATGAATTTGAAAAGAACGCCATTTTGATGGGATGGACCTCTGATGTTGAGTTCAAAAGATCATTTTTGAAGGATCTGGAACAAGTTTACTTGAAGTTCTCTATTTAGGACGCGATATAGTATTTGAGGGCTGTTTTGTTTTTTCTCTCTCTAAACAGTGTAGTTTCCAAAAAAAAAAAAATCTCAAGCAAGAGAGCTCGGATCCTCACCTTAAACCGAATCTGTGTAGAAAATATCATAGTCCTTGTTCCCTGGATAGATTTGATTAAGGCGACGTGCCAGTATTTGAGAGAAAGACGTAAACAATTCGCCAGCCTTGCCATGCATCAAAATTCAAGCATGTCTTACAAATTCACGGAGGGATGTCCCTCAATAATTTGAGAAGCTTAGAAAAATAGAAAAATAAAAAAAATGTTCGATTTTCAGCGCGCTAATTCTCCAGGTTGCATTGTACGGCATTCCGCGCGGCATGTGAGCGCCCTGCATGCGAGCGCCCTGCATTGATTGCCTCGTAGCAGAGGATAATGACAGCATGAAAGTTACACCAGATTGTGGTAATGTTAAAACTCCGAAAAACACCTCTAAGCCTCTGCAATTAAGTGCTAACCGTGGCGTCTTTTTGTCTCATAGTGACCCAGATGTGTGCCGGAGGAGGTGCTGAAGACTCCGCAAAAACTCATCTCATTGTTACTTGCTTCCTATTGTTGTCTATGTTCTGCTGGCACTTTAAGTGTACGACATATTCTTCGGAGAAACAATCAGCTTGTTTGACTGGCCAGTATAGTACTGGTTTTCGTAGAAAGCTGATATTTGAAAAATTCTTAGAATCTAGGAAAATGCCAGTTTCTTAGACACACAAAAGTTCAACCCCCTGTCGGACTTTCCCAAAATTGATTTTATATGTAGAGGCATAATTTGGGATAAGCTGAATAAGGAAAATATTCGTTACAATTCAAGCTTAAACATACTAAATTTTTCCTTACAGCCGGTGGAGTGTTCGTTACTCCACAAACTGTGGGAATCGAACATTTTCTAAGCACGACCTTTCGGGCGTCTCCCAGAACTTTTGACGTGCCCGAGTGTGGCTCACCCATCTATGCATGCATCTAACCCATCTATATATGCAGCACATCCCAAATAACTGTGAATCGCGTAATAGCAACGACATATGTCAAAAACGTCATCTCCGACTTTGGGCATGAAATCCGTCTCCAATAAAAACATAGGCACGTAATATTTCGCTTTAAGGTTCCTTACCGGCGGAACGCCAAGCTGCGTTTATACGGCGTTTAATAAATTCTTTCCTTGACACATAAAAGGCGATGATCCCAGCTGAGAGAACAGAATGATCAGCGCAACGCCTTGCACACCAAGAATAAGCAAGTGAAATCAGGAATAATGTCACAACCTTTGAAGTACATTAAAGACTCTTTTCTAGTAATCGTTCTGGGAATTGAAGGGAGCTCCAAAGACGTTTCTGAAAGTGCTGATGTTGATTCTCTAGACGCACAGGATTCTATTGGGGCTCCAGTCGAGAAAAAATCCCCGTTAGGGTATGAGGTGACATATTTGTCTGCGTTTTATCTGATTATACAGGGTGTGATTGGTACTGGTATCTTTGCAACTCCTGCCACTGTTTTGAAATCTGTTGGCTCTGTTGGCGCTTCTTATCTGTTCTGGTCTGTTGGATTCATTGTCACTATCTTGCAGATTTTCATGTACGTGGAGTATGTCACCTACTATAGAAGACGGTCCGGTGCAGAGGTGGTTTACCTGGAACAGGCCTATCCCAACCCTCAGTTTATGGTTCCTGTCGCATACGCTGCTACTACCATCGCCTTATCGTTTGCAACTTCTTCTGCCTCCGCCTTCGCAACATATATATTCAAAGCAGCCAACTACGAGGCTACTGCCTGGGAATCCAGAGCTCTTGGAGTGTTGCCATTGATTTTGTGTGCACTGATAAGTGCAGCTAGCACGAAGTTTGCCATGAGACTGAACAGCTTGATTGGATTTGTCAAAGTAATATTCGTCTTGTTCATTTCTTTTTCGGGATTTGCTGCACTTTCTGGTGCCACCAAAGCGCCAAAAGATCATTCCATATTTCAAAATGCATGGGAGGGTACAACTACCGACGGAAATGCTATTAGCAATGCGATAATGAAGGTTGTTTTTGCGTTTGGAGGTGCGCCTTATGCATTTGCCGTTGTCGCAGAGACCAATCCAAAAAGCACAATCAGGACTTACAAATACTTTGTTCCATTTGCTTTGCTGTTCATATACGTCCTCTACATTCTCTGTGTGACCGCTTACTACGCAGGCATTGGAAACATTGATGATATCAAAAATAGCGGAACACTGATTGCGGCTGTGTACTTCGAAAAGATTTTCGAAACGGAAAGTGCAACAAAAGCTGTGTGTGCCTTTGTGGCAATTTCTGCATTTGGACATTTATTAACAGTCTACATCGCACATTCGAGATCACTAAGAGAATGTGGTAGACAGGGTGTTCTGCCTTTTCCCAGATTATGGACTAGTGTCAAGCCATTTGGAACTCCAATATTTCCGATATTTGTCACATTGGTGGTTAATCTCATAGTTCTGCTGGCCCCACCACCCGGTGATGCATACAACTTTGTGGTCGATCTGGGTTCTTACTCCGGCTACATATTCAATGCTTTACTGGGTATTGGACTATTCAGGATTCGGAGATTCAGAAAAAAACAAGGGCTTGGTTACAGAGAGTTTCATCTTCCAACACCAGTGCTTGTCATTGTCCTCCTTTGGTATTTTTTCGTTCTAGCTATGGCATTTGTTCCTCCAAAAGGAACCTTGATTGGAAGCGATGTTTCATTTTTCTATGCAACATATCCACTTACTACGATTGGCCTATTCATTGGCTGTTTTGCATACTACTTTGTGTGGGCCAAAGTACTTCCCAAATTTGGAGGCTATCAACACAGGATTGAGAGTTATGTTCTTGAGAATGGTGAATCGGGGCATAGAGTGGCTAAAGTCCCTCTCAGTGAACTTGCTGAATGGGAGTCGAAACATGCCTATCATTTTGGTGGCCTCAGCGGAGGATTTGACGATGCTGAAGAGACGAAGAGAAGTACGGACGACAGTTTTGTTGAACGAGTCGACCTGGGTGATCTATCGAAAGACAGCAAATCAGACAGATGAGTGTGCAGGCTATGTGTACCAGTCGTGCACTAGAGACATGTTTTTAACCCTTCAATTATCTCCTTTCTGTGTTCGAGTAATACAATCTGACCGGTAGGGCAAAGTGACTTGAGCTGCTTTTGAAAAGTTTACATTTAGTTGGCTTATTTTGGGAGGTTTGTTGATGTGCCTGGTTGGCAGTCTCGATTGGCTTGATCAAGGCTGTGTAGATGCATCAGCTGTTTATCATCCGCGTCAGTCAACCTTTTCTAGATAGTATTAATGTTTGAGTTCAATTATAGGACTTGATAGCACCCACAATGAACTCACGTCAATTCATAAAATTTGGGGATTCATCATGTAGCCAATCTTATGAGTTGCATACAGAGAAACTGAAAGAAGAGGAGATTATATAGTTTGGGTTCCGCACATCACATTCAAGTCAGCATTTCTCATTTT